CTCTTTATAGCAGCCTCCCAGGGAATTTCACTTTGCATTTGCACACATGCTATAAATTAGCAGAAACAACTCTTTTGTTCAAAGTTATATTTCTGTGAGACTGTCAGGGAGTTCAACTTAATCTAAAAGATTAGTTTTGCACCTCAGACTCAATCAATTCTCCGGCTTAAAATATCTGTTAAATGTTGTGTGAGAGGTTTTTCATGTGTTTGAAAAGCTGTGGGCAATAAAGTAATGAAAAGAGAAAACCTTTTTTATTCGTCATATTGAACACGTTGATTGACCTTTAAACAAAATCGGATCAAATTTACAGAGTTTTGGCCCAAAATAATCAGTTTGCTTAATATTCCCTGCTTTTCAGCAGTTCAGTTTTCTGACAGGATAAAAATACAGTAAATGGTTTCCATATCCTTGATTTAATAGGCATTTTTTCTAGACATTCCATGATTTGGGTCTTGGTCAAACTGTGGAAAATCAACAGTCAGTCACCTTCTCCAATATTTAGCTCTGAGACCTTTTGGATCAGTGTTGTTCAGAAAGTGGATTAGATACCTCATTAACATTAACCTACTATATAAAGTACCTTCTTACATGAAAACATAACTTTGGGGAAAAACACATAAAATGAGTTACTGCTAGATATTATTAATAAAAAACTAAATAATTGGCAATATGGATGATAACATTTAACATGACATACTAATTTCTTTAGGTCGGCATATTTGTATGTTTAAAATAATTTCTTTTTAGTCCACAGAGAAAGATGCAAACAAGAAAGGAAGAAAACCTGATACCAAGTTTCCTTTTAGAAATCAGAAGCTGGATGTGCTTGACTGTGTCTGTTTGCATATTCAGTCTCAGTCTGCTCATGTTTAACTGACTGTAAAATGTCAAATTAGTAAAGCATGGTTAGCAAAACAAAAAGTCCTGTGAATAAAAGAGATTAACACATCTCTGTTAATTAGAAGAGAAGAGATTAAACTAACTACTTTGTCGTGACACTCAATACCAGGAAAAGCACTAATGTGAGATAATCTAGTCAAACTTCTGATTTAATTCATAAGTGCAGCACAGTTTCCAGCCTCCATGTTGAACTCAGATCAGAGTTTTGGGCAGTTTTGTTCATTTTGTCTTATTGTACCCATTTATTTTCATGATGAAGAATGACCTACTGACTGCAGAAAATAAAACAGTTCCACTTTTTTTTTGGTTGATTTTTTTCATGTCAGAACTGCTTCTAAGATGCAAATGTGTGAAGTGAAACGTGGTTATTTTCTGAACAATTATTTAAAGTTCTGGCAGTTTCTGCATAGTTTCACAGACACAGGTGTGGTCCCCGAGGTACAGAGAGCAGGAAGAAGAGAGACCCAGGAGGGAAAGTCGAAACCTTCAGTTCATAACTGATAACAGGAGGTCAGAAGGTGATGATGTGTTGTTTTAGAAATCTGTTGTCTTCTTAAATGATTTAAAGTTTAAAAAATGCTCACCTTCAATCACTGCGACATTGTTACTAAAGTTTATACCAGTCAGCCTTGACTTCATTTAACCCGCAAAGATAAGGATTTTTTTCATCAACCCACCAAAACAACTCTGAACAGTGGTGTAGCAACAATAATGTTTTGGGAGGTATTACATGTAGAGTTGCTTTCTATGAGCAGCATTATTATTTTTAACAATATTTTATGAGTCTTTGATTGTTTAGTTCTCCACTAGGAGTGCCACATTCATCCAAAGTGGAAATATTAACATTTAGATCAATTTTGCATGCACTATTTTCAGCTGTGTCCAAAAACAGCTTGAATTCATGGAACACAAGACGTAGTAGATAAAGTCAGGGAATATGCTTCAACTGAGCTCAAATGCCAAAGTCAGATACACAATAATAAATCATGACGAGAAAGGGGTTTTCTGTCAGACCCAACTGCAAAAAACAGCAACAAGTTCATGTCACAACTGAATTTGTATCGGACTCAGAAACATATTTTGGCTAACTTTTGAAATAAGCATGGTTTTGGGGATGACGTTAGTAATGTTTTGACATGTGTTTTTCTTGAGGAAACATTGTTGTGTGTCTGGTTTGATCACATTTTCAGTGTTGCAGGTGTGGTCTCATGGTTGCAGGTAGATTGAGAAGTCATTCTCTGAAGACGATTTAGTATATTTTATTTGATAAAGTAGTTTCATTTACAACACTGATGCATCCTTTTCTTTTTTAAACAGGGAGCAAAAGTCGGTTGAAAACCTCCTCTGGGGATAATGTCAAGACAGGAAATGGCAAACTCTTTATGCTGACAGATGCTGACAGATGTGTTGCTGCTTTGAGGAAGTTTAATTTGGTCAGTTTCAGGTTTCTTGGTCTCTGATGCATAGAAAAAGGGGTTGGTGCGTGAAGTAGATTCTTAGAAGCACTTCCAAATTTACAAGAAATTTGTGGGAATTCATACATGATCACTAATAGCTATGTTGTATTTTATTTTACATGATAATTCATACATGATCACTTATAGCTATGCTGTATTTCATTTTACATGATAAAGCAAAATTGTTACATTTAGTCGTATTTATAAGAGAAAAAGGATGAAAAATAGAATGAATTCAATTTGACAGTATTTCAATCAGAAATTAAATGCAATTAAAATGACTATAAGTCATGTGGATGAGAGACTGATTTTAGAACCATGTCAAATTCACCGGATCTGACAAATTGTTTGAATAGACAATGTAAATAAATCTTGAACCTCATACAGAATTTCCTAATCTCAGACCATGAAAATGACTCCATATATAAATATAAATGAATTCCAAATGTCCTTCCAAACATACGCCAGATTTTCATTCTAAGAAAAGACAACGTCGTACAATCTGGGCTCGTCTTCATGATTCTTTACTGCTTCTTCATCTGCAAAACAAGAAAAGTATAATCACTGATAAGAAAGCCATACATACAAGCAACATTATTCTGGATATCATTTTACATTTTCATGCGGATCATTTTGAAAATGGCCAAAGACCTTTAAAAGTCCTGGTGTCAGTTACAAATTCTTATCTCATCATATGTTTGTAAAAGTTGTTGTTTTTTCATTTAATCAAGTTCTGTAATGATCATAAAAAGTCTGGGGTTTTTATACAGTAGCTGACAAAAAGTCTTACAACAATCAACTGAATTATCTTGTGATGTTTTTAGTTTTCAGACCAGCTGCAGTACATGAGAAATTACATCTGTTGTTTTATATAATTTATATCTACGTCTCAATAAAACTGTAACAAATACAGTCATGTTGATAAAATACGGGTTTTAGTTGTTTATCATACAAATATCACTATATAACCATTGACGATCAGTTCAGACTATGATTATTGGCATTTTTCTTTGGTATTGCTGAATGCATGCCTAGTTGTTTACCTGGACCAAGCTGAATATCATGTTATAGAACAGAGAGAATATGAAGAGAAATATGAAGGTGGAGGTGGTGAACCAGAGACTGGTGAAGTCATCCTCTTCAGTGGCATTGTCTGCGCTGTCCAAAACAAGCACCTGGGCAGACTCTGAAGGGGAATATGAGATGGTACAATACGGGTGACTTGATGGTATTTGATGGGCTTGAGATATTTGTGTTCCTACATGTGCGCAAACTTTTGTTAAGAATAATGAATTGGGACAGGGGAATGTAAGACGTAGCAATAGAATTCAGTATAAATGCAGACAAATGAGAAAAACAAAACAACAAGAATCTCCATGCAACATTTATTTTGTAATATTCAGCACATCCATCAAGGTGTTGTGACAACAGAAGGGAACACAGCACGACGGAAAAGAGCCTTTTGTACAACCACAAGGACTGATGACAACACAGAGCATACACAATTTCACAACACAAAATGTACTCACAAACAGAGTAACAAGGGCGCACATAGTCTACATTTAAAGCAACTTCAACATTCAAGTGAGTTACCATTGGCCTTGGACACTCCGACAGGTTCCATGCCTTCGTTACGACCAGCAATCCAGACGTTGCACTTGAATATTATTTTTTGGTTCCACCGTTTCTTTGTGGTATTATAAACACTTGTGACTGCATAGCCAGTTTCAGTCTTCTGGGGGGCAAAGGTGAAACCATAGTAATTTCCGATAGTCTCCCCGTTATCTTCTGACCAGGCGATGTAGTAATCCTGAAGCACTGGACTGGAGACCAGACACACAAGAGTGACGACATCTGTATCTTTTGGCCCAATGTCCTCCGCTCGAGGCGTATGAACCGTCACCGTTGGCTCCACATTTCCTGTAAGAGACACTGGGTTAACCTCATTCATGTGTTGAGTGTGAATAATATTAGAAATCAGAAATATGAAAAGATTTAGACCCAAACATTTAGTCATCTTAACTTAGTGACATACCTGTATGGACCGTCAGTTCTCGAGTAACTGGAATAGTGTGCTGTCTGACAGCTGAACAGCTCACTTTTTTGACTGAGTTCCAGTCAGTGACATTTCGAATTAGCGTGCTGGTTTTAGGATTTTTTCCTTCCACTGCAATGCTCTCTGTGACAGTCTTTCCATCAAGCTTCCAGATGATGTCGGTCTCTGACAGAATGTTGTCTTGTCCAGTAACAATACACTTCAGCTCCGCCAGCCGGTTGTTGAAAATTTCTTTGGGAGATGGAGGGCTTAAATCTAATGTGAAAGGAGCTACACAGGAAAAGACAGAGAACAAAAATAAAATGCAGGCTTCTGTATGCTCTGTTTCAACCAGATCCAACCAGTGAGATTTTTACCATCAAGTATTTAAAAATCTTGATTACACTGTACCTTTGGATGTCTTTTGTGTGTAAGTTTTTCCTTTATACGTCACTTCACAAGCGTAAACATTTTGAGCGTCCCAGTCTGTTTTGGAGATCTTCAGGACACTCACAGCTGAATAGGAATTTTTGTGTTTCACTGGTCCATATGTAAAGCTGCCAGTTTCTTGGACATCGTTCTTTTTCCAACTGACTGATGATTCTTCGTGGATGAACTCAAGGCTGCACACCAAAACCTGTCTGTCTTCACTCTGTTCTGATAGTAATTCTATCTTTGGAGGGATATTGTTGAAGATCTCTGCACATGCAGAAAGGAATAGCAAACATAAAATCTATTGCACATTTGATATTAGACACAAAATATGTCTAATTCTAATTTCTTCTGTCTGGGTATAGACATTGAAATACAATCTTATTTGAATGAACAAATACATACCTTTGACTATTTTATTCCCATCAGGCTGTGTGACAGAACAATTATAGAACATGGAATCAGATTTTGATACACTGATCACACTGACTCCTGTGAATTTGTTGTTGCTGTTACTCAGAGCTGAAATATATTGTTGAGAGGACACACTGTTCCCACTGGCATCGGTCCATGTGAATGTAGCACTCTTTGGAAAAAAGTCATGTGCCAAACAACCAAGAGTGATTTCATTTCCAGAGCCGGAGTCACATTGAATCAGCGGGAACAGAGTTGGTGCTGAAGTCGTTTCTGTGGAATAATAGATAGTTGGAGAATTTAAGGCTTCAAGTAAAAGGAAACCACAAATAAACATATTTATTCTAGAAATTAAAGATAAAATGGTGAAAGACAAGTTATGCTCTCACAAAAGAACATTGGAAGGATACTTTTAAGTACATGCCCTTGATTTGGTTCTTTTTTATTCTACATTGGGAAGAATTTCCACTGTGTTTTGACAGGGGGTTATTACACTTTTCATTTCACTGCATTTTTTAATCTTTTGCTGGAAACGTATGGAACAAATAACAATACAACTGTTGTAAAAAAATATCAAATACCCACACTGTTTACACACTTAAAACTGAAAGTGTTCAGCACTAATTGTAAAGTATTGTTAACAAATTAATTAATTTTTGTCAAGAATTTTCAGTAGTTTAGATTATTCTCTCTATTTACCAACCGTATGATCTGTACATTTTATGCACTTCAGGTTAAAATCAACCATGGCGTGTTAGAAGTGTTTTTTTTTAAACACATGAAAACATCTCATCATAAATATTTGATAAAGGCTTTTAAGCTGTACGAACCAAACCCGCTGTGTCTCCAAGAAACTTTGTGTCACTGTGACAGACTTTTTTTTCAAGAAAAAGTCAAAGTTACATTTCTTAAAAGTGATTAATATTGGATTTTCTTTATAAGAAAACAACTCAAATGGTAAACTTCAGATATTTAAGTTATAATGTTCTTTTTTTACAGGAATCTATTTTACCTCTAGGTTTATTTCACACAGATATACTTTCTGTTTTCCTATTTTATTACACCAAGATGCTTTTTAATACTTTTGATTCAATAATAATGTAAAAATATTACATATTTATATTTATTCAATTTAAATCTATTTTAAGAAATGTGACTTTTGCTTTTTCTTGAATATACTAAGTAATATTTTTAGTCCTGGTTAGACTGATACAAAGAAAAGTTTTAAAGATTTTTTATTTAACTAAAGAATTAAAGAACTTCCTCAATCACTTAGTGATTTATTAAACACTACATTAATTCTAATAGAAAAGCCAGAGTTCAGCTTCTTAAGTTCATAACTTGAGTTTGAAAAACAGATTTTCCATAATGTAACGACCAAAGGATTAATTTATTGCAGAAGCTGGTTTAGTCAGTGTGGCTAAAAAAGTCTGAATGAGTAAACAATCATTTAAAATCTCAATAACTATGACGTTATCACATTTGTGTGATAACTGTGTATACGATAATAGTAATGCATTCAAATAAGGAGCTTATCTTCTGAGAACTAAAAATTGATAATCCAACATACATTTTATGAAAATCAAGATGCTGAATTCTGTTATGTTTAAGTAAAGTGGAACTTTTGCTGTGTCACCTATGACATATAAAACCTGACTATTTAACTTCAATTGAATTTTACTGTTGAATGACATAAATAATTATTTTCTAACTAATCAATGCAATTATAAAAGGTTTATAATTGAGCTCATTTAATTTTTCACAACCAAAGAGATGGTCATTTGTTTCTCTATAACTTTACAATTATCTTAAAATCATCAAAAGATCCAACATTGAATCTCTAGAGTTTTTACAATATTTTAATGTTTTTATAAAACAGCAACTTGGGCAGTTTAATATCACACCTCCAGCCATAAAAATGTCAGTATTTCTCTGAAACTAACAACTATCAATAAATCTTTTTTTCTTAAAATAAATACAGAAAACTCTTTGAATATTTTGTAGAAATGGGACTTACCTGAAGAAACTGTGACTTCGGTCCCACTGCCCCAGTAGTCAAAAGCATCACAGTGCTGCAGTTCCACTGACTGATGGAACAAAAACCTGAGGGGTCAGTAAAACTCAGGAAATGTGCTGCATAGTGAAACAGGGGGGGGGTCTGTTCATCTGTTAATATTTGTGAAAAGATTATACAACTTTTCACTCACTATGATTATAAGCTACAAATTAGGTAGATTTTAAATAACATTGTATCTGCTGGTGGACTGATGTGTTTCTATTATCTATCCATAAGAAATGCTGCCGGCTCACATAGAAAATAAATAAGAAAAATAAAAATTACCCACCAATATTCAGTTGAATGGAACTTTATCTCAATCTAAATTATTTATCTTTTTGTCTTAATGAATATTTTTTTTATTTTAGCTGTAGTTTAGATCATGTATTGTTTTCTTAAGCTGGCCTTTTATACATTTTGAAGACACATGGGCAGTAGTGAAAACACTATTAAAATACTACTAAATTTCTTACATTTAGGGAAATCGTAACAAAAAAAGAGTACAATTAAGTGTGAACCAGGGAAGATGGAATGTGCATTTCTTTGCAGGCTTTTGAACCAGTCCAAGCTTTCAGCCATGTCATGGCTGTATACTCCCAGATATGATGCCTTATTGTTTTGTTGTGGGTCATATTTGGTTAGTGTTATGAATAATTTACCACCAAGATCAGTTCTACAATTTTCATGTAATTATTGTGATGAGAAACTAGACAATGCATATTTATAATGTGTCCAACAGCTGTTAAGGTCTATGTGTTTGTTGTCTCAGATTTTTGGAGGTTGAACACATTTAGAGAGAGTGGTTTATCTCGAGGAATTTCATTTTGTGGCCAGTCAAAGTTTCACTGGTGCAGGTGTGGTCTCAGAGGTACAGACCGAGTGGGAAGTGGTTCTTAGACGCTCAATTTTTAGAAACACCAGGAGACCGAAAGCCTGTGGAGTTTTTCCAAGACAAATCATATATGTTCTTGTTTCTGCATTTAGCAGAGGCTTTTATCCAAAGCTACTTACAAGGGAGATGCATTACAGTTTGCACCAACCTAACAATAAGCTACATAGAAGGAAATAACTAGACAGACTCTGTTAGAGGCATCAGTGGTGACAGTGTAGAGATAGCAGGAGAGGGAGATACAGAAAGAGTAGGAGAGATGGTGGGAAGGTACAGGGTAAGAGTTAGGGCAGGAGATGCTGTCTGAAGAGCTGGCTTTTTAAATTATAAACCAGGTTTTCTTTATTAAACAGACAGAGCTGACAGAGCTTTAAAACCTCTGACCCAGTTACCTAAAGAATGACGAGGGGCTTTTTTGACATCAGAGAAATGTTACCAAAGCAGAATGTTCAGGCTTTCTGTCTCTTTGAGATAAGATGTCGTTACAGCCACAGTTATTTTACAATGACATGAGAGTTTGACTCAACAGTCACAATTTAAAAAAGGCAACTACTACTCAAACCTAATAAAACAATGAGCTATAATAAAATAAAGAGTATATTTTTGGGGTGAAACTTTACTGACCATCTGCAAAAGGAACCAATGTAAAATCGTCTTCTACAAGGCCCCTTAGAATTCTCTCATTTGTCTTCATGGAACTTTCTTTGTGCACTGATGAAGTCATGTTGGAAGAAGCGGCCATCTCCAAAGAGTCCCAATCATGTTGAGGTCCAGTCATAATCGATCATTTTAGATACACTGTGTCATCATTTTGATTCAAATTAATTTTCTGTATTTGATTTACTGTCTGACTCTATTCATTCTAAGGTTTGGGATTTTTGGAATATGATGTGGGTTTACATACGAAACAAGACAAATAAAAAAGGAATACAACTGATCAAAATAAATGTCACAGAGTAAAACAGAGGTAAGTCTTTCCAAGTTTTTCCAAGTTACAACAGAGTTTAAGAATAACTCTCCACAGGTTCCACAAAAACGTTTTGATACCATGGTGCCTCATTAAGACGTATTATTTGAGTCATTCAGGTTACAGTAGTCATAAACCTGCAGTAAGGACTTTTTGGTCTTGATTAATGAAGACATTTGACCTCTCAGTTTAGTTCTCCAACTAACACTTTTCTTTTTACCTGTCTTGTCAAACGTGTGCTGTTACAAGATGTTAAAGACAGGAGCTGGAGCTGTGACATCTGAGGCCACCTCTTTGGTTCATCTAACTTTGTCTATGAACACATGATGTTGGATTTTCTATTATTTGTCATCCGTCACCATTTCATGCCTTTGCTGTAGACAGTAAATTCTTGAATATATGCTTTCTTGGCTTGTCACGCATCACCTTCTTGTTTGCCGCTTTAAACGTTTTGTTCTTTGTGCCAGCTGCTTCCTGAATTTTTTGTACGTGTCTTTTCTATTTTTTGCTCATTATCTTGCAAAATATATGTCCTGTCTCTTCAACTGTAATTAAACAAAAAAAAAAGTTTTTGTTTATTTCTGAAATTTTCCTTCAAATGTGTTGCTTTAGCTTTGCAATTATGAGAGCAATTAATTACGTAAATAATTTCATGCTTGGGAAATAACACAAAACTAAAGTAACATTATACATTTTGCTTCTTTTTTTTTACCGTCATTTCAAAAAAGGTTTATTTTTGAGAGAAATTTAATTAACACTATATGAAAAGACTTTAGAATATTAAAAAATCCCCCACAAATGATTTCTTTCATAGAAGGCAGTCGTGTGTTTGCTCTTGGGTTTTTGTACGGGTGTTTATCACTGTGGCCCACCCATAAATAACACCATGAGAAAGACTCATACAAAAACTGAACACAGCTTGCAGTCTATGGGGGAGAAAGACGAATTATGTCACCACCAGAGAGCAAGAGTCCAGCAACATTTCAATTTGAAACAAAAAGCAGGGCCTCAGAGACTATGAAATATTTATTTGATCTGATCAGTTTATAGACCATAAATTTACTAATTATGATGGATGATTATCCAATGTCCGCTCGTTTTATTTAAGAAAAAAATTACTTGCTTAAATTTAGGATTTGAAATGTTAGTATATATCAAACAAATGAATAAAAATAAATGCAATGAAGATAGATTAAGTAACAAAAAAGAGTGATCTGCTTTTCATTAAAGAGAAACAAAATATCAAGCCAATTTTAACTGTTTCTGAACATTTTCAGAGCAGTAATCTCATTAAAACTTTCAGTTTAAAACAATGCATGCTTTGATTAAAATTGTTTGACTGAATTGTACAAAAGAACTGTTGTGTTACAGTATTCATTGAACAAAAAATATTTAAAAAAACTCTAATACTTATGTACATTTTAGATTTTTCATCGTGTGAGCTGTTATTCCTTTTTGGATATTAGATTTATAACTAATAGGCTAACTTTTAGATATAAGTTTATGAATTTGTATTGGTAAACAGTAACTGCATCACTACATACAATCAAATGCAATTATTAGTCTCTATCCACAACATTTTGGAATCAATTATGGTTGGTAGGTTTTTGTATGGGTGTTTTCCTCAGTGGGCCCCAGCCCATCACAGTAACAAACCCTTCAACAAAAACTAGACACAGTTTACTGCAGACGTTCGGTGATCTTTAACAGCCACAGAGGGTAAAGCAAAACTCTTGTCATAAGCAGAACTACAATTAACATAACAACAATTTTTTAAAAGATATTTTCAACAAGTCATCATTCAAGAAATATGGACTCTAATGAGATTGTTTCTCTCATTTTTGATCAGCCATTCATAAAAACCTAAACAGCTGCATTAATTAAATGTCACATCAATCAAAAGTCAACAATCAGTATATGATTGATATTATAGATATAAAAACATGAGCAGGATTATGTTTCAGTATAAATAAAAATGTATTGATGTAAGATATCTGATCTATGTCAAAAACAGTACATTGTATTAAGATTCGTGCAGATACTGGCACATGAAATATTTTGGCTTTGCAATTAATCTCAAACCAACAACCAAATAAATGTTAATGATGTCACTGTTAATTTTCAGTTATGCAGCAGAAAACTTTGTATGTGTTCTATTTTTTATGTGAGGTGACAGCGGGGGAAGACTGATGTGAAAGACATAACCACAGGGCAGAGTGTTTGTGCACAGAAAAAGAGGTGAGGGATTGTGACAAAGAATGAAAAACAGTTATATACATGTCATCACATATAAATTTGCTTTCATGTGTTGTGAAAACTCAGAGGATACCAAGAGCACATGACCACTTGTTTTTGTACAGCTCCTCAGCTGTTTCAGTCACAGTGCTCATTCGAGCACAGAAGTAAACAGCAGAATCTTCTGCTGTCAGACTCCTGATCTCCAGGTACTGAGTGCTGCTGGGCACATTCTCAGTCATGTGAAAACGGCTTTGAAAGGAACTGGCATAGCTAGCAGAGTTTGAACCCATGTTCATCCATCCAATCCACTCCAGAGCTCTCCCTGGTCTCTGTCGTATCCAGTGGAGGTAGTAGCTTGTCATGTCAAACCCAGAAATGACACAGGACATCTTCACAGTTTCTCCGGGTCTTTTCACCTCAGATGCCGACTGGTCCAGTTTGATTTCACTCAAGACTCCTGAAAGAAAACAGATTATTATCAAATTTGTGGGAAAAAAAAGTTAAACAACCTGACAACATAATATTTGCTCACCGTGTATGGAGAGAACGAACAATAAACTCCATATTATTTCTTTATCCATTCTGTGAAAAAGTTCTACCAAACTATTAAAAACTAGTAGCTGATAGTTTCAGCGTTCTGCCGTAAACTGTGTGGTCTTGGACCATGGTTCCTTTATAAAGATGGAGATTTGCATGGACCTCCCTCAACAAAGACAATGTGTTGATGTAAAAAAAACAAGAAGCAAAAGAAATTCTAATCTATTTGAGCTTTATCTTTACAAAATGACAGAAAATAAAGTACAGTATTATTTTTAAACTAAAGTATAAAATAATTTCTACTGAGTTTTCAACATGAAATTCCATCCATTTCCATCTGTAAAAGGACATTATTTCATCCAAGACATAATTAAAAGAAAAACTTTGGCAACTTGAACTTTTTAAAAAGGTCTTATGAATTGTCTATATTTCTATAAAGATGAAGAGTCAGATGTGAACAAACCAGTGATTAAAAGTCCGGAACGAGTTCAGGAAAACTTTTAATTTCTTCTCTGCCTTAACAAAAAAAAAATAATGTTTGCAGCAAAGAAAAGAAAGATTTAGCTTTTGTTGCAGATTTATCATTTCAAAAAATTGTTTTTTCATATAATTTGAAAGCTGAAATAAGGATATAGTTTACAAAAAGACTTTTTAAATATGTTAATAGATAAATTCATAATTTAGTCATAAATATTTAAGTGACCATATTTGGTTATGGCTTACGTAATTCTATCAGTCTGGTCAAGCCATAGTTTTTTTTTTTTTTAATGAAAAAAAAAACTCATTTTAATTTATTTCTTTGAAGTCAAGTATTTCTTCTAAACCAGGTGCAAAGAACAAGGCCAAATTGGTATTAGTCTTAATAATCATAAGATAGATAATAAGGTCATAAAATGAGCACAAAATCATGCGAGGATCAACAGAATACTGAAAACAACTCTCATTAAGTAGTTTACCAGGATGTCTGACTACACATGAGTCAGAGTCTGGCTGCAAACACCTGAGAGAGACACTCAAACAGAGCAGAGATATGACATTCACCAGAAACAGTTGAGAGCAGGAGAAATGTGACACATCCAGTTAAAGTCATTGTGGAAATGTGCTGTCTGTCCGTCTGTCTGTCTGGTGGTTTGTTCAAGTGAGTTAAATCCAGATGGTGAGGCAAAAAAATTGTTTAGACTCCTCCCCATACAAATTCCAACAAAAAAAGTATGACAACGATCTTTATCAATAGAAAGGATTTTCACATCTTAGTTACAGTTTTGATAGATAATAGATAAAAAATAATGCGGCTCATTAAAAAATCCATCTTACAATGACATCTAATGTCTTGACTAAATTACATTTTAGTCATATTTACATGATTGCATCTGGCTGTATTTCACTGGCCTCTCAGTATTTGTACAGGTATATGGTGTTTTGTGTCACTGTGGCTCAATATAACGTGCACAGTAATAAACAGCTGTGTCCTCAGGCTGCACATTCTGTCCTGTTATTGTCACAGTTCCTGCAGAAGTGTCTCTGCTGCCACTGAACTTGTTCTTTAGGGCATTATTTTGGGCTAGGCTTCCACCAGACCACATTGTAAAAATCCACTCCATTGCTCTTCCTTCACGCTGTCTGATCCAAGCTGTTCCATATCTGCTATCAGTCAAAGAATAACCAGAGACCCGACAGGTGATGGTCAACGTCTGTCCAGGCTGAACAAGCTTTGATTCTGGCTGGATGAGGTCAATACTGTACACACCTGTGGAAAGACAAATCAACACAATCTCCATCATTCATGTGAATATTCAGAGTTTCTAATGTGATTATTAGTGTGAATCCACTGAAAACTCCTCACAGGATGCAGCTGCCAGCAGCAGAATCAGAGCTGCAGAGAACATGGTTGATGCTGAAGCTGAACTGATGTGAGTTCTGCTGCCCTCCCTCTGACACACTGACACTCACTTCCTTTTAAGTTACCTTTATTTGCATGACATTTTCCAATTGACCATATATTTTGCATAAAATAGCTTATTTTTCAATTCAAAGTACCTCGGATTTTGAGGTTAAACTGATCCAAAATGACATAACTGTGCTCTCAACATTTCTTTTAAATCTTACAAAATTGAATAATATTTTAGAATAAAGACTGAGAAACTAATTTGACAAGTTTTCATTCTGTGAACATTTAACTGTTAGAAAAGCTGCTGCATTACTAAAATATAAAACTCGTTTCAATCACACAATAAGGATAAAGGACAGAACTTTAAATATATATAGAGATTATTAGTGGTAAATGCTAAAGTATCTTTTGTATAATTAACACAATAAGTCCATGAAAAGCCTGGTGGACACCTGTGGTGTGTGTGTGTGGGTGTGATTCAACTCCTGATTCAGAGTTGACAGAGTTTCAAAGCAAAAATAGCGGTTACAAAGATAAATAATTTTAGTGATAATGCAACTCTAATAAGAATTCGAACTCTGCCTGAAAATCGTCATATCTAAAGAAGATAAACTTTTTGATTGGATGTTCAGCTTCTGAGGGGCATTTTTACAAATCTGTGTTGACGCGTGTCTTTTTTTTTAATCTTTGAGCAGCTTGTGAGGAGAAGATAGATGCCAAAGTGGTGTAAGTGTACCCACGTTACTGGTGTGATGGCTCCTCCTGCTGACTTGTGTTACATGTGGAATTTATTTCTGATGGATTTTGAACAGCGACTCTGTTAGATTGAGTCACTGTGAGTGTCTAGCACAATAATAAACAGCAGAGTCTTCAGGTTTCAGACTGTTCATCTGCAGAAACAGCTGCTCTCTGCCATTGTCTCTGGAGACAGTAAACCGGCCTTGAACTGACTGAGCGTAGTATTGGCCACTGCTAAGAGCTTCAGTAGCAACCCACTCCAGCCCTTTTCCAGGAGCCTGTCTGACCCAGCCCATCCAATAGCTGCTAAAGGACAGTCCAGAGGTTGTGCAGGTCAATCTATGAGATTCTCCTGGATTTTTAACCACTGGGTCAGATTGGGTCAGAGTCTGACCATCAACACCTGTAAATGCAAGGGGAAAAACATCACAGGGTGTAAACGGTAAGCTTTCAGTAGCTTAAATGAAAATGATTTAGATTAGTGATAATCTTCACCTGCCCAGCAGAGAGTTAAAAGCAGCAGCTGTGTCCTGTAACTCCACATGTTGAACTCTGAGTCCACTCATGTGTCAGAGACGCTCCTGTCACATAAGTAGAGATGGAAGACAGCTCAAATTTGCATTGACTCCACCTAATATTGAATGAAAGATGATGGGATTTTAGCTCTGGTTTGGTGAGGTTTCTAAACTTTAAAACATAAAACTTTAATTCAGATATTCATATCTTGAAATACTTTATTAGATGTTTTGCTACTAAATAACAGCCTAATTAATCAACATGTTTTATTGCACACACTAAACTGCGTGTTGAATAAGAGTACTTAATCTTGCAATTTAGAAGAAGGTTTATTTCATATGATAAATGTAAGGACCTTTTTGGCTTTGATCATCATAGCTTTTATCAGAAATACAAAAGGATTCCAAAGAAATGTGCAAAAACATACAGACTGAAAATGAAATCAAAAGGATATTGTTATTAATTTCTAACAGATCAGAAACTAACTGGTTTTACATATTACACATTTACGATTCCTGTAGCTGGGATTTTGTTCAGGTATGTTGGTGGTTTTTGTCACTGTGGGTCTACGTGCACAGAAATAAACAGCTGTGTCCTCAGGCTGCACATTCTGTCCTGTTATTGTCACAGTTTCTGCAGACATGTCTCTGCTGTTATTTGCATATTGCTAAATACATTTTTACTGATTCAAATGTAGTTCATGGCCCTGCGATGGACTGGCGTACTGTCCAGGGTGTACCCCGTCTCTCGCCCATTGACCACTGGGAGAGGCTCCATTTCTTCCCCCATCCGACCCCATTAAGGAATAAGCGGTAACAATAATGGATGGATGATGTAGTTCATCACAATTTGACTCCATCAAAAGTTAAAATGTTCAGTATGACATAAATAAGAGAAAAATTAATATCTAAAATTATATTTAGTGTCTCTGGAATACTGCTATACAGAGATTTATTTTTAGAAACTCAATTAATTGATTAATGGAACAAATAAATGTAATATAATAAAACATTCTTGGTGGTGTTTAAAAAAAATGTTGTTAGCCTTTTTTCATGTGTTGAAGTTGTTCTTCAGTGAAAATTCCAAGCTTTTTTACCTGACTCTGTTTACTGCAAACTGTGAAAAAGGTAAAGTTGAAAGAAAAATATAATTTAGTTTGGCTCTTGGATTTTCTACGGGATTGTAGTTTTTTTCTGAATTGTTTGTCTTGAGGTCACTCTCTTAAAATTTCTTAATGAAGTTACACATCGACATTTTGGAAACTATATCCTCTGTTAGCTCTGTAGGATTTTGTACAGCCGCACAAATGATTTTATTCACTGTGGTGCCGAGCACAATAATAAACAGCAGAATCTTCAGTCTTCAGACTGTTCATCTGCAGATACAGCTGCTGTTTGCTGTTGTCTCTGGAGATGGTGAACCGGCCCTGAACTGACTGAGAGTAGTAGATTCTATCACTGTCATATTCAATAGTTGCAAGCCACTCCAGCCCTTTTCCAGGAGCCTGTCTGACCCAGGCCATCCAGGAGCTGCTAAATGAGAATCCAGAGGCTGTACAGGTCAGTGTGTGAGAGCTTCCGGGGCTTTTAACCACTGGTTCAGATTCTGTCAGAGTCTGACCATCAACGCCTATAAAACCAAAGACAAGATACACTTCCTGTTAACAACTTTAAAAGAAAAAAGTATAAGAATATTTTAAAAAGATTAAAACTTAAAATGAATAAAGTATTCTGTTGAATTAAACTGCTAAACAAAATTTCAGTGAAACTCTTTACCTGCACACCAGATAGTTATAATCAGTAATCCTATTTTACCGTCCATGCTGGTAAACTACAGTTTGTGTCCACTGTTCTGTGTCTTTCTGCATACAGCTGCTTAGATAAAGATCAAGATTTCCATAAACTCCTCCCCAAGGGAGGAGAAAGCTAAAATTTAGAAGATTCAGTTTCAAATTTATCAACAATTTTCCTTTGAATCAGTGAAATGAAAATGCATTGACAGAATTTTTTATTCCCAAAGAAGAATTGTGATGGAACATTTTTCACTTAAGCTTTATGTTTGTAGCCCACACACTTTTTATTGTTGCGTCTTTTTTTATTTCTGTCTGCTTTATCCTCATTAGGTTGATCGTTTTCATAAACTATAGTTTTAAAAAGAGTAAAAGTGATCATTCAACATATTTCAACTGAAAACCCAACAGACACTGTTTTTGGTAGCATTTATAATATTTTTGGATAAGTCAGAATTATTTGGAAGTGTGTTTGTGGTTTTCTGCGGTAGCAAAAATTCAGGGTTTTTTTTCATATTAACATGTTTGCTGTACACGAAGACATGGTTATTTTCACCCCTGATTGGATGATGGTAATCAAAAGGTTTACAGGCTGTTTGGACAAAGGAAGGAAAAGAGCCTGTTAGATGAGTCTCTAGATCTAAAAACACCTAGGTCTGCCCTTCAGCACCTCCTAAAGAGCACCTACAAGATGGATAACTCAAAGCTAGTCATGTTATCTTTTTGGAAGACAAACATTTTTCTACTGAACAATTACATGACTGTTTCTTACTGCAGAGTCAGCATCTCATTCCTAAATGAACTGTCAGTCATCAAAGGTGAGAATAAAGATGCAAATAGTTTCTTCTCCAGCAACCGGAGAAGATGTTTCTGGTCTTAGAGTGCCACCTGTGGTTCCTTCATGTAAGAAGAAAAGAAATAGTCGAATGTAGAGTTCATGTACAGATCTGTTATTCTGCCATAGCAGTGTCCACAGGCACCACATCTCAAATCTACACCGATCATATTTTTTCATTTCTGTTCACCATTGCCGGAAGAAATAATTGCCAGGTCACAAAAATACATATGGAGAATAGAAATACAAATCTAATCCAAATTATCCAAACTGACAGTAACTCTGCTGAGTCTTGTAAAGTATTCATAAATGTCTCATTCAGATAGAATTATAGTTCATGCATGAAAACAAGATTCAATTTATTTTAATTGAACTATTTTTGCAGGAATGCTGTCCATGGAGATCAGATTATTGTTTTCTTAAACATTGTAGGGATATATGATGCTTGGGTGGCTTTGCTAAAGGCTGCTGGAAGTACAGGAAGTCGTTTTTGTAGGGCCCTGCTATTTGTGTCTTTTACTGTGTCTCTCCGTGCACAGTAATACAGCGCTGTGTCCTCAGTTATCAAACTGTTCATCTGTAGATAGACTTTACTGTTGGAGTCATCTCTGGATATGGTGAATCGACCCTGAACAGACTGGGAGTAATAGATAGGGTTACTAGATGTGCTTATGTAAGCAATCCACTCCAGTCCTTTTCCAGGAGCCTGTCTGATCCAGGCCAGACGATAGCTGCTGAACGTGAAACCAGAGCCTGTACAGCTCAGTTTATGGGATTCCCCCGGTCTTTTAACAGCTGGGCCAGACTCTGTCAGACTCTGGCCATTAATACCTGGGGAAAAAAATTGAAAAGGAGTTAATTTCTTGTACAAATACAAACTGTGTCAAGTTGACATCAGAAAATCTTCACCTGTACAGAGGAGAACTAAAATCAGCAGTTCTGTCCTGCAGTCCATGATGTTTATGTGTGTGTGTCTGCTCTGTGTGGTCCTGTGACAGAGCTGGGGGTGTCCGTGTTTTATATTACCTCTTCATGACAGGAAACCATGACATTTGCATTTCTGTCTCTTTGCATCAAACAGGAGTGCCAGAACACTTGCTGCTTATGTTAAAAACAAATCACTTCTCAGAGGATCAATTCACGTTTTTAGATTTAAAAAAATGGAAACACAGTATTTTATTATATTTGCTTGGAAAAGCTTGTTTTAGTCAAACAAAAAAAACCTAATAAATATGGAGACATTTAACTGTGAGGTGCTTTTTAACATATATTCATGTTCTGAATTTCATTTTGAGGGTGGCACGGTGGTGTGGTGGTTAGCACCATGGCCTCACAGCAAGAGGGTTCTGGGCTTGAGCCCCTGGGGGAACCAGGACCAGTGACCCCATTATGGAATAAATGGTTACGATGATGGATGAATTTCATTTGAATTGTTTTGCTGGAAAAGTATATGGAAGTGCAAAACTTATGCTCAATGGTACCTTTTTACAGTGGGGTGTTTCCGGCCCTTTCCCTGCAGACAGATTATTTCCATCTATGATCAATTTGCACAAAGAGTAATGGATGCGATAGATGATCGATGAGAGGATCTTCTCCAGTCTTCACAGTTACGGCTCTTGTAAATGTTTGCCAGCAGTTCTAGAATGGGCATAAACCTGACGAGTATGCTTTTATTTATCTCAAATAGTGTTAGCAAAACTTGTTCTTGAAATTCATTTTGAGCAGAACAAACATCATTTCCACCATTAGAGTATCTGATACTTTTCAGTCCTTTCCATGATATTTCCTTGACTAATCATGATATCAGATAATTAAATTCTCCCTGAAGAACCCTGAAAATCTGAAATTAGACGAACGTAAAATGTTGTATAGAAATAACATGGTGTAATGCCACTCCAACTACGAAACATTCTTTGAAAGAAATATGTAGATATTTCTAGATATAAAGTTTTTTTCCCCCCATTAGGATAAAGAGGAACATTTTATGCAAACAGTTGGTTGGTATATTGGTTCAATACTGCTGGATTTTGTACAGCTGTTTATCCAGATTCAGTCACAGTGGTGCCGAGCACAGTAATAAACAGCAGAATCTTCAGTCTTCAGACTGTTCATCTGCAGATACAGCTGCTCTCTGCTGTTTTCTCTGGAGATGATGAACCGGCCCTGCACTGACTGAGAGTAGTATTGCCTACTGCCATCAGTAGTAATAGTTGAAACCCACTCCAGCCCTTTTCCAGGAGCCTGTCTGACCCAGTTCATCCAGGAATGGCTGAACAAGAGGTCAGACACTGTGCAGGTCAGTGTGTGAGATCCTCCAGCATTTTTGACCACTGGTTCAGATTGTGTCAGAGTCTGACCGTCAACACCTGTTCGATCAGAGACAACGGAACATCTGTTAAATTTTTAACTGAATGACAAATTCAACTCACTGAGGGTAAAATTCTACCTGCAAAGAAAAAGGTTACAAGGAGTGCCGCTGTCATGTAGCCCATCTTCTTTTCCTGTGTATCCACTGTTCAGCTATCAGGTCCACAGACACATTAGTAGAGATGAAAGACAGCCATGTTTTGCATTGACTCCTCCTCACAGGAAAGACGGAGATGATTGACAAGTGATCATTTCCTACCATCTGTTTTTTATAACCTATCAATTTCTCATTTATTTATAAGAAATATGTCATTAATGTCTCGTTCAAGAGTTGAGTTGTTCCCTAAGGTTATATTCTTAATGATATTTTATTGCCTCCTTTCATTTTGTTAATTGCTTTTACTTAATAAAAATACAGGATACATACATGAACATAGCACAACAGAATTACACTGATTGTCAACAGCTGCACTTTGTCAGGGTTCTATATCAATTCATACACAGATATTGTTCAAGCTTAAGAATTGTTTTTTGAAAAACCCAAATGACTTGGATATGAAAAACCCACATGACTTGGCTATTACTAAATAAAGGATGGAAGCTGACTCAGTATGGAAGCTGACTCAAAAGAACAACAACCAAACTTTCCATCTCAAAATTACTTTGCCTTTTTGCAATTGTTGACGTGGACCATCATCAGCTCTGATCTTCACTGGATGATGTAAAAGAAATATATATTCACTGTGAGTAAAACTGATTTACATACAACTGAATTGAATTTTTTGACTGAAATGTTGTACTTCATAGAATAATGAGATTACATAAGAAAAAAGAGTAGAATTGACTTTGTAGAGTGATGCTGGTTCAGAGCAGCACATGTTTTTGAAGAATGACAAGCTGCACTTCCTCACACAGAGAACTTTGTTATTAAGTTTTTGCACAGCACTGCTGGTTTTTGTGTCACTGTGACTCTCGTGCACAATAATAAACTGCAGAGTCGTCTTGTCTGAGACTCTTCACCATCAAATAAAGAACATTCTGGGAAGTGTCTTTGGTGATGGTAAACTGCCCTTGGAGACTTTGTGCAAATATTGTGCCCGTTCCATCATCAATGCGTCCAATCCATTCCAGCCCTTTTCCTGGTTTCTGACGAATCCAGTGCAGCCAAGCAAGCGAAAGTCCCTGTACTTTACAGGACAGAGTGACTGATTCTCCTGGTCTGCGGACCACAGGCTCAGAGGAGGTGAGGGACTGACCCTGAACAGCTGAAAGAAAACAGAGTTTAAACGTCAGCAGATGTTAGACGATCTTTTTCTTTTCATTTGTTCGACATACACTCCACTCACCTAAAATAAGGGTCAGGAGGAGAACACTTTGTAGAACGTTCATCGTGACAACTGAGTTTGTTCCTTCTGAGGCTTATCTGAAGGAGAGATATTGTCCAGCAGAGTGGGTGGAGTTTGTGGATTTGCATGCAGTTAAATGACTGTATAAATGTTTATGGAGACAAAAACGTATTCTACAGAAAAAAGAAGCCGGAATGAAGGGGAGAGGATTTTTTCCAGTTAGAAAAAAATTATGGAATAGTGACAAAGTTGAAAAGAAAGAAACATAAATGAAATCATAAATATCAATCATTTTGGCTAAAATTAGGGCGACAACAGTTTAAAAGGGAATTTATTCATGACACCAAATTTATTTGTGTGATGTGAGTAAATTATATTTTACTGCTCTATTCAATCATTTAATTGATTGATATGTTAATATTATTGTTGATCTCTTTTTCAAAATGAAAGGTAAATATGAACATGGAACTAATGGTTGAACATAAATAAATCATGTGAAGTTGATGAGAAAACAGTAATAATTTGATTATTTTTTATTTGAGTGTATATAGTCTGAAATTATGAAAATTCATATGTGAATCTTGTTATCACTTTAGTTATTTATGTTGTGTTTATTGTTGAATAAATAGATTTATTAATGTATTGCATTATCTGTTATTACCACCCTGGAATTTTACAAATTAGTATTCTAGCCTGTCTTTGTTGATGATTGTCATCTGGTTTAGTCTACTGCTCTATCTTGAACAGCAGATCATCAATATAAAGTTGACACTAATGTTAATTTGACTTGTTTTTGTTTCTTTGAACTTGGCTCAAACTAAAGCTCTTTTTTGTCCCCATGTAGAAGAGTTGTTTTCTCCACTTTTACTGAAGAATATTTCAGATGAACCAACAATTATTTTAATTTATTTTGTGTTGCCGCTGAACTCAACTGAAAATCAGTCAGACTCTCACAAATACCTTTGTTTGTCCATGGGAAACTTACTTAAATACAATGAGCAGCTAACTGTGAGACTAAGAACTGACATTATTGAACTACAGGCTTCTACTCTGGTTTGATGTTGTTAGTGTTCAGGCTCAGAGGAGTTTTTGTTCAGGTCTCCTGATGGTTTGTGTTACTGTGGGGCTTCTCTGGCACAGTAATACACAGCAGAGTCTTCAGGCTGCATATTCCGTCCACTCAAAGTGACTGTGCTGCTGGAAGAGTCTAAGCTGACACTAAACTTGTTCTTCAGTGAATCTTTGACACTTGAGTCTCTACTCATCCATTCCAATCCTTTTCCTGCAGGCTGTCTGATCCAAGCTGTCCAGTAGCTCAGAGAATAAGACACCTGACAGTTGATGGTCAGACTCTGACCTGGCTGTACAGTCACAGAGGCTGGCTGTGTCAGCTGTTCACACCTCACACCTATAAAAAAAAAAAACATCTTGTATTATAGTTAACCAAATCGTTAGCAAACAAAGATCTGCTTATCGAGACAAATGTGAAGTGACCTACTGGATCCAGCTGCAAACAGCAGCATCAGAGAGACGGAAAACATGATTTGTGTTCAAGTTGATGGAGTGAGAGTCTGAATCTCTTTAACTATACAGCCAGTGACTCCTTTTCATATGTGTAACCAGAAACCCACAGAGTTTGCATGTACACTTCAAAGGGGGTCTTCATTTGAATGGGATTTTTTAAAATTCAAATTGAGAAACAAAAAAAGACTGTAACCAAAGGTATGAGCGCTTTCTAATATAATCTTTAAAAAATCAACAGCTCCTTTATCAAATTATAATCATTTTTTAACATAAATCAAAGGGTATTTGGTTCCTGTCAGCTCCATTTTTCTCATGTCATCTTTGAACACATTAAAACAGCATGAGTTCAATATTTCTTCATGTCAAGTTCCTTAAAAGAGTTTAAAATTCCAGGCTTGTTCTGTGTTTGATACCACAGACATGCAGTGAAATGGAATTAGGAACTGAAATTGCTATTGTTATTAATTGTTACTAATAAGGCTCTAAAAATAGCCTTACAAACTAAACAAGTAAAACAGCTTCCATACAATTTTTAAACAAAAAAAAAACATTAGGAACAATAGTAGTATGATTATAAACAAGTCAAACAAGCGATATAGAGAAGCCTCATTGTGGTCAAAATTAGATGACTAAACCTTACTAAATAGACTAAAACTAAATTATATAGCAAATAAAGATCATTTTGATAGAAACATGATCAACATTAATTCTGTAAATTATGGATTATGTTCCTTTTACAGGCTGCAGTCTTGAAATTATTTGTGGTGTGAGAACTCCTCCTCTGGTGACTTCTTGTCTCTGTTTACATACGGCCTGCTCACTGGGCTCTCTAAACGAGCTGAAAGACAGCTGCAGAACATCCACAAAGCTGCTGCGAGAGTTCTGACCAGAACCAGGAAATGCAACTTTATCCATCTAGTGCTCAGGTGTCTGCACTGGGTGCCTGTCCCTCAGAGAATAGACTTTAAAACAGCTCAAGTCTCTTCATGGTCAAGTGCCAAAATACATTTCTGACATGTCAGAGCCGTATGAACCAGCTCGGACACTGAGAACCTCAGGTTCTGGTCTCCTGATGGTGCACAGAGTCAGAAGTAAATAAGGATGGGCTTCATTTCAGTTTCATGCAAATAAAATATGGAACAGCCCTTCTGAAGAGGTGAGACATGCCTCAACTCTGACAATGTTTAAATCCAGACTGAAAATTGTTCTGTTTAACTGTGCATATGGAAACTGAATGTATTGCACCCTTCACCTTTCACTTTTGTCTTGTACACGAAATGTGCTCTACAAATAAACTTGCCTTGCCTTACACAAACCAGGTTATTTTTTTCCAGATTTGATGACAGTTTTTCTAATTGCAGGTTTTTAAATATTAACAAAGAGGTGTTTATACTGCACATTCTGTCCACTAACTCTGTGGAGTCTGTGAAAACAGAGGGTCAGGCTGTACAACCAATGTCTTTTTGTATACTAAGGGGTGGAAATAGGAATGCAGAGGCATAATATCTTGAAGATTTCTTGTCAAATTGTGTTGTATTGCACCATAAGGTTGTTCTATATCAGTCCATGAGATCAGTTTGGTGTCAGCTGCTTACCAAAAAATATACTACAACACGATTTTGTACAGCTGTTTGCTGATGTTCGGTCACTGTGTCTCTCGAGCACAAAAATAAACAGCAGAATCTTCCGTCTTCAGACTGTTCATCTGCAGATACAGCTGCTGTTTGCCGTTGTCTCTGGAGACAGTAAACCGGCCCTGAACTGACTGAGAGTAGTATTTGCTGCCACCACTATCAGCAGCAATCCACTCCAGCCCTTTTCCGGGAGCCTGTCTGACCCAGTGCATCCAGTAGCTGCTAAGTGAGAATCCAGAAGCTGTACAGGTCAGTGAGTGGGATTCTCCAGGTCTTTTAACTACTGCTGCAGACTGGGTCAGAGTCTGCCCTTCCACACCTGCCAAACCAAAAAAACACGTCACTTTCTGTTTGTCAGTCATGTTTAAGAATACACCCAAGATTAGTAAAACTCCTAACCTGCATGGAAAATCAAAATCAGCAGCAACAATACCGTGTAGCCCATCATGTTAAATGTTGTATCTGCCTTTTTTTCTGTCATCTGCAGTGCAGTCAGATAAATACAGGTAAAGGACAGTCAGGTTTTGCATTGGCCCCTCCTCACAGGAAAGAGACCACAAAGTCGGACTTAGCTAGTGTTACTATATTTTCATTTTTCATCCCTAAGAGTGGTGTAGAAACTTTATGTTAAATTAATAGTTCTGTTTGGTTTGTGTTTTCTATGTAAAAATCTACTTCAGAAAAACATTTGTTTGTTTCTACTGTTGACATTTTTCACAAAAAATCACCAGTGAGATTATTCAGGAAATTATTTGACTTTGAATTAGCTCCTGTTAGGTAATACAACATTAAATTAATCCAGGAAATGGATGTAGTGTGACAGCAGTTTGTATAACAACAATTTCAGCACAAATTGTTTTTACAGACTGCTGAATGAAAACTGTTTTCTTTTATTTAGAGTGTCATGGCTAAACTTTTCCAATTGATTAAGCTTTGAGAAATGTGTATTTTAGACTGTACTACGAATTTGACTTTATTTCTTTGTCTGCAGTTTTTTATTTGGGTTTTTTTATTCCTACAAAGGCATGAGAATATCCCTGTATCTTTCATTCATCAACATAGCAGAGATATCTCCAACAGTTACATTTCCATGATAAGTTGTACATTTACAAGTAAACCATTTTAAAAGACAAGCTAGCTGGATGTACATCCACAAGTACCACAAAAAAATATTGTTTATTCTAAAGAGAGAAACTCTTTCAACTAAGGATATCCTAAAATCATCAGAATAAATATTTTGGTTGGAATCAACCTATTTCTGAAAATTCAGATGACAATTTGTTTTTAAGGGGAATATTTGTAGGCTGTTGAATACCCATAAGCAGCATTTCCAATCCATTCCAGTCCTTTTCCTGCAGGCTGTCTGATCCAGTGAGGATTAAAATTATTTGTAAGTATTATATAATCAAATCGTTGAGTTTTTTGTGTTTTCTGAAAAATCTGAAAAAATTACTGTATGAAATTGTGATCTGCTCTGATGAAATGTAATTTAATGGAATCTCTGACGCCCCTTTTAGTTAACCGATTGTTCAGTGATGTGTATTTACCCCTCTGTGCCCAGTCTGCAGTGCTGATATCTGAGATCCAGATCTGTGCTAAACTGAGCAGCATGCATCGAAACAGAAGCAACAAGAGTTTTGCACTTATCTTTCTTTGTCAAAGAGAAACACATGAAGCCGTTTCCTGTGGCCGCAAGAATACGCCTAAAATCTACAGCAGCTTTGGATTGAGCCCCCTCACTAACGCTTACAATAAACTTAAGATGAATAAAGTAAAAAGTCATGCCTGAGTTGCATCACAACAGAGTTTATGAGTGTGTGTGTAAGACCAAAGAGAAATTTGGGAGATCCTGAAAAAGTTTTACTAAAGTCCCTTAAAGTATAAAGCACTTTTTTTGAAAAGGGATCAAAGTGAAAACAAAATGTTGGGAAAAAAGGTTTTTGAGGGAAACAATCAGTCTCAATCTTTTTTTCTATTACTGTAACTTGGGATGAGTTTTTGCACAGTGTTTCCTCTCCTCTGAGTCACTGTGACTCCCGAGCACAATAATAAACAGCAGAATCCTCAGTGGTCAAACTGTTCATCTGCAGATACACCTGCTTTCTGCTGTTGTCTCTGGAGATAGTGAACCGGCCTTTCACCGACTCAGAGTAGTAGATGCTACCACTGGTATCACTGATAGTAGCAACAAACTCAAGTCCTTTTCCAGTAGCCTGTCTGATCCAAGCGTTCCACCAATGGCTACTAAACCCTGAATATGTACAGGTCAGTTTGTGGGACTCTCCAGGCCTTTTAACCACTGGCTCAGACTCAGTCAGCGTTTGACCATCTGTACCTAAACACAGACAACTCATTAGCTACTGCAATGGAGCGTTTTGTATCATTCGTCATTTTTTTCATAAAATGTCCTTACCAATCCACCTAAAGGAAAGAAAGAGAAAGCCAATCACGACTTCTGATCTAGTCATCGTGAAGGCTGTGTGTTGAAGTCAGGTCTGCTGTGTCTGTCGAAATGATTGACTGCATGTCTTCAGCTTTGAAACACAAATTTAAAGATGAAAGAGATCAGGCTTTGCATTGACTCCTCCCTTTGAAGAGAACAAACCCCACTTCTACCATTTTCTTCAATCTTTATATATTCATGATTCTAATTAGATGTGACCATAAATAATAGAGAAATTTTGTTTTTTTATACTTTCATTTAATTGTTCTATTACGTTTCATGAATGATGGTAGGATACTGAGGTTTTCACAGTTACACTAATGATTGATTTATTAATGTGTATATAATAAGAAGATTCAGACATAATTCAATTAACAAACACTGATCATAATTTCATTAAAGCTCCATTTTGAAAATGTTCTCACAAACCTGAAGCTAATTTCCAAGTATATTTCGAATTCTTATATATCGAATTCTTAGTAAACCATTTGTTCAAATACTTTTAAACTCCAACAGATTTAGTTACATATTCCAAATGTTAAGACATCCACTAATATCAAATGAACTGAAAGTGCATTTAACCTCTCTCTCTCTGTACATTTAAAGCAAAGTTACTTTCACTGAGTTCATCTGAAATAATTTGTGTCAGAGCTCCTCCTGTGGTTGTTTCATGTCAGCTGTGCTCAGCATCTGAACATTTTTTGTTCAGCCCTGTTGATGGTTTGTGTTACTGTGGATATCTGGCACAGTAATACACAGCAGAGTCTCCAGGCTGCATATTCTGTCCATTTAGAGTCACTGTGTTGCTGGAAGTGTCCAAACTAATGCTGAATTTGTTCTTCAGAGAATCTTTGTAGTATGAAGATCCAGTATATTTCATCCCAATCCATTCCAGTCCTTTTCCTGCAGGCTGTCTGATCCAAGCTGTCCAGTAGCTCAGAGAATAAGACACCTGACAGTTGATGGTCAGACTCTGACCTGGCTGCACAGTCACAGAGTCTGGCTGTGTCAGCTGTTCACACCTCACAGCTGTGGAGGAAAACATATAGAATATAGAATCAGAACAACAACAGTGAACAGTCAGTGTGCTGTGATCATACTGTCAGTGTCTCTGGCTCAGTGAGACTCACAGGATCCAGCAGCCAGCAGCAGCAGCAGAGCTACAGAGAACATGTTGGTCATCTGATGGAGCTTTGTTTGTTTCTGAGGTCATCGACCGGATCAGACTCAGATCTTTATGGCATTAGTGAGGGAGTTTACTTTGCATAAAGAGCGACACAGGTTATATCACATGCATGTATGAAGGAAACTAACCTTAGTCCCATAGGTTATAGTACATGAATGTGTACTTAATATTATCCAATCAATAATTTTTCGAGACTGCTTATCCAAGCAGGGTCATGGGGTTGGGGGGACCATGAACCGATATCAGCTATCATTGTGTAACCCTAACCCTTGGCAGTTTACTACATATGATACATAAGACACAGAACTTCAGTTTGTACTTCAGATGTTTAGGTTTTCCAGGCTCCAAAATACAACAGACATACTGTCATTTAAAGATACACTGCTGTCATTACATTCAAATGTTTGATGAAAAAGCTAAATTGGTATTTATATAATGGTTTTTTTTTTAAATATGTTCATATTTTCTTTGTTTTCATGCAGTCTTTTTTTAAATATGTATATGTAGACATTAGTTCACAGAGGAAAATATTCAATTTGGAAAGAAGAACAAAAGGTTAATTCTAGAAATCACATTTAAATCGACAGCTGGATGTGCTTAACCTTGTCTGTTTGCAAATTCGATCTCAGAACCTGCTAATGTTTCTCTTTCTCACCGTAAAACATGTAAAACAGTCTGGTCAAGCATCATTAGTGAAGCAAAAATAATTTCTAGGTCCACCCATGAATAAGAATACACTAACAGACCTCTGAAAGCATTACAGTGCAAACTTTTTTGACACAACACACCCATGGTGCCACTAATATGGTACTGTTATTTCTCACTGATGTAAATATTCATACTTCCATAATAAACTGAGTTTTAGGCTTATCTCTGTTCAGCCGCTGAATTGGTTTGCATGTCTGGAGCACTGTTTTCATTTTATTTTTATCATTTTATGATTGGTAATTATTCAAACTTGTATTTTTAGGACGGGAATGCACAAGGAAATGAACGACTCATAAAATGTATGTCAAAATAGAGGTTATTCTGAGCACAGTTCCGACATTCAAACTCACCAAAAATCCAACATATTCATGAACTAATTGTTGGAGTGCAAAAGAAAATATGTTTTTGATTACACAGTTGATTTGAAACTTCATCATTTTGTCTAAGCATGTATGTACATGGTGTTTGAATTACTTTGTCAGAACACCTGCTGAGATGTAAATGTATGCAGTCAAATGTCTTTTTCTCATAAGTTATTTATAGTCCTGGCGGTTTCTGCAAAGTTTCCCAGCCACAGGTGTTGTCCCCGAGGTACAGAGAAAGGGGAGTCTTAATTCTCAGGAGAGAAACTTTTACATTTTTAACTCATGAATAATAACAAGGTATCTATATTTTATTTGATGCAGTATTGTTTTAGAAATCCGTCGTCCTCTGTAGACAAAACTTACATCACATCCACCAGACATAAAAAGTGAAAAACATACTAAATTATTTCACAAATAAATAAATGCATGCCAATTATTGCTGATATTGCCATCTGCATCTCAAATTAAAGGCAAGACAAACTTGAATAACATGAAAAAGGCAATTAATCTGCTTAGCAATACAATATAAAATTCCTAGATATAACAAAAGATTACATTCTATTGAGTTCCTTTTCATTAAGAAAAATACCTGATTGTAAATAATTATCATTGTGCTCAAAGAAAATTGACTAAAGCAATTATACACTAGATAGGATAACTGTTAGATACTCTTTTTTCCATCAAATAGTTTGTACACCATCAAAGTAAATATAAAAGAGGTATGTCATGTGCATTCCTCCCAAATGTTCTCTTTGTCTGAAAAACACCATGGTTAAAATCATACAAAATTGAGGTGCTAATAATACAATATTGTTGCTCTTTCTAGAGAAGATTGTATAGCAATTTGAGTTCGTATCAAACAAGAATACTTCAGTTTTTGAAAGCTGCTTTAATGCTTTAAAGCACCTGCAGTGTGAGTAATGCTGAAACTTTTCTCAGTCAACCGTAGCATTCAAATCATTTCGAAATATGACATATGTCCTCAACATAGCCCAAGAAGGTTAACAGAAAAAAATTTACAAGAAATTGTCAAGGGTAAAAATGATCACAAAGTTTTAGGTGAAATAGTGGCAGATTTATGAAAGCCTTTAAAAGCCAGTGAGCTCAACACATACTTCAAATAGCTTGGGTCAAATCAACACTTGGTAAGCTCCCCACTAGCAATATGTCTATCGTAGGCTCTTAAGCATCTCTCCCTACGTCAGGACAGGCTGCAGCCACTGATTTCACCTTGTTTCCAGCAGTATGGTGAGGAAACAACTGGACCGGAGAGACCGATCCAGCAGGTTCAAATGCTGTCATTCTCAGGCATTGAAGACATGCACAACAGCCGAGTGGAGCACAGAAGAAATTTCCAGCGCTGTGGGAAACGTCCTGCCTTGTCTTTAAAAAAAAAACCCTTAGCTTTTGCCGCCTGTGACAACAGGGCAGTTTTTAAAGGTTCAGTTAAATTAGTAAATGAAAGCCTTTTGAGACCAGTTAAAGTCTACTTATCATGCTGAGGGTGGGGTTTAATATGCCATCATCTAACTTATATATGGAATTAGATAACTAAATTAAGATCCTTTGTTTTCACTCATGATGATATACTCAATATATTCTAAAATACGTCCTATCTCACGTTCACAAAGAGTCAATAAAGTGTATCACCTGAATATTTCATGGATAAAAGATTAATCTGTTCCGGCCCAGTCTGGAAAGTAGAGCATGACAGACTGTCAGTAAACCTCGCTGACCAGGATTAGTATGTTTTAGCTGTTCAAGGAGCTGGAATATTTTTGAAAAAAGCTTCCCAAACACCCTCCAGCTGTTGACAGCATCAAAATATCTGACTATGGAATGTCTTAAAGAGTTTACTTTTTATTTTAAAAAAATGACTAATCTAGCAATCATTCCTTCGCTATAAATATTCTATACAGATACAGTATATTTATATTGAAATGCTGTCTCTTAACATCACAATTGCAGATGCTTACTGACTTCCCACCAGCCTTGTGAACTTGTTTATGCTGACTGGATGCACTCTTATTTGCTTTTTAAATAATTCTTATTTTCATGTATGCATTAATATGCCAGTAATCTGCATTGCTTCATTACATAAAACAGTCACAGATCAAAGTCTGTCCAGGCTTCACAACCTCTGATTCTGGATGGATGAGAACAACAGTATGGACACTTGTGGAAACACAAATTAGCATTGTCGACCTAAAATCTATGTTTTTCATGCCGCTGGAATTGAAAAGAAAGCAGCTGCAGATGATTTTTCTAGATAGACCCTTTTTTCAGTCGGCTGTAAGATGTTTTCTAAAAAATTATTTTGTGTGTAAGGGCAGACAAACAAATAATCTTCTTGTGTCAATACATTTGTAGTATTCTCATTAAGGGAAAAAAACTGCACTCCAATATATATTAAAAAGAGGTAATATAACCATGAAATGGATCGCGTACATCAATTTCTTTAGCAAAAGACCACGATGAAGCAAGAGAAATTTGATTGTATATAGTGAATGCAATCTAAGCCTTAATCTGTCTATAGAAGATATACAGTATGATCTGGATGAGGACTTTTGTATAAACAGACATGGAAGACCTTGTCCTGGCCAAAGCTGTCACGTGATGAGATTATTCAGTGAAAGTCAACTTCTGTTGGGTTTCAGGTAAATTTCGTCAAATGGGATGATTTCTGTGAGAATTAATTTGTTTGTGGGAACACCCACATGTTTATAAAGCATTCATTTGTTTAATTATCTGATGTTTAATTATATTTAAAAAAAAAAAAAAAAAGGACAAGCTTTGTAAGCATTACAGCTGTTTATTAGTTATTTTTACTTGTTTTTTATTATTTGTATCGTGAGATTATGAAAACATCACAATGAAATTATTCATAATCCCAATTGTATCAATTACTGTACATATAAAAGCAGTCTCTGACATTTTTTTTTTCATATATTTTAAAAGCCGATTAATCGTACTAAAAATGGATGCTTTTGAGAACAACACTAATGTTTGTCTGAATTTGCGAACAGCATTAAGCCTATCTTTTCTCTCAGGACCAGAGCTGAAAAGATAATCCATCAGGGACGTCATCGCTCATCTTGGAATGGGCAGATACTACTGACCACAGTTTCTACTCACAAAGACCCTCGGGTTGAAAAATAGCTTAAGAGATACAGGCTTCTGGAATGTAAGGCAGGAAATTTACTCTACTACTATTTCTTTTGTGAAAAGTAAATTCCGCAGTACTAATTTTGAAGAATCCAGACTGAGTTTATCATCATGAGTCTCAAGCAGCCCTGCATCTTTCTCCGAGGAGGAGCAAAAACGAGACAAGTAAGTCAATGTGGTTTCATTACTATCAGTGGTCAAATTCAGTTTACTCATAGAGAGATTTCTGTCACAATATCATTTGCTGTCAGTCTGCTGTGAATTTCGACTTGGTGCAGTGAAAGTAGAACCAAGTTTGTACAGTTGAATAAAAACCTAAATTGGTTACTTTTTATGAGAGCTTGAATTCCAAAGACATGTTTTATATTTAATTTTCCTGTTCATATTTTGATCAGAAACTTGAACTTACATCAAATTTGTATCGAACAACAGTATGACTGTCAAAGATTAGGAAATATTATTTTAAATGCTGGAAGCATTTCCATATGATGATTAAATGGACAGCATTGACAAGAAAGAAAATAGCAAAATAACTAGCTAAAGTTATCATGTTTGAATCCCACTCATTCATATTTTTTATTCCTCTTTTAAAATGTGGAATTTTTATTTTGCACCAAGGTATAAAATCCAGCATCGTGCAGAAGGACATAACATTTTTGACTGTTGTGTTTCTACAATAATTCAGTGTGTATTGGACTATTAAAAATAACTAGTATTTTTTACTAGTTTGTTTTTTGTTTTTACTCATCTATATTCATGTCTCTAACATTATTCAACTTTTTCAGATGAGAAATCTCACACATGATGAAATGGAAGGTAAAGTTATTTTCATGCTTTTGAATGTATTGCATCTGGTTCATGTTTTTTTTTCTGTTGTCCTTGACATGTTTGCACAAGTCGAGGACAGCTCTCAATTTCCCCTCACCTTCATGATTCATAGAGTTGCGCGAAGCTTTTGTGGAGTTTGATAAAGACAAAGATGGCTACATAAGCTGTAAAGACCTGGGGAATTTGATGAGGACCATGGGCTACATGCCCACTGAGATGGAGCTGATAGAACTGAGCCAAAACATTAACATGAACTGTGAGTACTCTTTGTCATCAAGTGTGAAACTAAAATACATTTTATACTTAATGAACTGAAGAAAAATCAAATGTACTGAGTTCATGTTCATGCACCCTGATGTGTGACAAATACAGCAAAGACTATTAAATGCACATTGTTATTACTTCCACCTTCATTTTTTGTACCAAAATTGAACGTACAGAATCTTTCACACCTATTGCATGTCTTCTCACAGTAGGGGGGCAGGTAGACTTTGAAGATTTTGTGGAGCTAATGACCCCCAAGCTTCTGGATGAAACAGCAGGGATGATCGGCTTGAGGGAACTCAAAGATGCTTTCAAAGAGGTAAGCTCAGTGTAACTTTGCTGTTTGGCACCCCACAGTGGACATAAAATGCCCCTACACCAGAAACCGCAAACATACAGTGTTTTTTTACGAGATGCTGAAAATGCATTTTAAAGTTCAGAAAAAATAACAAGCCCCACACCCCCCAATTTTTCCTACAGTTTGATATGGATGGTGATGGTTCAATCACATCTGAAGAGCTGAAACATGCCATGCTGAAGTTATTAGGAGAACACACCAGCAAATCTGAAATTGATGCTGTGGTCAGAGAGGTTGACAACAATGGAGATGGGAAAGTTGACTTTGAGGGTAAGATGCAAGTGAACACAAACACAAGACATTACTCGTTTGATTAAATAACTGTGGCTTCATGTGATGGTCAGTTGTGAAAAATGTCAGGTTAGAGATCTGTTCTCGAGAAAATCTGAGAATCCTCCTCAAAGGAACACACATCACAACTGCTGTTGGTTTAGAAGAAAGTCTGCTGAATATAAAAAATAGAAAGATTAAAAAAATAACTAAATAAGATCTGAATATAGCTAAGTATATAAGTTATTTGGTTTCCTTTTTGCTACATTCCCATTAAGGCACCTCTCTGTAAAAACCATCAGTACCATCTATATTTTCATTGTAAAAGAAGGCTGTACCATATTTTGTGTTTATTCTTATAGCAGCAACTGTATGAAATTTTCTTTTAGCTCACCTCAAAAACTGTGATTTACCTAATCAGTTTGTCGTTCATTGTCTCTCCAGAGTTTGTGAAAATGATGTCAAAGAAATGAGGACAGAATGAAGACTGGATGGATTTCTCATCACGCACCATTGCATTTTGTCGTGTTGCCGAATTGACGTTGTCCCTAAGCTCGAAATGTTATAGTTATTGATTGTAAAATAACAGATGTCTCCCTTTTCTGGTAACAACAACCAATGGTGGTTTTAGGCATTGCCAATGGATAGTTATCACATTTTAAAAGTATTTGATCTACTTTGTTTTACCCTGAATCCCCCAAATCTATTCCAGTGACTGAGAAGTGACTGTTTACTCATGTTAAGACTTTTTAAACTGTACTGGCTGATGCTACAGATGTGGAAACACATTAATAAAGTACTGTGATTGGGAGTGCAAGCTGTAAACAGGCTATAGTATACTATTAAAAAGGTACTTCTTATGTGTTTGTTATGATGTTATTTTCCAGTTATCATTTTTCCCAATATGAGTGAGAGTAAGTGGACTCTGGTTCTTCCTTTAGATTAATTATTTTTAAAGGAAAAAATCAGCACGATTTACTTTTGTGTTGTACTTGCTGCATTGACGTATAACCGGAGCGTTTCCACACTGGATTTGGATGTTTAGATATCATAAAATGTTTCTTATATGTTGTCATTGATGTTGAGCAATGCAGGTTTAGACATTCATCAGAACATTTAGTCATGAATGTGGTACGTAAATGTTTCCCCTTCCATCACATTTCATACAGACGAAGAGCAAATGAACCGTATATCATGAAACAACATCCATACAACCAAATGTCACCAATCTCGGGAATAATCCACGTCCCCGGGGTGGATTAGAATAGGCCTGGTAATCCCCGACATGGGACCCTCAGATGAGCAGATGGCAGAGGAGACAAATCACAAAACTAATTCTCACCAACTGGTCGAAAAAAAGACACCACATGTACAAAACTGAGTAAAATAATTGGAAATAAAAATTTTGTAATTGTGGCTTTTCATACGTCCTTACAACATTCAGCTACAACTGAGGTCAGCACAAATTTGTATGAGTTGTTTTTATTTTCATTTAAAAAATAAACATAAATAGATAGATTAACAGCCTATATCGAGCACATGGTTGTCTATAATGTAACATGTAAACATCCAAACTGGGGAAAAAAGAAAAGAAAGACAAGAGTATTGTGATGGATTTCTTGATGGAAAATTCCAGCACAAACAAAAGCACTACACTAAGGAGAATAAGAACCACCTGTGGCTTGACCTAGATTGGACATTCAATTTGAGAAACTAGATATAAAGTTGTCTTTTTTTTTAGAAATTGTTGACATTTCACAGTTTGTTTGTTATTTTTCTTCTTTTTTTTGGTTGAACCAGTCTTGAGGCTTTTGCTTCCTGCAGATGTACAGTGTAAACCCATGCATGACCAGCCTCACAGAGTCTTTTATCCATTACAGGTAGGTTTCACATGCATACAAGGGCACAGTAGTAGTAGTAAAGATGCCAATATTTACAAAGACAAAGATTAGTTAAGGAACAATTGTTCTCACAAATGTTGTCCGATTTTAGCCTGTCAAACCTTCTAGCATGTATCTTTGTCTAACAGCAATATACTAAATATCGAGGCAATTCTTACTGTTGGCCACTCATTCGACGTGAGCGGAATGCTTGGTTTGATTCATTCTTTGGGGCAGATTTACACAGTGATTTGCCGACGGGAAGAAGATGTGTGACCAAGGCTAGCCAGGACCGAATTAAGGCATTCCTGCATGTTGCACACATGTGGAGCAAATTCACAGGTCAGGGCTAAACATGAAGTCCAAAGCTTGTCTCTCTGCTGCAGCCACATTTGGATGCCAGAGGTCCACACTCAAAATGACTCTGGGACCAGATTCTGGAGGACCTGTAAAACAGACCCCCATGCAGTTTTATTCAGACGAAATAAAAAGAGGAAAAGAAGAGCATAACTCCATTGAATCAGAAAGTTGCTGTACGTTTTTATTGTTTATTTAAACACTGGATAATTGTTTTCTTATAGTCGTTTGTTTTCAACACTTATGTTCAACACATTTTAGAGACTCTCAAAACTGGTGAAAAAACTGGAAAAAAAGAAGATAAAAATATTTTTTTCAAAAATCTAAACTTTTACCCTTGATTATGTATTGACTTTTCTCAAATAAAAAGACTCCTCATTCTTTGTGTTGTGTCCACAAAGTACAGCATAAACTGTCTTGTTTGACGCTGTACGTGACAAACTGACCTTTGTGGGAAACGGTGTGAAGGAAGGAGTCATCAACAAGGAGGCAGTGTCCCTCTGACCAGCACTGAGGCTCCCCTCCCACCACCAGCTCACAGGAAGGGGGTGTCTGCAGACCTTTAAAAGGGATGACATTTTTTTCTGTCTAAATACACAGAAATGATTCCCCATTTCAATTAACTGCTTCAGCTTCAACCATCTCTGAATTTCAAACTGAGAGGATTACAGCCAGATGGGTCACAGTACAGAATGACGGACGGCGAAATTAACCTCAACCTTTTGCTAATGCACCTCTTATCATTTATATAACTACGAGTAAAGTATTATCTTCGGTGATTCAGGGTTGGTTTGTCACAGCTCAGTGCATTTCAACAAAGTCTAATATGCTACGCGACACAAAATGATGAGTCTGTGATTCACCTTTTAGATTATCCTGAAGTACATGCTGTCCTGACAAAATAATCGGAAAGAGGAATTATTTTAAATACCAAGATGACAACGTAGGCGTGTGTTGGTGTGTCCATACGAGCTCCCTAATGTAGCTCCGGGCCCAAGCAACCAAAATCCTGCAGATCCCAGCGAGTTGCTGTTTATAAATGTGCGCAGACAGAGAAGTGTGCGGTAGGTGCGTGGACAGGAGCGGCAGTTTCCTGCTACACAGACCCCTGCGCTGTACAAGGGAAACACTGCCTGGCCCTGAAAGAGAAAAAATTACCTCCAGATTTGAATTGCACTTCAAACATATCAAATTATACAAATATTCAATTTATTTATCAGGGATCTGAGATTAGTTTTAACAAGGATGAAAGTACAAGGCTCACCGTAAACTGTGCTGCTTAGATCTTTTTACCTTTGTTTTGCTTAATTGAGATTACATTAACCGATAAGTGTGATAATTGTACAGCATCTCTAAACGTATTGAAGGTCTCACTGGTTACCTTTGGTCCCTGAGAAGTCCAGCCTAGCTTTGGGTCATTGCCCCGCTGGTAAACAGCTTGGAATTCAGCCAATATTACAGGATAGCTGGCTTCCAAGACCTCAATATCATGCCGGTGAGCGTCACGTGGAAAAAAAGGAACACTTGGCACATCTGGCAGGAAGAAAAGATGGGGCTTCTGTATAGCTGAGAGATCGCTCAGTCTGACCTAAAATGGAAGCAATCACAAATTAGGGGTCATTTCTTGCCAATTTTTCCTTCCTTTGCTGTTTACCCTCAAACATAACTGACTGCTTTGACAGTACATCATACCGATATGCTTACCATAAAGGCAGAACCAAGACTGCACTGAGGTCCTGTGTGAACAGTGTTGATAAACTCACACACCACTGGTAGCATTTACAGCCGGTAGTTTCGATCACACTTACCTGCTCACGGAGACCTTTGTGAATGCGACCCATTCCCACCCAGCTATAGCGTTTGGCATACTCTTGCAGTGCTGTGTAAAGCTTTTTGGCTTCTGCGGATGCCTGAGCAGGGAACAAAGCATGACTCAGCACCGGGGTGAGGTAGTCCTGTCCCTGCTCCTCATCCTCCACTGTTTCCATGGAAATAAAAGGGCTAATTTGATCACTCCTGGACAGCTTGGATCGCACCCCGCATTTTGCTCCAATGCAGCTACTGCTTCTGGATTTTATGGAGCGCCTCGAGCTTGATTTGAGCTTCCCGGGGTGAGCATGACCTGGGATTGGCAGATCAGAGCCAATCCGATAACAGTGCCACAGAAACAGAAGCAGGAGAGTCCACAGAAGGCCACTCAGTGAATGGACACCAAACTCGACGTACTGAGGCAGGGGGAGCGTGTTCATTGACCAATGCATCCTCTTGTTATTTGGACACTGAATAACTGAAACAGAAGGGAAAATGATTATCATGCATAGAGCATACTCACTTTGGTCAACTAAAAGCATAAGTTCATTTCTAATCAAATAGAAGTCATACTTGTGCTTTGCCACCAAACGAAACTTAACTTCACAAATCACTTCTGTGCTTTCCGTCAAGTTTTACGAGGTTAGGGTCCATAAATCAGTGTGTGTGTGCGTGTGTGTGAAGAGGCGGCCATTGTAGGGAATCATTCTTCAAGGTCATTGTAAACTAAGGCCCTTCCCAGCATGCAATTGAGGAGAAACTTGTACAATCCCAGGACAGGATGCTTATCCAGCTCAGAGCATCTGAACCTTTCATTAAGGTGCTTTATATTGATGGTGTCAAATGTAATCTGACCTTTTGTTTTCCGTGTAAACAATCTCTGGATGAGGCTAAATTTCAAAGTATTGAGTTTCCACATACAGAGGATGCATATCTAAGTCATGCATATCCTTATTGAGAAATGGCTTTTCAAGATACCATTTACAGGTCAATGATTGCTGTCCTCCTGTGTTCGTGAATAAATATCATCAATGGTATACAAAGAAAGAGTCAACTATTTGCTTGCATGTACCTTTAATTGTGTGAATTGCATTTTGTGTAGACATGTAGTCTGAAAATCACATCAGGCTACATCTGTTTATTTATAATGTGTTTGTTTTTTTCCCCCTGCTGTTACATAGGGGGGAGAGCGTGCATATTTGAGCGCGCCTGCCTGTGCGTCTGCTTTGGATGTGATGGCTACTCCCTAACAGGCTTATGTCAGATGATGTCTTTCATGTTTGCCTCCGTGTGAATGGCGCTGTCCATTGGAAAAGCTGGCCTGCAGTTTGGGTGACTGGTGAATTGTGGAGGATCGTCTCTCTGTTGCTAACACCACTCATTTTGTTTTTTTGCACTGCACCAGCCCCCGCCGCTCAGCTGGCTCATGTTTACTGCCCATGGCAACTCAGATCGTCCAACGTTCAGGGGAAACCCTGGCACAGAATGTTTTTTTTTTGTTTTTTTTTTGCCATGCATCTCATGTTGCACATGCAGGCCTTCCAAACAAAGCAAACGCATTTTCGCCACCGCTTAAGTGCCCACACATCACATCTGTCAGATTACCTTGATGCACTGTGAAGCGCCGCGTCGGACGCACTCCGGCACCGCGTCGGTGGGCAGCTCCTCCAGCGCTCAGACAAATAATGTGGATTCTGGTCCGCGCGTCGCTGCAGTTGCGGAATTCGGACGCTAGGGCGCACCTGCCGCCTCAACACAAATGCCCTCACATCACAGCCGAATGCGTCAACCACACGGTAAGCAGCCAGGGGCACCTCACCAGCACGAACCCCCGCCGTGTTTTCGGCCTACAGCAACAGGATACCGGACCAGATAAAAAAAAAACCAACAACAACAACAACACTGGACGCAAACTGGATTACAGGTAAGCGGCAGGCATCTGCAGTTGTTGCTGAGCAGGCTGTGGGGATGATTGATGTCAGGAATCGTCCTCCGCACAAAGAGGGCCGGGGGAGGTGCGAGGGATGCTGCCTCATATAGCCCCATCATTTTGTCACACACCAGGCTGGCATTTTTACCGCGGAAACGCCTCGAATAAGAGCAGGGGGTGCATTTCGACATGTTATTGAGCACAGATTGGTAAAAAAAAAAAAAAGAAGAAGAAGAAAAAGAAATCTGATTCGTACCTGCGGTGACGATAGGCGCATTTGCTGGATTTTGGAATAGCGCATTTTCGGCATCTTGTTGCAGATTTGAATGAGAAAATACAGCGGTGGGGGGTAGCCTTAACATTTCTCATTAATTCCTGTCGTATTTTATTTGTACATGTTTTCATTTGATTTGTTTTGCTTTTCGCGTAAGACGTTAGTCATTTTGTCTTATTTTATCTGTCTAGTTTTCTCCAAAGAGACAACGTCTATCTTCAAATTGTCTGAGCCTTTTAATACGTCGAGATTATCCGATTTGAATCACAGTGGCCTGTGTTATTCATACACATTCAGCCTTAATCTCTAGAGACTTTTGCAGCGAATAATAGACTGATACCCCAGCATTGCCTCTAGCAATAATTATAAGCTGTTATCGATCATCACAGTAACATAACCTACCAGGTACAGTGATCGTGTGTTTACATGAAATCACGCTGATCCACTCTCTTTAACCTTCCCAGGCCATTCAGTTTCATCTAAAACCATGGGGTTCACGCACCATGCCATGATGCTGTCTGTCACCATGATCCACGTGGTTTCAGGTAATTGTTGGTTTATATTGTCTGTGCATAGTGACTGGACTACAACAATAACGTCTGTAAAAGATATTGTGTCTTGGATAATGCTTTTCTTGTGCTGCTTTTTGGGTCTATCTTTTTTTTTAATGCAAATGGAAAATATTAATGGGTTCTAATCATTCCAGCTATGAGCTTTATGACTCCTGAGCCCGATACACCACCAACACCATCCCCAGACTCTTACCCTCTGGGTGACCTAATCCATGCTGCTCTCCAGAGTAAGCAATACCTAGGGCAGGCCTCTGCTTCCACAGGTATACTAACACAGCAAACAACTTCTTCAGCCATCTGGCCACATTATGACATGGGTGGCTGCCGAATGACGAAGCCTTTGACCTTTACTTTCGGAATTTCAGGTACCACCACTAATCCGACACAGGCTGTGCCGGGGCTTGGGCAGGCTGAAACAACAGCCACAGCTATATCACCAGGGCTTCTCACCACGGCTATAAGTTCCTCTCCAGCCTCTGGCCTGGACAGTTCCAGGGTTCCCATGTCCATGCTGCCCATGGAAGAGGAGACAACCACCACTCTGATCACTACAACCACCATAACCACCATGCACATGCCAGGTACTTTAACAGTCCATTCCAATTCAATTCAGCTCAATTCAACACTTCAGAAGTTCTCTTTTTAAGCCTAGTTTACAATCTTTAGTGAGTTATTATTTATGTTTTTAAAAAATAAGTTTTAGCATCCCTCAATTGTTTTCTTCTTATTCTAAGCTGCCAAAATGTATCTTTTGGAGACATTTTAACAGCAGTGATAGGTTTCTTTTTTGTGTTTTAGGATTAACGTGTAAGAGCTTTACAGTCACACAAAAGGAATAAGTATAACTATGTAAATGTGACTGAATGGAGGTGAAGATTTTGAGGCTGACTCCAGCTTTCTATTGTGACAGAGTAGGAAACCTCCCCTCATTCTCCAGTCAGCATCCTCAGTATCCCAAAGCAATGCACTGACATTTACTGCCATTCGTATTACATGTGTTTTGTGGACATGTTTATGTGTGACTTAATTGCAAGGGCAGCAATGGGAGCCTCTGTAGCTATTTGTTTGATCCTATTACAAGCACTGTGGTTAAGGTAGTTAGCCACTTTACAGCCAAAAAATAATTCCATTGAAGTCCCAGAGGAGAAGACCTTATGAGATGAGAAACATATCAGAGGAGAACATAGTAATACTGGAAGAATTTGGTTTAGCAATGTGCTTGTTACGATGGGTCTTTTGAGGCTAGTCTTTTTTCTTCAAATGAAAAAGTATTTGTCCAGAACACCAAGGTCGAAATATGTGGCATGCCTTTATGTTCTTATAATGACAAGCAGATAAAAGTTCTTCGGTGTACATGAAAAACGACTTAACTGAATAAAGAGCAACAACTCAAGCCTTCAAATCCCAAGACTAGCAGCATCACCATCTACACAGAATACTAATATGGAATGATAGAAGATGTTCCCTAGAGAAAGGAATTAAGTGAGACACCATTACCTATGCAGCTCTCAGGGAAAATGACAGCTGGAAATATAGTTATGGTTAGTATTCAACCCTATATAAGCTGCAAGACAATATTAAAAACATGTTTAGCAGTCATGGAAATATAGCTATAGTTCACCAGTTTTACCTTAGTCACATTGTATTATGTCTATGTTATTGTCTGCAGGCTTAAATGCATTAAATGCAATGCCTTACAAAGCATCCAATTCATTTACACTTCCTTAACAAGAAACTGGAAACTGAGTTGCCGCTAATATTGTCAAATATTTGATAAAATTTACCAAACAGAGGTTTATTATGTTTTGTTTGAACAGATATAAAGACGGCAAGTTGAAGTTTTTAAATTTAAGGTTATCCTATAATTTGTCACATTTCCCACCATGAAACCTAAACTGATGGTTTATTATCTAATTTCAGAATACAAAAACAAATTATCAATGTACATTGTTCAATGTTCCTTTTTTTTTTTTGCTAATAAGAAGCTTATCTTCAGAAATATAGACAAAATCTTATCAGTTCTTGCTTTCTAAACCTGATTTGTACAGCTTTCATACACTGTGCAACATATATTTATATACTGTATTTACCTCGATCCCAATGAATATTTCTACTGGTTTGAAAAGTATCTTTTAAGTAATATTTAGATAAAAAGGATAACGTAACAATCATTAATTTTACCTCAGGTTAACCCATGAGAACTCAGGTGTAACTAACATTCAAACTGAAATCAGTTTATTAAAAATGGCCAAAGTAACCTGTGAGACAGTATAGATCTCTGTCATTTAGTGGTACTTGTTATTGATTTTTTTGTGTTTTTTTGTTCTTTCAAGGTGATCTTTGGACATATTTAGTCAGTTTTCTCCAAAAATGTTCTTTTTTTTAATGAACCTGGGTTCTTATGGGTTAAGAGCTGTCTTTGAGTAAATTCCACAAATAGTCTTCAGCTTAGATTTTCAGCATGAGCAAGCTTTAACTTCTCCCTCTGCTGCCTTTTCCCTCTGTTTGCAGTACAATGCAATGCCACTTTGTCAGCCATGGAGGATGTTGTCGAGTCACCAGATCCGACATCATCATCCTCCTATTCCCCTCTGGAATGCACCTACAGCATTACTGTGTATCCAGGGTATGGTGTTGAAATTCAGGTAAGGGAAATTTTAAATAATCAAACAAATCTTTCTTTAATATGTCAATGCTAAGTTTTTCTACTAGAAGATATTTTAGTGTTTACGTCATTTGTGTAAAAAATGATATATTTTTTTATATATTAAGGATTAAATTATATCATATAGCCATCTCTTTCTATCTCTCTCACTCTCTCCATGTATATATATATACAGAGAGAATAGTAATGAATCAGTGCGAATATTTTATGAGAAGCTGGAAATTCTATTTAAGTGAGGCCTGTTGGTCCTTTTTTTCCCTCAAGGTGAGGAAGTCAGATCTCTCAAAAGAAGAGTCTCTGATGATTATGGGTTACGGAGGTTCAGCACCAGAACTATTAGCCAATGAGACCCTTGTGAAAGAGGGACAGGTGATTCGCAGCACTACCAATCAGGTGTACATTCACTATCGTAGCCTGCGACAGTCCAACCATGGCACATTCAACCTCCACTACCAAGGTAAGTGAGGTCTACATGATTTATACCTTAAATCTAATCTTTTAGTTGCTACTCTGGTTTAAAATGTAACTACTCTGCTAGAAAAACTTTTTTTCCTGTGGATTAAACTTAAATGGATCGCAAATGACTAGCTCATCTATTAAGAATCAAGAGAATAAGAGATGATGTGAGCAGATGTCTGAGGCATTTTTAGAAATGGAAGCTCATTATGATGGAGGATGCTGGTGTGAGTCGAGAGATAAACAATGTCGTCTAACACGATCTGTCCGTTAGGGTGGTGATGAGAGAGGTTAATACAACACAATGGCACTATTACAGACACCTAACAATTTAAACATCCACCCCATGAAAATGTAAAAATAATCATTAATAATTCATCTATAATGGCAGCATATAAGCATTAATCAAAAATGACTTGTCAGTGTCTGCTGTAGCAGAGAGAAATGTTCCTTTTTAGATCTTTTAACTGAACTGTGTGCCATCTTCATGCTACATCGACAGCTTTTCTCCTGTCCTGCCCATTCCCCAAGTCACCTGAGGGTGGCGGAGTGACGGTGACAGACATCCATCCTGGAGGGCAGGCCCACTTCCACTGTGATCCAGGGTTCCAGATTCGAGGCCATGAGGTGGCAACCTGTGTCAACACAACACAGCCACACTGGAGCACTGCTGTGCCTCAATGTGTTGGTTTGTAGAACAATTTTGTTTTACATGCGGCAGCCCCTAGATAATCTTTGTAAATGCTGTCATTTATACGGAGGCAAACACTAGAAAATGATATGCTGGGTATTATTTTTCCTTAGTTGTGTCTTGTGGAGGGTGGATTCGGAATGCATCAGTTGGACGGATACTTTCTCCACCTCCTCCATCTGTCAGCAACCATACAAATGGAAATAATCTGAGTTGCCACTGGCTGATAGAAGCCAAAGAAGGACACAGACTCCACTTGCACTTTGAGAGGATTGCACTGGATGAAGATGATGACAAGTAAGTCTGTGCCTTTACTTTTTTCTACAACCAAAACACCAGAGGTCCAAAAAAGGAGAAAGAAAAACTGGGATGTTTCTGTTCTCTTCATTCTAAAACAAATAAACTAAACCTAAACTTTAGGTTCCACGACTCACATGTACAAGTTGAACTAGTTGTTACTATTGTTACTATTGAGTGTGCATCCATTTGTTACTCAGTTTCTCTCTGTGTTTTGAGGAATTACCACCAGGTGCTGTATCTTTGTGGTCTGTCCTTTATAGGTTAATCGTGCGAAGTGGAAACAGTTCCCTGTCCCCTCCACTCTTTGACTCAGATCTGGATGATGTCCCAGAGCGTGGGTTGCTGAGTGAGAGCTCCACACTGTACCTTGAGCTCACAGCTGATTCTTCCTCCATTCCCTTGCTGCTAGCACTGCGATATGAGGGTGAGCTGAGCACGATTCTTCAGGCAGTTGGCCTGCATTCTTTTTGCAAATAGGTCTTTTTCACATTCAGCAAAACAGAGGAGCAGGACTGTAGCAGAACTGCACATCCATTGAAATTCATTAATGTATTCTAGTCAGTGCATGGGTCAGCTTTTGTTGTTTTGACAAAAAATGTTGTTATGATTAATCCCAGAACTGAAAAAGTCTTGTGGTAATATAATATTCTCTGCTTGTTGTCTGCTTGTATCTCTGAGATATATTTAACACTTTGGAACTAGTTTTTGGTAACGCATCCAGCGCTTAATTCGTGGGCTTTTTTGTCGCTAAAAATGTTTGACATTCTTTTTTTAATTCTAACCATAAAGCTCCAAAACCTCTTTCCCATCTACATGAATAAAGTTGGTTTATTTGTTCAAGAGATTCCCAAGAATTAGCATTTATTGGCACACATAATGTTGCATTTTATTAACTTTATTCTTTTTTTTTTAATCTCTGTATAGCTTTCGATGACGAGCACTGCTGGGAGCCGTACATCCCTCATGGAAATTTCAGCAGTAGTGACATCACATACCAGCTGGGCACCACCGTCAGCTTCACCTGCTCTCCGGGCTTCGTCATGGAACAGGGTTCAGGGACCATTGAGTGCATCAACCCCAGCAATCCCCACTGGAACGACAGCGAACCCATCTGCAGAGGTACATTTTGAGATGCAGCTTTTATCACATTTCCAATGCATTCAATGACTTCCTCACCCTCATTTCCCCAAGCTTTCCTTCTTAATTTATACTAAGGTTTTATTAGTCACTAATCCATCCTATGTGATTGTTTATGATTTTGCATACAATGGAAATTCACTCTGCAAACCGAATGGCTGAATTTCTGGGAGGGGAGTGCACAGCTTCAAGATGCTGTAGTCACACTGACTGTGTCATCTGCTGTTCTGCTGGCTCGCTGTGAAAACTGAGAGCAGCAAGAGCCTGTTACTGATATTTGCACAGGGTCAGGGACGGCCTGAAAACACAGGTGGTACAGCTTCAACCAAGCGTTAAAGTGACAGATTGACACTCAGGACGCCATATGCTTTGTTGTATTTCTGCTTACAGAAAAACAGAAGCAGCTCTCACAGTCGTGATTTTGGGATGTGAATATTGGTGTATGTTAGTGGATGGAGCATTCAAGGATGTATGTACAGTGGCAGTTTGTATAGTCAGGACAGAAAATAGAACCGCAGTTGAGATTGTGGATGTATTGGTGCTTCATTGGTCATAATTAAATTAATATGACTGCTCCCAGAGCACGGCTGTTTATCAGTATTTAGTTCTTTTATAGTTTCCTGTTTAAATGTATGGTTCAAATGGTGTGTGACAATCAGCAGGAGCTTTTTATCTTTTCAGGTTACAGTATGTAGTATACGTTTGTCAAAAAATATCATTCAAAGATGGACATGTGCTCAAGGTTTTTGAGTTTGGCATCCTCCCAGCCTGTCTGCTAAACATAAAGATGTGTTTGCATGGCTGTATATTTGCATTGCTTTCCCAAAGATTTATTTTAGACGGCACCAGTGTTTCATCCCACAATTGCAGTAGAAACCAATAACTGAAAAAAGTTAAATTATCTAGAGTTCATTCAGGAAAAACATTGCTTGTAAGGTTCTTTGTAAATGTCTCTTTAAGTTAATTCTCTTCTCACCTCATCTGCCTTTCAAAAATCTGTATTGAAGGACTTTATCTTGTTTCTTTCATGATTAGCCAATGTGCATCCTGACCTAACGTTCTCTGCTCTGCTCTGTAAGCTCTGTGTGGAGGGGAGCTGACCGAGCCCACGGGCACCGTCCTGTCCCCTGATTGGCCTCAGAGCTACTCTAAAGGGCTGGACTGCATGTGGCAGATCCATGGTAACGAGGAAAAGCGCATTGAACTGGATGTGCAGATGTGAGTATTTCTAATAAAAGAGCGATTTAAGTGTGGGTTGTTTGTCCATCAGTGAGATAATGCAAGTCCTACAAGGACAAATTTCATGAAACTCTGTGAATGGTGTGAACATAAGCAAAAGTGGGCACAATACGTTGAATATCCAATCCTCTTTCTTAAAAATAATGACACAGGGCATTGGCCTTGGTTAGCCAACTGCTTTCTAACTAAAGCACAAAGCACAATTTCAAATAGTCACAAAGATGGTAGTAATGCAATCTTTATGATTTACAAACAGCCTCTTGATGCACATTGAGTCCACTGTGCTCTGTTTGCTGTAGAAGAAAAGTGCTTATCAGTTATGTCTAATAATGACCTCCATAATAACTTAATTTATGGTCCAAACATCTGTTAAACCTAAATTCATGATATTAACTTTCTGTTTGTGTCACAGTCTGTAATTAAACTAATAATCTTCGGTTATTGTTGCGACTCTGACCAGGATGAAAGCTTTTGTTGCTGTTCTAAACTAATGTAACTAAAATCACTACCAATTCTCATGAAAGGGGCGTGACTATGTGAGGTCTTGTGTGAAAGCTTATTTTTCTCATTTATGATTTTTTTTGTCCTCCTTAGATTAAATATCCGCCACACAGATGTGCTGACACTTTTTGATGGGCGTGACCTCTCATTACACGTGATTGGCCAATACCTGGGATCCAAGGAGCGTTTCCAGGTTGTGTCCGGGGGATCTGAAGTCACAATTCAGTTTCAGAGTGATCCAGATGACTCCAGTTTCATCCTGAGTCAAGGCTTTCTCATCCATTATCGCGGTAATTTTGATGTTAAGCTTGAGATGGATCTCATTGAGCTGGACTAATATGTAATGGCTCTTTTACTAAAAGTGCTTTTAAAAGTGCTATGTTCTCTGTCTGTGCTCTGCAGAGGTTGAGCCTAATGAAACCTGCCCCACACTCCCTCAAATTGAGTTTGGCTGGGTCAGCTCATCCCACACTTCTCCTGTGAGAGGCAGCGTGCTGACCTACCAGTGCCAGCCCGGATATGACATCAGCGGATCGGACATCATCACCTGCCAGTGGGACCTCTCCTGGAGCAGCAGCCCACCCACTTGTGTGAAAGGTGAAAAAAACAATGGGACACCCTTTGAAAAAAAATTTTTTAAAAGGGGCATCTTAAGACAAAAGTATATTTAGAGTTAGAGTAAGTTAGTATCTTACTTGAAATAGAAAACAGGCAGAGTGCTCGCTGAGAAAACCTGATTCTGCAAACCAAGGGTGCTCTGCTCAGAACAGCGGGTCCCATTTTTCTGCAAAGATACACTGTGAAGCAACTGAAGCTCAACTGATTTTAACTGATATTAACTCAATGTAATTATTTGAAAAACTGATTGACTCTTGGCAATAGCTTCAAAATGACAGTGCAGACAAAGAAAGTTAGCATTTTTGCCATCGTCCTTGAACTTTAAGATCTTTTGTTTGACTTTTTCCTCACACATTCTTTAGAATGAATTATATTCTTGGGTTTTTTTCTGTGTCCCACTTTGCCCTTCACAGTCCAGCAGTGTCCTGATCCAGGAGAGGTGGTAAACGGAGCACGCTCTGTGCGTCCCGAGGCAGGCTTTGCAGTTGGGACAGTTGTGCGTTTCTCCTGCAACCAGGGTTATCAGCTGGAGGGTCCCAGCCAAATCTCCTGCCATGGGCGGGACACCGGCACCCCCAAATGGAGTGACCGCAGCCCAAAGTGTGTCTGTAAGGCCCTTTTTATGAATTTGGCTGTTTTTTTTTCTTGCTACACTCTTCACATTCCTGATCAAATGTCATTGCATGACTGTGTCTATTTTTGCTCTGAGCAGTAAAATATGATCCATGCCCAAACCCTGGAGTCCCGGACAATGGTTACCAAACCTTGTACAAGCACAGCTACCAGGCAGGAGAAACACTGCGATTCTTCTGCTATGAGGGCTATGAACTTATCGGTGATGTCATCATCACATGTGCTCCTGGCCATCCTTCTCAGTGGAACAGCCCTCCTCCCTTTTGCAAAGGTAAAAGTTACCACTATAGTCCCAGTATTTCTAGATCCTCATCTGGAACGGTGAAAAGAACACAGAAAATAAACAGTTATGTTTGGATCAAATTTGTGTCTTTTAAGTAACACTAGTAAAATTAAGATTGAACCCTGATCACCACTTTTACTAATCTATATTATCTCTTTACTCAGTGGCTTATGAGGAGCTTTTGGATGATCACAAATCAGAAGGTGATTTATTTTCTTTTTCCCTCTTTGTGATATAAATGAAGCACTGTAAATGTAATATATACAGCTACCATATGCTGGATTTACAGGACCTCAGTGGTATTTCAGCATTATTTAGTTGCAGTGTTTTTAGCGAAAGCTTCTTGATTCTCTTACAGTGTCCCAGTCTTTCGAGCCATCCCATCAGATCCTGAGTGAAAACATTGCTTTGGCAATCATTTTACCAATCATCCTGGTCATCCTCCTGATTGGAGGAATATACATGTACTATACAAAGTAAGTGTTTATGTTGGCAAAATCTAACCTGAACAATTACTGCAATGTTGAGGCTGTTCTAACTTGTGTTTGTTCTTTGTCACCCGCAGTATTTGCAGACTAGAATGGAAGCCGCTCTTCTGGAAATCTCTTTCTCACACACACTCATACAGTCCAATAACAGTCGAATCTGATTTCAACAATCCTCTTTATGAAGCTGGGGTAAGTACGATAATCTGTCATTATTGTTATGAGTATTTTATTATATTAATGTTTTCATCTTTTTTTTTTTCAAAAGACCTGTGTCATTTTTATTTCAAGTAGAGAGTGTTCACACTTTAAACTCATCCTCTGTTTTCCACTGTGACCACAGGACACACGGGAGTATGAAGTATCCATTTAAAGAAGAAAATGTCTGGGAGAAAGTTAAAAGAAGGGATTCAATTCTTGAGGAGGATAAATTATTTTGTATAAAGTGGCCTCATTCCCCTATCATCATTCGTTTTCACCACTTTTTGTCTTTTACCATCATTGTATATCATCATTGGTTTAGCAGTAGTGGAAGTGCTTTTTTCTTATTTCTTATTTGTCCCACTGATATGGTGATCTGCCAAATATGATTCCTACTTACTGGCCAATCTCCTGTTTCATTAGGACTGGTGCCTTATGAAGGGTAAAAAATGGAAAACAAATTACATAAAAAATAAGTGTAGGGAAAAACACATTACGGGGGTGGGCTAAATGCAAACTGATTTATTTATGTTGTTCCATTATGAGGCCAAAAGATTAGAGCGCATGGCAATACTTTATTTGTAACAATCAAAACTTACTGTCATTTCTATATATAGAGGGAGAGCACATGCTGAATGTTTATCTTTCATTTTCTGCAAGCGGGTCTCATTATGTTTTGCTAAATGTCAAAGTAAAGGGGAAGAATGCTTTATTTTTAATCATGAGAAACGTTTAGAAATAAACAGTCATTATCTTTTCTCTCACATTCACACGAACTGAATGTAAATATCTGACATCATATTGGCTGAGGTTGATATATATGTGTGTACTTTAATAAATATATATAAGCCTCAAACATATATACACTTATTCATGGTGGTTGGAGGGTATATATTTTCATTATATAGAATAATGAAAATTCAGTGCCAAAATATAATGTTAAATAATTCAGTGTCCCTAAGTGTTTCATCTGTTGAAATAGTGTTTACAAAGGCAGTGCTCATTTTATTCTTTGCTGTTTCTGCTGTCATCACCAGATGTCACACCACATACTGTGTTAGAAAAGGTGAGGACATGAATGTCATTGCGCTTCGAGCATGCACTGATTGTAAATTATATTGCTTATGCTCAATCTCTCCATTGCCATTATAGTTACAGACAGTCATCATTGTTATCAAAATTGATGTTGTATGCACTATGTTAATGAAACATTTTAAATCAGGCTGCTTGCTGTAATGCATTATGTATTTATTTATAAATGATTGTTTGAAAAGTGAATGTAATGTCATTCACTGAGCCAAATGAAGGATTCTGGAGACTGTTGCTTTGTAGAGTTAATTCTTACCATCAGTAGCAATTATTTGCTTCATATATAAATACACTCTTTTGAAGGCAGTGAATTATTTGCTGAATTGGAAATAAAGTCTGTGGAATGGTGTAAAGTTTGTCAAAACGTGCTTTTATTTCCCAAATGGTTATCACACTTTAATTTGTACACATGTAAACAACATTTTGTCATAGTTTTTTTATTAATAAATAGGTAATTGGGAAATGAATGTCAAACAAAAAACAATGTTTAATGTTTACAATAGTATTCCAACTTTCAGGCACACGTCATATTTTTGGTTGCTATAGCCAATATTGTAGTTTGCCTCTCTTTGGTTTGCTATGAATGTTTTCACTTAAAATGTAAAATGTCTATCTGCCCTCAACAATAAAGGCTACCAAACCAGACCCAAATGCATATATGTCAGAAGTATAATTATATGGGGAAGAAACATTGTACATTTATCTGATAACTTCCCAAGGGGCAGACTCTTGAAAAGTAATTCCTAGAGAAACCGAGTAACACGGGGCCTCGATTCAGTGTTGCGATTCTCATTGTAACCACAAGAGGGCAGTCAAATTTCAGATGATTTGACATTTTGTTCACCATTCTTAACTGACACAACCAATATAATAACAAGTCATAGTTTATTTTCTGTCATTAAACATGGATACATGGACATGAAAACATTAATATTATTAGGGAACCCTTGTTCAAGGCTGTTTGGTGTTTCCATATGTGGTACTTTCCAAAAAGCTTTTTCGTGTCAAAATTAAACGTAGAAGAAGAAAACAGCGGAAGTAGTTTCTCTGCTTTCGTTTCCGACTGACCTATTTAGCTTGTCATATTAGCATACGTGAATAATCAGGTTTTGAAACAATGGAGTAAGCTGGTTTTGATGTTGGAGTTAGCTTGTTGTGATTTGTATAGTTAAATGTTTCACCTTACTACAGGTGATACCTTACAAATAAGACATTTTACTCTGAAGCGTACGAAATACAAGAGTTGTTGTTAGCCACTTTGATTTAGCAAGTCTGTTGCGGTTTAAAATGATACGTCCGTCGATAGTCGCGTTTTAAACACATTTCTGGTTTGGATTGTTTTTGGTTCACTAATTATCAGTTACAGGCTTATTATCGCTACGTATAAGTTTCTATACACTTTCGCTCTTTTGGATGTTCAGTGTGGTAAGTACATTTGATTTAAGCTAGTTTAGTCTTATAAGCATACCTTTGCTTTCATCACTTAGTACTGTAATCTGTGCTATTTTATAATATTGTAGACCTTTATGTCAAATGTTTTGTAATGTGTTACCCGGTTGAAGATTAATTCAACAGACAGGACTAAATTGTTTTGTTTCATAAAACGACATAGTCATCTTATGATAAACGCCTTGTGGATGATAACAATATACATTTAAATGTGAAATATGTTTGTGCCCAGTTTAAAGGTAGGAAAATCAAAGCTATAGATTAAGGTTTAGGTCTGGCTCAAAGGGTAATTGATCTAAAACATATGGGCCAATCGGAAAAATGAGCTGGAGGCCTCAAAATGCTGAGAAACATGTCCATATTGTTAGTCTCAGTTTGTGTTTGCAGTACAGTTTAGAGGTTTTTCACCAGTTCTACATAGAATATATGACATTCTCTTGTTTGTTGTTCCATCTTGTTGAAATCAGTTGTTTGCCTCCTTGGCAAACAACTGGTCAGTGATGGAAACATTAAGCATTAAGGTGTCATATTACCAAATCTTTTTTTGAGAAGGTGGAGTTGTCATCCTGGAAGTGAATGACAACACAGGGTAAAGCTGTTCCTAGAACAGTGTTATATGTAGTCACTATATCCACTTTGGGAAGAAAAGGTCCAAACTAATAAAAATTTCCCTTACAATATGACAGCCATCTCATCCCCCTAACAATAGTGATGGTTTCAGTTTTCTCCTTTATTTTGTTTATCGTGTATAAAGAAAGACCACTTGAATTTAGTAATAATTTAATTATGCAGGCATGGTGAATGAAGATCTTTGGCAAACGTTTATTGTCTATGTTTGCTTTGATTTTCAGTTATTTCATTATCTAGTTCAATATTTAAAGTAAACAAGCTCATTTCTTGTTCTACATTACAGTTGGGAAGTGACTCCACAGCTCCATGTCTGCTGAGGCTTCAGTTGGCAGTGATTCTGCCAACTCTGCCCAGTCAGCTGTTCCCCAGCATGCCTATCAGAGCACAGATGAGCACAGAAATCACGGTCTGCTCGGGAGCAAGTATGTCAAGTTAAATGTGGGTGGCTCACTGCATTACACAACTGTCCAGACACTGAGTAAAGAAGACAGTCTGCTGCGAAGCATATGCAATGGAGAGACAGATGTTACCATAGATTCAGAAGGTAAGTAGACCTGTCTGTCTGATAATCACTAACCTTTCTTCTGTTCCTTTTACTTCATTACTGGTTTGTATCTTCAAGACTGTACTAATATTATGAGTCTAGAAGTTCTAATAGATGTCTTGATGTGTGGAACTGCTTCCTCGTTTTTACATAAAGTAGAATAAATAAGGACAATATACCTTTTAAAGATTCAGGCAAAACCCAATGACTGAGAAAAGTGTTCCTGCCATTCCAGGGTGGGTGGTTTTGGATAGATGTGGCCGCCACTTTGGACTGGTTTTGAACTTCCTTCGAGATGGCTCTGTACCACTGCCAGAAGACCACAGAGAGCTCGATGAGGTCTTAAAGGAGGCCCAGTACTATCAAGTACAGGGGCTAGTGCAGCACTGCCTCAATGCCGTGCAGGTAAAATGTTCTGTTTGTTCTGTGCAAAATGGAAATTCAAAACACAAAAAAGGACAAAATATTCCCATGTGTTGTGTCCCTGCCAAGCAGAACTGTCAATCAGCTCTTCTCCTTTTTCATAAATATTTGTTTACTTTTAGAAACGAAACAATGTCTTTGAAAGTGTGTGCCGGATCCCAATGATCACCTCAGCCAAAGAAGAGCAGAAGATGATTGCTACCTGTAGAAAGGTAAATTCATGAAGTAAACAATCAAATTTACCACTACAAAAAATGTGAATTCCGTTCGCAGCTGTACACCCATAGATGGACTGTGAAAAATGTTGTCTTATTTAGAAGTTAGGAATTATTCTCACTGAATTTTGTTTTCTGTCCACAGCCGGTCGTAAAGTTGCAGAACAACAGAAGTAACAACAAGTACTCCTACACGAGGTAAGCAGCTGGTCGTATTTGCTGGTGTGTGCATCAATTTTTTTACTTTACCTTTCCAGCTGTACACATGATTCATGTACACTGTTTGTACCAACCTAATTTGTTTTTCTTCCTCTTACAAGCAACTCTGATGATAACCTGCTGAAGAACATCGAGCTGTTTGATAAACTTGTGCTTAGATTTAATGGCCGCGTCCTGTTTGTCAAAGACGTGCTCGGGGATGAAATCTGCTGTTGGTCCTTTTACGGTGAAGGCCGCAAGATTGCTGAAGTGTGCTGCACTTCCATCGTCTATGCGACAGAGAAGAAGCAGACCAAGGTAAGGATCACATGATGAATGTGATAAGCTGTTGCCAAAAGCTTTTAGGCAGCCTACTTTACTCACCAGTGATGGCAGTCTTTAAGTTTAGCATAGGACAAGCACTGGAATGTGGAAACTCTTTTTCATACCACCAAATTCCTTCCATCATTATTATAGCCATTGTTGAGTTTCCAAAAGGCGTGCAGGCCAAATTAGACTTACTAATTGGTGAAAATCCAGTTTAGTAGAGAGATTTAGAAATGAATAGATAACATTCAGCTCTGTTTTCCACATCAAGAAACTATTGCTGTGCTAACTACCAAAACTGTCTGCTTTTAGGTTGAGTTTCCTGAGGCACGGATATTTGAAGAAACACTCAATATCCTCATCTATGAAAACAACAGGGGCTCTGGTCCCGGAGGCTTGCACCTTTTAGATTCTAGAGGCTCCGGTTCGTCACTGGGAGCAGGCCAGTCGGAGGAGGAGGGAGCCGTGGGGGGGGACAGACGTGTAAGACGAATCCATGTACGAAGGCACATAATGCACGATGAGCGAGGGCACGGTCAGCAAACTGTGTATAAGGACTGATTATGTAAAACGAGCTCAGGGGAGCTCTGTTCTGTTTTTTTTTTATGCTTGCAGAATGAAACAAGTTCCTGATTACAGCAATAGCTTGATATTTACTTATTTTATAAAATGTCTTAAAACAAATCGGCAGAAATTAGAGTTAACTGATTTGTTGTCGAAGCTTGGAGATGTTTACAAGAAAACAATCTGTGCACATTATTTGAGAAGGAAACGAAAAATCAGCTGTGACTGAAACATTTAGAAATATAATTTCAGATGTTAGTGAACTTCATGAAAGTTAGCGAATGGTACTCAAAACGCCCCTCAACCACGTGGATTGATTCTGTTTTCCAAGAGCAGGCTATCTACCATTATTGTGGGTGGTAATGGTAATCTGTGGCAGCTGTCTTGGTGTTTAACTTGTAGGAAACTGTATTTTATTCAGGTTGTGAAACATCTGATCTGTTTTGACTGTTTCAGAAAGAACATACAGGTGGCTAAAGTCGAGCCTCAATATGTTAACACTGGACTAAAACAGAAAAGCCATTTTCAGTAAGTTTGTCTATGAGTGCGATTGTTGAGCAGCTCAATTTTCTTTATTTAAGTTATTACGGCTGTTGCTTCAAGATGTGTGGGGTTTTTTTATTATTAATTTATTAACCTAATTTATTGTTTGATATGTAAGTTTTATATGGATTCCTGTCCTTGTGTTAACTAGTGCTCAAGTGAGTTTTAATTCTGGGATGATACGATGCACTCTACGGCACAAATAAGATTTTGAAATCCTGTAAATGCATAAATCACATTTCAGTTCATTGTTTCAAGAGAAACTGTGACCATTTCTTTTACGTATGTTATTCTGAGCCAAAATCTTTCACTTTTGTGTTGTCTTACACCAGATTTGTTCAAATGAATTGGCCATGACGACAGTGCAGCGGTAGTGCAGACTGGGTTGTGTTTTGATTTGCCTCAGGGAGAGGATAAGTGATTTCCTTTCACTGGTGACTTGTCTAAACCTAAACACTCTGTGTAGTGAGAAAAAAAATCATATTGAATGGGAGCAATATATAGTTCAGTCACCATGGAATACCTTGAAATATGCACTAATATAACTTCCGTCCAGCAGTCTTGGAAAAATTTAAAATAAATTGCTTATGAAATTAGTCTTCAGTGTCTGTGTATCATTTTTGCTTGATTCCCTTATTTTATTTTTGTTTGTTTTTTTATCAAGCAATAGACAAACATGCACATTACATAAAAATGTGGACACTCCTTATTTATCAACACAAACACTAAATTCAACATCAAATTACATTTAATTTTTTAAACCTGTTTTTTGTTCACCTTTCAGATTTTTACTTGATTCAAAGGGGAGATTAAAGAGCAGTGGCAGTATGGGGATTTTTATTTGTCTGTGGAGGGGTACAATTGAGAGAAAAAATGAGAAAGAATTACATTTTTAAATGAAAACGATTTCATTTTGAAAAAAGAATGCGCGGTTGCGTTGGTACACTTCCGGCTACGTCATCAGGCTCGCCCACCCCCCGCCAAAATGAAAGCAGCGGACATTGACGTGATGGTGTCCGAGACCGAGGCAGCGAAGATCCGCAAGTTTGTCTGTAAGCAGCTCCGCGATGAGCCAGACCTCAGGTATAGAATGTACTCCGTTTTTAAGCGGTAGCTGCTCTCAGAAATATTAAAACCACAGGCCTGTGCAGCTTTGGTCCTCATGAAGTCATGCTAACTGCTGTGGGGTCAGAGCTGACAGGAAGCATGGTGCTTTGCTGCTAAGTGGCCTTTTGGATGTATGATGCTGGCATGTTGCGCTTTTAAATGGGGCTGTGATGAATGTGGAGGTCCCATTTAATTAGTGCTGCAGCTAGAACAAACTGAAGACTTTTTAGCTCTCAACATTAGAAATGTGGCTAATCGATTAGCTATGCTATGGTATGATATGATGTGGAACCCCTTGGTGAATGGGATGGTAAAATGTTAGAATTTAGGCAGTTAATGTGGTACGACTTTTTTTAATGTATCAAATCAGAAAGTGCATAGGCATGAGAGTGCAAAAAAACAACTGTATTTGAACCCACAAAGTCAAACTTTTCTTTTACCTGATTAAGGCATTTACATTTTGTATTGATCATTCGTCAGGATTAAAAGCTTTCAAGTCAAGTCAAGAAAGAGAATGCAAACATCTCGGACAATACTGTTATTGTTTATTTCCACTTGTCATTTCTACCTCAAACTCACAGACGAATTTTTTCCACTTTTTCCTTTCAGCAAGCTGACTATAGGAATTTTAAAGAAACGTTATCTGGCTCACATGAAATGCGATTCGTTAAGTCCTGATGCAAAAAAATTAATGAAGCAAGTGGTTGGAGAGGAGATCATGAAAATGCAGGTATCTTAAAAAAAATCAGAAATCTTATGTATTCATGTTGTGAACTATTAATTCTTTAGTGTAATTTTGCTTCTGTTTGTCAGAGTACATAGTACTGAGTACTTATCTTTTCTACATGCTTCCACAGACCAAAATGAATAAGACTCTGCCTCAGGGAGAGGATTAATTATTTTTGTTCTGTTAAAAACTAGCTATTAAACAGATGAATCTGAGACGGGTGCATGGTTTTACATTTCTATAAATCTATACATGTATGAACATTTAATGTTTTGAGGGGGATTGTACATTTTTTGTGCTGTATTGATTCTATTTATATTCCTGCAAGGAAAATGACAAAAGCGCTGGAGAAATCGAACCCAAGGAAGTCCAGAACAAAAGGAAGAGAAAATTGGAAAATGAGGAGCTAGAAAGTGATGGAGAAAATGAATCCAAAGCAAAAAAGATCAGATCCTCTCATGCAAGTTCATCAGGTAGGGTATAACCATAATTTTTAAATGCATTTTAATATATTAAATTCCAACAATATTCCATTGATATTAACTAATATCAATGGTTAACCATATTAACTAATATCAGGGTATTCCGTTTAATCATTTCCTATATCATTAGAATATTTTGCATGTGATTAATTTCAGAATCAGAGGATGAGTCGGACTGTAAAACAGGAAGCAATGGAGAAGAAGAAATCGAATCTCCATCTACCGATGCAGAAAAAGATGTAAAAAAATCAAAGCAAGAGCAAAAACAGAGCAAACGGCAAAGCACGAGTGATGACTCTGCAGAGGGGGAAACTGACGAATCGGAGAGTAAAGGGAACAAAAGTTCCCGTGGTGACAGTCCAAAGAAAATGCTGAAAAAGAAAGCAAATACTACAAAGAATGAGGAGAAGAATAGCATTGATGCAAGTGAAGCGAAAAAAATACCCGGGAGTGACAAGGACAGTGAGAGCGATGCAGACAGCCTCTCAGAAAAGGGTGACAAAAGCAAGGAGAGCGAGTCCTCAGACAGTGAAAAAGGTATGCATTTATAGTCATATGTCAAAGAAACATTTATAAATGCACGATTTAAAAAAAATAATAATAATAAATGTATGTGCTTTTTCCTCTGTCGCACAGATAGGAAAGTGTCAGCTGAAAAGAATAACGATTCCGACTCTGAGTCGTCATCACTTCCTTCTTTGGAGGACGACAAGGGTAGTGGGGGAAAAAATGCGCCCAATGAAAAGAAGAAGAAGACGAAAACAGAAAACAAACCCAAACGCCAAAAGGTGAGCTTTGATGGGTTATCCATTTTATCTTAATCAATAAAATAAAATGTTGAGGATTGATGTGATGATTTTGATAAAGTGGTACAGTATTTTTAAAAAAATTATTTGTTAAATTCTTAGCAGCTGCTTCTGTCTTTGTATGACAAAATGCTGAGATGCTGGTCTATGCTACACCGGTACAGCCAGCTCCAAAATCGATCCATAGAACATTTTTAAAACTTTCCTGCTTTTCTGCAATGTATTAATTGAATTGGAAATGAGAAAATCTTAACCTTGAGAGGCATACTGGAGATTCATATAATTTGTCTGATTTTCTGTGACACAAAAATGGATTCATGGGTGCATGAGCTTTAAATCCCATCTTCTTGCAACCCTAAATATCAGAAACGACTGCATACATTTTTACATGCAAAATGTTAAGCAATTTTTTGCTCATTGTATCTGCTCCCTTTCGTTGACCCCCCCCGCCCCAGGATGATGATAAAGCAGTTGTAAGGCTGAAGCGCTACATTTCTCTATGTGGTGTAAGAAGCAATTACAAGAAGATGCTCGATGGCTGCAGCTCTGTTCGCTCCAAAGTGACTGTTCTGAAAAAGCACCTGGAAGAGCTTGGTGTCCAGGGTCAGTTTGAGGACTTTTTAATGTGTTTTTTTTTTTGTGTGTCTGTTTTTCTTCCAGAATAGACTGCAGTGTTTCTTGTTTTGTTTTTAGTAGAGAACCCATTTGGAGAGTTGATTTGGTTTAAATGGGTAAAATTACAACATTTCAGTAACAGCTATGGTTACACAGGAATATGTTTCTGTTTTCTTCCATTTAGGTAATCCATCTATTGAGAAATGTAAAAAAGTTCGAATGAAAAGAGAGGAAGCGCAAGAACTGGCTGCGCTCGATGTCAACAACATAATAACCTCACAAGGTATCTTTTTTTTTCTGGTAGAGAGAAGTCATTCAGCAGTGCTTTCACGTCATTTAAAAAACAACAAAAACTTGAGCAATGAATAACTACCATAGATATGATCATTTTTCTTCTTTTAAGGGAAATCTATAACCCTTTTTTATTTGCAATTTCACCAGGAAATAAATTATTTGCATCACATTTATTATTAAAGTGAAATGTGCAGTGTATATAAAAATAGAATTGTTGTAAAGTCGCATTAATGATGAAATAGGAGTGCAGTGGATGCAGTGTGTTCGCACATAGGAAACTGTTTCAGATGAGAAACGGTGTTGTACGATGCTGCTAAATGTAGCTGGACTTGTAGGTGTGGCTTAAACCCTGTTAAAGACTACAAAGGCTTGTAATTTTAAGTAGCTGTTTTGAATATGACCATTTTTTATGTGGATCTGTCAGTTGCATACCAACTACATATGAGACAATTTGATATGCATATATTTCAGGTCGACCTAAACGTGGAGGAACCACAGCAATACCGAAACAAATGGACCCTCCATCCTCTGCTTATCAGCGCACTTTGGACTCTGACAGCGATCAGGAAAACAAAACGGACAAAGGACAAAGAAAAATTTCCCAATGGGCGAATCTGCATGGGATTATCAGCGATGATGCAGACAGTGACTGATAACAGCTCCACTCCCATATATTCAGGGATGATATGTTAACTTGTTAATTGAGGACTTTTTTATTAGCTATTTCCTGCTTTGTTACTTGTCATACAGTACTTATAAATATTCTCATTAATGTATATACATTTTTTTACGAGGTAGTTGGTAGTTGTTGTTCAATTTCTAATAAAAGGATTGTGATTAAATTATTTTTCTTTTGATCTTGACTAAAAGATATTATAATTAGTAGGACAAGAAGGGCAGTAATCAACCATGACAGTCTTGGGGATCAAGTAGTAGCAAATAATGATGCTGCAGCACATCAAGTTTAAACAGCAACCCAATTAACTTTCAATAAGTAAAAGCGTTCATTTGCAAACGAGGAATATAATATCGAGGAAAGTCTAATCTGCGGAAACGTCTGGTTCCGGAACCAACGCTGATATGGATGTGTACGGAACATTTGGCAGAGGGACCGCCCCACACTATAATGTGTCCGTCAGCACGACTACAGGTCAATAGAGATTTCAATTTATCATGCACGACAACAAGCGCGTTATTATTTTTGTGTATGCTGCTAAATATATTTCTATCCAGTTATGTTTTTTCATTCTGTGGTCTGTGCGAATACTAATATATTAGAAACCGTTGAATGATACAAAAATGTCCGTACGTGACCCCTTAAACTGCTAGCAACCGTCCTGTCAGGGGGCTTTAATTCATAACTAAGGAAAAAAGCATAACATAAACTTATGTTAAAGGTGCCAGTGTAGTTCACATAAGAATTAACCAACCAACCGACTTTAAATGGTTTCGACCAATCGAAACCTATTTAAAAAGTTTTAGTTGATCGTTTAGTTCAAGTTTATAAATGTGTTAACGTGATTAGTTATCAAAAAATCATTTTTTCTAATGAGAACCCATTTAGTGTGTAGCCTAAAGTCGGATAAATACAGGTAGTGACACTTTTATTGATGTGATTTGCTTTTCAGAGAGAATCCAAATAGTCAGGTGATCTGCATCCTAATGTAGTTCCACCAACTCACACACTTAACACTCAAATCTACTGTGTTCCCAAGAGGTGTTTGTAATGCTGTCTTTACAGTGTAAGATAATGACAAACACAAAAGCAAACACAACCATCTCATTCTGCACATTTCTTACAGGAATGGATGATGACACTCCAAATGAGGCATTTGCTGATCTTAATACCAGGCCTCTTGGAGGATGGGGTGTTGCTCAGATAGCTGCAGGCACTGGGCTTGCTGTTTATGCTATGTGGGTGGGAATTCTTCAGCCAGGCTTCCGAAAAGTTCCTTTGAGGCTGCAGGTATGGTCTTCACTGTTCAGAAAACTCTGAATTTTGTGATGTTTGTAATCCCTTTGATGGGCTTTATAAAAAATACATATCTCATCCGAGTGGATCATTCAAATTTCTTTAAGGTCCCTTACATCCCTGCCAGCAAAGCACAAGTAAACAATGTGATGACATTACTAAGAGGCCGAAAGGGAGGCCTTGTTGATTTGGGATCCGGCGATGGTCGTATTGTAAGTATGACTAAGGTAGTTGGAGTTATACTTTTTGCAATGATTACTAACAAGCTTTCATTGTTGTCACTTAACTCTTAAGGTCTTGGAAGCTCATCAGCATGGTTTCAGTCCTGCTGTTGGTTATGAGCTCAACCCCTGGCTTGTTCAATTAGCTCGCTTTCACGCCTGGAGAGCAGGACACCATGAAAAAGTTTCATACAGACGAGAAGATCTCTGGAAGGTTTGGCCTGTTTAATAGAGTTACAGCATCATCATAACACTATCATAAAAGTTCATGTTTTAGTAGTTTCTCTAATGTTGCTTTTATTCTCTTTAATTCTGCTTCTGATCTCTTCACAGGTCGACTTGACCAAGTGCAAAAATATCACTGTCTTTTTGGCTCCCAGTGTGGTGAGTAATGTAACAAACATGTAACTGTAAACTGTGACAAGGATATGCATGTCCTTTTCAGGCAGTGTTAAGGATCTTTTTAAACGATGTTCAATGTCAAATGGTAAATCACAGCCATTTTGGATTAATCTTTAAGCCAGGTGGTTCAAATGTGTCCGCTCTTTATCAACAGTAACTAAACCAAGAAAATGTCCCTCAGGAATTATCTTATAACAGATGGCTGAAATTAACTTTTAGTCAGATTAGGGCTGTCAGACTGTCACATATTTTCAAGAATCCATCATGACTGAAAGCATCACAATAACAATTTTAACACTTTACCGATTAAAAACTCAATGTATTAAAATAATTGATTTCAGAGTAGTTCATCCTTTGCTTTTGACCATTTTGTTTCTTTTTAAATTCCTCCTTAAATTTTTTTGTCAGAATATTTATTTGCCGTAAGAGTTTATCTATACTTCCCTTATTTAGATGTATTATTTTGATCATTAAAAAAAAAACTAATTGTTCTCTTATGTTCTTAGCTTTCATTATTGCAGGAAAAGTTGCAGGCTGAGCTTCCTGAAGATGCCTTAGTGGTAGCAGGTCGTTTTCCCTTCCCTGACTGGACGCCCTGCAGAATTGAGGGATGTGGTGTGGACAGAGCCTGGGCATATAGCATGGAAGCACAAAGGCAGCACACGTTAAAGAAAACTGATGAATCTGTAGCCACAAGCAGTGGCCCAGAAAAGTAATTATCCACAGAGAAATTATCCTTTTGAAGTTACATGGGTAGTTTCTTCTTGTTCAATAATAGATTATGCAAATATACACTGGAAAAAGTCCTCGCTTAAGTATGTGAAAATGTTAAACCTAATTTGGCTGTTTGATTACGTCCTCCAGTTCTGAAATGCAGGAACAGATGCATTTTAACTGATTAAATTGTAATAATGAGACAAAAATGTAAATACTATTGATTCATATCTATGAATTAGGATTGGGATTTTATATTTAATATTTGTACATATTAATGGGCAAATACTCCCCCCCTGTAGAATGAAGTATTTGCAAAAATCAACCAAGAAATGCATTGGTCAAAGGAAAGTTGTGGCTTGTAAAGTGTATGTAACACGTCCTTGAATCCCACAGTCCTTAAATTTATGAACTATGTAAAAGCTGTTTTACCAGTCATTTTTTTATTTATGTAAATTTGTCTTTTAAAGATTCTTAAATATGACTGAAGAAAACGTGTTGTATTTTTTATAAAAAGGTAATAGTGTGGAACAGATCCTTCTATGTACATGTAATACACATGTACATGCACTTATCTTTCTCAACATGTAAATTGTAACTTAAGCTAAGATTGTTTTATGTAATGTTTGTATATAGAATAAATCAAATCTTTTCCCACACAAAATTGTCATCTGTACTCAATGCGATGAAGAAGTCAATGGTTGAACTAGAAGTACATTTCCTTCGACATTCTTGGTACTTGGTCAGTACGAGGTATCTCTTTTCTTTTAACCTGCTGTTACAATTCCACATTATTTCAGTATTATTTCACATAATTTATTTGTTCATATAAAATGTTATTCAGCAGATAATACAAGTATAAAAAACACGTTATGCTGTTAAATCAGTACAATGACAAAATACCATATGATTTCGTTTGTGTGTGTTTACTGGCTCTAAAGGATTTTGGACTATTTTATAACTTTGGCATAAGTTTGTCCATCATATTATTAATTGGAAATCTAAATGATATTCTGCGTGTGTTGCATATTGTTGCAATCGATCTTTCTGGCATTTCAATTATATTTTAATGTACATGGGCTGTCGTTGTGTGTCCAGTATTTGTAGAAAATGCGTCGTAGTTCAAAATCTATTACAGGAAATCGAGACTTTCCCTTCGTAAGTAACTTGACACAGCTCGATTGGGTTGGTTGTGTCAAAAGAGGAAGTTGCGAAGCAGACCCTAACCTGCAGCTAGCTTTAGATTTGAGCCGCCCAGAGCTTTGGAAAGAGGAATAACAAGAGCAGGCGCACGTAGTATGTTTCAATGTTATTAGAAAACTGTACGTTAAATAGCTTGGATATGCATATTAGAAGGATTTGAAATTAGAAACGGGAAAGACCAGTTGTCGTGACCAAGAGCCACAGAAGCATGCCTACGGCTGACATCACGCTAACGCAAATTATGCCTTCATCCTTCTAGAAAGGCTAACTAGTTAGCCATCCGCTGCAACGTTAGCAACTGGTAGTTTAACATAGAAATGGCAGACATTTAATGGCGATTAATGCTGCACGCCGACCCGGTGCTGGAGGAGTAATTGCTGTCTAGATTCTGTTTAAATACGAAATCATACGGTTGACTTAACGGTAAATGTAACACGTTAGACGACAATGCAGCTAGCCGTTCTGGTAGCTGATTCAAAGTTGAGCCTATTTTTTTGGCATTTTTAAAAACTAGTTTTACTAAAAGACAGTGAAAGTAGTTGCCGAATTCAAAAGGAAAAAAAGCAACTACGCCAGCCTGTATGCAGAGACTCGAGCTAAGCAGTTCGGCAGAGCATGATGCACACCCTTTGCGGTTACGTTAGCCACCGACACCTTTGCTAACGCTAGCTACGGAATTGACTAGCAAGAGAACAAATGCTGGATCCCTACAGTTATTAATCAACGATTAAGTTGACTAAAGGAAACACCAGAGCCAGCTGAAAATGGTAAGGATGTTTTTACGCTTATTTTTATTATCCACATCTTGTCTCGTCGGGTTTGCTTGACACAAATGCAGGATCAGTTTATGGCTGTGCGTTTTTTAAATGTTAATTTTCGTAGTGTAAATACTTTCTTCACGTGGAATAAGGCTGTGATTTCATGTATTATGGAGCTCTCATCTAACGGTTCGAAGCCAAGTATTTCACAGGATGTGACAGGTCGTTGAACCATTTCATACTACAAAACGCCCATCTTGCAAAACCGAATATTTGCTTGAAGTAATGTAGGGCCCCGGCAAGTTGTGGCTTATTTGAGGAATTCAAACCTGCCTCCTACGGGGACTGCTCTTTAAAGTTATTTTATTTGTCAGGTATCTGCAAGTCATGGTCAGATCTCAGCCTTTCATTGCAGAAGTGTCGATTTGTATTTTGTGCATAAGCATGAGGAAACACCAATGATGGGTGTGATAGTGTCGTGTACAGGGCACTTTACTTACTACAGATTAGGGTAGTATAGGTTGGAAGTCTATGAGCTCTTGAAATGGTCCCACCAAGATCATATGTAATGCCAGGAGACAGCCAGAAATCAGCAATTGGGAAAATAACATATTAAATGTTAGGATTTGAGAGCTGAGATGGAGGTTATTGAATATTAAAGATGTTGAATGTGGATTACTGTGCTTTCTGGTACAGAAAAATGTCTGTCCAGTTGCCACAGGTCTAGTTTTATCGCAAGTATAGATATACGACGTATGCTAGTTTGTGTTCTGAATGTTTTTTTTTAGTCCATTTTCTTTGTAATTGATGTACCTTTTTTTTTTAACTTTATCTCCAATCAGGCTTCAGAGGAGTCATCCCTGCGTGCGCTGGAGAGCCTGATGACAGAGTTCTTTCACACCTGCACAACCAATGAAAGGAAAAGGGAAATAGGTACGTCTAAACCTTTTTAAAGCATATTCTTACACGAATCACAATCCAGTGTACTCCGAGTTTGGCTTCCACCATAAGGGGAGGGCCAACAGGTCTTTTGAGGTTCCACGGTGAACATTTTCTCCCCCCAGAATTATTCACATTAGTCTTATGTAGGTGGTATTTCGGTTCATCACTGTCAAAGTTCTTAGTGTTGTACGGAGCAGAGTCACAAAAAAAAAAAAATCTGTAATATTCCCGTGATGACAGTCTGAGCAAAGTTAATGATGCAAAATATATTGTTAAAAAACAATTATTAAGAACAACTTAAGCTCTTTCGATCACCCTCCTGTTCAATTGTAGAGCAACTCAGCCCTTGTGGTATGTTTATCCCTCCTCTTCATTTCCTGTCAGCAACTCTGCTGTCGCTCTTGAATGAAGGCAAAATGCCACAAAAGTAAAGCTCGTGACATGTGAAAGTAAAGGTTGTAGACCTTATCCTTAAATATTTACTAAAAGCACAGATGCCAAATTTCTTTATTTTGTTTTAATTTTCAGTTGGTCACTGCAGAGTATTTAAACAGCTGGTACATTTCTGTTTGAAGTTTTCAGGCACAAAATGTCTGATGGAGGACTATAGTGTAAAGTACATCTGACCATGCAGAAGAGGGCATGTGACTTCTTCTCAAATTGCTACTTTTACATGATATATTCGTATTAGTCGGGCGTTTTTATGTACTTCCTGTTATGCAACAGAAAAACTTTCAGGTTGTCTGTAAGTGAAGTTGAACAGTGTTGTGAACCTCTATCTGTGATCATGCCGACTTCCTTTTTTATTCTACAGAAGAGCTTCTGAATAACTTTGCACAGCAGGCCGGAGCATGGCGCCACTGCTTGTTCTTCCTCTCCAATACTCGGAACGAGTACGTGATGATGTACAGCCTCACAGTATTCGAAGTAAGTTCTGTGGGTTGTTTTTGCAATGATTATTTATTAAGTGTTTTTGTAAGTATTGTAGAAGGTCTTAATAGCATCCCGAAGCTTTGACTACAGGACAGTTCTTAGTAAAGGGTTCTTCTCTACAGGGATTTTAACTGCTGATTGATTCGTTGGTGACAATTTGCCTAATTTGTTATTTATTTAAATATATTTATCAGTACCTTGAATAAGCTGGTAGGGAATCAATGGCTTACCAGACAGATTGGTTGGGCATAAATGCGTTGTCTACTTTGGCAAAACGTTAAAAACATGACGTTTCTTTTTGTGTCTAGAACCTGGTGAACAAAATGTGGATCGGTGTGGCCTCACAAGACAAGATGGAGATTCGTAACTGTCTGCCCAAACTCCTGCTGGCCCAGCACAAATCTGTTCCCTATTTCATCCGTAACAAACTCTGCAAAGTCATCGTGGATATTGGCCGCCAGGATTGGCCGATGTTCTACCACGATTTCTTTACAAACACCCTTCAGGTAAGTCTTGACAGTTTCAGGCCTCCTTAACTGACTGACAGATTACACACTAAATACAGAAGTCATCTGAGACACAGAAGTTGTGTTAAAAAAGCTTACCAAACCACAGCTTCTGCTACACACATGATGTGAACTGTGCTAAGAAGTATCTTTTTCTCTTTTTGGGCAGGGCACTCTGCTTGTCTCTGTTAGTGCAGTCTACAAGATGTTTTGACAAAGTTGCACAGCCATATAGGAAGAAAGTCGTATTCAGAGAAGAAATAGTTAAATTTTATGTTATAATTTAATTTAATTGCTTACTGAACAAGCTTTAGCGTTACCATCATTTGATCTCCATTTGTCTTATTTGTATCTGTAAACGCTTCCACACTTCAAAACGTGAGCATTTTGAAGGGCTATGTGTGGATCTTTTTGTCTTGGCTATATCAGCAGTAGCTATTCATACAGTTTTCACAGCAGAAGGAATTTTGTAGGAAATGTGCCCTCACGAATAGAAATCCTGGAAACAACATCATGTGAAGCGGCTGCATTCACGTTTTATCTTACTGAGCAATCTTCCTGAGACTTAACCGTGTGGCTGGCTTGGAAATCACCTCCGGAGATCTGGAGCATTTAGCGTCACCCCACTGGAACATTCCAGGGCCGCAGTTTCTGTGTGATAACAGCATAAGCTGTTTGGTGCTCTTCCTGAATTTGTGCTTGCTCTTACATAAACTGCAGCTGATCCAGACCCCAGCTCTGGCTCCGCTGGGGTTGGTGATGTTAAAAACCACGTCAGAGGAACTTGCGTGTCCTCGAGAAGATCTCAGTGTTGCCAGGAAAGATGAGCTCCGGAAGCTGCTGCTGGAGCAGGTACCCACAGTGCTCGGACTGTTGACTGGTGAGTACAACATCAAACCTCCCACCCTAAAAGCTGCTGGGACTTAAGATTTGATTAACTAAAGGTTGAAGCTCAAAATTAAAGTAAAAGCATGTGTCAGCAAAGGACTCACTCTTCTGCAGGTATTTTGGAGACCTACTGGGACAAGCACAGTGTCATAGCTTCTACCCCACCTCCCTCACCCACCTCTGGGGAAAGTGGTGAGTGAGACGCGTTTTGTCATTTAAAACTTACCTGTTGTAACTGTGACTGTTTGTCAAGCACTTTATTTGAATGCTAACCACCCAGTTTTGTTTGTTTTAAATCCCATCAGTGGAATTGCTGGGCAGTTTATTTCAGGGCAGCCAGTACTCAAAGCTGCTTTGTCAGCCCATGGCAGCACTGGACAATGAGAGCCATCAGCTCTGTTGTCTTGTATTGGAGTGTTTGGCCCACCTGTTCAGCTGGATCCCCCTGTCCACAAGTATAACGCCCACCCTGCTGGCGTCCATTTTCCATTTTGCACGATTTGGGTGTGACCTACGGACAAAGACAAAGGCGGGAACTTTCATCTCCACCTCCTCGAATGGACAGCCCAACGCCGGGACAGTGCCACCGACCTCCAACGGAGAGGGGCAGAACAGACAGCAGAGTGAGGGGACTAAGGTTGATCGTGCTCGGCTTGGTGTGCTCGCCATGACCTGTGTCAATGAACTGGTGTCAAAGAACTGCGTGCCAGTGGATTTTGAGGAGTATCTGCTGCGAATGTTCCAGCAGACATTCTTTCTCCTGCAGAGGCTGACACGAGAAAACAACGCTCACACAGTCAAGAGCCGCTTACAGGAACTGGATGAGGGGTATGGAGCAGTTCCATTTGTTTATATGGAAATATGTTGTGGTTGGAGTCTGTAGCAATAATTCTCAAACTGTTTATTTTTAGTTTTGTCTCCCTCAACCAGGCTAGCAGACAGAAGTTGCAATGTCATATGTCCTAGTGGTTGGTCTCTCTCAAAGTCCTTCACCTTCCCTTTACCTTTCTCTTCTTATTAACTCTTGGCTATTACTTTTTCATTTCTTCTATCATATAGCACCAGTGCTGTTTTGTTTTTTTCTTAGTGAAGACAGAAATATACAGCTGCCTGTCCCACATTTCTCTCCAAGTTGAAAATTTCCCCACATTTTTCAGATAGGCGCTGACATTTTCGTGAATGTTTTTGTTTGGTTGGTATGGCAGAAATAGCCCATTTGATGTTTGGCTGCAGTGTGTGGCATGAGTGATAGAGGAGCAGAGATGATGTATTCTGGACATGTAACCTTGGCCTGTTTGATGACTGTTCACGTGTGAAGATGACTGAAACACCCAAAATCTCCATTACTGGTGGAAAAATGACCAATCATATAAATGAGAGATGAAGATGAAGAATGTGTTCGTCCCATGTGTTGCCAACAGCTGGATGAACATGGTACCTGATGTATTTAACTGAGTGTTTCTCTGATTTTGCAGTTACTTGGAAAAGTTCACAGATTTTCTGCGCCTCTTCGTCAGTGTTCACTTGAGGAGAATTGAGTCGAGTCCTCAATTCCCTATTGTAGAATTTCTCGGCCTGCTTTTCAAGTACACCTTCAAACAGGTAGGTTAGTTGTAAAGGTGTAGTCTTCCATTTGAGCGATACATGAAGAAAACATGCTTCTCCTTTTATTTTTAGCCTACACATGAGGGATACTTTGCCTGTTTGGACATTTGGAGTGTGTTTTTGGATTTTCTGACAACCAAAATCAAAAGCAGGCTGGCAGACCGAGACAGTGTCTTGAATAGGTAAGTATATTATTATACACATAAGAAGGCGCTGTTTACTTGAATCGGGCTTTGTTTGAAGTTGATTCTGATTTCGCAGGTACAAAGACGCCTTAGTTCTTCTTTTAAGGGAAGTTCTGAATCGCATTCAGTTCCGATACAATCAGGCCCAGCTGGAGGAGCTGGATGATGAGACTCTGGATGATGATGTAAGAGCATTTCACATCAAATGTCAGAAGCTACAATTTTCACAATTTACACATTCTTAGTCTCAAACCAACAAGTTTGCAAATAAATAAATATGATTTTCATATTGCCTTCTAAACCAAATCACAAATTTATAATTATCCTTCATGTCAAAATCTCAATTTCTTCTTCATTATGTAACTATAGCAACAGACCGAGTGGCAAAGGTACCTACGTCAGAGTCTGGAGGTGGTTGCCAAGGTGATGGAGCTGCTTCCATCCCATGCTTTCTCTACTCTGGTAGGATATATTTAATTTTGTGAAGTTTTTAGTAATTTATAACTGTAGTTTTTGATGTCCAGGTTGAACAAATTGGCCGTTGCAATATACTCCTAAGACCTGGGGAAAGCTATTTAATATTAGCTTCAACATCCTTATTTTAGACTTATGTAAGATGTTGTATTGTAAGTGATTAAAGAGAGATGCTTGATTCTGCTGCTGAAAAGCAGATCACTTCAGACATAGGGTGAGTGTTTGAGGCTTTCTCACCTCGGTTTTTAGACTGCAGCCACACCTAAATGTCTCATTCTGTGCTGATACACATCTTTGTTTTGATTAGCTCAGTCCAACGCATTATTGACCTTTGGTCAAGCCTTCAAATCTGATTCCTGTAACCTTTGGCTTCACATTTATAAGTTTATCTAACATTTCAGCTAATTTTGTTTTGTTTTTTTCACTTTATTGCCTGTCCACATCCATTAGCCCCGAAGTTATGAAATTGTGCTCTTTAATTGCTCTTTAAGCTTATTGTGCTCCTTATTATCTGCTCCTTTTGACCATACCCAGACCAGAATCACCTTCAAAAGAACAGCTTTTGTTTTTTTTGTAAAGTTGTCTTATACCTGTTTATCTCTTTAAAGTTTCCAGTTCTTCAAGAAAATTTGGAAGTATACCTGGGTCTGCAGCAGTTTGTTGTCACCACTGGCTCCAGTAAGTCATGGACAAAGCACAATTTATTTCGCAGACTGTCAGAGAATGATTTGCAATAAGTTAATTTTTTTCTTCTTGTTTGTTTTGCTGCCGCCCAGGCCGTAGGCTGAATATCACAGCAGAGAATGACTGCCGGCGCCTTCATTGCTCTCTTAGAGACCTCAGCTCACTCCTTCAAGCTGTCGGACGTCTGGCTGAACATTTCATAGGAGAGGTCTTTGCTGCCCGTTTCACAGATGCACTTGCAGTGGTGGAGAGGTCAGCGTTATCCCTGAATACCACTTTTTTTCTGTTTGGTAAAAAGCTTGCGCTATTTGATGAATTTGCAGTATAATGAAGCTTTTGTTTCTTTTACCCAAGACTGGTGGAAGTGACTTGCTATGGCTCTCAGATGAGTCTTTATGACCTGGAGACAGCTGTGCCGTCTGTGCTCAAGCCTGACCTCACTGACGTGTGAGTATCACATGTTTAAAGGGGAAATAAATGCACTCGCTGTGAATGTGGCACAAAGAAGAAGAGGGTGGAACTGAAAGCATGAACAGTCCAAATACTTGTGTGAGTTGAAAGAGTTCAGAGAGTAAATAAAATGTTTTAGTGGTGCTGGTGAGGCTGCCTGCTTTTAAGTAAGCTTACAGAATTGTTCTGTTTTTGGAAGTGAGTTAATGTATTGGTGGGTTTCAGGGTCAGAAATGTCTACCACTTAGAATGAACACACTGAAACTCCCATGAAAAGGTGACTTAGCAGAAAGATAGATGTGTACTATAAAGAAGCCTATTTAAACTGTGTAATTTGTGCTTTTTATCCCTTTGTTTCAGACATGCACAGGCCCTTGCTGCTTTGCAGGCTTACTCTCACTGGCTCGCACAGTTCTACAGTGAAGTTCACAGTCAAAACCAGAGGCAGTTCATCAACCTCATCACGTCAGCAGTAAATGCCAGTTGCCCACTCATCACTGCTAAGGTAGTTGGCTTTAAACTCATTCTCTGTTCCTTAATGCATACATGCTGGTAACAGCCATGGAAGATACCTTATTTTTTCTGCTTTTACATATTAAAAACTCCCCTAAGTTGCGTTATTGTCCACACAGTACCAGGAGAATCCCCTCACTGATTCCTGATAGAAATAAAAATATTTCACAGCCCTAATGTGAACAGGTTCGACTTGGAAATTCCAGTCTTTGGTTAATGTACTTTATCATGTCAAACTGTACTCTGATGGACATTTATCATCATTTTAGTTGGAACTTGTCTTCAGGAGACCATTTTAAGTATCTGTGTGATGTAAATTATTTCCCCAAATTAGTTTATTTATCAGTCAGATGTGTTGGCCAAAAAGGATTGCAGTATTCTAACTTTTAATAAGATCTTGACCTTTACTGATGGCCTGGACAGAGATTAACATTACTTGCTGTGTGATTTTTTTTTTTTTTTCTTTTCATTTATTCCTTTCCTTGAAATCTGAGCTTGGTTTCAGTTTCTTTGGCCATTCCCTCATTTATGACGTGTGAACATTATTAACAAGGCTGTCGGCCAGGACAGAAATCAGGAGCAGGAAATCGCTCTTTAGTCTTCAGTTTAGTTATCGCTGCACATTCAGCTGAAGGTATCACATGCCAGTTGAGCACATATCTAAACACAAACAGCACTATGCCTGTGGACACAACACAGACTACGCACAGCAGCATCAAGCAGCAGCCTCTAACAGTGAGGCCTGGCCCTGTGGCTGGTTAGCTTTTACTTATCAGCTTATCTGCACTCTGCCACTGTGGTAGCAACCATTTAAGGGCTAAACTGTTCATTAAAGCCATCTGCCGTTAAATGTGAGTAAACTGTAGAGTAATGAAGTGCATTCATTGTTCATGAGGATCCATAACCGTTCCATCACATGAATACTGCAGACATTATTTTAGAAGGAAGGAAAACTCATTTTTGTTTACTGTTCCATGTTGCGGCTGTAGGCGTGTAAAAGTGGATGTTTGATGCAGAAACTTTGACCAGTGCTTAAAATCTGCAGTCGAAGTTCTTATGATTCTTTTTTACTTTTTGTTTTCCACTTTATTTGGTTGTTGCTGGTGAATGTACCCCAAGACAGTTGTGTTATCATCAAAGAGAGTTGTTTCAAGCCACAGTTACTCAGTAAAAATGATGATCGCCTTGTTTAATTGTTTAGATAATAACGTGGCTCTCAGCAGAGTAATTTAGTTTCCGTTACAATTCCATCTTTTTCCTCAGGTACCTGAAAAGTTGCTTCTGTCAGCGTGTCACCTGATGGTTTCCATAACCTCTACTGTGAGGCCTGTGTTCTTGGTCACTTTGCCAGCTGTTCAAAACATTTTCAACCTAATCACTGCCGAGAATCAGACCAACAGACTTCTCCAAGAGGTAAATGTCTTTTATGTCTTTTTAAGGATGTTTTCTTTTCTTTTTTTTTGTTATCTTACTTTCGGTATTAAGGAATGCATCGTTAATTTTGGTTTGTATATCGTGCAGGCTCACATGCTGGTGTGTAGGGCTTTATCCAACATGCTACTGCTCCCATGGCCCAATTTGCCAGAGAGTGAGCAGCAATGGCAAACCCGCTCCAGCAGCCATGCCAACCTCGTGGCGGCACTCACCCGAGAATATCGCATTCTCAGAGGGACAATGAGCATCAATACACGCCAGCCTGGTGTAGATAATGGTCAGTGTTCCTTTTTTTTCTTTCATTATTTGTGTTTTTAAAACTCTTCTGACACCTGTTATAATCCTCCTGTCTGTGACTCTGCAGTGAAAGCAGTCATCCAGCAGAGCCTGCCTGTGCTCAGAGACATGGTGGACAGCATCTCCGGTGAATCCACCAAATCACGACAGATCTGTTACCAGAGTCTGCAGGAGTCTGTCCAAGTCACCCTGAACCTCTTCCCAGTCTTCATTCAGCAGCCTGGTTAGTTTATGTCTTAACAGCTAAAAGAACATCCGTTCTTTTTCATTTTGTCACCCATTTGCCATTTCGGTGGGGGCTATACTGAGGGTCATTTCTCAATCACCTAACCCTATCTTACAAATGTACAATATACTTTATATAATATATCATCTTACTGTCCAGCTTTTGTAAATCACCTCCTCTCTGTCCCAGATGTCACAGATGAGATGTTGGCCTTTTTCCTGACGTTGTTTCAAGCCTTGCGAGTCCAGATGGGCGTTGCCTTCACAGGACAGATCATCCACACTTTCCTGAGCATGTTCACCAGGTGAGAGAAAAGGCATATGCTGAATTTTTTTAACTTTGACCCTCATTTTGAAGTCCCTGTAAATTCGCACCATGCAGGGAAAAGTGATGCTGAAAAATGTGATGTTATTTCTTTGTGCTTCAGGGAACAGCTGGCAGCCAGTATTTTGCACGAGGGCAGCGCCGGCTGCAGAGTGGTGCAAAAGTTCCTGAAAATCCTGCAGGTGGTGGTGCAGGAGCCTGGTCAGGCTTTCAAGCCGTTCCTGCCCAGCATCCTCTCTTTGTGCATGGAACAGGTCTACCCCGTTGTAGCAGAGGTCAGTTACTGATCCTTTTGAATGCCTAGAAACAAAAAAAACAGTCAGTCGCCATTTCAGACAGCTCTCCTGTCTGAAATGGCGCTGGGGATTTATTTCAAATAGAGACAAATACAAGTATTCTTGTGATCAGGTTATTTTTTTCAAATCTTGTGTTTTTTCAAATGAATCAAACCTCCTGTAAAGCAGCTGTTGACTGAATACTTCCTCTCACAGCGACCTTCTCCAGACGTCAAAGCAGAGATGTTTGAGCTTCTATACCAAATACTTCACCAGAACTGGAGGTACTTCTTCAAAGCGTCAGTCTTAACAACTGTCCAGAGAGGACTGGCAGAAGACACCATGGAGAATGAGAGCCAGTTCACGGCTGCCATGCAGGTGACTTATCCTTTTTTGTCTTTTTTCCAGGTCTTTGTTGGGATTTGTTTTCCAGATGAAAAAAGACTGAACTTATTAATTATTTTCTATTTATTTATTTATTTTGTATTTCTTTAAAAGTTAGACGTGATTGATGTCAGAGCGGTGCTTTCTTTTCAGGCTTTTGGACAGTCGTTCCTGCAGTCTGACATCCACATCTTCAAGCAGAATCTCTCCTATTTAGAGTCACTTAACAGCAAGCACAAGCTGTATCACAGAGTGAGTCCAGCTTTTCTTTCTGTACATTTAGTTTAAAGATCTGCATTAATAAGCCTCTTTATTAAATCTGTCTGTTTAAATCTCAGGCTGACACAGTCAAGCTAAACCTTTAGCTCATCTGTCACAACAATTAAAACAGTGATTAAGGAATGGGGTAATTACTGTTTCAGTAAGGTAGCATCAACTCCACTGTGTTTCCTAAATTCTGTCCTTCAGAAGCTCTTCCGGACCTCGATGCTCTTCCACTTCATCAACGTGCTGCTGCAGGTCCTCCTGCACAAAAGCCACGACCTGCTCCAGGAGGAAATCACCCTGGCTATTTACAACATGGCCTCTGTGGACTTTGATGCCTTCTACTCGGCTTTTATGCCAGAGTTCCTCAACGGCTGTCATGGCGTAGACTCCAGCCAACGAGCTGTTCTCGCACGCAATTTCAAGCTTGAACAGGCAAGAGCTGATTTTGTTTTTGTGTTATAGTTGGCTCGTCGAATTAGTCAAAATATTCACATGTCGCTAACACACAATGGAGCAGAAGTCGCCACCTGCATCCCCCTGTGGAATAATAATTGGCCTGTATCGAGCTGTAAACATGTGACATGTCCAAATGCTTTCAAACCTTAGCACTGACTTAGTGAGTGTTGAGTATCACTGAATTTTTGTAACTGAATCGAGTTTTGCTTTTCTCCCCCCTCTCTCCAGGACTTGCCTTCGTTCACGCAGAGCGTGCAGCGGCTGGTAAATGATCTTCGCTACTACAGACTGTGCAATAGCAGCTTGCCCACTGGCACCATCAAGCTATAGTACAAAGGCTGCTGGAACCACTTCACACATCAACTATGATCTTCAAGGACTGCCTGTGCTGACCACTTAACCCGACACTCCTCGAGTTCAGCTGTGCTCCCCTCGCTCAGAGTAGCGAGGAGCGGAACATTGTTTTGGTTGAGTAACGGGAGGTGGAGGATGCTGCTGATTATTTTCTTTGACTTCTACTGTAAAAGGTTGGCACAGTTGTTGTATTTTGTTTTTTGTTTTTTAAAGTGGTGCCCTCCTTGCGTATCGCCAGTGAAAATTTGGTGAGAAATGTACACCCCTGGTCGGCAGGTGGTATCTGCCCAGACCCAGAGCAGTCTGAGCCAGGCCTTCTCTCCCACGCCACTGCTACAAAGCTGAGCTGGGACTGAGCACTTTCAACTCATTTTGAGTTTTTTAAATGTCTGCTTTTATCATTTTGCCTTTTTCATCTCCAAAGGAGACAGACTCTCAACTTAAGATCTTTCATATCATTCCATTCTGAAAAAGAGAAAAATCTGCTTGATAAATAAAGTGCTTTTTTTTAGGAAAAGTGATGGATTGATTTATATTTACTTAAGTCTGTGGGAAGTATTTCTAGTGAATTGCATTTGGTTTAACAGTGGTTTTACTCAGAGGCTCGAGACCGTTTTTTTCTCCATTGTCCATAACATATTTTAAACTTCTTTTTCCAAAATCAAAGACATCTACTTAAACTGCAAATTTCAGTCTGTATCTTTACAACTCACTCTAAACTAATTTATTAGTTGCTGAGTCAGCAGTCTAAGCAGAGAAAACAAGTAAGACCATGTTTAAAAGCATTGTTTAGTAATAATGTGTGAGCGGAGCATGACGGGAGGAAGGATTTCAATGTTGTCGACAGTAATGGGTGGAACAATGTTCAGGTAACATCCCAGCTCATATATTCATGTTTTGTTTATTTTTAGAAATGATCATTTTGAGCAGTTAAATGTTGAGGCCTGCCATTAACATGTGTGAATGTTAAAGATAAACATGGGCAGATAGGAGAAAACTAGAGACTCAGCTCAGCCCACAGAAGTGGGACAGAACCCACTTTTTTTTGGATCAACAGGTCGTTTACCCCTTTAGATCTAACCCTGATCCTGGGATTATTTAAAATACGCCTTTAGAATAGAAATATTAAGGTAATTCACACTTAAGAAATATTCAAAACTTCATTGAATTACCACCAAGCCTTATTAAAAATGTCCTCTTTGCAAACAGATCGTGCACAGTAACTGAAATTTGCATTAAAGCCTTTGGCTGTTGACATTAGATCAATGTTTCATTTGTGCTGGGATTAATGATTAATGATTCAGCTGACCACTATCCGAGAGTGGTCAAAGACAAGATGAATTACACCGAAGACTTGGACGACTTTTAAGACAAACCAGGAGACGAAGCTACAGAAAAACCACCTCCAGAACTCCCATTTGAGCCAAACGAGCTTAAAAGGGACTGAAAAATGTTTCCCAATGCTTCTCTGTGAAGTCACAAGAAAGAGAGGACAGGTTTGGCATGACTGGAGTAAAGTTTGAGTTTGAGTGACACGGAGGGGAGACGGCCAGGGGGGGGGGATGACTCGTGAGTGTCCATTGAGGAGGGTTGACTCCACTCCGGGGGCAGACAAAAACACACGTGAAAACGCGATCATGCTGCAGCGGCGTCTCTTTCACACTATTCTCCGACACTTTTGCCCGGACACTCCCGTGGTCACCACCGGCCGGCTGGCCGGGGCCCCCCCCAGGGCCGCCCTACGGACGCACGGCCGCCTGGCACCGGGGCAAAGCGAGTAAGTGACCGGGTTCGATCAGCTGGAGGCCGGGGGGGTGAGGGATCCGTGGCTTTTAACGAGGATCGATTTTCCTCTGCTGCCATGCTGCTCGCTAGAGAACGCTAGAGACGAAGGGGCTCCACCTTTTTTGAAAAAAAGAAGAAGAAACTTGGTCAGTTCAAAAGTTTTTCGCTTTCAAAACGCCGATTATTGGAGACGGCCACCGAGACGAGGGCGCTTGTTTCAAACTTGGCTACTGTGTGGATCAAACATGCTTATCAGAAGGAAGGTGGCCCATGGCACAAAAGAGAGGTCGGAAGCTCAAAGGTTTAGGGTGATGACGTGGGGGACGGCCGTGCAGCACACATCTGCACAGACGCCCAGATGTGCAGTTATTACGCAGGGGACGCGGCGGGTTTGCTGCCTACAAACCAGCACCAAGTCAATTCCGTCCGTATCTTTGTCATTTCCAAGGTGCCTCCCTGTCTGCTCACACGTCCCTGATCACTCCCATACTTCTGATCACAGCGGGTCACGTGTGCACCTAATTGATCGCGTGCAGTTGTTCAGGCGCTCTGGCGTGATGCTGCAGCTTGTGTTCTCTGCGTGGCACAAAGTGAAGTCAAACCCAGGGGAAAAGATTAGTTTGCACGTTGTTTTATTTCTGATGTTTGCTTTGGAGTCTCAGAGAGATTCTTTTTACTCTGGCCATCATGGAGGCTACCTAGTCTAGTGTAATGGGTAAAAGGAAACGTCTACCACATTCCTAATGAGGGCACTTAAAATCCAATCTTTGAGGCGGTTTTAGGAAAAAACAACAATACTCCAAAAGCAAAGAGTCCAAGTTTTAAACTTGTTTGCATGTACTTCAGATCCATAACACACTGAAAACATTTGGCACATGATGAAATAGACGAGTCAATTCAAGAGGCCACAGTGAGTTCCAGCCCGAGGAAATATCCCATGAAGTCATTTAAACAATGCGGGAGTGTGCATCTTTCATTTGTTTCTAAGCTTTAAGGGGAATGGGCGTGGGTTGTGACTTACCTTCTTGTCTTTAGGTGACTACTGTTAGCAGCAGGTATGTGTCAGATCCTGAACTGGATAAACATTAATGCCCTCACTGCTCTGTCTCTCCACAGCCGCGCTTAAAGATTTCAGGGAGCGGACTCTGGTGGCTGTGAAGCCGGATGGAGTTCAGCGCCGTCTTGTTGGACAGATAATTCAGCGATTCGAGCAGCGAGGCTTCAAGTTGGTTGGCCTGAAGATGTTGGAGGTAAAGAGAAAGTAATAAATAAATCCTCGGCAGTGTGTGTGATTTGCAGGTTTTTTGTTAACTGGAGCTTTTTTTTTTATCTCCAAGGCATCTGAAGAGCTCCTTTCTGAGCACTATTGCGAACTGAGAATGAAGCCTTTTTATCACGGCCTGCTGCGTTACATGACCTCGGGGCCTGTGGTCGTCATGGTGAGGGCTCCCCTTTCTGCCTCCTCGAGGGTCACTTCTGATTTATTCAGCAATCGTGTTCCTCTTTTGTAATTGCATGTGTGTTGTGTGCCATTTCCTAAGGTTTGGGAGGGACACAATGTTGTCCAGACATCCCGAACAATGGTGGGACACACAAATCCAGCAGAGGCCCCGGCAGGCACCGTCAGAGGAGATTTCAGCATTCATGTCAGCAGGTAACCAGATACAGTATCTAGTGATCACACCATGTCTTTAGCTGGTTTCCCGACTTAACGAAACCCCTGTGAAACTGCTGCCTGTGATTTGGAGATAAAGTAATCTTGGACGTTGATCATTTAAAGGAATGTGGTCCACGCCAGCGATTCAGTGGAGGGGGCTCAAAGAGAGATCCAGCTCTGGTTCCAGGAGAAGGATATCCTGAACTGGGACTGCTGTGATCAGACCAGCACCGGTGATGTGTGAAGCTTGGTACTATTGCCTCTTCTGCTCCTCTGACTGTGTGGGCATGGTGATGGAAAATGATGAGCCATACCCGGGGTCTTATCTGAATAATTCACCTCAGGAAGTCCACTCAGAGTAAACAGAAGATCTGCACATATAGCTTATTGATCTGTTACTGCTGCAATCATTCTGACCGGTGCTTAACCTCAAGTTAAAAGTTACTCAAAGGCATGCTATTAAGAATAACCAAGAAATAAATCAAATGGACCAGTATTTAAAAAAACCTATCTCAGCCATATCTTTCCACATACTGAAACACAGCGTTCACAGTCAATTACAACTCGAAATATTTGGTAACTAACCAAAAAGATAATGCTAAAAGAATTCTTTAGGATACTATAAAAAAATCTATGACTGATATTGCCAGTAATGACACCTATGTTAAGAGAAAATATTTGTTTTTAAATATATATGTTAACCCTGTTCTTGAACTACAAAAATCTAAAATCCTTTTTTGTGTAATTTTTCAAGGCTAGTTTTTTTTTTATTGTACAAACCTTTGTAAACATTTATCTAATGGAAGACATTAATTATTCTACCTCTGAAAATGATGCAAGAAATTCAAGGCAGGCACAAAACTTAGGCGTCAGGTCTCATATTTCTGAAATGGGAATGGAAACGTGTGACCTCTGGTTGACATTATTTCTCAAAACCCAATGAAGTATTCCAATAATCGTTGTGAACTTCTTAATGATGCTGACATACCTCAACCTGTAACCACTGAATGAGTTGTAACATCTGCATTGTCACTATTCAGGAATTGTTTTTTTACGGTCCAAATCAGTTACTTGATGTTGTACTCAGTTTTGTAAATCAAATGAGAGTTTACATTTCTTTAATGTTTTTAGAATGTTTTGTTGGATAATCTGTGAGATCCAAGAAAAGAAAACATTTAATAAGAACAACGATAGGGACAACTTGTGTTCCTGTGTAGCGCACAATGATTATCAATGTATTGTTTAATTTCTTGAGTACACAATTGAAAGAGTCAACGAGTTAGCTTACTGGATTATCTTGCATTTGTTGTATAATAAAGTTTCAGATCTTGCCTTTAAGGGTGTTACAACATTTTGAAATGCAAAATGAATGAAAACCAAATAGAAGAAATGACAGTTCTAAAATTTTACTATCGTCAAAGAAAGCATCTGTGAGTTTTCTGTTGTACATAAATGATTTAACAATGCATGTGATTAAAACATTAAAATAACATTCGTCTAAAAAGCTTTGATTTCACATTTGTAGTAGTGGACATTATCTGTGTCCTTTTCTCATGTCAGGTCATCTTCAGCTACTGCCTCCCCAGGGCTGCTTCTAGCTCCGAAGCTTTACGCACATCCTAAGGAGGATGAGAGATTTTATCAGAATAAGTAGAACAATATCATTGCAACTTTCTTTCAAGCAAACTCAAATCACACATCATTACTTGACTCAATGTTCTTTGGCAGCAGCATTATTTCAGTGACCAGAAAATCGGTTATTGAAACTCATCCGAAGCAGGAACTTGGTAAGTGTTAATGTGGTCGAGCATGCAATCATGACTACAACCATCTGGGTCATTTAGTGTTGCTATTTTCAGTGGCTGAAATGTCAAAAACACCAGGCTTGAAAACAATCAACAAAGATAAGGCCCCATTTAAAAACATTTATAACAAAATGCATATTTTTAAGACTCCATGTAGGGCAGTAATAATGTGGTAAGATGACGTAAGTCTGTGCAAAAGTCAAGGCTGAGCAAACAAACTGCTGAGGATACATGGACCCCAGCATCACTGAACAAACACACACAAATACAAACAAATGAAAGTACATCCAGCGTAACACTAGACAAACCTCAAGAAGGGCCTTCTGAACCATTATCTGGCTGTAAATTCTTGTGCCTTCTTCCGGTGATACCATGCAGAATTCATCCTTGTTCAGGGAGAACAGCTGTGCTCCAGTTAAAATTCCCAGGCTTTGGATTGTCCTAACAGAAAGGAAAGCAGTATCTGTTGTTTTCTAAAGAAATATCTTATTGATCATTTTATTGAAAAGTTCAATAAGATTCTACAAAACCTGCATAGCAAACTTGTTGGATGTCAAATTCTTAAAACCTTTTGTGCATTGAGTGGGCCTGTTCGGGAGGAGGGGGGTTAGGAAACTTACCTTGTTCAGAATAACTACTTTTTTTTTACCCCCCAACACTCACCCCTCACTGAAGTTCTTTGCTTTGAGCCATGCCTCCACCTCAGCTGGTGGTGAGTGGTAGTTTAGGGGGACAGAGGTTTCAAATGAGGAGGAAACCACCGGTTGATGAACCGAGCCTCTTTTCTCAGCTAGTCGCTGCAGAAGCTCATCATTCATCATCAAGACTACACAAACACAAATGTATGTAAGTATTAATCAATCAATGCATGTATTAAAGTGCTGTACCTAAGTTGAATCTTGCACATTACATCCATAATGATCACACAACTACAAAGTGAATGGGATTTTGCGAGCTTTGGGATTCTGCACATAATGGGTATGGTACCTCGGTCGCCATTTTCTCCTGGCATGAACGCGGTGGGCATCCCCATGCTCTGAGTTCGCCCTGTTGGGCTTGTAGCTGTGGGACTGGTCACTTCAGGGCTAGTTGGAGCATATGAGAAGCCCCTTGTCTGAGGGATAAGTGCTGTTTTCTTATATGGAATGAGAGATAAGATGGCATGAAACAATAACTCTAATCCAATTAAAACTGTCTAGTTGAGGAGTTTTGTGCACACTTGTACCTTTGACTCTGTTCGAACCACTGGATTGCCTCTCTGTGTGTCATTCAGAGCGGACAGGGGCTCCAGAATGTTGTGGGGAACAAATCCTATCTGGTCAAAACGATTCCGACACTTCCACCAGCGTTTTGATGAATCAATGACCTGAGGAAAGTTCATTCGGATCTGTCAAGTTCTACTTTTGCAGCTGGATTTAAAGCCTGTGATAGTCTGGATGTTTACCACACCTCTAGCGTTTCTCCATGCAGCACTGAGAGCTCACTGCTGTTTCTGGCCACAAAGTCATAACTGCAGCAGTACAGTCTCTCACCCTCTGGTGGAAGTCCGTTTCCATCTCTGAAAGAGAAAGGACAAAAATGAACACATAGAGAAATATAAGGTGAGATATTTTAAATTTATATTGCAAAAGATAGAAGCAAACATATGTGTGTTTTCTTTGTAAATATTGTTAACTGTCTGATTTGAGTTATTGGCAACATGCTACTCCATAAAATCACTGTGAATTTGACTGATATTTAATTAGGTGTCTGTTGGCTTACACTTCATTACTGCCTTCCTCGTGGCCATCTGCTCTAGGTCGAGCATGCTCCTGTGGGTTTTTTGTCCGACTGTTTTGCCTGGCAGCATCTTGTTTGTGCTGCATTTGGACAGGATCTTCCAAAAGGTGACCGTTGGAGTCATAGGCGGGAAGCTGCCAGCCGTCAATGAAGACAGGTGAGTATGGAGGATCAGAGACGCTAAAATCCAAACTGAGGCAGATGGAGAAATTGTCTTGTTAGAGCCGGTTGGGCATGTAAGTCAAAACAGAGACCAAATCACACGAACACACAAACCATGGTGAAGTCCAGTTGCTTCCCAATGACGTCCATAGTTCCTTTTCTTCTTCAGTCAAGTGCTCATGGAGGAATGAAATGGCACCACTGGTCATAGCTGGACTGACCACTGATGCACCTAATTCTGCTCCTCCAGTGGTTTTCACCATCTGTTAAAAAACCAAAGGGTTTCTGCCATGAGGATCGCAGGGATAGGCAAAGAAAACACATTAAAAAAAAATTGAAATTCCCACCAGTCGGAGCGGCACAAAGATATGATGAAGCAGCTCTGGTGCGTCCGGCTGTGAGATGGATGACTTGAGACGGTCCTTATAAAAAAAAAAGAAGAAAACAACTAAATACAATTTTTTGGGTAAACTTGGAGTTCTGTCCACCTTCTCTGAGTCATTATTTTATCTTACCAAAAGACAGAGGGAATACTTGATTTTCTGGAAGAGATCCACAAATTCCTCCTCTGAGGGAGGGTTTGCTTTGACGGTCAACAGATCATCTGCAGGCAGAAGGCCACAATCACTCATACAACTAACAAAGGGTAGTTAAATGGATCAGTTACAACCACCGAATGTATACACCGAGCATTCATTAACATTGTTGCAACAGTTGAAGACCATTTGCTGGAGAATTGAATATGAAATAGCAACATCAGGTTCACATTCCGCCGTTCTCTGGAAAGCTCTAAAGGCCAGTCAACATGAAGGCATGAGGCAGATCTTTATTTTACTGGACTGGCCCAAACATTCCACCAAAGTGATTCACTTAAAGTGATCAAGTAAAAAAGCCTGACATTAAACAACAATAGAGAGTTAACACTAGCAATGCAAGCTGTATATGGATGGATGTGTGTAATGGAGAAGTAATGGAAAGGATTGTGGAGAGATGGCGGGAAAGGCGATAAGAGTGAGAGGACAAGCTAGATTTAAAAGGTGGAAGACCCAGTTGAACAACAAAACTGGATGGGCAGCAGGTTTTACTCTAGGACAGGCTACTCTAGGACTGCCTCTGGGAATGTGTGAGGGGCGTCATAGCATCTATGTAATGTGACAGAATTTTGCATAATATTCCTTTTTTTTTTTTTTTGCTCTGTTTTCAATGTCTACAATAGTCTGTAACCGTGTGCAAAATTTTGCTTTCCTTTGCTTTCCTTTCCTTTAACAACTACCTTTTTTAGTCTGCCTTTTTTCACCATCTGATCTACAACCTTTCAAGCCTGATGTCAATGCAAAACATGTCCTCTGGAGATACTGTTATGTGGATCTTTATCTGTCTAAATGTGTGGCAAACCAGCTTGATCTCATTCTGAAAGTTAATTGAACTAAAATACAACATTTCATCCGGACTGCATAGTATGTTGATGTGATGGAAAACCAACTCTTACCATTTTGGTTTTGCTTTTTGCTTTTCCTGCTTCTCTTCTTGTTCCTTACGTTGAGAATACTCTGGGCCTCAGCTGTCTGCTGCAAGCGAGACATGAATCTCTCCACGTCATCGAAGCAGTGGTTTAAGATCTCCTGAGGAACATTTCCCACATAACTGGACTTGTTAGTAAGTTATGGGATATATATATATATATATATATATGATTTAAATCTTTATCACATACTCACCACTTCTCTTCCTGCATTCAGTTGAGAGGAGCCATTCAAGTCCCCACTGGTTCCATTCTCTGTAACTAAAATCCACATTAACACAAAAAGAGACGTGTTAATGGAAATGCTGACGAGGACTTCAATCTTTAAGGCGATAGCACATGGATGCTTTACCTTTTCCAGACTGGTCATAGATAGTCCCTCCACCCGGAAGAGGCTTCTCTGCAGGAGGGATCATTACTCGGATACCAGTGGGCTTTCGTGGGACCACTGGAGGAGGTGATGCTGACATCTGTGGGACATAAGATAAGATAAAGTTGACCTTGCATTGAAGCAACTTACTCACTCATGTACACATAGACTTTGTTTCAAATTATCCTGGAAAGACACTCCAGTCAAAAGAATTAATTGAAAAGACTCCTTGGTGAGGTGAAAGTTTATTCCACCAGTTTTATTTTAAAAAATATTTTTACCTTTCAAATAGACTATCGATTCTTTGTATGCTGGTTTGGATCAATCACTTAGATACGATGTGAAGGCTGAGAATTGTGTAGAAATGGCCTGATCCGGTTATATAGGTGTCCCTAGAATGGCTTCCAGTTTTAATACCACTGCTGCTCGTGGGTTTGGAATCTAGTTAGTCTGGTTATCCTGCTCCTGGTTTAGCAGGATATCTTTGTTTTGGTGATGTAAGCGGATACTTATTTCTTTTTACTTTTAAATTTACCTTTGTATAAAATAATAAGACTTGTACATTACTTTGGTCGGCAGAGGTTGGTTGAAGTTTTATGTAGAAAATAGCTTTAAAGAGAAAAAACTTATCATGGGAAACAGATTTACAGATTTACATGGGCCCAAACAACTGACAGAGCAGCTATTTAGAATTTTGACTGTATTTTTTTCACTTCATTAGTACATATATTAAGGAAGTTGTGGTTTGCATTCTCACATTTTGAACTCCTATTAACAATGTCACATAAAATGCACAATAAAGACCTATTAATGCTAAATTAACACTTGACTGTGCCAAAAAGAATTACAGCTTCAGAGTGTTTACTCTGACATAAAACAGCTGATGTCATCTGACAGGAGTATGTCTGTCTCTCTTCCTGTCATTGTCCACTCCGTCTGTCTGTCTGTCTGTCTGTCTCACACAAACACAGTTTACTCCCAAAAGGTTTACGCACAGTACTGTACCTTTTTGTACGGTTCAAGAGTTTAAATCCAGAGCAGAAACACCAATACTCCTGCTGAATTGGATGTGCACTGAGCTCACCTGAAAGCAGGAGGTTGTCTTACCTTCTTGAAATATGTCAAAACAAGAAAAACAAGTCTCGCAATTCCTTTGGCGTTAATATGCGTTGCTTTCGTACTCATCTGATTCTCTGATCCACACTCGTTCCCTCCTCTTTCTCTGCGTTGTTGCTTTCTCCTTAAATATGACAGACGTTTGACACTGGAAAACCAAAGTCAAGATGAAGCTAGTTGGTGAAAATGCACTTAAAAGTTGTATTGTGGATAACCGGTCATTAATTATAGTCAGTTATTTGTTTTTAAAAAAAAGTAGATAAAGTGTGCTTCACAACTTAAAGCTGATTCTGTTGTCAGGTATTCTCACTTAATGATCGAAGCCAAAGTAAATACTTAAACGATGAGTCAATTATCAAAGATTGTGGGAGTATGTGGTGAACATAAGAAGTTTAACCCTGGAAAGAAACCAAAACCAAACCTATTAATTGCCAAACCCAGACAGGATGTGTAATGTTCGTGGTCTCTGGCTACATAAACAACAGACAATCAATACTGTCAAAACAGAACAGGTGATTGTTTCTGGATTCTTTGATGACTCCATGCAAAGAATCCTTGTCAAACAAGCTGCTTTGATGCAGGGAAATAGTGACACCAACTGGTTATCGGGCGTCATCTGACCCCACAGCATTCCCCATAGACGCATAACCTGTAAACAGAGAGGTTTTCAGTAGAAACAAGACAGAAAAGGGTACCTTGATTCTTCAAATTACTTCATGGTTCAGGCAGAACTGCTCAGACCCATTTGCAGAACATACGTCAGAACTGCACTTTAAATGCACCATATTTAATCTAAATTCATTTTCCTTCTATCTGTACTATTTTTTTTAAAAACTTTGTTTATATATTTTTTTTTAAATGTTCTTCAAGCCATTAAAGAAGGAAAACAAAAAATGTTTTTCATGTCACGGAAATAAAAAACAAAATGAAATATACACTTGAAGCATTTATTGGAGCCTCTTTGTTAGTTGGTCAGTTTATCAAACTATTAAAACCATTCAAGTGCTTCAGTTTCTTTTTCATAAATGAAAAATGGGAGTGGTCCAGCAATATAAGGGTTTCTGGTAGAAAATGATAAAAACCCAGGCCTCAAATACAAAGCGAAACTGAGAGAAACGTGTGAAGGCTGAGAATGGCTGCTGTCTTCACCATGCACCGTACACAGAACAAAGATCAAACCATTACCACTGTCTTTGATACTACACATTCTTAAGGTGCAACCCTCTATACAAAGAGGAGATGAAAGTAAAACACTGTCTGCAGCACAACAGGGTGTTCATAGATGACAAGATAGAGCTCATCAAATGAAGAATAGCAAATCTGCAGGGGGGTGTGGAGACGGCTTGGTTGTGCTGTGTGTCTGCTTAGCTGTTTTAGGAGATCAGAAGATAAACCTGGGCTTTTTAAAAGCAAAATATGTGTTATATAGTGAAAAAAAGCTCTGCGGGGTCAAAGTGAAAAACCTACAGCAGTTGTACAAACTTCCCGATCTCCAAAAGTAACTTCTGCACAATGCATTTATTAATTAAAGCCTGACACCTAAGAACTGGTTAAGTGTACTAAAATATGAATGTATATTGTTTAAAATTTTCACATCTCATTGCATTTGGGGCATGAATATACTGTTCTACTTTGTAACTAATCTTTAAAGTTCACCTGCTAGAAAGAGCCTTTTTATGTTATCTATAAAACAAGATTTTTTCCCAATAAGCCCAAAAAAGGGTATTACGTTTAACTCTGAAAGGAGATTAAAGACTTTGAACGTTAAAATATGAGCTCAGAATTAGCATCAATATGAGCTGCTAAAAGTAAAAAGGGTGTATGGCTGTTCTGCAAAAACAAATAACATGTTTTCGATGGAATTGTGTATATTTCAAACAGAAGTCTCTCTTTTTTTTTCAACCACACGTCATTTGAAAGCCTTCTCTCCACTAGAGGGAGAGGTACGTATGAGAGATGTGTTGCTGATACACAAGCAACACGTGTCTGCAACTGTGTTTGCAAAGGATGTTTTTTTTTATTCATGAAACCAATCCAATTCTGGAGTTGTGCCAGCAGTTTTTCTTCGTTGAAAAGGCGTGACACAATAACCCCAACTGCACACGCCGTTTGAGCGCCAGTCAGATGTTTATCTAAGGATGATATTTCCTTTACGGATGGTTTTAGACCGCTTACGCGAAACGTTATTCCGTAATAACCACATCTCACCCAAATCCACTGGACTTTTTTCTTTTTTTTTTACCAGCTGCTTTATCGTGAAACTATTTCTTAACTTTGAAAAGTTCGTTTTTTCTTGAGTCTGTGGGCACCCAGTGAGGCGCAAAGAGCGCGGGCTGCTGAGTTGCGCTGTTGACGCGCAGACTGTCTCCAGAGGCACAACACGGACCCCGTCCCGTCCCCACACAGCGGTGGGTTTATTCTGGTGTCGGCCTGCCCGCTGCCCGTTTTGGGGAAGGGCAGATCGGCCCCCTCGGTCTCCCCATTGGCTCAGCCGTCCTGACCTCTCCTTCGTTTCTTTTCTCGAGTTTGGAGCGACACTTCGTTCCTGTTGCGCGGAACGTGGCTTCAGGTTGTCGGGAGGGGGGGAAGAAAACAGCTCGCGGAAAACGTTTCTCCCTTTTTTTTGTGCGTAACCTGACAATTTCTAAACCAGCTAAAAAAAGAAGGGTTTAAAAGTAGCCCAGCTGGAAGACGAGCGGAGAAACCAACACCAGCGAGATTACTGGAAACTCTACTCCAGAGTGGGACCGTGCTGTCAGCATGGTATGTCCACAACACACCGTTGTTTTCCCTTTGCTCCGTATTAACGTCAGTGTTTCACCTCTGCGCAGCTCGCTCCTGCTTTGCATTGTCTTTAAGACAGGGTAGAAAGTTTTTGTTATTGTTTTTCTATGATTTCCACCTATTTGATCCTTCCTTTGTTAGTCAACCAGTCAGAAGAGGGCTTCCAGGCTGGGGTTTACCTCACTTTGGGTGACTTCCCCATGCACAAGAGCTTTTGTGCATTTTCTCCCTGAAGTATCCATACAGCAAAGCACATGGAGGTGCATGCTGGAAACTTTCTGAAGTGAAGTAAAGTACAGGAGGTTGCAGATATAATCTTTACTGCGCATGTTGAGCACCATAAATGCAGCTTGTTTTTTTAATTATTCTAGACCCCTAAAGTCTGTGAGCTGCGGAAAAATGGCTGACAAAACATTTTTATTAAAGGTATATGTGGATGGGCACGACTTTATCATCAAGGTTGTTCATTTTTCTTTTGAACTTTTTAAGATCTAATGGACCTCAGAGTAATCATTTATGAACTATAAAAGTTTTCCTAAAGGTTGTTTCTTTCTAATTCCCTTTGGAAAGCTTGCCAGCAACACTTTTATTCTTAGAAATGTATGTTAGAGCACTCTGTATGTGCGGGTATTTTTCCATGAGCAGTAGGTTGCAGTGAAGGGGTGGGTGAAATTTGTGAATGTATTCATGATTGATGGCTGTGTTATGTAATATTGAGGGCATGATCATATTATGTGTAATTGCCTGTATAAGTGTGCGCTCTGTAGTGTATGCTTCTTCCAGGTGTTGATCCTTCTCCAATGTTTTTATGTGTGGCTGGGGATATTCTCAGAGGGTGAGACAATCATATTAAGTGAAATCATATACACATCTGTGCTGCTGTGTTATGTCAATAAACTGTATTCTGATTAGAAACTGCTCTATAGGAACTTAAAAAAGTGCCTTGTGAGTTTCTTTTTAATATCTCTTTGGTGATGGTTAATTTAAAGAAATAGACATGATCTGTATATAATTAGGATAGTACTTTTTTTAAACCTTTTTTTTACCTTTTTCTTTTTTTTCCTTTTTTATACATATAGTAGCTTTGCAATTTGATCCGTTTTATCCTCTAGCGGCTGACATAAAAGACAACTAAAAGGTACTGTATGGCTTGTTGGCTGATGGCCTGATAAGGGCAACTGTTGAGCTTCAGCAGTCCGGAGTGGCAGGGAGGCTTTTACAGGGGAAAAATTTGCATCAAGTGCTTTTCAGACATGATGTTGACATGTAGACTGGGAATGTGAAAGGGTCTTTCTTCTCCCTGTTTGGGGAGAGTTGGGGTATCTGCAAGCAAACGCAGGCACATCTCATCCTGCCTTTCCCTTCAAACATTTTTTTATGATCGGGGGAAATAACGCTTGAAAATTAACTCGATACAGTATGTTTTTTATGTTCTAATAAGTGCACGAAGCTACACAAATTCTCCTAATTCTTTGGGTCTATCTGTTCACGGTGTAAATTCTGAGCAAAATAGTAATTCTAGACAATTTTCTAAAAACACCTCACTCTCTATGAATAGAAACAGCTTGTTTTTACTTCTGTCCTCTGCTGTTAGGAGAGTTGGAGCACTGTGCGAACATTTGTTTATTTGCTCTTCACTTCATACAGAATTGTGGTTCCCAGACTTCACCAAAGTACACCCAGAGATAGGCTCTGACTGACCAATACACAAACATTTTACAACCACTCTGTGAAAGTGCTTTGTGCCTGTCTGCCTGTGTGTACATGAGTGGGGGGTGGGGGTGGCTGGGGGGGCGGACCCCTTGGGACAAGAAGAAAATTTAAAGTTAGCCAAGGTTAGAAAAGCATAGAAAAAGAGAGGGAAAGTGAAACATTTTGCCATTATTTTACATATAAAATCATAGGTGCAGAAAATGTCACAGTTGGCTGAAGAATTTTTTGATAGAAGTCAAATATGTATTTAAAAGATGTAAAATAATCCTCCCTCTCCTTATAGCACTTTGCAAATGGGAATGTGCTAGCTAACTAGACAATTGCCCTTTCAACAAAATGAAAGAAATAAAAGAAACTCACTGTGACTTTATAGAACTTTATAGAACTTGTAGACACAACTGACCACTTAAGGTTTAAAGAGTGTAATCTCTGATCTCCTGGTCAGTCAGTCTGTGTTTTTCCTTCTTTGAAATCGCTTTCCCTTCATTTTGAAAATGGATATAAATAGAAATGTCAACAAGGTCATTACCATAAACCCACATTTTTCGTTGCTCAAGCAGTAGGTTTTAGAGTTCAAACTATTCATCTGTTGATAATGATTTGACATTTCAGTCCACAATCTTTGTTTTAATGCTTTTACTTTTTAGTAGCCTGCTCCTCTCTATTTACTTCTAAGTGGGTCACAACTTCTCATATTGATTTTACTCAAATGTGGCAATGGTAAGGGTAATGATAAGATTTAAATAGGCCAGATAGAACAGTTGTTACAACTGAAATCTGTCTGTAGGTCGTAATTCATAACTTGAACTCACTGGAAATAGGTGAAGCAAACTGAAAGCACCTTGAATAAATAGTTCAACTCAGTGTGTAACCTATAAATCACAAACTGGGGTCCCTCCCTAGAATATATTAATCCGTAATGAAACTCTGTAGAATTGGGAGTTTTCAGAATATTAAGTGAAACCATCTGTCTCCATTTTACCCTGGTGTTTGTTTACCTGATTTGTCACCAGCTGCACCCTCTACATGGCCAACGAATGCACCTCTGCACCACCCACAGAATGAGCCAATGTAAACCCAACACCTCCCAGCTGATTATCCCCCCGCTGCCCCCACATATCGCTGAATGGCCACTGCTATCCTCATTTCCCCTCCTCTCTGCTTATGTATGCATACTTTGAGCGTATTCTCGAAGTCCTCTGCCCCTGTGTAGATATTTCTACACGCACCTGCCATATCTGTCCATGTGTCGTGAACAGTCATGTACTTTTTCTAGGTCACACACCTCTAAAAACTTTCCATTCTCACCAGCTGATACCAACAAGGGCACACGTAAAAGAGCCTGATAGGTCATATCCTGCAGCCCGCTTGGTCAGTGTTAAGCCATTTTGGATCAGGCCCACTACCCAGAGCTGATTGAAGCCAGCGGGTCCAGAGATTCAGCAACTGCTAAGATGCATTACTGCATCCTGTGGGATCCTTAACCTTTCTCCTAACAGGGGGGCTGACTTTGGAGTTCATCGCTGTCTGAGGTTTAATAAATAATTGTTTATTTTTTGAAAAAATAGCTTCCGTGACGATATAATGAGCACTTAGTGCTGAGACTGTTGGATTTCATGATAAACTTCCAATATTTCTATTCAAACATTGTATTATTTTGATTTTGTACACCAACAGCACATATGCCTTGTAAATGAGAGCTTAGCCAATAAGTGTTATTGTAGCTACAAAATAAGAGAGCTGCCCATGTCTCCCTAAGTTATTTAAGTCTGCTAGTTCAAATCACATCAGGCAAATCATTTTACTCAAGAGGACACAGACTGGCCTGGGTGCCCGTAGTTTCTTATAGTACTTTGTACATGTATCTTTCAAACCAAAAGGCTTTTTCGTAACTATCTTCACAGCAATTTTTTATACTTGAACAAAAATAAATGTATTTTAAAAAACACATGCTTGCAAAGATGTTCTAGTCTTTCAGCCCCGAGAAAGACTTGTTGATACATGCACACCAGTTTCAGCCATCGGGTTTTTTAAAGTGTCGGAGATTTCTTCAGCATTTTAAACTGGTGTTCTCTCTTGACATGTTCAGATCTATAGCAAACTCGTCTGCTCTGGCTTGGACCAAATAACTATCGATTAATCTGTCCAGAGTACATCACTGCAAAGGGTCCTTGTCCATATGTTCACTGGCAAAGTTTTTGGAAAGTGAAAGCCTTTTCCTGGCACGTCTCCAGTGAAAGTCAAACATGTGCAATCTCTTTCTGACTGTAGACTTTGACACTGACATATGAAGTAGTTACCTGCAAATGCTTTCATGAAGTTTGAAGTTTCTTGACGTTTCTCTTCATTCAGTAATTTTCTCTAAGGCTTTATTTTTCTGGCTTATAAAGTAGACTGTGTTTTTGCTCCTAGACATTTTTTGAAGTTTTCCTGAGTTCTTTAGATCTCAGCTCTGAGACTAGTAGCATAACCTTATCAGCTTAGATTTTAAAAAGCATCTTTTTATAGGCTTACAGGTACATAGACAGTATCCCTCATCTGATCTAAGCTCCAGCTGGCCATGCACAAACATTAAATGTTTTGCCTCCATAAAGTGGATTGTTACATGTTCATGAGATCCTCATCTCTTCAGTCATTTTCTCCTTCTGCTTCTTCTGTGTTCCAATAGACAGAGAAACCTCCACTGGACAGCAACCAGGAAAGCAGCTGGCTGGGAGAGGGGCAGTCTGAAACTCAGCTTACAGCTGTAGCTGGTCCAGATGGAGCTGTGGCAACCGATGAAGATCGGCCTGCGTGGGACTCTAAGATCCAGTATGTGTTGGCGCAGGTGGGCTTCAGTGTGGGTTTAGGGAATGTGTGGAGGTTTCCATACCTTTGCCACCAAAATGGAGGAGGTGAGTGTCTCTCAAAGCTTCTATTTGATGCTAATTGTCACTCTCTGAGAACATACTCCATAGCTTGTTTTGTGTATGTAAGTACAAGAAAAATGGTAATTGTAAGACAGTACAACATGTTGCATTTAATTTCGAGTAACTTGTCTTCCCTCCCTTGTTCCAGGGGCCTTCATGCTTCTGTATGTTTTCCTTTTACTGATTGTGGGAGTTCCACTGTTTTTTATGGAGTTGGCAGCCGGCCAGAGTATTCGGCAGGGAAGCATCGGTGTATGGAAGCACATCTCCCCAAAGCTGGCAGGAATCGGCTACTCCAGCTGCTTGGTGAGCACTCTTTCTTTTCAAAGATTTTTCGCTCCAGGTTTTAACTGACAAAAGTTATACTTTGGGTGATTCATTTGCTGGTGAAGGTGAAAGCTGTGGTGGCATTGAGATCCCTTGTGCACCTGTTCCCTAAAGTAAACCTTTACTAAAGTGCCAAGATTAACCATGTTTCAGCAAAAGGATTACTCAAAACATCAAAACATTCTAACATCACCAATATATTTAATGTACATCCCAAACAAAAATCATGAAAGGATTAAATGGTTTTCCTTTGGTTATTGTATAACATTGAAAAGTTTTAGCTATTTTTCTGCCCAGTCAGTCTCCTGCCTGTGAACAACTTTCTTTTTATCACCAGGACTGTGTATATAGTAAGGACAACAATTACATCATGTCATGCTGTAACTTGAGAGAGGCAGTGTGCTGTAGTTTTTTTCTGGCAGTTGGTTGCGTAACAGTTTTCTCTACAGAGTAGTCAAGGCAAGCAGACTGCACAAGAACCTTCTGTGCTCATGAAATTCACAAGCTTAATTTTTTAGAAGCACAGTAGTTTTTCACTTGAGCTGCCAGTCTCAGTCAGTCAGTGCGATAGGCATCGTAGTCTTGGGATCACATGCTTAAAAGCACAGCATTACACATCTAAATCAGATTTATGTTTATGGTTATGCATTTAGCGAAGTAGAGACAATGTTACCGTTATCATAAGATCTTGAGAGGAAAATCCCTAGTCAGAATCAGTGGGGACAGCAAACAGAGAGAGGGAAGTGCAGAAGAGGAGTAGAGGGGGTATAGTTGTATGGGTCAGAGATTTGAATTAATTTGAATTAAGCATTTATGCCACTATAGATAGCATTTCCAAGTTAGCCCGATTGTATCCTGAATGTAAAGAAATACTAAGAAATAGGTTGATAAAAAGTCAATTCTTTTGTCCGCTCTAGGTCTGTTTTTATGTGGCCCTGTACTACAATGTTATAATTGCCTGGAGCCTGTTCTACTTGGGCAATTCTTTTCGGTATCCTCTGCCATGGGAACAGTGTCCAACGGATGTAACAACGAATGACACAGGTACTCTCCTAACTGTTCATTTAAATCTGATGCAGTGTCACAGCAGCCAGATCAATGTGTACATTGTTGTCCTGTCTTCAATCAACAGTAAAGGAATGTGCAAATAGCTCCCCTACGTCATATTTCTGGTTTCGGAAAGCTCTCAACATCACAAATTCCATTGAAGAATCTGGAGAGTTTAATCCCATCATGACAGGCTGTTTATTGGCTGCTTGGGCGATTGTATCATTGGCTATGATTAAGGGCATCAAGTCTTCTGCAAAGGTAAGAGGAAACAACAGTCAGAGGGGTGTGTGTGATGTGTGTGTCAACATCAGTACAGATTTGCACATTTATTCTTCGGTCTTTCTATAAGGTATAAGAAGCCATAGGTACAAACAGAAGCAAAAGTTCCACAGGGCTTCTCGTAAAAACAACTCAGTGTGTCTGTCCACACTGAAGATTGATGAAGAAATTCCTTGGAACGCAGAAATCCCGATTGTAATGTTTATGCATTGCATAAACATTGCGGCTACCTTAAAGACATATAAATCCTGTAATAAATTAAGAATAGTACAAAGGACAACATGTCAAGTAGCAGAGAATTACAAGTTAAAGTTTGTCCTTACTTTTAGTCCTAACTTTCTTGAATTTGTCAGGAGCCAAAGAAGTCAGTTTCTATATGTATCTACTTAAATTTATTATTCTTAAGTATTCTTTCATTCTCATGAGGAGTTTAGCATCTCACAGTCTGGCCCTTTGCTGTATCTAATACTTCATAATGTAAAGATTTGTGAGGCACGTATATCTGTTTCTCCAAATGTCAGTCTGTTCTGATACAGGAATCATTCTCTGTCTCCTCTGATTCTAGGTGATGTACTTTTCCTCAGTTTTTCCCTATGTGGTGCTCTTTATTTTCCTCATCAGAGGCTTGTTGTTGGATGGTGCCATGGATGGAATTACCTACATGTTTTACCCTAAAGTAAGAACATATTTCATTAAACGTTCTGGGTTGTTATTTTTCTAAAAACATATCATATTTTTTCTTAATTTTGTGATAAACTTGCACTACACATATTCAAAAGAACATGTCTTCTGAAGTCTACTGAAATGATTGAATAAGTGAGGCTTTTTCTGTTGCACTTTCCAGCTGGAAATCTGGGGCAATGTGCAGGTTTGGCGGCAGGCAGCTACACAGGTTTTTTTCGCCTTGGGTCTGGGCTATGGCTCTGTTATTGCGTATTCCTCCTACAATCCGGTCCATAACAATTGCCACAGGGATGCTCTGATGGTCTCCTGCATCAACTTCATGACATCTGTGCTGGCCTCACTTGTGGTTTTCGTTGTGCTAGGCTTCCGTGCCAAAAACATTGCACTACGCTGCGTGGCTGAGTACGTATGTGTGTTTGCATGTTCTCCCTTCATTTACATAGCTGTCCACTTTGCAGACTGATAGGTGGAATATTCGTGTTCCATTTGATCTCCTTAGTGGAAAGAAATGTGCTGCAAAAGATATTAACATGCATACGCATATTTTTTGCCTTCATCTCTTTTAGAAATTTAGGTCAGTTGAAACTCATGGCATCGAACGGATCCAGCCAGCCGTGGTGGCCTTCGTTCAACATGTCAGACCCCAGTTCTGTGTCCTTAACTGAGTACAGCCAGTGGTACGATCACTATAGCTCCATGGTGGGGCCAAAGATCACTCACTGCAGTCTGGAGGAGGAGATGAACAAGGTATGCGTGAGAAATGAAAAAAAAAACAAGTTGTCGTAAAAGTCAAAGCCTGTACCGATGTTATTCTTGAGAAATGCCCCCGGCACAGACAATAAAGGAGGGGAAAATCAGTCAAAATGTCTTGAGCAAACATTAATTATCAAAGTGATTTTTATTGAATGCATTTTGCGGTTCAGCAGATTATGTATCCTATCGATGTCTGGATTAGTCAGCAATGAGAAGGAAACCAGACTCACAATATGTTTTACTTCAAACAAAGTAAACTGGGATTACTGTAAGTGTGAATGCAAAAGTTCAGTTTGCAAAAATTGAAGATATGCTCTTTCTTGATCTAAATTTCATTGCAGGACGGGCCTGTGAGAGAATAGCTTTCCATGAGTCTTTATTTGAGTGACTATTTGGCATCTATTTATCGTTTCCAACAGGCACTGTTGTATCGCATTTGTCAGAAAGGTCACTGCAAAAATTACAGCTCTTTGCCTATGGACCTGCATTTCTGACCTATACATGAGCGTTTAAAGTTGACATAGGGTTGACAAATAGATAACGATAAGCAAGAGTACAGTCTGTCTGAGAAAAGCTGTGAGCAGGCATGTCAGTTTATTTTGATAAGGCAGAGGTAACAAGAGCTTCTACATGCACAGACAAAATCTTTGGATTCACCTTTTTATCTCCAACATATGTCACTTTCAGGGTTTTTTGTTGTTGTTTTAACTGCAGTATCCCTAGCATTAACTTATTTAATCCATTTTGTAACCACAGATGTGATTGGTTGCGTCATATGCACAGATGCAACTCTATAAATTAACTATATTTGCAGGAAGCCAGAGTGCACAGTTATATGAAAATTTATGACAAGATTTAACCACAGATATGTCTTCAAAGAGCATAAGATTTGGTAGTGCAGAGGGCACTTTAAGCTGCTGTATTTAGTGTACTTTAAGCAGGCAAAGAGATATGTCCAGTAAAGAGTTACAACTCAGATCAAGTCACATTTTTGAATATGCACTAAATTAATTGAAAGTTTTAAGCTAAAAAAAATAACTGAAAGTATATTGATAGGAAATAGATAACACACTAACTCAGAAAATACTAAATCAGAGACCAGAGGTGAACTCTGCAATAACAGTGGCGTGTAGGGAGAGTGCTGGATTTTCCGGGAAACGGGCAGGATTCTGTTAAGACCCCAACAGGTAGGAAGATTCAAACATAGGGGGTATTATGCCCTGCTGGAGCAGGACAAGTTATTGCATGCTGATATAGAAAAGAAAGGAATTACAAAAACAACGTCATGTTATCCTATAGTTTTTTTCCGTTGTTTTTTTTAAAGAGGCATACTTGAGTATAATGTATACATGGAGTTATTTGTTTAGACATGATCCCACAGTGATGTATTTGTGTGTCTATAGGGTGTTGAAGGGACGGGCCTGGCATTTATAGCTTTCACTGAGGTGATGGCTCTGTTCCCAGCCAGCCCCTTCTGGTCCACGCTGTTTTTCCTAATGCTGCTCAACCTGGGACTCAGCACCATGTTTGGGACCATGCAGGGAATCCTCACGCCTCTCATGGACAATTTTAGCCTATTGGGGCGCCACCGGACGCTGCTCACTGGTACTGGCACACTTGTCAACACACTTACAAACACTTCTCTCTATCAGAGACACTGAAAGTGTAAAGTTTCTTGGCAGTGACAGATTTCATTTATTCATGTCCTCACTTGCCCCCCAGTTTTCAGAAGTTATGAATGGAAGAAAAGCACGTGTCACATCTAAAGTCATATGCTGAAATAATTCAAAACAAAGAACATACTAAAGACAACATTAAACAAACATAACGAGGCCAAATCTCAAGATATAGCAATAGTATTAAGCAATAGTATTAAGCTTTGACATATGCATTGTATCAAATAGATCATTTACTACTGTTCCGGTACTCACCTGACTCTATTTCACCTGTGTTTCAGTGTCTGGCTGTGCTCTAGGATTCATAATAGGATTATTGTTTACCCAGCGATCTGGCAACTATTTTGTGACTATGTTTGATGACTATTCTGCAACCCTGCCATTAGTGATTGTCGTTATTTTTGAAACCATCAGTGTGGCGTGGGTGTATGGCACAGACCGGTAGGTAACAAAATTCATGCCATGATATTCTAACCATTGTCATTTTCTATGTTATTTTTTCATTTTAATTTTGTTTTTTCATGATCTTTTTCCCATATGAATACTTTCTATCTCTACAGTTTCCTGGATGATATTGAAATCATGCTCCACTGGCGCCCTCCAGTGTTGTACAAATACCTTTGGAAATATGTGTGTTTAATAGCAATGATCAGTCTGCTGGCCGCCAGTTTGTTGCGCATGGTCTTGAAAGGACCCACATACACCGCCTGGAATCAAACCACTGTAAGATATTAAATGTTAGATACTATCTTTGCATTCACTTCCAGGCTTTTGCTGCAGCTTTTGTTTTTGTGGGGTCACTGGCTTTAGTGTGGCCCTTCCCCCTAAAATGCCCTTCTTTTGTAGTTGATACATGGTCAGAATGTGTGAGCTGCTGGATAATCAGATGTTCAAAGTTTTATCAATTTGGCTGAGTCAGAGCATGCACACAAAACAGGCATGTTCTGAATACCTCTGCATTCATCTCACAGCTTCTGCAATCTCTGAAATCATCAGTAGCGTAACCACTTCCTGTGCTGCACGGCCGTAAGATATCGTTCTACCAGATTTTTACTTTTTAAGCTTCATTGTTACACTCTCTTTCTGCACTGCCTCCCATTGCTTCCAGTATTGCCAGGCATTCTAAATCTAATTAGAGTTCAATCGGCTCAAAGTTGTTTGGGCACAAAACAGGTCACACATCTGCCTAAAAAACATCAAGAAAATGACAGCTTTATCATTGTGAAGTACCACATTTAGCTGTTAAATACCATAGAAAAGATTTAGATAAAAATGTGTAGTTATCCAAATAAGTCCCATCAGAATTGATTGTTGTTTCTTTTATACCATGTTTTTCCTCTTTATTTATATTAAAAAATCAAAATAGTCAGTGGTTAGAAATGGTTTTGCTATGTAGAATTGGAATGTTGAGAGATAAAACATTTATCTATTTTAAAAGCTTTAAACACTCAATCAACTTTCATTCTCCTTACCATAATGTTCTAAGACAAAACATTTGGGTGACCAATTGAGGCAGTCTAAAATTTCAGTATATAATTATTACCATGTTAATGTAGTTGGTATTAAGTAAAATAATGTTTCCCATGTTTCTCACTTGATGCATGTCCTCTCTTTAGGCTTCTGAGATGACTTTGGCGTACCCTGGTTGGGCCCTGGGTCTTATCGTAATGCTCATAGTCCTTGCTACCCTGCCAGTGCCCATTGGCTACATTCATTCCATGTTGAAAAGCCGCATGGCCCGTGAGAGTCCATCCCCAGAGGGACCCGGCCGGGAGATGCACCGTGAGCTGTACACCAAGTGCAACTCCACAGATCAGCTGGATTCCAACTCTCATCAAGACCCCTCTGAGGAGGACGAAGGTCGTCCCAGGACTGTTTTCCTGCCACTGGGCAATGAACATTACCGTCTTCTGCCCCAGCAGGAAGAAAATGAGGAGGAGGAGGAGCAAGATACAGGGGTCTGAATGGGAAATTTGAGGGTCTTTTTTTTGTGTAGGAGGAAAATTGAAAGAGAATGCAAACTGAAGAGAGATATTCATCATCAGTGTAATTCTTTATGAGAATAATCACCTTTGTGTTATCTGTATATATTAAGCAAACTTTAAATTGTTGATAAGCCAAAGTCATTTTAACTTTTTAATATTGGTCGTACATTAAGTCAAATTCATCTTCACATTTGTACCTCCAATTTGTTTTCTGAACAATTCTAAGATTGTTTGGAAACATTTGGAAGTGTATTAAAAAGTAAGTTGCCATATTTCATAAAGCTAAGGCTCTGTTTTAACAATGACCAGCCACCAACCTGCCAGGCCAATGTAGGTTTGACTATTTTGACTTGTTGTGGGAGTTACAACTGAGTGCCTTTTGAACTGTAGAATTCAGCCACCAATGAATATGCTTTATGAGGGATATTTTTAGCTAAACAAGTATAAAGTTGCATGAAAATATTCTACCTTGAAATACTGTGATGTGTTTGCATGTGTGTGTGAGAGGATGTGTGCGGGCCTTTGTGTTTGTGTGTTTCTTTTGTGCATCAGTCCGGTTGTGAAATAGGAAATGTGACAGTAAGATCACCTTATTTTGTATTTGCATAATTTTACCTCACAAAGACCACAGCAAAGTTGTTGCATGTGTTCAGACAAATTTTTCATCGTAGCAGTGTTATAAGGTGCAGAACAGCAACTTAAATAAATCTGTAGAGGGCAACAGCCAATCATGTTTCTGTTTGTTGGGATTTTCACATTTGAAATTCCGTTAACGTCTCATATTCTTAAAAGACCTCCGAATTTCAACGCATAGTCAATTGATCCCTGATGTTTGCTTTGATCAAGAAATGGTCCAAAAGGTTTTGGGTACTTAAAGTGAAACTGGAATTTCTAAATTTGAGGGGGGTTTTCTTATCGTGGTTTTGATGAATGACCAGACGTTTAGTACAGAATAGCAGTCTGTGTGTATATGTTAAGATTAACTCAAGTTAATAGCTTTATTATTAAAATACAATAGTGCCATTGATTGACTTTTATAGTCTCTGTTCATAGGGTCTTTGCCACGGGAGTGGTTTATGTTAAACCATTTAAGTAAATTAGTTGGTTACAAATTTACCTGATGAACCCATTAGGAGGGAATGTCCACCGTTTTACAAATAATGCTTTAATTTGTCTTGTGCTCTTCACAGATTCACAGTGACAGTGTGTCTAGTTTCAATTATTTAATGCTGTGTGCAGGTTGTCATTTTCTATCACCATAGTTATGTTTAAGACAATATATGGTTTACAAAATAAGCGTAGTGTACAGCTCATAAAAGCTGGGGCATATCAGATGACGTTTCATGCAGTGAGTTGAAGATGTTTTCTGTAGCTCAAATCTTTTTGCAAACATTTGCATCATGCTCCTCTCCCCTTTCTCTCCTCTCCCCTCTCCACGTTTTAAACAGAAGAGTAAAAAAGGCTTTCGTCAAATTTTAAGTGGTGCCATATCTCAAATTTAGTCCAAATCAATCTCGTTTCCAAAATATCAATTTTGTCCAAACCTCTCTTGTGACTGTTGTGATGCAAAACTCCTTTTTTAACGGTTTTATATCTGCTAGGAACAAGAGTCACCACACTGTACCTCAACCTTTTAAGATTCAAGGTTTAATTGGCAGTCAAATTGGCCTTCAATATTTCAAAGTAAATGCTTTTCAGCATCGTGGAGCTCGTCTGAAGCTGAAGCGTTGCCTGGCAGGCGTCGGCAGGGAGGGATGAGAACGGCGGAGGCAGAGAGAGAGGCGAGAGCAGCGCGCGCTCAGGCAGGACAGGAGGGCGCGCGGGACATCAGCACACCGGCCGGGTCAAGAAGCAGCAAGGATGGAGATTCGACCAGACAGGTTTAAGGTGGCCGCGGCTAGAACTTTGGGGAAAATTAACAGGTAAGCATGATTTTTTTCCCAATATTCCTCGTTTTATTCATTTCTCGTGCTGTTTCTCGCGCGTTGTATGATTTGGGACACAGCAATGAGTCCAATTGAGGTTTCCATCTCCTTTTTCTCCTTCAACCTGAAACTTTCAATAACGGTGGGGAAAAAAGTTGATGGATTCTTTTTGAGGGAGATGTAACTGTGACCTTTAGGTCACAAAGATTTTCTAAGAAGCGACAAAAGTCCAGCTTTACGCACCGCACAGTGGAGTGTTGGGATTGATACAAGTGGGTGAAAATGTGTCCAAAAGTGATTATTTTTGCAATTATTTGATGCTTCGTTGTTTTGTTTTAGCAGTTTGGATGTTTGTTCTTGTGAGATCAGGTTCAGCTTCAGAGGTGTCTGACGAGAAGAAAGTGGTTACATAATGCTTCCGTGCGTTTCTGGCATGACCTGGTTGAATATGGCCAGATGGAACCCGTCTATTCCTTCACATCCATCTATCTATCTAGATTTAAACTCCCGACATCCCTTTTCCACCTCATTATTTATACACCCCGTTCTATCTACTTGAACAGAATTATTAAAAACAAAAAAAGGCTTTTTTTGTTTGTTGCCATGTTCAGATTTTAATCTAAATATCAATTTGGATGGACCATAGAGGTCCAAATAACTTTTTAAAATTCCTATATTGTTCTCTATTGCTACCCTATTGTTACTCTATAACACTATCTAATTGTGACATATCTAAAATGTTGACCCATGGAATTTGCTGAAGATAACTGATGTCTTAAACTGGATATTCAGGGATTTGATCGATGCCATTTTCAGTTTTTAATGATAAACTGGCATGACTAAAAATTTGGGCTTTGGAGAAAATAGCAGCAGATGAGTGACTTGAATTAATTATTTAATTCATGCATACATTTGCCTAATTCATTGGTCATTTCATTATCAAATCAATTTGTAATGATTTCTTCCGCAGTAAATCGTAAGGGTGTGGTATGATGTTCAACCTCTACAGCCTGTAGGTGATACACACTATGTTTCTTTAATAAAGTTTGCAAAGAAGCAGAAAAGATCTACATTTTCAATAATGAATGTGCCAACATGCTAGAATTATATAAATAAATAACATGTCAGTGTAAAAGTTGCAGCAAAGATGTCGTGCTGACAATATGTCAGTAAAAAAGAGTGAGAGATTAAAGACACTGATAGAACCTTGTGCAATAACTATTGCTTTAAGCTTCCGCTCTCTCAGGATTTGAGGTAGCAACCAAACGTATAAATCCTGTCCTGAAATAGCCTGTTTTTCAGTCCAGCTGTCGAGCCACGCAAATCCCTAAACTCTCCCCTCCCACTCACTCCATCGCAGCCATGTCACTTCCTCCAGCCACTGTCTCCTCCTCCTCCATCCACCGAGGGACCAGCAAAGGCAACTTTCAGCTGAGAGGGGTCTCCCCGATTAACAAACATCAGGATCTCATGCTTTTTGTGTCTTGCTGGTCCTAAGCCATGTACACACACAGTGGCAGCTGATGCTGTGAGAGATATGACATGTTGGAATGAATTCAGATTTGTTTTAGTGGGTGTTTCCCCAGCTTATCAAGTGACTTCTGGTTTTAAGATGAAACATTCAATCCAAGTAAATACTACTAAAGAAAAGGAGAACACTGTGATACAGTTCATGTGAAAATGAGCTTTTCGCAAAATAGGTGTTTCAGTACAAATAATGCTGTGCATGTGGACATTTGTGAGCTCTTAAAACACTGGGCATCCTTGCACACTGCAACAAAATGAGTGCAAATTCACAGCTACACTGACAAAACCGTGATTCCCCCCTCCCAACCACCACCCGATGAAAGCAGCCAGGAGTTCATCTATTATTTAAACATTTCTCCATCAGAATGCATCACCAGTTTCTATATTAAACTCTACCCGGTAAGCATAAACTTGAGCAATGTAAGGTCAAGTGTGGTCTAAATCTCCCTTTTTTCGTTGTATTTTAATTAAAACCCCTAATATACCCCTTCATATCTATACCTCAGGCCACAGCTTTACATGTTTAATATCATACACACCTATTCTTGCCTCCTCATTAAATGTAATTTTACGTAATGTAACTGTTAGCATCAAGCACTCATAAAGATGCCTCACACTTTATTGTATGACTTTTAAATTGATTGGCAGCACTATTCATCTTTGGGATTGCTTGGTTACATTGAGAGCTTATGTTTCACTACACATGAGTCAATACAGACTCTGACAGTAATCCATATTTAATCCTCCTTACTTTCAGTGGAGTGCTGTTTTCTGTTGCTGCCTTTCACTTTTCGTTGTAGAAATGGTCCAAATCAAATATTCAGAAAACAGTGAAATGTCCTGCAGCTGCTATTAGATTTAAATGAATCCACTGCCAATCAGAGGAAAAATAATATCACATTTTTTAGCCTTTGTGTGTAACCAGTCTTAGTCTCTTTTGCACAATTCTCTTGCACACAAATTGTTACAGTTTAAGCTTCAAAAGCAGAAGCAGATGATGCATCTAACATGGCCGAACAGTTTAAAGAGTCAGCTGCAGCCACCCAGCATGCCTGGTTTTTGGCTGCAGTACTGTTAGTATTATGATGTCAGCCCTGTGTCTGTGGGTTTGCTCGACTTTAGTCGTTTGGATTGAGTTTATACTCAGTGGTATCAACAGATTATAAAAAAAAGATATTCTAAAATGAATTAATATTTAATGTGGTGACGATAACATGGTTTCTGACCACTCGCTGTGTTTCTGAATCAATCAGTGCAACTGGAAGCTGTGTGTTTATGTGAGTGTGTGTGTACTTGGTGTCAGCACTGACAAAGTGACTGTTTTGTAGGTATATGAATAATAAGTCTATGAAGGTCACACGTGTGTGTATTTAAGCACAGTGTGTCTGTGTGTGTACAGGAGAGAGGAAAAAAATGCGTGACAGGAAGGGGAGGAGGGTGCCTCCCTGGGTGACACTGTCCCACCGAGACCCAATCTGTTCACTTCAGAGAGTTAGAGGCCCGCAAGAGACCAGGGAGACACCTCTGTCGCAATGATGAATAAGGCAATTTGAAAAAAGTCTGTCGTGATGCTGCTTTTCAAAATATTGAAATAGGATAAAAAACAGTTAAAGATGTAACAATTCTGCGGGGCATTCAGGATGACATAACATTCCCCTCATCCATGTCTACTTCCTATGAGAGGATTATGCAGAATTCTATGGTGAATTTAATATACGGTGCAACATGAATCCCGGGTCACTGACCAGCGCATGAGACTTGCAGGGTAATGCTGTTATCGCAGATTAGAAAATGTTATGAATGCTAACATTCAAATGTTAAAAATGATAGCATATGAATGGTTTTAGTTATTGCAAAGTAAGAACTCCATAAAATGCTGTTAAACATAAACTTTTAGATAAATAATGTCTGTTTCTACTCATTTTAATAATTCTTCTGTTATTTAGAAAATATTCAATGACAGTAACTGACATTATCAATGGTTTTATTATGCTGCTTTACTCTATGTTTTTACTAAGTAAAATGCTTACTGTATTTGCCTTCATCAGGTTCTGGCTCACTTGTCCATAACTTTACTTCTTGTTCTCATGTTTTTTTTGTCTGTCTCCTGTTTGGAGGTGTAGGATTATGAATCCCCAGGAGGTGCATGCTAATTTAACAGAATATATAGACTTTACATTGCCCATAGGAGGGAGTGTGGGTGAGTGTGTGTGTGGTTGTTCTTCTTTTTGTGGCAGTGTGATGAACTGGTGACCTGTACAGGGAATACCCCACATCAGCTGGGACTGTAATAGACAATGGATGAATAGATGGATGGCAGTTAAGTAATTTAAAACAATGACTTCAGGTATGACTTCGAGGACACATGGTCTGACAAATTTGTAAGACCTTAGGATAAAGAAGACTCCAGTGCATTAAGAATCTGACAGCACACGCACAGAGCAGTACTCAAACTACAGTTGTTCAAAAGGTATTCTACAAAAAGTGCTTTAGATACTTATTCTGATACAGTTTCATCTCATTTGTTCTTCATTTTTTGACAGAGGATATATCAAATGTGTCAGCTTTGTGTTGCAAAATGTATGATAAATATTTGATGATTTTGTCATCAAAATGGGCAGAATGGAACAAAAGAAAAAGATTTCCAAAAGCTCCCATCATGGCTGACCCTTAAGTACATCTTAATTCTGTAGCTCAGGAAAGTTTCTATGCAGGCTGGTTTATTAGCCCAGATCCTAACCGTACCTGTTCCTATTTTGATTATGAAATTTCTGGGTGCCTAGGGCCATGGGGCTGCTGTCTGCTCATGCTTTTTTTTACTCATTAATTGTTGGCAGCTGAGACCAGTCGGTTCCCTGCTACGCTGGCGGGAGATGCTTCATCAACTGAGTGGAAGCTCAGTTGATGAAGCTTACATTACATCATTATTGTGATCCTCACTTGACGGTGGACCATTTCCACCCTGTTTAAAGTTCCAACCTGCGTCGCCATGTTACTTGCAAACACTGATGGAATTTAAGATGAAAGTGATGATCAACTGCCTACACCGTTTTGAAGAGGAAGACCCTGATCTGCTGCACTGTTTGGGGCACACGAGGGGGAGGTGATTGCCTTTTAGAGGGAAGCATCCTTAATTAGCAGTCCTTTTTCCTGTAGGCTAGCATCGTTAGCAGGTAGCATATGTTTGATATTAAGATGCAATCTGTCTGGCACTTTAATAAGGATCCTCCTGCAGCTTTCACTAACTCTGAAGTAAAAGTCAGAGCTCCACTCAGGGGACCTGCCAGCACATTTGTTTAGCACACACAGGATAGCAGCATGAGTGCAGCCAACTGGTTAAGCTGAAAATATGTATACACTTTACTTGTGACCTCATCTTCTCAGTAAATGTGTATTTTAGAATCACCAGAGTGCTCGCATCTTTATTTCCCTCCTATATTAATGCACTGTGACACACATGTTAAAGTATCTCTAGTGTCCAGTGCACCTTCTGTCCAGTATATGCCGGCTTGTGCCGTTGATGTTCATGAAGGCATATGACACTCTTTTTGGCATCTCCTGTAAATGGTTTTGGATAAATTCTTCATTGAAATTGCCATCCTTGACCTGAACTTCAATCAGATTTAAATAGGTTTCTTAACGCAAAAGGGCTAAATAGTGAATCACAGCTCTGCACGACCTCAAAAGTGTGTCGTGACGAAGGGAGAAGCACACTCAGCCATGCCCAGTGTTAGTCTGTTCCTCCATATTCATTTCCGGAAGTAAATCATTTTTGTAATCCTAATCTGAATGCTGTGACAGATTAAGGGAGGGACAGAGAGGCTGCACCCTAACTAATCTCTTACAGATTCAAAAAAACGATGCTTTACAAAGTATTGCTTTTACGTTGTCCATCGGGCCCTATTTGACAAGTAGAATTATAGATTCACCTTTAATTCATCACCATACTTGCACATGTTTTTTGTTTTGCTTTCTGTGTATTCGCTGATTACATCGCTGGGCAAAGAGATTATGGAATCTGCTGTGTGGAAACGGGGGGAGGGAGTGCAGTCCACAAGTGCAATGGAAATATATAAAAACACCACGGATGAAACAGACTGTATGTGCAGAGATCCAGACACTCAAGCCAACAGATAAATAGATAGTGACAGATTATGGTGTAAAAGCTGGAGTGAATTATTTATTTGACTCAAAAACACATCAATAATTGAGTAGAGGTAGAGTCAGACTCGTCTTGTGTTAGCATTCCTGAATAAGTCATCTTAGAGCCTCCCTGGGCAGGGAAGGTTTAATTGTGGAAACCTATCAAAGCCCACTTTTGAGAAGTCTTTTTAAAACACAGCAATCCTCGACGCCTCGATCAGATGGTTGTGATGAGCGTTCCTGCTCCTGTGAACGATTGTCCAGCTGACTGACTAACTGGATCAGTCCAATGTAAGGTGGATGGCTGATACATGGATGTTCGTTGCAGTGAACTGAGACATAACAAAAAAACACACTCACACGTTATGGTAGAAAATCCAGCTGAAAATATGGTACTATGTACGCTGTTTAACATTTATCTGCAACTAGCAAGCACTGAGGCCTGCTGGCTCCATGTGTGTCTGTTAGTGGGGGAGTGTTATAGAGCGTTTGGAGGTTGTTATACACAGATGGCCACTCTTCTGACTTCTCTGTTTGACTCCCGTTAAAAAAAAGAAAACAACAACCCTGGAACATGGACATTTACATCCCAAATTATAGTCGAAAGATTTTTTTTATTTTCCTGCAGGGAACCCCTTAATAATGCATCAATAAAGTTCTATCTAATCTTATCTTGTATGATCTAAAAAATGAAAAAGAAAGAAGCTCAGCTTGAAGTTCTTTTTTTTTGTTTCATTAATTCATGCCAAATGGGATGAAAAATCTATATGTTTGGGGTATAACTTTGAATATGAATGATTCTCTGTTGTTCGGGGAACTGCTATAGCTTAAAAAACACAAATCAACTGATATTTAAAAAAAGAGTCAACCAGTCGTTTTTGTATCTTGATTTTCTATTCAGACATTTTTACATACATTTTCGAAGAATAATCCATGACATAAATGGTAAGAATATAGTCATTTGGCATAGAAGGATCCATCGATTCATATTGGTTAACATGTAGGTGATATAATAAAAATTTGAAAAGAAATCACTCCAAATGGACAATATGATGACATACTGTGGAAATGCACTGTTCCAGCTCTGTTCTGATGGCTGCTTCCATGTGCAGGGACTATCTAAATCAGACCTAACTGCACACCTGGTATGTGAGAGAGAGATGAAGACAAATTTTCTAATAAAAAACATGAATTGATACAAGACTTACAAGAATACAAAGGATTTGAGTACAACTGCTACCTAAAATGTACTCAATGTTTAGCTGAAGTTTGTGTAACTGCTTTTCATTAATGGTATTCAGGTTATATAAAGTTTAATTCTTTGATGCTCCAATCTCTTCTGACTAGACGGTGCTTTTTATGCTGATTCTACTATGGACAGTTTTTTTCATAAGCAGCTTCAATATCACTTGATAATTCTATGTGGTCTCATTAAGATATCCTGTACATGAGAAATTAAAACGATCATTCTTGAGTTGTTCAAGAATGAAGACATACAGCTTTTTAAAAGGTTCTCTTTCACAGAAAATATTATAGAGATTCTAAGTAAAAGGACAAGGCCAGAGTTCCCAAAGATCTGGTCTTATGTCACTCATAAATTATTGTGGCATCATGGCTAAAGATAGGTAGGCTGCACATCTGGTCTGAACAGCACAGTGAGATGGTTCCAGTCTAAATCTAAATACATTACAAAAACAGACTATGTGAAGAATCAGCATTGGTATAGTCAGTGGAAAGTTTTACTACTACTAACTGATATCTAAAGCTCAACTTAATCACAACGCATGCATTTACGGACAACACACAAAAAAGATGTATGATCTTGACCATCAGGTTTTCCCCCTAAGCTAAAGCCATATTTGGACAGTTGGCTAATGGTTCCTTCTGTTACTATTTTTTCTCAGGCTGATTGAGAAACGCCAGCCAAATGGAGAAACCATTGAGTTATCAGCAGAGGGCCGCCCTGAGCTGGTGGAGGAGAAGGAGCTGCCAGTGGTGGACTGTACCTGCTTTGGCCTGCCCAGGCGGTACATTATCGCCATTCTCTCAGGCCTGGGATTCTGCATCTCTTTTGGTATCCGCTGCAACCTGGGCGTGGCCATTGTGAGCATGGTCAATGACCATACTGTCTACAAGGGCAATAAAGAAGTGCTCGTGGTAAGTAGTACATGTCTGTTGGGGCCTCAGTTCTATAAGGCAGTCTTGTGTAGTTTGTGTTGTAAAATCTGCCTCTTCTTGTACTGTGTTTAAACTTTTAATGTCTCTCTTTATGCCACTAACCTCAAGCAAAGTAAGGATCTTTCTGATGTTTTATTGTGTACTAACCGACTTAAAAGTCTTTCTTCTCTCCAGGCTGCACAGTTCACCTGGGACCCAGAGACGGTGGGGATGATCCATGGCTCCTTCTTTTGGGGCTACATAGTCACACAGATCCCGGGCGGCTTTATATGTCAAAAATTTGCAGCCAACAGGTTACTGTCCCCACTTTTATACTTCATTTTCCAGAATAGGAGATTTGCTATTTGGATTATTATCAACAGGTTGTTTTGCTATGCGTTTTGCAGTTTATAGAAGTCAATGTCTTTGAAATTGTGTAAAAGTAGAAGACAAGTTTATTATAACAGCATTAAGATATGTATCTTTATATATAGATGTATTAGTCAAATGCAGATTTGCTTTTCAGGACTTTTTCAGGATGCTTTTCTGCTTGCTGGCTCTCAAGCTGAGGCAGTTTGTTTCTCTTCTGTGTGTTTAGGGTGTTTGGCTTCGCCATAGTGGCCACATCCACTCTCAACATGCTGATTCCATCTGCAGCTCGCTGCCATTACAGCTGCGTCATACTTGTCAGGATATGCCAAGGCCTTGTTGAGGTACGCTAAACATCCCATCTTTATCCCTCTACTTCCATGTCCATGTTGTTCCTGACAGAGATTTGTCCTTCAGGGTGTATCATACCCAGCCTGCCATGGGATTTGGGCTAAATGGGCACCACCTCTTGAGAGAAGCCGTTTAGCCACAACAGCCTTTTGTGGTAAAGTTTTTATACCTTGCAGACCTGTAGTGGGTTAATCTGGCATTTTAAAAAGTTTCTCTGAAGTGAAAGAGACCATGTTAACTTCAGATAATACTTAGAAGGCAAAAGCGCACAAATTCTACATTGTTATAGCTGGAGAAATTGTTTTTTTTTTCAGGATCCTATGCAGGGGCGGTGGTGGCGATGCCGCTCGCTGGGATACTGGTGCAATACACTGGGTGGTCTTCTGTATTTTACGTCTATGGTTAGTTCCTTATATATCTTTAATTACTGCATAATTACAGCTCTTCAACCCAATATCTTTATACATTAATACAGTAACTTTTTTCATATTGAAAAAACATACATACAAATTAAATATATGACTGAACCTCTATATGAATTTGTGTGTCCACATTTGACTGAATCTCTCCTCTTTTAATCAGTGTAGTCCATAATTAATTTGTTTCTGTCTCCTCCACCCGTGGCATGTTACGTGTCTCTTTTGACCTCAAAGGCACCTTTGGAATATTTTGGTATTTGTTCTGGATTCTGGTGTCATATGAGAGCCCCGCAGTCCATCCCACCATCACGCCAGAGGAGAGGAAATACATTGAAGACGCAATCGGAGAGTCAGCATCTTTCCTAGATCCCCTTCATGTAAGACACTCATAATAAAAACTCATCTTAAAAGATAATTACAAGTTCATGCCCACTCCTATGATATTTATGTCTAACTTGCTCTAACTTGTTTCATTTGGTGACAGAAATTCAAAACCCCTTGGAGACACTTCTTCACCTCTATGCCAGTTTATGCTATTATTGTGGCCAACTTCTGCAGGAGCTGGACCTTCTACCTGCTGCTCATCAGCCAGCCTGCCTACTTTGAAGAAGTCTTTGGCTTTGAGATAAGCAAAGTAAGTTGACAATTAAAGTAGAATGTTGTTGTTTTTTAAAAGACATCTAAAAAGACAACACTAAACACTCTTCTGAATTAAAAATGGTAGCACCTGCTTTGGTAGATAGCTTAGCTTTTTCCCCACATGATCAGGCTAGAGCCTGTCCTGGATGACTTTGGCTGAGGCACAGGGCTGGCAATCATGCTCACACTTATTGTCAGACTAAAATATCACATTTTTGGATAGTTGGAAGATCCAGGGTGTACAGTGAAAAAATACACAGAAACAGGGAGAAGGAACCGGACATGCAGACTCAGACCCGAAGACAGGGGAGCCACTCAGCACTCTGCAATTCACAGCTCTCCCTCACCTTTTTGTCCCACCAAATAAAAAAATCAAAGAAGCATGTATTAGTGGGACATTTGCTTTATGTGCCTAAAACATGCCTTACATGTCCTGAGTCAGTGGGGAGGAACTGTTAAGAAAAAGGACATTTTAAGAGAACCCATTAGTCATTCTCTTTTCCAAAAGTGTGAAACAGTGACAAAACTCCAGAGATCTATTTGAAATTAATGGGTTTGTTAATGTTAAGGGATTCAGTGGGAAAGATTATTCTTCTGTAAAAATGTTTAGTAGAGACTAGTCAACCTGTTAATATCAACGGCTTTTTCCCCTATGTCATTTAAAAAATATATTCTGCATTCCAGAAAAATCTATTTTAAACTTCCCCCTGTGACTTAGAAACAACACCCCTGAATCTTTGGGGGGTTTGCAATATATGAAGACAAGTCAGCAAACTCCTCAGTGGCCTAGAGGTGTCAGGACAAATACAAAAGCCACAACGGAAATATAAAACCATAGCGGACGTTACGCAACAGTCGTTTTTTGTTATTATGAAATACTAATGAAGAAGAAGCAGGCCCGCCAAAACTTCTATGAAGAAGCAAATATTGGCTGTTTGACCCACAAACATAAAACGCAATGCTTCCCTTTTCAATGAACATGCAGTTGCCAGTAAACCCACTTTCTGGCGGTATTCCTGCATCATAGATAACTAATGAAAAATGTTTCACTTGCTTATCAAATGGGCAAGATTTGTTTTCCGTCACAATTTAACAGGCACTGTTACTTCTGTTGCAGGTTGTGTTATTTCCGTTGTGGTTTTGTATATGTTGTGGCCTTTTTAATTTGTGTTGTGGCTTTTGCATTTGTGTTTCAGCTTTTGTATTAATAAAAGCAGGGTTTATACAACATATAGAAACCTTGGAAAAGTTCCCACAGATATTATAGAGCAATTTTTTTCTAAACATCTGGTTTAAAGTTAAAAGATTGTCCATTATAGTTATTATGATTAAATATGCTTTCTGATCTCTACCTTTATACAGTCCAAACTAATGTAGTTATGATTATGGTTTATTTTTGTTTGTGAATTGAAAAAGAAAGAAAGAGGGAAAAAGAGAAATTGTGTAAAGACATTTTCTATTATTGACATTATCTCGGTTCAAATCTAGCTGACATTCAAACTTTAAATGTAACTATGATTTAACGGAGTGAGCTATTTTCAGCCCTCTCATAGAAGCTATCTCTCGCCTTTTATTGCTCAGGTGGGTATGGTATCTGCTTTGCCCCATCTGGTGATGACAATCATTGTGCCTATCGGAGGCCAGTTGGCTGACTACCTGAGAACCCACAACCTGATGACCACCACCAACGTCAGAAAACTCATGAACTGTGGAGGTGAGACATGAGAAGAAGAGGCTGGGGAGCAAAGTGATGTTGAGTGATGTGTACCTTGTGCATTTGAGGGGAGTATATATAATATCTAGACACTTGCAAGCTAGTGCAGCCTAAAACAGTAACTATTGATTGTTCTCAATGAAAATTTCATTCACTGGGCTTAGAGACTGTATCTCTGAGAGTTTGGTATGGATTTTAAGAAAGATTCTACAGTTCTTAAGATGAACCAATCATTTGTCAGGATATCTTCTGTAAATAAATTATAATTATGATAATAACCTTTTACAGAAACAGACTTTTTGGCAAAGTATTAAATTATGTTGACATTAGAATCAAATTTAACACAAAAATAATCTTTGCATTTAGAAGTGATGACAGTAAGAAATCCCTTAACCTGTACGTTATCCATATTTTAACACTATGTGCCATTTACCCTGCATTAAACTCCGGGATCATTTGTAGCCCAGCAGCTGGCAGTATTACACCCATATTAATATTTTAGCACATTATAAAGGTCAAAAACACAAATGCCATTTCCAGCATACTTTAAATGCATTACTTGATCATCAAAAACCAGACCTTGTTTGAGCATAGTCCTCGTTGTCAATTCCTCACTTTTTTGTGTTTCTGTGGATTTGTTTCCATGCTTCAGGTTTTGGAATGGAGGCCACTCTACTTCTGGTGGTGGGCTATTCTCACACAAAGGGTATGGCCATTTCTTTCCTGGTTCTAGCTGTGGGGTTCAGTGGATTTGCAATCTCAGGTGAGTGACTTTTTATAAAGGTAAATCCTCAGTCAGTCTGATTTTATTTTACTCGTGTGTCACCTTTGAACAACATAAAGATGAGAATACATGTCGGTTTTCTAATCAATAATTCTCAGCAGGTCATAAATACATATGCATGCAACAGATGGATGCCCGTGCCCTGGTGTTACTCACTGTTTTATAAGCTGCTGTTTTGAAGCATTGAGGTTTCAGTTTGAAAGTTTTGCCACCACATGTGATGCACCTTAATCTGACCTGAATAGGCTTTCCACTGGGCAGCAGCTGTACACTTAATTAAGAATAACGGCCCTATGTGAATACTCAGAAGGAGCGGTACTAAAAAATCCCTCTCATTTGTTGTTCACACGTGATATAACTCAAGACACCAACAGGGAGGTTTTGTTTTCTGCAGCTCTGGATCTTTTAAGATAAACATACATGAAAACTTACTTTTCAAGAGTAAGCCTTTAGTGGCCACTAGAGAAACTGCAGGTTTTTGGTATCTTCGAGTGGCAATTCCACCATGTTTTGACCAATCTATCATTATATTGACAATGCCCATTAGTGTTTGTTTTAGCAGTTAACTCATCTCACTACTGTCACCGCACTTCCCCAAGCTACAAAGTAGATACAAAATATTCAAGCAGGAACAACACCTTTTACAAGAATGCTTTAATCATATCTAAAACAAGGAGAGCAACACATGAAGTGTGTGTATGATGAATGAGAAACCGCAGAGGACTTCATTTTTCTTTTAACCACAAATTTGGATTCATTTCAAAGAACAGCTTCTCAAACATATAAGAATAAACTTCCCAGAGCCTCCAGTGATGATGATGACCTGAAATATTGTAGTATCAGCTCAACATTTCACCAGCATAGGTTTTATGTAGTTTAGAAGTATAGTGTTATTTAAATTATGCCCAAAAGTAAGAAGTTTCACAATAATTTCAGTGTATGCCAACAGATATTCCAGTAGCTTGTATTCTAAAAGATTATACAACTTCAGCAGAGAGTGGGAGAAGTGCATGTGTGTTTGATGTCCAGTGGAGCAGAGCAGAGCGCTCAAAAATGCTGAGTCTCTGAGCAAACTCCAGAACTCTATGTGAAGGCCGGGAGATTTTATTTATACATTTTTCATGTCTCAATGTGGTATCAGCCTTCCCAAACTCCTGGCAAGTCAGCAAACAACTGTTATTATCCATCTGTACATACCACTCTCAAAAATATCCCATCACAGCACTGCTGTCAAAGAAGGTTGTTGAGAGAAAGATCTGCTTCAATGTTTTAAAAATAATTCAAAAACAAAAATCAATAAAAAAGTAGATACATGTGCTGTTTTTTTTCCCTCAGGGTTTAATGTCAATCACTTGGATATCGCCCCCCGATATGCCAGCATACTGATGGGCATTTCAAATGGAGTGGGGACATTATCAGGAATGGTGTGTCCTCTAATCGTGGGTGCCATGACGAAGCACAAGGTAATTCGTCTTCTGATTGTTAAAGTATCAAAGCCAGAACTGTCTTTTTTAGTGCGTAATGACACTAAGGTGGATCTTTAAATGATTCCAGACTCGTGAAGAGTGGCAGTACGTCTTCCTCATAGCTTCCGTCGTTCATTATGGAGGAGTGATTTTCTACGGTAGGACTTTTCCCTGCAATACTCTGAGAGAGATGCCTACAACTCTCCCTCGCAATGCTCATCGTATCTCTTGTTTTTTTCGTAGGTCTGTTTGCATCGGGAGAGAAACAGCCGTGGGCGGATATAGAGGACACCAGTGAGGAGAAGTGCGGTATAATCGATGAGGATGAGCTGGCCAATGAAACAGAGGAGATGTACCACGGAGGAGGGCAGTATGGGGCTATGGGCCAGCCGGTGGTCGGTTCGAATGGAGGAGGCGCGGGGGGTGGAGGAGGTGGCGCTGGATGGGTGACAGACTGGGATAAGTCTGAGGAGTATGTGCAGCCACCTGGACGCAATTCATACATGTACGGGGGAGAGAAGGAGAAAGAACTGACATAAAAAGAACCACACGTGATAGAAGTGTAAAAAATAAAAAAAATAATGAAGGAAGATTGTTTTGGGGAAAGGGATTGTGAGTCACTGCTGTACTGAAGGGGCCTGTTGTGTGCTTTTGTACATTATTTGCAACAGCACATATCAAGAGTATGCATCCAAATGGTTCCATTGTGAGTGTATCCTTGAGTGTGTACGTGTGTGGGTGTGTGTGTGGGTGGGGGGTGGGGGTGGGGGGGCATGCAGGTGTCAGAGTGGTTCATTTATATGAACACAAGCAGTTTTCAGCCACAAAATCTGAACTTTCCTCCTGCTCCTGAGCTTGATCAGGAGTTTTCCCAGGTCCCACCACATCACTGAGATGAGCGTATGAGTGTTTGTGTGTGGCGGGCTGTTGCCTGCACATCAAATTGCCCAAGCTTCACTAGCAGTACGTCATTTTGTAATTGTTAAACGTGAGCCATGCATTTGTTATATTTTCTCTGCTGGGAAAACACCTTTGGCGTCTCAGTAACACAGTAGAGCTTAAATTAATGTCCAAATCACTAAATTCCCGATGAGACGTCAGTGCTCACAAGGCTTTCACATCAACCAGAAATCAAATTGATCCTCTAACAGGTTATAAAGAAAAAGCATATTTCTTTTTGAGCAATCTACACTGAATAATTTAAGTTGTTTCATTTTTTCAGAAAAGGGTGCTTTGGTGTTGTATCGGTCTCTGTGTGTAAAGCTATAAAACCCGTTTAAACAGTGTCCCTTTCACATGCGTGTACAAATGTGTGTATTTGACTTTGCTTACAAAGCTGCCTGGGGTGTCTTGCTCACCTGGGTCTGACCTAACTGGGTCAGACCCAGCCTGGTTCAGCCTGGTTTATATGCCACAACACATACATCATGAGTAATCATCTGATACTTTTGAGCTTCCATTTGGTTTACTTGCTCCCATAAGAGAGGTAGCCCACAATGACAAGTGGAGTGTGTAGTTGCTTTTCTGTTGCACTGCTTAGCCAGAACGGATATCGTCCCCATCCTAACAATACGAGCCATCTCTCTTGATGCCTTTTTCTGTATTTCTGCAGTTGCCTCCCTTATGTCTTCTCCATTTTCTTTCTTTACCTCTATCACTGCTGTTGGTTGCCTGGAGGTCAGTTCTGTTTGTATTGATAGGTTAAAACCTCTCAGTCTGAGAGGCTGTGTGACAGTGTGTGTACGTGTAACAGAAGTGTGTTGTTGCATTGGGTGCAGGTGTTGGAACGCTGTGCGTTGAGTGTGTTTTAATGAGCACAGCGTTCTGCAGTACCCCGCCAGAATGCTCTTTTTCTCCTCACAGCACACAACAGTACACGTAGAGTTCAATCAGGTGCACCAGTGTGGAGGGAATGGTGACGCTATTCAACAGGATTAGCAAGAATTTAATATCGAAACCATCAGAAAATCTGCTGAATTTGGCCTGTCACACAGCTCCTCTCGAAACTTTATAAAGCATCACCTTCTCCTTATTCTCTCTGCAGTCACAGTTGGTTAATGGAGTGCTTTTCTAAAGGGGGGGCTGCCTTGTCCATCCATTTTTTGAACCGCTTATTCCCAAATGGGGTCACGAGGGGACTGGAGCCTATCCCAGTAGTCATGGTAGAGAGGCAGGGACAGTCGGCCAGTCCATCGCAGGGCCACACAGAAACACAACCATGCACACTCACACTCTAAGCTCAATTTGGAATGTCCAATCAACATAACATGCAGGTTTTTTGGAAGTTGGGAGGAAACCAAAGAGCCCACGCAGACACAGGGAGAGTCGTGCCATCCTCCTTGTCGTTCCTGCATAATGAAATTCTTCTTGCTCATGCATAAACTAGATAAGTCCTGAAACTATACATGCATGCAGCTATGCATACACACACAACTGCATTCAGCTTGAATTTTATGGTGATACCAAGATACGAAAGGTTCTTACACAGGAGTTTGATGGATGGCTCTTTCTCAGATCCCATTTCTGAAGGGAAAAAAAAGAATGTTAAACAGGATGTATTTCAAACAAATTAGGGTAAAATGGTCATTCACGTCAGTAACCTCTGTCAAGAAACTTTCAGAAACTGAGACTGGCAAATAATTATTTTGTTTTGAGTGAAATGTCTTCAGGACACGAATGATTATTTCTGTGAACCATTTCATTTCCAAGTGTTGTATTGGTGTATCTTCCATAAAGTTTCTTCTTTGTCTCAGTTTATGGCTGTTCAAATGTTGTCCTTGCCCCTCTTGATGAAATATGTGCTTATCTGGTTGGAATCAGTGTAAAAAGAAAAACAAAAGGGAAGATGATCATATTCTAATGTGGGAAAGATTGTGGGAAACGATGTAGGAATGATTTTATGTTTAAAAAAAGATGCAAATGTGAGATGACCTTGTGTAAAATAAAGATTTGAACAGTTCAAGACTATGCAAGTGTTTGTGCACTTCACTCCGAATTTAGAACTTGTATTGTAGGTTTTGCTACACTGTGACGCATCAGATCTGTGTTGAACATTTTATATGAAGAGCACATTGTCTCTTTCTCTATTTTTTTCCTCCCAGGACAGATGGATGCAGGATTATCTCTGTGATTTTAGCCAAAGATTAGATAGGAGAGCAGATGCACTCTGTGGGAGCGTGAGGCAGAATCACGATCGTCATGGACATGGAAAGCTAGAATGATAAAGCATTTAGGGTGGAGCATATTCCTGGTGTATATACATACTTTATGTGTCTAATGAACTGTGAGTTCCTGAATATGTACTCTGTAATGTCCTTGTCAGCAGTGCATCTTTGGAAATTATGGGTGGAATTTTAACCAATTGGATTAGTAAATGTGTAAAAGTAATATTCCTGTTCTCTATTAGTTTGTTAGATGCTCAGTGTCTTTCCAAATTAATTTGTTGCCTTTGTACTTGAATTTTTGCATTTCTTATTCATTCTAAAGAACAACATTTTACTGAAACTGAAAAATGTATTTTAAAAATACACACATTGGAACATCAGTTTTAAATGTTCCAATGTGTTATTTATACAAGTTATATCCCATTCATTCTCTTCTTTTTGGAAGGACCCAAAAAGTATTTATCTGGTCTGAAATATAAACCTGTATAAATCATATGATGATCAAACTAAATATCATCAAGATGATCAAACTAAATATTAGCATCAAAGCTAATGTTATTTCACCCTTTATTTTAAATGTACTATTACAACTTGTTTCTGCTGTTTATTTTCTTATAATTCTGTAAGCAATGTGTTGTAGTTCCTAAACAAATCCGCTGGAGGGCAGTGAAGACAACATTCTTTATTAAACATACAACATTAATCAAGTAATCAATGAAGACGTGAAACCATATGATGATTTCCGGTTATAAATTTCAAAATAAATCATAGTAAGACAGTTGTATGTGTTTGTTTAGCACAGATTAAAAAAAAAAACCCAAGTACTGAGCTTTTTGTTGCAGTGAAAGGCTTATTCATAAAAAAAAAATATCAACAAATGTTAACGAACCACATGAAATTAGTTGCATATTGAATATGAAATGCAATATGTCTTGTTTTAAAGTTACAAAGAACCAAGGGGTAGACGGGAAAACTGCGCCCAATTAATGCTTTGTCCGCTGATGATTGGACGTGTTTGCCAAATGTAGGCGGAGTTATAACCTAAAAGCGTACTATCATTGGATCACAAGAACGTCTGTCGTTTGAGAAGACATTTCATTGGTTATTTGACAAGAAGATTAATGCGTAAAACCTTGCTTACAATGAACCACAATGGAGAATAAGTAGGATCTCATAGGAGTTCAGGACTTTATTAACATTAAACTTTCTTTTTTTTCTAGCAGCAGAACAATTATCCGGTGAATGTATTTGTAGGTATTTCTCGTCTGACGGGCTCGTCTGGACAGTGTTTCTACAAGATATTTGAACAAGGAAGTCGTCTCAGGCTAACGTTATGTAGCAAGCTAATCTCATTTATAAACAGTGAAATCAGCTAACCTTTAACTGTGTTACAAGTTCCACATACAGGTGAGCACTTTTTCGACCTCATTGTAGTTATTTGAATGATTCTATTATCAGTTTACTCGTTTAAATCGATTACGCCTTAATAAGGAAGACTCGACTCCAAACGCCAAAGGATAAATCTGGGTCGGTCTCTTCGCCATGTCAGATAACGGAGGAAGAAAGCACAGAGGATTCTTTCACGGCTCTTAACAACCACGTCCACCTGTTGGTCTGATACGTTACAGGCATGACAGAGTACAAACTCGTGGTGGTCGGGGCTGGAGGTGTGGGGAAGAGCGCTCTGACCATCCAGCTCATCCAGAACCACTTCGTGGACGAATATGATCCGACCATCGAGGTGAGAAACCAGCATACATGAAACAATGTGGAGTGGGGGGGGCTCGTGCCATCAACTGTGTGAAAAAGATTCCAAATCCCCCCCAAATTAGATTTATACCTAACTTAAAAGGAAAACTGGACGATAATAAGGCCTGTATGTTTAAGGTAAATACCTCTTATTTGATTTATTGATCAGCTTTATAAAGTTAGTTAAAAAAGTTATTCTGTATACTTAATACCAATAAACATAACAATTGGAACCACTACACTAGTTCTAACTTGTCACTATTTTGTAAAAGCCAGTAAAACATGTAGTTTTTCTGTAGATGGTTTTCAGTCTTAGATATTAGTATTCGTCACAAAGTTTAAATCAGCATGTTTTCTCCCTTTTTGTTTAGGCTCGACCACCATAGCATCTGAAAGCAAATTCAACTCTTCATCCAAAGAACATTACTTACTGTATTACCACATGGTGTTGTTCCATCATTCAGCTCTCAGAGACCAATCGACTGACCCACTGATGCTGTGCTTACAGGACTCGTACAGAAAACAGGTGGTGATCGATGGAGAGACGTGTCTGCTGGACATCCTGGACACGGCAGGTCAGGAGGAGTACAGCGCCATGAGAGACCAGTACATGAGGACAGGAGAGGGCTTCCTCTGTGTGTTTGCGATCAACAACGCAAAGTCCTTTGAGGATGTTCACCTCTACAGGTTCGAGAAAAAGAGGCACTCAGACTTGAAAATGTCAGCTGTCAGCCACAAGTTTAACCTGCTACAGTCAGTAGGGCATAAACATGAAATAATGATGAGCTGGAACTGCTCTGTTTGCTCTTACAGATGTGGTCAGTGTTGTAACAAGGTTTGGGGAAGGGGGGGGGGTTAACATTTCTTAACCGCTCTGTGAAAGGTCCTATAATTTTTCTCTGCTTTTTACGGGTGACACTTAGTTTCTAGAGCTTAGTGTCTCTGACTTTTTGTTGACTAACTTTAATGCAAAGATTCTGTCCAGAGTCTTGAGGACATCTGATCTAATTGCGAACCACCTGTTGCAAGAGTGGCAGCCTCTAAGGGCTTTGTTGTGTCCCCATCTCAGGGAGCAAATCAACCGGGTGAAGGACAGCGACAGCGTCCCCATGGTGCTGGTGGGGAACAAGAGCGACCTGAGCACCCGCACAGTCGAGACGCGACAGGCCCAAGAGCTGGCACGCAACTACGGAGTGCCCTTTGTTGAGACTTCTGCCAAAACCAGACAGGTCCAGAACACATTTCAGGAACTTTTCTGATCCAAAACCCATTTGGTAATAGTTGCAGTTTGAACTATATCAGAAACCTTTCTGTCCACAGGGTGTGGAGGAAGCTTTCTACTCGCTTGTGAGAGAGATCAGAAGATACAAAGAGACCAACCGCAGCAACAAGAAGAGCAAGAAGAGCAGCCAGAGACGTTGTGTTATACTATAGCAGACACACAGAGCCAGCATCCCTGAGCACTTGTTTCACACTGCCCCTCCTTTCTCTATGGAGAAGTTTCAGACGGGAAAGGAGCCCTGGATCCATTTATTTTGCTGTTACCATGTCCACGAAGAATGTGTAGCCACAAGATTTACTATTTTCTCATCCATGTGCAACATCTGTACTCAGAGTTTCTTTTTAAAATTGTGCTTCACTGCAATTTGCACACAACCACCAAGAGATGAATGAAAACCACACACATTTTTGGAATTTAGTTAGTTTTTTTTGTTTAACTTTCCAACCAAACAAATTCAATTTTTTTCCCCCCAATCCTTGTAGAATTTCAGGACTTGAGATAAAATAACAAAATAGATTCAAAGCCACTAAACTGTTCCCACCTCCCAGGTGCACTTTATTCTTCTTCTTTTTTTTTTTTTTAGGAGTTTATTGTAGAGCCACGTCATTACTGTAGTTACTGTCACTTTAAAAGTTTACTCAGGAACCAGATCTCTATCAGGCACTGAGTATTCGCAGAGCGGTGACAGATCGGCTGCTTCTGTCCATTTCACACAAACATCCACCCCGGCTCTGTTCAGCCACACTGTCCCCGTGTTCGTCTCAGCACCGTTTGTTACTCACTTCATCACGACTGCTTTTGATTTGTAAACAACAACAAATAAGTTTTCAATCCAAGCGGTACTATGTGCAACATTTTGAACATGCCGAGGACAGTTTTTATCTCAGTATTGTCAAATCATGTGATGCTGGACAGAGGAAAATATTCAATAGGACAACTTTTTTTAATCTTAGAATTCTGCCTTTGACACTTTCAACCCAAATGTTTAAAAAGAAATAAAAGAAAATGCTGTTTTTCTATTTTTGTAGACCTGCTAAAAGCATTCCCCCAGTGTTAATGGAAAAAAAGAAAACAATAAATACAGTTACTAAAATTAAGGCGAGTTAACTTGAGGTCTGAGTTGCATCCTTTAAAACAGCGAGTTCCGCAGCGCCGTTGCTAAATGTGGTATTTCGAGTCACTCTGTAAATAGCATGCTCAATATTCTGACTATTTTGAGAACTAAATACCCAAATGGTTTGAGCTGTTTTGCACTGACGACTGTAAAACCTGTGATGCACTCTGTACTGAACAAATAAAACGTCTTCAGCTTTTACAGCATGTTTATCCTAGTGGACTTTCTACAGCGGACAAAGTTATTTTTGGGACTTGAACTCATTCAAAACAAAACCGAGGGCAGCTCATGGTGGATTTATAGCATGTTTAACAATTGGTAGTTTGTGCCATCAAAGTGTAAGCATTGATATATTGCTGAAAAAAGAAAGTAGTGTGAGGTCTGACAGACAGACTGACTAGTTAAGTTCCTCTTTTCATTACCGAAAGAGTAACATTGCTTTGATGTCAGAGCTGGTAACAATATAGATGTGCAGCTGCGAGTGGGTGGGTTAACACTAGAAACCACACAGCGATGTGGTGTACCAACCTGTCTGCTCCCTCTCCATTTCATAACCTCACAAGAGGGGGGGCCAAAAAAAGAAATAGACTTTTTTTAAAACTTATTTTACAAAAAGACATTTTATTTACTAAAAATGACAAAGTAAGTAATATATATGTATCTTTACAAACACCAAGAAAAAAAGCAGTGTACGGATGAGAGTCTGGAGGTCAGCAAATAAGGCACATCAGTCCTCTTTTCACCATCCAAAGCGAGACACCAGCTTGCTTTGGTCATCCAAATCTTTCTGAACTTTCTTCCTCATGTAGAAGATGGGACAGTCCCGGCTGCAGAGGAGCGAGCATGGACAGTGTTACTGGAGCTCTACAGCGGGCGGTCCTGACTGCTACCTGTGTGTGTGTGTGTGTGTGTGTGTACCTGGTACAGAGCACGTCCTCGTGCAGCGAGCCCTGGCAGCGCTGGCACTGCGTCCACAGACGGGAGAAACGCTCCTCTAACGCGTTCAGGTGGAAGATCTGTCAACCAGCGTATGAGTGGTGACCCGTTACACTTTCAGACATCGCTTTCAGATGAATATTTGTCTGATGAAGTTTGTTTATATTCACGGACAGCTTTGACTCGCACGCCCAAAGGTAAATGTTTAAAGACAGTGCTCGAAAAAGAACTCTGCTCGTAAATCAACCGACCTGTTCTGAGTTCTGACAATTGTTTTAAAGCCTAAAAGGTTCTCTACATAAAATAAAATGTCATTTGACTTCTTGCATACCTCCTTTTGATAAAGTTCAGACTCCTTCTTCTTACAGAAATCACACACAGCCGCTGAAATGACATAAACACTGCATAAGAATTCAATAAATAGAAAAACTTATGCTCGGGTTTAATCCAAAGTTAAAATGCTCGAGCACCATCTAAACTAAGATTTAAAAAATGTTATTAAATAACTTATGAGGAACAGAGGAAAGGCAGCGCCCACCGTCCGTCTTCAGCACGGCTTTGCAGCCGATGCAGGTGCTCCTCTTCTGAGCAAAAGCCATGAGGCCTCCGATCTTTGAGGTCAGCACCGTCTTACAGCGCGTGTGATCACCCTCTGAAAGAAAACACACAGTAAGAAACTGTAGGTGACCCTGATCACTTTAATATAAGCCCTGAGATATGTGTGCGTGTGTGTGTGTGTGTGTGTGTGTGTGTGTGTGTGTGTGTGTGTGTGTGTGTGCTGATGTACTTAGTAGGATGCTCTCAGCCTTGCTCTCCCCCAGGATGGGCTCAAATATCCTCATCAGAGGTTTGGACAGCTGCTGTTCCAGGTAGTACTGCGTATCGATGGGAATGTTGTTCTCCAGCACGTAGATCGGATCCTGAAATGAGTTGAAGAGTGGCGTTTATTATTGGACGGGCAGGTGGAAGGTGAGGGAGGAGGACATGCGGAGGGAAGGGACGGTGACGACACCTCTGACTTCATGTACGCTGCCACTCCCTTTGTGGCCTTGATGATGACATACGGCACTCTGTCTCCCAGGTTGGGGGCGCTGCCCGCGTCCCTTTTCCTCATCCTGTGGAACACGCACAACAAAAATAATTAGCACCAAGCTTTTTTCTTTTTAAGTGCATTTGGCCATTAATCGGACCTCTCTGCCAGCTCCACGTGCGCCTGCTTGCCGGCGTACTCCTGAGCCGAGCGCGTCAGCTCCTTGGTGATGACCAGCTGGCTGATGTCAATGCGATTGCACAGCAGATCTGAGATCACCTCTTTCGCATGTTCCACGGCACCCTGGGGATCCCTAAAGAGACAGGAATAATGAAAACGGACATAGCGTCGGAGGATCTGAAATCCTACATTTCTATCTTCTTTTAAAACTAATGCCAATGTTTTTTTTTGGGGGGGGGGTTCTCAATACTTTGCTTAACCAGAAATCTACAGTTTGCCAAGGAAATGAGGAGGAGGCGTACCTGTCAATGAGGATTTTCTGCAGACATGTGTTGATGAGGTTAGCCACCAGAGGGCAGTTGTCTCTCCGGACAGTCTCTATGCCTTTGCAGTCCATCTTCTCGTGCGTATCTGCACAAGATGAGAAATACAGGCCTGCGTATCGCTTCTTATTGATCAATAGGTACGGGTAGTAAACCTGTGGAGAAAACCAGAATAATTACTTGCTTAATTTTCAAGACAATGTGACAGATGTACATTTACAAACTAATGTTTTACACATTTAGTAGCACGATACAAAAACAAGAAGGAATGCCATGCTTTTTATGGCAGTCAATGCATGCAGCTGGTAATGAAAGTTAGAGCTGCTAAAAGCATGCTTAAGACACTTTTCTCCAAGACATTATTAAATCCTAAAGCCTTAGATGATCAGATGGGTTCCACAGTTCAGAGGATCTGACTGCAAAGCCTGGTGGGATTCAGACCTGATCCAGGACCGAGGCGTTACTTAGTGTGGCTGGATATTAAACTTCTCAAATGAGAGAAATGTCAAATGTGAGGTTATGTAGCTGGACATGTCTCAGGGAAAAAACAGGCCTAAACACAACTGAGAATGTTCATCAAAACCCTACACAGGTTTTTTTATGCTGAAAGTCAATTAAAGTACAGTAGAGGTTACATTTTAATCCCATACAATCTGAATATTGGATATCCGCCATATTTGGAACTCAGACCAGTATTATTTCATATGAAAGAGGAACAAATCAAACATTCTCATTGACAGAAACAGAACTGAGCAGCTTTAATAAATACAAGGAACTAAAATGTACCTTCTCAAACTCCAGCTTGATGGGTGGTGTGAAATGGGATGACACCCACTCGGCGGCTTCCCTCCCAATTTCCATAGCTTCTTTTACTGTAGAAACTCCTAGTTTGACCATGACAGAATCTGTGTCTCCATAAATTACCTTTGAACGTAAAAAAAACAATAAAGTGCAGGTGTACTTGTTAAGAGGGATATCCCTGAAACAGGAAACAGAAAGACAAGCGTGCACTTGGGCGTTGGTGGAGGGAGGCCACACGATTTCCTCACCTTAGCGTCTGCCTGAAATCCATTGGACAGGGTGTACTTAGACTCCACCAGCTGTTTTGTTTGCTCAATCATCTGGCGCCCAAATCCTGTGACGCTCTGCGTGAGGCAAAAGAAACCGATGCCATAAAGCAAAACTAAATCAAACCTTTCATTGGAACAAAGGTTTAGTCATTTAATCCATTTCAGTTTCAGGTTGCAAACCAAAAAAAGTTTAACAATAAATTGATCATAAGCGTTTTTGTCATTTTCTTATTGGGCTTTCTAAGAATCAGGACATAAAGCCATCAGGTACATTTTGTGTACAGCTTTACTCTTCCAGTACATTTTCAGTATTTCCTCCTTCACCTGTTCTGTGGTTTCGAGTTTAAAACTTATCTTTACTCTACATCTTGCTTACAGTTCATGCTCTGACATCACATCTGTGCAAAACAGTAGCAAAAGAAACTCAAACTGGGACAGCTCCACTCTCTGGCACCAACTGTTACAAAGAGCAACAAAGAAATAAAAGCAACTTTTCAATCCACTCAGTTAAGGATTAAAATGCTTACCTGTGAAATCTCTAAGCAGGGCAGCTTGCCCACCTGGGCCCCCGTGAAGCCGTACACAGAGTTTGCACTAATTTTTAGCGCCAGCTGTCGGCCATCCAACACCTGTTTCTTGAAAGGGTCTGTTTCCTTCTTTAGCTCTCCTTTGGCTCTGTGGACATGAAGCAGGGCAGTCTAATGGGGGGGGGGGCACATCTGGAATATCTGAGATTCAGCCTAGATTTGTTGCCTACCAAGTCACAAAATGTTCTCATATCACAGTGAGATAACGAAATAAGAAACGTTACAAATTAACTGCTGAAGTCTGAATTATGCCATTCTTTACACATTTATCAAAGACATTCACATAATCTAGGAATTGTTTTCAAACAGGCTCAAACCTCTTTCGAGCAGACAGCAGGTTCTCCAAGATCTCTGGAAGAAGTCCTTTCCTCACAGAGCTCTTCACAAACTGATCACCGGTTGGAGTCTTGATGAAGTCCTCTGACGACAGGCTGCACACAGGTTAGAACCTCATGAATAAAAATAACAGCTCAGAAAGGCCAGAGTTAAAAATGAGCTGTAATTTTGAGAACAATATAATGTTTCTCCAACAACATCTTTTTAGATATGCGTGAGTGATTCAATGCCAATTCTTTTAAGTGTGTGACTATCAAACAGCTTCTTACCCCAGTTTCTCCACCGAGCCTTTCTGCAGCAGGGTGGTGTAGCACAGATTGTGAGCCATCATGATAGATGGATACAAGGAGGAGAAGTCCAGGGTGGCAATTGGAACGCTGTAATATCTACAAACAACAGAGAAGGCCAGGACAAGAAAATAAGTCTGGACCTACCCCACAGCAGGAGCACTGAGGTCACACACCAAAAAGATTTTCTTACCCTTTTTCTGGTTCAATTACAGTTGCACCAGTGTAGTCTTCCCCTCCCTCAGGCTTTACAACAGGCATGACCAGGTTCTGTTTCATGGCCTAAACATGTACTCACATTTAGTTTTCATGGCGTTTTTTTCACGAGCGAAAAATGCACTTTTCTTTCTGACCTGTCGCAGAAGCTGAGAGACAACTTTAATCTGCTGTCCTCTGGACAGCAGGTAGGTCAAAGGCACGCCTGTGACTCTGGCCATCTCCATGTAGTTAATCACACACATGAGTTTCTGCAGCAGGCGCAGAGGGAGGTAAGCGTCCTTCAGGCAGTAGACTGCCAGACGACGACGTGTCTGTTCGTTTCCATTCTGTTAATAAGACAATGGGAGGCGGGATAAGTGAAGGGAAACGAAACCCAATCTGACAGAGACAGCTCCAATATATTGTAGACTTGAGAAAGAAATGGATTGTGTATGGTGACTGGACCCCTGGTCTGTCTGTCTGTCTGACCTGCAGATCAGTGATGATGGAGTGCTGCACATCCTCCTTTTGTTCTTGCAGAAAATGGAAACTCACAGCATTCAAAGTGTAGGAGCGCAGTTTGTAATCCCTCAGGAGAACCTGCAAGAAACACACCAATCATGTTTTTTTACATTGCATATATATATATGTGTGTATATGCAAACATATACTGAATAGCAACTAAGCTGTTATCTAATATTAAAATCACTTAGTAGTGCGCTCTGACCTGCAACAGATCAAACTGCACCCGACCCTCCATGTTTATTGTCTTGTTCTCCCTGCGGCCCATCTGTTTGCTTTGGAAGCTCGAATCTCGCAAAACTGATTTCATGTTTCTTATTCTGCCTAAATATGGAAAAAGGTTCACCTGAACAAAAACAGAAACATTAAGGGAGATCATTTCAGACCTTGGCTACGAATTGAAACAGTGCATAAATGCTGCTCATTCAAACCTTCAAAGTATCTGCCCTGTTGAGCAAATAGGGAAAGTCAAAGTTCTGGATGTTGTATCCAGTAATGACGTCCGGGTCCACAGTCCTCAAAAATTCAGCCCAGCTCTGCTCAAATACATACAGAATAACATGTTAGATGGAAACTACCGCATAAGGAAAAATGTCCAAACATGAGCCGAACTGGGCCGTAATGAGCCGAGGGCATACCTGGAGAAGCTTTTTCTCCTGAGTAAAGCACAATATCTGAGAGCCAACAATGCTGGCACAGGACTGAAGGGTGAACACTGTGCGAATGAAGGGCTCCATCTCACCCTGCCGCTGGACCATAGATGCTATCTGAATCACAGGATCTTTGTCTGCTTCTGGGAAGATTCCTGGAAAGAGCAGCAACTGCTTGAAAATGTGCTTTACTTTTCATTAGGTTTTACATGGGTTTGGTCATGAGTTGCCATGCCATTTGCTACAAAGAACAGATACAAGAGAAGATCCACATACCTTTTCTTCCTGCACATTCAATGTCAAAACTAAGCACCCTCAGAGGGGCAATTCTCTGCCAGTCTCCCTCTGCAGGGTGACTTATCAAATCTGTCCATCCAACGTCTACTTCATACTGACACAAAGACAACTGCAGGGCAAAGAAATGAGGCAGACTATTATCAAACACTGTATTGTACGCGGTCTTGTGTAGCAGCATAGGACCCATTTGATCAAATTACTTATCATTAAAGAACTACCTTGGCTGTGGCCTGAGAATCCTGGTTGCCTGTGCTCTTCTCTTCACGCAGTTGGTACTTGCCTTTGGGAAGTTCAATCCAACAGCATCCCACCACATCACAGTCCACCATAAACCTGAAAACAAAAGAAAGTGCGTGAGACTGAAAATAAATTGTCTGCTCGTTATTGGTTCAAAAGGCTATCTAAAGCAAATAAAGAAAAACACCTCAAACTCCATAACATAATTCATACATCAGGAACATACACATATACAATACCAAAGGGATGACTTCTAGTTTCCATTCACTGACAGCCACAAAGTTATTCAACTACATTCCAAAGAAATCTCAGTCTATCCAGTTCAGAAAAACAGCATTTTATGTGTTTATTTGTTCAGTTGAGGAAATCCAATAAAAGGTTTTAGTCACGACTGTCTGCTTGACATGCAAGGTTGATTCTGATAAACCGTCTTCATTTATACACACCTGATTTCAAAATCTATGTTGGCCTCGTAGGATTGGTAGTTTTGTATAGGGAAAGGTCCAAATTTAAAGCCCTGTTCCAACAGTCTCTTTGCAGGTGCAATGAGACGAGGCATCGCCATGGTAATCCGTAAGAAGTCCGAAACACGTTGCCCATGGTAACCATACATGCCTTTGGGAATAAGAAATTACATCAATCTAGTAAAATGTCACATGAATGAAGTTGTAAAATTATATAATTTCAATTTTGTGGTTTACTTTATTAGTTTGACCAAAAGATCATATGTATGTCTGTTAGAAGGACTCTTTCAGAAAACTAATAATTATTAATTGAACAATGAGCCTGAATTACTTGTACTCACTCTCTTTGCGGGTGATGTCGACAGCCAGCACGGTGACAGAGATGTTGTCCTTATTGGAGCGCATGTCCTTCAGAACAGCAGAGTTCAACTCTCTTTGAAATTCACCCAAGTAATCAGACTTGAACCCTTTCAAACAGAAATATAAGCAATAGTTAAATAATTTTCATCCAGAAAAGACAGAGGCATGTTCTTCTCAGGGTCTCGTTACTAATGACCAGCTAAAAGCCATCACCATTCGAAAGAAAATCAAATGAAGTACTCACCATTTGGTGCAGTAACATAGAAGTAAGGTGCAAACCCATGGATATGGCAACACACACTGTTGCCGTTGTCTGTTACACCAAACATCCTGATGATAGGTACTTTTCCTTGTGACTGGCCGGGCATGCCAGAGACTGACCGATCTGCATAAAAGCAATTAAACAAAAGCTACTTTGTACTTACTTTCCTCTTAGGCCACATACACAAATATGGCTTTATGGGTATTCATTTTATACATTAGATTGAGTGAATACCTAAATAATAGTCCAGATCAATCTGCTGGAACACCAAGGTATCGGATGATGGGTCCAGTGAGGGAGCTGGAGGTCTGGGCCAACGTGGGTTATCATTGGCTGAAAAAAGGTCACCTAATTGGATGAGGAAGTAAAAAAGAGTTAACGCCAAAGAGCATTATTTATCATTTCACTGGATTGAGCTGATTTGGGAAAAATATTTAAATAAAAAACGTTGATTAAGCTTTTAAGTGAATTGTCAGAAGCAACCGTTTTTCAGACACATCGGTCAAAACATTACATGGCTTCCATCAGTCATATAGTTGTTTAACTGTAAAAATCTGAAACAGTGACATCATTCCAGATAATTAATTTACCCTGAGGTCAGCATGACATTTACTCAACACAAATTCACTAATTATTTTTTCTATGCAACTCTTACCAACAGGAATGACATCATGTCCTGTCTGACTCTCAAATTCCTCTGATTCCATCTCTGCTTCATCAAACTGTAAGAGTTCTTCCTCAAACTGTGACGGACTGTCATCCCATTCACCAGCTGCTTTACTCCGCTTGGCCTGGGACTGGCCACCCAGGAAATTCCCACCATTGCGCCGTTTAGGATCCATGCTATAAGTAATTCAAAATAATGTTGGAAATATTACCATACAGTTATATTGAAGACGATGCTATTAGCTCACATATACAGAAATAAGCATTCACAAAAGTAAACATTAGCAGATTGCTGGAGTTCCTCTGTGTGCTAAACATGATCAATTTAGCATCACATCACACTAAAGTAGTTAGCTACTCCTGACATCCTGAGTTACAGTGCGTTATCAGTATGCATTCAAAATTAACATGTAGAAATAGCAGTATTAAACTCAGTAATTTAGTTGTTTGGCTCTTCACACGTGATATCTTCCTATCCGTTCAATTCAGCGGCGCACGAGCTGAAACAGAAAGCTAGCAAACGCAGTTGTAAACACCAAACATTCTCGCGGTCTAGTCTCCGGCTAATCTTAACCAAATGCAGGACTGATATCTACCAGGACACTTCTGAGTTGCTGTTTCGTTTAATGCGAGCTTATATATACCTGTGTGAAAGTTTCTCTGTAACAACAGACACCCCGACTGACAAGAGCTCCCGCCACTCCTCTTCAATTTGTGAACTTTCACCGCTGAGCGCGGGGAAAAGTTCCGTCTGTTGCTGGGTCCAATAGCAAAGGGATGGACAATGACGTCACCAGTATGGGACGGAAGATACAGTGAAGTCTATAAAAAATAAAAGAGGAAGTCAAACGCGAGGCCGAATCCAATTAAGACAAAAAGACCCTGTGATCGCGGGAAAATTACGTTAAACTTTATGCAACGGCAACGGTGGGGAAAGTGTTCGGCCCCTTTTTTCGATAATGTTGAAATCCAGGCTTTAAGAATACATGTCTGAATAATGGCAATGGCTATTTTAATTGCAAATGAGATGTAATTCCATTCAAAGTCTGAAGGCTTTACACTGAGAAAACTATTTATATGTAATAAGAGCACATGCAGGATACTGGACCACAATTTTTTAGAGCACAGGAACTTTTTGCAACTGAATCTCTGGTCACCCACACTTTTATGAATAGAGTTTCTCATTATCTGGCAGTTGCTAGTAAACATGAACCGAGACCCCTGATGCATCTTTAGGGTCTTCAACTCATATTTCTGAAAAGCATCCCTTTCAGATAATGTTTTCCTCACTGTAGAGAATCTTTGTTCTAGAATGCAACAAAAGCACACTGCATGCCAGTCCAAGACATGACGACTTTTCAGCTCAGGGTATAGTTGAATTGGATTAAACTGAAAATGACCAAAAAGATGCCCTTTTCATTTTTACGTAAAAGAGATATTCAAAAGATGTCCTGAAACTTGTGGTGGTCCACTACTGTATGCGTCACTTAGTTCATCAGAAATACACAGCGACGCTACTGACAGCAAGGGAGAAATTGAAAATAAATTTAGATTTAGGGTACTTTTGGATCCCACAGTGGGGAAATTAAAACAAACAAATAAAGAAAACAATGTGATTTTACAGTGCTACCAAGCTTCTCCACAAAAGGGAATGAGTTCTGGAAGGAAAACAGAGAACCAGCTCCTACATCAAGACCAACTGTAATGGCTACAGTCTGTTGCCGTTGGCGTCCAGCAAGTAAAGTACTGTTTGCACGATACTGCACAGGAGGTTTCCCACATTTGTGACCTTAGCCTCTAACATCTTATTTTTTGTGTGAGCTAATTTCTCACCAGAAGACTTGAAAATGTGTTTGAGTGGGGGGACTGTGGTGTATCATGTGGGTGGGGGATGTGGATGGAGTGTTCCCACAGAGACTCTGTAGGGGATGACTGAAAGCAGATTGTGGATTGTGAAGAGAGGTGCTGAGATGGAGATGGGGGTTGGGTGTCCAAACAATGTCACAGTTGAGGGTGGTTGCAGCAGGAATGACTGGGCTCAAACCAGTTGAAGAACCAGTTCAGATCCTGATCCGCTGTGTTTTTGTGACCTGAGAAGCTTTTTAGACCATTCTCGTCCTCATTAACATAAATCTGTCTCCTCAATCTTTATTCTATACTCAGAACTACAAGTCTAACAAAAAATCTGTATACCATTCGTTTACATATATTTTCTGTTATACAGATACATAAATTCACAGGAAAATGCTATTATATGAAATGTCTTCTTTGTTTGTCTTTCACAATAGTTTTGAGTGAATACTGAATCAACAAGATCACATGGAGCTACATTTCCATTGTACTTGCACGATTGTTTTTTTTTTTTTTTTTACTTCAGTGTTTTTCCATACATTGTTGTTTGTTTGTTGTTACTGATCATAATTTTACGCTGAAAACACTTCTTTCTAAACCCTTTTACCTTTTCTCGACCTTCAGATAAACTTCCAGTATAACTAGTTCAACTTTCCTTCCTCATATTTGTGTTTGTGTTGTGTGTTCTATTTCTGATCCTCTACTCTGACAATTTGCGCTTTTTACCATTTGCTGCTATGATGAAACTAGTTCCTGCAAGAAGTGTATATGGTTTTTATCCATATGATGACCCCAGCAGACAAAGAAAACCTATCTTGAATAAGTAAACTTGCACAAAATGTTTGTTTAGCTTATCTCTAAAAGCTTGGGGGGTTGTCTGGAGTCTTTCTTGGCACACACATGTTCACTGAAGTCAAATGTCACAACTTACAGCATGGGACAACTCAGCGTGACTCTTTGGGTGAGCCTGAGATATAAACAGATGATGACCAGTGGAATATGTCTATATTGGTTGCTGCAGGGCAGATCACAGTGACATGTCAGTGGTCACGTTTCATTTGTAAACTATGGCCCCTGACTCTTTAAGGGCATTAAAATAACGTTCTTGCTGTTGTTCTAAACAGAGGCGGGGGGGGGGCTCCTTTGGTCACGATTTAATCGTTTTTGTGGATGAAATAATAACTACCTTTAACTTGTGTCCAGCCAATCGCATCTTTCCGCTGTAGAAAACACCCAGTCCCCATCACTCTGCAGGCACAGGCGGAGACTAAACCTCTTCTGAGGCCAATAAGAATATAGCTCATGAATAATGCGACTCCCCACCATGGACATATACTGCCCATCCAGCCTTCTTCCTGCGCTGCAGCCAATGGCATGCTCCTCCTCAGAGTTACGCACCACGCCAATGTGAATCGCTGACATTTAACCAAAGCCGCCGCCCCCTTCTCCTCACTTTCCACTGTTTTTCTGCGCTTTGGACTGACTGCGACAGCTGCCAATGTTTAGTTGGTCTTCCTGAAGTTAGGACAAACCTGAAGGGTGAGTAGACGTTCGCATGTCCTCTTTGATAGCGACGCTCGCTGATTATTTCCCCAGAAAACGCGCAGACGGAAGCGGCCTCTCAGCAGCTGTGCAGTAGGTGCTTGATGTCACGTTCGCCTCTCGACTCAAGAGGAGCGCAGACGTGCACACAACGCCGTGCATGTTCCACCGAGAGGTCTGCAGGGTATTTCGGAAGAGCCTTTGCAGTCTTCAGACTAGTCTGTTTGGACCTCGGTGATCCAGATCTGCCAGCTCTACCAATCTCAGGCCTACTGAAGAGTTGTTTATGAGAGAGTCGGGCGTGAGCAAGGTCAGAGGGAGGATGAGTTCTGTAAAAAAAAAACTAGGAAATGTTCCTGCAGGCAGGCTAACTCATTCAGATGCCTACAGAAAGCCTAAAGGAATGCCTGTGGACTCCCAAAGTTCATCCCCAGAAATGTTGTGTTTACTGTCAATATCCATACAGGGGTGGTGGGTTATTTGTATATTCATGGTAATCTTTGGACAATTAAAAAAGAAAGAAGCACGGATGCGTTAAAGTGCAAAAGATTTCTTATCTTTTTGGACAAATCTTCTTTATCATGACAAGGGGTCAGAAACTTTATAGTCCAAAACTCAATCATCATGTGGGCCACTGATGTCCAACAGGTCACCTCCTTGATTGTGTATACACAAAGTTGAGCAGAGAAGTAAATAACACCAGAGTTGTCAATGTGATTGTTTCACAACTGGCCCTCCATTGCCATATTGATGTAGTTTCCCATGCGTTCCCACCTAGTATGGTGAGAGCATTTTCACACAAGCTGAACCTGTGCCAAAAGGAAAGCCACCAGATCAAGTTCATACCTGTGTCCTTATTGCAAACCTTTCTCTCACACCACTCCCCCATTTTGTTCTGTGAATTTCACCACTTCCACAAGTAGGAATTCCAAGTTATAATTTCACGCATGTGGCCTATCGGTAAGAATTATCTGTTGGCAACTGTTATGAGATGGCAACAGGGCCATAAAAGCAGCTAGCACGAAAAATACCAGAAAGGTTATTCTACTCCAAGTCAAGTGTTTGCATATCCCAAAAATATATGTGGTATTTTGTATAAAGTTTAGTGCCTTTAAAAGGATTCTACTTCCAAAAAAGGGTAGATGGGTGTATTTAAACTTTTACTGGTACCGCATATGCTTCTGGGAGGGAGATTGTAGAAGTCTGTCAGCAGTCTTAAATAGTACACAGAGCAGATTTTGTTCTCTCGCTGACATCCCTCTGCTCAATCCACACAGCCTCCCAATGTTTTAAAAGTCGTGCTCCCTGTGTCTGCAACCAAACCTTAAGCTTAGTCACCAAAGGAATTCATTTGTTTAAAACATGGTGTTCAAGGAGGTGTGTGAAACATTTTAAAGTATTGAGAAAGATGAGTTTTACATCAGTAAGGTAATGCAATAAGCAGTTGTGTTGGTTAAGGGGAAGTTTCTTTCCTCTTTATAACATAATCTGCTTTTCCTCATTAGATTAACCTGTAGTGATTTTAAAGAAATGCAGTTTGCTGTCACAGCTCAGGCAAGTACTCTTAAATCAGGCTGACCTGAATTTCTGTGGCTTAGAGGGGGGGGAATCAAAATATTTCTGATGTAGATGTCATGTTGTTGTATAAATTGCTCACTCGTCAAAAAAGCACGTGGCAAAAATGTCCAACACATGACAAGTCGTGTTTTGTTGATGCATGGTTGTAAGGTGCTCTCCTCTCAGGGGGGTGCGTTCTATTTTTATTCAGAATGCCGCTGGCTCGCAGTCTGTCCGTCACGTCCCTCTCAGGACTGGAGGAATGGGACGAGGAGTTTGATCTGGAAGATGCTGTTCTTTTTGAGATCGCTTGGGAAGTCGCTAATAAAGGCAAGTTGTCGGCTTATCCTGGTGTGATGGATAGCCTTCTCAAATAGTTGAGAAAACTGTTGTTTTCTATGTTAGTATATATATATATATCTTTAAGCTTTTTGTTTCACAGACTAGTTCTAAAGGAAAATCTAAGCTTAGTTCGGTGACATGATACCTTTTGTTTTTACTCTGTGTGTGTGTGTATATTTACTGCGTGTGTGAAGTTGGAGGCATCTATACCGTCATCCAGACCAAAGCCCGTCTGACCGCAGAGGAATGGGGGGAGAACTATTTCCTGGTGGGTCCCTACGTGGAGAGCAATGTGCGTACACAAGTGGAGCTGATAGAACCCACCAACCCTGTGCTGAAGAGGACCATTGACAAAATGAACTCCAGTGGTTGTAAGGTACTACCAAAAATATCAAACATACAAATGTTGCACAGAAGACCAGTTATGTTTAACAGTCTTACAGAGGGAGATGCATGCTTTAGAGGTGCTCAGTGAAACACGATCAGTCTGTGGCCCCTCTTTTATCCGAGCCACTCCCTCTCTGCTTGGCCTTATTACCCCAATCACCGCTCAAAATCCAGTGACATTTCCCCACAAAGGTTAGAAGTTGTAACTGCCCGTCTCCGTCCAACACACTTTCACACACACGCACTCCAGAAATAGATGACTGAGCATGATACTTCTAAGGTTTTGTGCTGTGTCACTCAAGGATTGCAGTGGTATTATGTGTCAAGGCGACAAGAGGTTGTGGTACTATTTTAGGGGAAGGGTTGCATCCATTTTAACAAAGCATATGTCTTATTTACAGAGAATTCTGCGTCACCTACTGTAGCTGGAAAGAACTAGCTGGCTTGTGATTTAAATGTTTTTAAGTATTGATTCAGGAGTTTCAGTTTGCACTTACAGAATTATACTTGATACAATGTGCAGTCAAATGGCTTTTGACTGCATATGCATTTACGTGTCAGGGACAAGTATGTAGAAGGTCCTATGTTACCTATTATAATAGAAATTGATGGATTAATATAAACCCTATACATGCTTTTGCTAGTTTAGGCAATAGTCTAGACTTCTTTTCTTTTTTTTTTTGACATGGCAAACTGTCAAGGTTAATTTTTTATTATGTGGTTGGACTTTGCTTTTATGAAGGGGATGACTGCAATCAAATTCATACCCTCAGAGCACACATCAAATCATGTTGATAACACTTTTATATTGGTTTATCAGTTTTTAAATTTTCCACTCATTGGAATTGTTCCTCTTTTTCTAATTGAAAGAAAGGAAAGAAGTTCGCGTAGATAGCTTCTGCCCCCCTGACCACCTTATCTCCATTTTCCCACAGGTCTACTTTGGCCGATGGCTCATTGAAGGCAGTCCTTATGTGGTTCTGATTGACGTGGGATTCACGGCCTGGTCTCTGGACCGCTGGAAGAGCGAGCTGTGGGAGCTTTGTGCCATCGGCGTGCCCTGGTTCGACCGTGAGGCAAACGATGCCGTACTGTTTGGCTTTCTGACAGCCTGGCTTCTTGGAGAGGTGAGTAACATTGTTTTTCAACTTTTGGTCAGCATTTTGCTGCTTTGCATGTTTATGTACATGTAAAGCTACTCATACACTGCGTATGCATAAACATTAACAAAGACCTAGTCATGACCTTAGCTCAGTTCAACTAAGAATTCCATCATGCTTAATAGTGATGGTAGGTTAACAACAAGAATGTGGACATGCGGAATGAAGAGATAAAGGACAATTTTGATTATCAAAACTCAAGAGACTTGCTCTATATTACATTACCACAAAAACACACACACACTGGTATTGGATGAGTCACACAGTACCAGTCCCATTCATCACTGGCCAACTGCAGGATCTCTTACTGTGCATGTAATGGTCAATCTTTGTTCCAGAACCATTTTATTTTCCCAGATCCTGGCAATGTCACAATTGGTTAGCTACTTGGCTTTTGCTCACAATAGCTTTAGGATGAAGTGGGGGGCCTATATTTGTATGTGAAAGAAGACAACATAAAATGCTGGATTTCTGCTAATTAGTAAAAAAAAAAAAAAAAAAGATATCATATAAATTATTTATTTTAGCATTGCTCATACTTCAAAGTATGAAAGAAATATTAATTACACTTTTTTTTTTCCCCAAAAAGCAAAATGTCAGTTTGAGCCCTCCCAGAAACGTGAAGAATATTTGGATATTCACACGGTGTGGTTTAAAACAAAAGGATGAAATGATCATTTCCCACGCATTTCTTGAAAAAAGTTCTGGAGTCTGTAACCGCTCTAAGCAGAGAGTAGCAGCCGTGCTTTTTGATGCTTAGTTTGAGTGAACTTTCTCACCTGCACATTAATGAGAAAATGAGACCGCCCTGTTAAGACATGGCAAAATGAATGCAAACAGAGTTGCCCACTACATGTAGATTGCTATAGTTTAGATGAGTCAGTGCCTTATTATTCAAAGCTCACCATATCCTGGCTGTGCAAACAGAAAAGCGCATTCCTCTGAAAATGGTTGAGTACAAGGCCTCCACTAGATGGGTTGAAAAAAAGAAAGAGAGGAACTTTTTTTAAATGACCTTCATACTGCCTGGAAAACTTTGAAAGATTACAAGAAAGTCTGGCTTCTTGTAAGCAAAACTCAAGCCTCAAATATAACTCCCTCTGCAAGTGAAATTTTAAACTTGACTTGAGCTGTGACTATGTGAACAGTTCTGGTGTCTATTGGAAAGATGCACTACCTAATTAGAGTAAAAGGGGACTTTTAGGTAACATGAGGAAACACAGATTTGCAGAGATGTGTTGAGTTTAATGACAGGCCTTCATGCATTTTTGTCTGGTTTAATGTTAATTAATATAATTGCTGATGAAGCTGAGTTCCTTTGTGTTGTAGTATGCAGCCCAGAGTGAGGAGCCTCCACATGTCGTGGCCCACTTTCATGAGTGGCTGGCTGGCCTGGGCCTGGTCCTGTGCAGACAGAGACAGCTCTCTGTTGCCACTATCTTTACCACTCATGCTACACTCCTGGGACGCTACCTGTGCGCTGGAAATGTAGATTTCTACAACAACCTTGCAAAGGTATTTGTTTTGTTTGCTTTATCAATGAGTCTTTTTTTTAAGTAGATAAACTCATTTAAAATGAACAGCTCTTTTTTACTTTTTTTTTTATTTGTCAGTGTTGTGTATGAAATGGAGTATGACTGTCTGGAATATTTTTTATCATCCAAACACTGTTCTGTTTGTCTTTCTCAGTTCAACTTGGATAAGGAAGCTGGCGATAGACAAATCTACCATCGATACTGTATAGAGCGGGCGGCGGCACACTGCGCCCATGTCTTCACCACCGTGTCCCAAATCACCGCTATTGAAGCAGAGCACCTGCTCAAGAGGAAACCAGGTTTGTTAACATGAACTTATGTAACACAGTCGTGGTCTAGAAGATGGTGATGATGCAACCGGTCATCGCTTCAAGATTAAGTTTCACTGCACATGTTTTCCTGATTGTAATTTTGGGAGTTGCTTTTTTTTTATTCTTCTTTTGAATTGGTTTGTCAGTTAACCACAGTTTGCTCCTACCTCATACAGATATTGTCACTCCAAACGGACTCAACGTAAAAAAGTTCTCGGCCATGCACGAATTTCAAAACCTCCATGCGCAAAGCAAGAATAGGATACAGGAGTTCGTCAGGGGACACTTCTATGGGTCAGAGCTCACAACATAACACTGCAACACAGTTTCATTAATAAGCCCTGTCCAACTCTGGAGAGATTTTTGTTATAGTTTTGATGTTGTTGAAGTACAAAATGATAAGTGAATATGTACACTGGTTCTTCTAATCGCAACTGGCTTTGAATTTCAGCCATCTTGACTTCAACCTGGACAAATGCTTATTTCTGTTCATCGCTGGGAGGTACGAGTTCTCCAACAAAGGGGCGGACATCTTCTTGGAGGCTTTAGCCAGACTAAACTATCTACTGAGAGTAAGTGTGAGAAGTTTTCACATGAGGCAAATTAGTTTTCAGAGGAGCCGAGTCCACGTTTCAGGAACTTAACAGATTTCCCTGTGCTCCGCCCGCCTCAGGTTAACCACAGTGACGTGACTGTTATCACTTTCTTCATCATGCCAGCTCGAACGAACAACTTCAATGTGGAGACCCTCAAGGGTCAAGCCGTCAGGAAACAGCTCTGGTGAGAGGGTTTTTCTTTTTTAGATGTGATGAATGTAGTTTCCTCTTGTTGTTTATTCTTGCAGCTAAAATGCAACATGTGCACAAATTCTTCTTTGCTGTGCCCAACAGGGATACTGCTCAGACCGTGAAGGAGCGCTTTGGGAAGAAACTATACGAGTCACTGCTTGTGTAAGTTGGTCATTCCCAGCATCAATAATGAAATTTAGCAAAATGAGGAATGCGATTGCTGATGATTTGTTTTTATTTTTCAAATCAATTTTAAGTTTTCCAATTAGATGTTATCTTCACTATCAAAGATACACTTTTTTGTTGTGTCAACATAACTTTATTAATGTTAACTTGTCTGTACAAGTTAACAGTTATTCCTGTGAGTTTATTCATTTATTATTTTTTTCACGAAACTTCCCACAGAGCACTTTTTCATTGCTGCTACTTTTATGTTTTTGTTCTTTAATCAGCGGACAGCTGCCTGATATATCCAAGATGCTGGACAAAGAGGATTTCACTATTATGAAGCGTGCCATCTTTGCAACTCAGAGGCAAAGCCAGCCTCCAATCTGCACCCATAACATGCTGGAGGACAGCAGCGACCCCATCCTTAATTGTGTCCGCCGCATCGGCCTTTTCAACAGCTCCTCCGACCGAGTCAAGGTCAGACGGGCTTCGTTTTAAGAAAAAAAACAATTAACTATTAGCTCAGTTCTTTAATAAAACTATTTTAGTTAAGTTTAAACATTGGACATTGTTCTCTCTGGTTGTTGCATCCTGTGTTTTTTTTCTTTTCTTTTTTTTAACTATTTTAAAGTACAAGAATTTCATATTCCTCAGGATAATTTATTTTTTGTCTTTTAATCAACGTGTCAGTTTTCAGTTCTTATTTCAGCATTTTGATGCTTGTTTGTCATACAAAATACCTTTTCAATCCTTCAGGTTATCTTTCATCCAGAGTTCCTTTCGTCCACCTCTCCTCTCCTTCCCATGGATTATGAGGAGTTTGTTAGGGGTTGCCACCTTGGTGTCTTCCCTTCATACTATGAGCCATGGGGTTACACACCAGGTACAACTCACTAATGCAGACTTATGTGTGGAGGCATGATGTAACTTGCTAAGCTGTTGTCACACCTTCCTGTTTCTGTCTGATTCAGCTGAGTGCACAGTCATGGGAATACCATCCATCTCAACTAACCTGTCGGGCTTTGGCTGTTTCATGGAGGAACACATAGCGGACCCCTCAGCATATGGTGCGTGAGATTTTGATGATAATCTAGTCCTTCGTTTTTTGACATCATTCAATTTGACATCTTGTCTTTTCCCTTTTGCAGGCATTTACATCCTTGACAGGCGATTCCGTGGGGTTGACGAGTCATGCAACCAACTCACCTCCTTCCTGTTCCAGTTCTGCAAGCAGAGCCGGCGCCAGCGGATCATCCAGAGGAATAGAACTGAGCGCCTCAGTGATCTCCTGGACTGGAGATACCTTGGCAGGGTGGGATAAGAAACAGATTATCATCTTGCTGCAGTGTTTTAGATTGGAATCATTTCAAATGAACTTTTTTTTCCTCCTCTTTTGCTGTAGTATTATATAGCTGCCCGTCATATGGCCCTGGCTAAAGCCTTCCCTGACACCTACTTATATGAACCTCAAGATCCCACCTCAGTGAGTTTGTATGCATCTTATGAAAGGCGATCTGTTTTGTTTTTGTCCTTTAAAGTTTGTTACTTGTACTATTCATTTAGCTTTTTATTTTTATTTTATTCAGCTTGTAATTTATTTCCTGCTCTTATTCCCGTTCTCAGACATCAGGTTTCCGATACCCACGCCCCGCCTCTGTCCCTCCATCTCCGGCCCTGTCCCGCCACTCCTCCCCACACCACAGCGAGGCTGAAGACAACGACGAAGACGAGCACTACGACGAAGATCTAGAAGCGGAAAAGGACCGAGTGAACATCCGTCAACCCTACAACGTGCCGTTCAAAAACAAAACCGCTGCCGTGGTGGGAGCCAATGGGGACGGCGAAGACGAGAGCGAGAAAAACTAACGCAGACAACCGTGCACTCCGTACTTGCTGAGCCTTTCTAGTAAAACTTTGTCTGTTGCAAGCATTAGTCATCCATGTACTAAAACTTAAGAAACGAGTGCAGCTGTGTGAATGCCTGTGATGAATTTAGTATAAGCTTGTCGTGAAAGATTGCATCACTGTCCGTGTCTTCCCAACGTGTACCTCAGAGTTTCTACAACTATTTGCCAGTTTGATGTTCTGCTATTGTTCAGTTTCACCAGCAGTCCGACCTTTGGTATCCTTTATAGAGCAAATGTACCAACAAGGAGAAAGCCGGCTCATCACAGTGGGTTTTAAAAGATATATATATATTGCTGGATTTTTGTAGCAAGCTAACACTGGATAGCGTAGGTCTAAAATGTTTATCAAATAACAAGAGTTTATTGAGTCTTTACAGGTTGGTTTTATACTTGCTTCACAGATGGGTCAGAGCAGGGAAAATATCACAAACATCCTTTATTTTTCTTTTTTACTGGCACGTCATCAGAAGGAGATTTCTTGAGAAATTTCCAAGAAAAAATATATTCAACTCAGATTTTCTTGACTGCGAAGGTGACGCAGCACTTCAGACAGTTCACCTTGTAGCTGTAGTTAAAATGCCTTGTTTACTTCAAACCTCCCAGAATGGAAAAAAGATGCAAACCACACACGTGCACACTGACAAGTAGCGTCAAGTGTAGTGTCAGATGTGTGTTTTTCATTTTGTTTCTTCGCCTTAATGTATCAGTATTTTAATGATGATAACTAATGAACAACCCAAAACACCTTTTATCTGTTGAAGTGTGTGTGCTCACATGGAGAAGCTTATTCCTAAGTATTTTTTCCTCCATTTAAAGCATATTTAATTGCAGAAGAAAGTGAGTTGTGACAAGAGGAAAAAATGTGATTTAACTTGGGGATGGCTTATTAATTTCCAGGTGGAAAATTAAAGATGAAGGGCTCCAAAGAAAGGCAAAGGTATATTTTGAATACTTTGTAAGAGATTGGGTTTTACCAGGTGTATGTTCCCACTACCACTCCACTGTAAAAGTTATATCATTTGTTACAATCTTGCACCAGATGAACTTAAAATAAAGTATAAAAATATACACCTATAGGTACTTTACTAATTATATCTGGCTCCTTTTTCATTGTGTACAAGCTGTTTATTACAACACATATTTTCAAAGGTCAGAAGGTCCAAATGCTTAGAAGCAAAGAATTCCAGAATCCACGAAGCACATCCTCCAAACCATTTCATTTATCTGGAATTAGGCTGGGGTCCACCCCATACATCGCAGATAATCCTCTATAGTCCTCATCCACTTTAGCACAAAAACACTCTGCCACCATGACCTTTGCAAACTGAGAGAAAAAGATGTTAGAGTTAGAATTTGATCTCATCATTGCCAGTTATTTTAAACTTGTTAAAATACAGTGTATTTTCCCTCCTTTCAGTTTGACCTTTTTGTGTAAAGTGATATGACATTAATGTCTCTGTCTTCAGCAAATGTTGAAGAAAGTGCACTGTACTCACCGAGTAAACTGTTCCAGAATGAGTTGTATGTTGCACTGCCAGTTACAGCCCCGAGCCTGGCAGGATTTCTCCTCACTGTGTGTACTGAGAAACCATCTGGGCCAGTCACTTCCACCTCCACCACATGATAGTCCTTTAACCTGTGCACGGAACGACTGTGAACCCCAGTCATTGAAGCAGATATAAACAGGTGATTGATTTTACGTTTGAGAGACTTACGCCGTGTCCGACACAATCTCCCCGCGAACACCTGTAAAGCCCAGTGTTCCTGCGGCTATTGCTGCGGCTGCCATGGTATTGACGTTGTTCGGAGCCAGCGGACACAACTCGGCCACTGAGCCTCCGAATAAAACACGCCTGCCCTCTCCTTCTTTCCAGTCAGTCAGGACGTCTCCTGTCAGCCGGAAGCAGGATGGATGCTTGGACATCCTAATGAACAAAGCCTGAAAGAATTCAAGAATAGAAATGAAATGTTATCAAATGTTCATTGCTTTAATCACAGTAACATAATCTCATTAAGCATGCCCATGTTTAGGCCAACACAGAAAATGAACTTCATAGACATGGAAACTTTTGTCCCAAAGTGCTTAGATCATTTTCTTATCACAGTTGTGGAGTGGCCTGTGAATGCATTCCTTACTTTAACCATTAATAATGCTTTAATATCTTGTCTGTCACTGTGTCACCTTCAGTGTCCCACTATCATTCATTCTCTGGATGTCCTGGCCTCCCCATAATGCACCACTGGGGACATATAGGGTCCTTCCATTTTGTAGAGATGCCTGTCGCAGTTTTTGATTCAGCTCAGGGTCAGAGAGGCCAGAGGGAGATCCCACCTTAAAGGGAAAAAAAAGAAGATAGATGATTCATTCTATGATTGCTGTATAAATGTATAATAATACCCCAATCTAAGATTTGCTTTGTTTTAATAAACCTTGCCATCATATCTCTGAATGATTATGAAAGACTTTTCTTATGCACTTTGATCAATAGATCCACTTGAAAGTAATAATGGCAATTTTAACACTATACCCTTGACCCTTTTTCTGGAAATGCACAAATGTCCAAATATATCTATAATCCTAAATTATTAATGAACTAGATAATAAAGGAAGATACATCTGTCATCAAAAGTTCAGAAAGGAAGATATATCCAAGAAAATCAGTTTGATGTAACTATATTTTTCCACGGTCGCCAAAACTACAAAAGAACAGAGGAGGTTCTCACCATGAAGTGAGACTGCGACAAAAAACGGAGCCCAAATTCTTTCACTATCTGTGGATGGCAAACCTCCACGATCACATCGCACTGCCTGTGAAGTAAAGGTATGTTAAAATGGAAGTTATGGACAGTTGCATTCCTAAAATAACCTTCATTTATATTAAATGCTCACTGTCTTGTGTCAGTTTTTGCGTGCATTTTAACCTGTCTGCAAAAGACATTAAATCTTCAAGGATGAGCTCAGCAGGAACTGCATCCTTGAGCTTGTCAGAACTCCTGGTCCAGACAAAAGCCAGAATCAAACCCAGACCAGGTCCTTCTTTAAGAATCTTCTCCACCAAGTATTGCCCTAAATCACACAAATTATATTATTAATACTTGTATCATTACTTATTAATTAAAATCATATCATCAATAAATAATAATCATATAATTAAAAAATACATGTAGTGAAAAGAGAGTTCTACCCAGATATCCATATCCTACTACTCCAATCCTCACAGTGGCAGAGCTGGTTTCCATGTCCTGTGACGAATAAGCACACAACCTGATCAAAGCTCACGTAAATCACAATGAAACTGACAAACACATTCACACATACAGTATCAGCGTTTGGCCTTAAAATACATGACATATTCCAGTTGCACTTGTATAACAATGATTGCATTTATTGCTCTCCTCACCTGATGCTCCTAAAGCCCTGCAAAATGATGTCTCCCAACATAAGAACAGCAACCAGCCAAAACTCCAGGAATTCTGGGAAAGCAGAGTACAAAGTCTGACTCAGAGAGGCCCAGGTTAATCATTGCCAGTCTATGGCAGTACTTAGTCAGGGAACATCCCTAAAATTAGATTGCCCATTCAGGTGCATAAGCAGCTATGAATGAATGTCAGTTACGAACCTTCACTTTTACCCGGACTAAACAGTATTACAGTAAGTGTTGTTTTTCTGTAACAAAAATCAACAGACATTCATCCTTGTGGGATGAATTTGAATCAGTTAAGCCTTTTACTGACTTTAAGCTTAGCATCACTGTTTGAAGTAAACCCTAAAACTCATATCATGTCATTCATTATACATTTATTGTCAGGCATGAAATTACATTTTCATGTTAAATTTTTGAGTTGCTATACTGACAAAGTTTAAGCATAAGTTATTGAAAGGTAGGAATTGCCCTTAAAATTATACTAATTCACCAACAAGGTCTTCAAAACAAACAATATGGATATCCAAACTTGTTTCTATGCATGTCTAAAAATGTATTATCAGTAGTACAAGTGGAAAAACAACAAACCTTTTGATACTGAAAAAGTAAAGTTCACAGTTATTGCAGGAAGCTCAACTTTGCCCTTTATGTGTTGGTGTCATCGTTCTATTAGCACTGGAGAAGTCAAAGATCATCCATTTGCTCATGAGCGCTCGAAACAGGGAGAACAGTGATTATCAGAGTACAATCAGAAAGTACAGATTGGTCTAAAGTTCATTGCCGTGGAACACCGAAAGGCTAAAAGAGTCAGCAGAGATCCAAGACAGGTAGTACAGGGAAACATCTGAGGATCGCATGCACGTCAAATCAGGGCTGAAAGGCCAGAGATACGGACAAAACAAGAGACAGTAAAAAAGACGACTCCGTCAAGCTTAGACACCTGTTGGATTTCAGAACAAAGCTGACTGGGAAGAAATGGACATCCTTGAGACACACGCCTTTGACCGGCGCCAGAAGAGAAATATGGTATAAGTTTGCTCTCAGTTCAATATTTCTGTTTCTTAGAATTGCATTGTGCACATAGCAGTGCATAAATGTATCATTTCAACTGCTTATATTGAAAACTGTAACAAACTTCCTTCTTTTTTATCCATTTGTCTCTATCAGACCTGCGCTCTTCTTTTCTCTCTCTTGCCTTTCTTTATGTCTTCAGCTCTGTACTTTTACTTGTGGACTCCTGATGCCCCGGCATCAGTTGTGGCCGCAGGGGTCAAGTCAGCACCAGTTCTCCTTTTGGCTGCGGCTGTACTGAGCTGGAATGGAGGTCAGAGTGTCCTGGGTGTGGCAGGGGGACTGCTCTTTTCAGCTGTTGGTGACTGCTGCTTGATATGGCCTGACCTCTTTCTGCACGGTGAGAGCACACACACATAACTGATTGTCTCCATAATTTAGGGCTACTTTTAACAATATATCCCTACGAGTTAACCAAACTCTGTCTAAAAATACAAAAATTCACCAAAACAAGATTATTTTCCTGCCATTACAGGAATGGGTGCCTTCGCTGTGGCTCATCTGCTGTACTCCCTCACCTTCCTATCCGCTCGTTACACATCATATTCCTCATCCTCCTCATTCATACGTTTTCTGTACCTGATCCTTTTAATAGTAGGCGGAGGTTTCTACATTTATCTTTTTCCATACCTCCAAAAGGCGAAAGACTCTGATTTATTAACTCCAGGTGTGGGTGTCTACATCACCTTGATCATCATAATGGGTGGATTAGCAATCAGGACAGGGCACGTCGCCACACTGCTGGGAAGCTTGTCCTTCATGGTGTCTGATGCTTCACTGGCTGTGCAGGTTTTCAAGGTGGTGCCACCAATGCAGCATGGCCAGATTATTGTCATGGTGACATATTACTTAGCACAACTACTGATTGCAGTGGGTGATGTAAAGGCATTGGACGACAAAGATGACTTTTCTAAATGGAAAAGGTCCTAATGCTGTCCCTGGGGAATCCCCCAATAGCTGACATGCACTTGTTTTCTGGAGAAACCAGTTCTTATTTATCTGTCAATAAAGGGAGGAGACAAACATAAACACAACGTGGACAGAAAGAGCCGCCTGTGAAATTCAATCAGAGCCTCATGACCAGAAAACACAGTGCAAAAGGGCAACTTGAACAAGACATCTATAAAGTTTTAAGTCTGTATATTTCAATGGCCGTTTCTACATTTATACGATATTGGAGATATGTAATCATTGATAAGAAAAAAAAGAAAATGCAGTTGGCTATTTATATACTGTGGTTTAATGTTAAAATATTTTGAGAGACATCCAAGTTCATGTGCACACTAAACATGTGATTACATTGTTGGAACTTGCCATGTAATGTATATGAATCGTCCTTTTTGTTTATTTTTAGAAGTAAAGAAATATGATGTCCAAAATTATGCGTCTTCTTTGTAGAGCCAAAAACCTGTACTGAAATACTTTCTTTCTAACAGTACACATAAGAAAATGTAGATATACAAAATAACATTTAGATGCCTCTCAATATAAATAAAGAAAAAGAAGCATTTTATGTATCAAACTTGGGCTTGAGAAGCACCAACACTGAACTAAATTCACAGCTGACCCGAAACAGACCTGTACAGTACAGTTATTTACACAGTGAAATCCAGCCCCTGGATTACATGCTAAATATGGCAGAGGATAGCAACTGTCATAACACATAAAAATATTGCTCAGCATCCATGATTCATATCACGAATGTTCTATTACATTGTGTACCAACTCCAAAACAAATTTAAGAAAAAAACAGCAGACAAACAAAAGCAACACACAAGGCTTCAACGATCCATCCCAGTGTCCTCGGACTGCTGCCCATGGAAACACTTCACTCTCAAACGCTCGCAGAAGTCAAGCTCTTCCTGAAAGCAGAAATGCTTTTTTTTTATAATTTACAATTTGAACGACAGCATTTAAGTAATTTGATTCAGCAACATTTTAAGATGTATTGTATTTCTTCAGCCTACTTTAGAAATAACAATAAAAAACAATAATTATAAAAAAAAGACTTGAATTCTAGATTTAATGATCACAGCATGTGACGCCTGTGTCTATGACTGTCAGGCTCAATTATTTTAGTTACCTGGCTTTCATCTTTTCCCTGGAGATCTTTGATTCTCTCTCTGAGTAATTCCTCCAAACCCAGAGAAGGACTCCTGCAGTCTCTGACTCCCTGTGGAAATTCCTCTACCAAACTAAACAGACAAAAACACACATGGTTGGAAAAAATTATAATTAGAAGCATAAATCAACACCAGTCTGTGAGTAATTGTTCTGAATAAACACTTTATAGAGCTTTTTTTTTTTAAGTTAGAAGGAAAAAAGGTTGAACTTCAGCTTCAATCAACATGTGGACTTGCTCAGGTAAGTCAGGCTGTGGCTGAACATTAAATGGAGACTCATTTGTGTTTTTGAACCTGTAAAGTATATAAATTGCAAATAAATGCAAATTGAAAGTGCAATGGGCAGCATGGTGGTGTGATGTTTAGCACTATCACCACACAGCTAGAGGGTTTCTGGTTCAATTCACCCAGGAACCAGGGGACCCTCTGTGTGGATGGAAGTTCTGTCTGTGTATTTGTGGGTTCCCTCTGGGTACTCAGGCTTACTCCCACCCTTCAATTCATGTTAGGTTAACTGGACATTCTAAATTGCCCCAATGAGTGGATTTATGTGGTTGTTTGTCTCTGTGTGGCCCTGTGATGGACTGGTGGCCTGTCCAGGGTGGACCCCGCCTCCCTCCCAATGTCAGCTGGGATGGAGTGGGTTATTCTGCAGTTTCAGTTTTGAAAAATGTTCATCAGACCGTTTAAAAAGTCTTCTTTTTGTAAGACTCTATCTAGGTTTTCTTACCAGCAAAGAGCCCCAAGCACGTGTTCATGGAACGGTGAATGTGGTGTGCGGAGAACAGAAACCAGCTGCTGCACCATCCCCATCGACACAACTGTTTCTGTAGAAAGACCAATACAAAAAATGCTTTATTCTTTTTTAATTTATTGTTTGTGTTGAATTTATCAAACCAAAAAAATATTTACACTGATAGAAGTTATACATTTTTCCTTCAAATCACTGTCATAAAATGAAAAATGTGACACCTCAGAGTTTGAATATATACATCAAATCTATAGTAAACAATAACACTGGTTTTAATATGAATGCAAGGGCGTCGCAGCTTATTAGGCTGATTGTTTCTATATTAAAAAATATCAAATGGGGTGTGTGCCCAAAAAAAAAAACTCAATTAAAACTGGCTGACTAACAATTAAACCTGACAAAAATTATAGATTCAATCCAAGCTTTTCTGTGAGTTATAATCCTCCTTTTTACTGTTACCTTTCTGTTCAGGGTGTGAGGTCAGCAGATTGAGCAGAAGGAAAGCAGACTTGGTCCTCAGCTTCTCGTTTTCAGACTGCATGCCTCTCATCAGCACCGAAAACCCGTCAAGGGCCAGGAAAGCCTGGAGCCCTGCCTCCTGCTCTCTGACCAGACCTGCCATGAAACAGCATGTGTTCTTATCTCTGTATAGCCCACAAACAGTTGAGCAAAAAACTCTGCGCCCCCCCTTAGGTTCACACGCTTATCACACACTTTGAAGCTTCAAAGGATGTCTCGCCAATTTGGCCCGAAAACACATCGAACATTACAAGGCACTTTAAGGAACTTTATATTCTGGAATATAACATATACTTTCTATATTTGTGCCAGAAGTCTACTCACATGAGCAAGCATAAAGGGCTTTAACTCGGACGGTGGGGTGGGGGTCTGAATCTGTTAGCTGCAGCAGCTTTGGCAGGGCTCCGATGCTGAGTAAGTGGTCCTGGACCTGTGGCATGTTCTGGGCACAAGAGGCGATAAGCTGGGCGGCACGCCACCTCAGCCCACTTTGAACATGGGACAGATACTTGGAGACGCTCAACTCCAATCCACCAAGAACCATCAGATCTGTTAGGGTAAGACAGGATTCAGTCAGAAAAGACACACCACTTTTTCCTCTGTGTGAGAATGGAAGTTCTAAACACCATTCCTCACAAACCTCTGGCATTGTCCAGGTTCTCACACAACTCAGACAACAGCTCAAAGGCCGATTCCCGCTCATCGTCTTCATCCTCTTCCCTCTCCTCTGCTCCGTCTCCCTCCTTCTCGCACACTTCTTCTTTGCATAGAACGGCCAGGCACTGCTTAATCTGTTCCACTTCATCTTGCTGGCCTTTGCAGATTTCAGAAAGAGCTTCTCTTAGCCACATTTTCCTCTGAAGGAAAGAGTTTAAGGCTGTTAGTCAGGCAAATGAAACCCACAAGCAGTAGTTTCTGTTGTATGTGTTGCAATAAACTTGAACAAGGATAAGGGTATCTTTAAATGGAGCCATACTTAATTAACAGACAACAAATGGATTTCAAAATAATCATATTAAGACTTCTTTCATATATTTAAAAATACTATAATGCATTGAAGCAGCATCTTCAATGTTTGTTCACATTTTTCTACACTTTCTCCACTTACGTCCTCTGACATGGGCTCAGCAGGAGCAGGAGCCTCTGCGGCTGACCCAGCATCCACTGCCAGTTGCAGGACCCCCTGAAGATTCTGGGGATATCTCCTGTTTTGACTGTTTTCTGACATGGTATTCACAACTGTACAAGGAAAAAGGGAGCAAAATAAATTAATAATCTACGGACATTAACTGATGTACAAAAATACTAGATACACATGAGTAAAATGGTTGAAACACACTGTCTGAACTTTGTTGTATTTATTTGGCTGTTGTGGCTAAAACGAATGCCAAATTGCACACTTAGGTAAAGCGGAACACTGATAGCACAACTTACCTTTGAACAATCCTACAGCCTCGTGTCAGTAATTCCACAACCCGCTGTTAAGCTATAACTAAGAGGCAAGTTTTTCTACTCTTATAAACAGACAACTGAATGCGCTAGAACATTCTAGCTAGCTGATCTCACGAGTAGCAAGGAGGCTGCCATGCTTTACCGTAAAGCGTTAACCAAACGGGCAAGTAAAGTGTTTTTAAGTGATGTCTGTGCACCCGACAATAACTTAAAACGTATACCTTCTACAAGAATTCAATTCAGTGCTTTCAAATGAATGCTCAGCAGTAAATAGACAATATAGCCATTTTATGTCAAATCCACGGCAGCGTGTTTCACCGTATTAACATAGTTAAGGTAAAACACGGAAACGTGTGTGCGTAACGTACGAAGAGTATCAGTCAAGTTGAAATAAGTATGTCATAATAAAAATCTTTCCTTTCAGTTTTATATTATTAACATTTTAATTTATTCTCTATACCATTGCTCTCACACATGTGCCGTATATCATCTTATACATGTATGGTTTTATATAACTTTACGTTATTACTTTTTGCTAGATGTCAAAACATTTGTTGAAATGAATACTTGAGTCTTTTTTACTTTTTCAGTCTGTTTGACTGTAAAAGGAAAGGTTCTCGCAGTTATATGGTTGGCTTGATAGTCTGTTAATTACTGTACCAATCCGTTGCTTTTGTTGGCATGATGTCCAGAGTTAAAGTAGAAAAGAAGGATTAGTGTAATACTGTTTGTTGCGACAGAGTCGGAAGCGGTCAGAGTACTCTCTTACTATTTTTGAGCGTCTTTGGTTTGTCTAACCATCCAAGATGGCGGCGCTTGTCGGGCTGCGTGCATGTTTCTCCGGTAAAATGTTTTGTTCTTTCTAGTTACACGATTGTGTAATCATCTGTCTGTCTGTTAGTACAGAGTCGTCGCTTATTTGTCCAACGATACAAGAGCTTGTTTTAGAGTGCATAAATCTACTAGAATATCAATAAGAGACTATACCCTCTCATCCTATAGCAGAGCAAGGTCACGTTACTGGGGAGGGTTAGCTAACAACACATCTAACCAGGATAAGGACTGAATCAAGAATGGAAGGTTTAGATAGGGACGATGAACAAGCTAAATAAGTACTTTCTGAGATGATAAATGTAATGATGTACCAAGTGGACGCTGTGTAAACTGCAGCGAAGCTGGTGTGTTCGCTCGTTAGCTGCTGCAGGGCTTCCTTTACCTGACGTAACTGTCATGGTTCTTAAATACGCTGCAAAATACCACTTTTTTCTCTTATTAAAAAAAGGTTGTTTGTGCAGATCTCTCCAAACACACTGAACGCGTTTCAAATGCCTTTTCATTCAGAGAAATAAGGTCATAACAAAATGTTCTTGTTAGGTAATTTCACTGAAGCCACCAGCACTAATATCGTATATTTCTTTATGGGGATGTATTTTGATTCATCCATCCATTTTTTGTACCCACTCTAGCCCGTTTGGGGTCATGGGAGGGCCATGCCTCATGACCTGTCCCAGCTGTAGCAGGGCATGAGGCATCTTAGACCAAAGTAGCCGTAATTTGAAGATTAAATCATTTTTCAAGTGCAGTTCATCGACAGGATGACCATCCCCTGTGAGTGGGTTACCGTTTCAGTTAAAAGTCGCAGATCTGTCAAAGTTTGATGTGATAGAAAAAGGGTTTTCCTTCTGAAAAGGAGGCGTCTTCATAGGAGGATACACTGAACACTGGGGAGTAGAACAAAAGGGCACTAATGCATTAAGACTCTTGCATTCTATAACAAGAAAATTGGATTTCTCCTATAAATCCCCAAGATACCTTTAAAAAAAAAAAAAAAGTGTAATCATCTAAACTTGTGTGGTTCTGATCCTTTCATTGCTTTTTCTCAGCCCTTCAGCTCTCTTCGCCGAGCTTTCTGCACAGCTCGTACAAACTGGTAGGTATGCCCCCCCTACTGCAGTCGTCACACTGACCACCAGCATGGTTTCAATGTTTAAGTCCTGGCTTTGTGTGTGCCGTGCAGTGTGCTGTGCCTCTGAGCCGGCGGACCTTCGCTGCTGAGGCTAAGAAGACATACAGCAGGGACAAACCTCACGTGAACATCGGAACCATAGGCCATGTGGATCACGGCAAGACCACGCTGACCGCAGCCATTACCAAAGGTAAAAGCGCTTGGACATGAGTCCTTCCTGTGCAGCTTTACCACATTTGTTCCACACGTTTAGATCGCTCACATGATCTTAATATCTTATCCTCCCCTTCTCAGTGCTGTCAGATGCTGGTGGTGCTAACTACAAAAAATATGAGGAAATTGACAATGCGCCCGAGGAGAAGGCCAGAGGAATCACCATTAACGCCTCTCACGTGGAGTACACCACAGCCAATAGACATTACGCCCACACCGACTGTCCTGGCCACGCCGACTACGTCAAGGTGACCGTCTGACCGTCTCTACCCGCACGCAGCCTGAAGAGGCAAACGCTAACCGCTTAGCAGCATGCTCGTCTGCTCATTTCACGGGACTGAGCATCGCTTTTGTTTCTTCAGAACATGATCACGGGCACGGCTCAGATGGACGGCTGTATCCTGGTGGTGGCGGCCACCGACGGCCAGATGCCTCAGACACGCGAGCACCTCCTGCTGGCCAGGCAGATCGGCGTGGAGCACGTGGTGGTGTTCATCAACAAGGCCGACGCGGTGGAGGACAAAGAGATGCTGGAGCTGGTGGAGATCGAGATCCGGGAGCTGCTCACGGAGTTCGGCTACGACGGCGAGAACACGCCGGTCGTGATCGGCTCCGCCCTCTGCGCCCTGGAGGTACTGCCAGAGTTCTGACTGGACTGTGATGAGCAGAGTGAAATGCTCCATTTGCCCTCCTCATTCTTAGTGCGTTAGAAACAGTGAATTTATCCATTTGTGCCTGATTTTTTATGCTGCTGTAAATGAGACGAGGCAGGTTGTTGTAAAGTTTGTGTGACGTGATGTCGTTGCTCTCAGAACAAGCAGCCTGAACTGGGTTTGAACGCCGTGATGAAACTGCTGGAGATTGTGGATTCTTATGTTCCTCTGCCCAAACGAGAGCTGGATAAACCTTTCCTTCTGCCCATCGAGGGTGTTTATTCAATCCCAGGTAGGAAAACATTGCTAAATGCAGTTGCTTTTATGAGTATTCAGGGGATACTGTGGCACTCTTGTTTTTTTTTGGTAACCGTTATCCATAAGTCTAGTGGATTTGCCTTTTTTCTTAGCTTGATGTTTGCTTTGGTGCTTTTGCTTTGCGAAGTCGTGTTCACGCTCTGTTTGTCCTTTTAGGCAGAGGCACAGTTGTGTCGGGCACTTTGGAGAGGGGCATCATCAAGAAAGGAGACGACTGTGAGTTTGTGGGCCACAATCGCACCTTCAAGTCAGTGGTCACAGGTGAGTTAAAGAGAAAAGCATAAAGATGGAGGTTAAAACTCAGCATGTAGGGATTCTGCTATCTTTTAGTTGATCACACAACCAATGTTTCACTTGAAATATATGACAGCACAAATGCAACCTGACAGTGGCTTCCCAAAGTATTTTGAAAGATTATGGAAAATATCCCCAAGTCAAGCACTCATGCATGTAGAGGTAGACCCGCTTAGCATTTTTATGACCTCAATCCTCTTGCCTTCAGGTATCGAGATGTTCCACAAGTCTCTGGACCGGGCAGAAGCAGGCGATAACCTGGGCGCTCTGGTCCGGGGTCTGAAGAGGGAGGACATGAGGAGGGGGATGGTGATGTGCAAACCCGGATCCATCATGCCTCACCAGAAAGTCAGGGCACAGGTCTGAGAGCAGGAAGCAACACTGTTTCTAAAATATTTAATTCAGCAAAGTTTGTCTTTGAAATAAGTGCCATACAGTGGAAAAACTGAATCAAAGTCATATTTACTGTTCAGTTTGAAAGCGTTCACACAAAAAACAACAAAGTCATCCTTTTCCATCTGACCAGAGGACTAGCTTATGTTTCTATGTGGCCTACCTCTTACTTCATTAATCCCCATTTAAACGCAACTCACCGTCACCGTTGACTTGTTTTTGTCCGCAGGTGTACGTTCTGAGTAAAGAGGAGGGAGGCAGACACAAGCCCTTCGTCACCAACTTCATGCCCGTCATGTTCTCTCTCACCTGGGACATGGCCTGCCGGGTCACCCTGCCCACTGAAAAGGTGTGTGAGGGGTCATAATTGTGCACGGATATCTGTGCTCGACTTTCAGTTCTAGTCTTCTAGACCGGTGTTGAGCTTTAAAGGACGGAAAATGCGGATTCACAAATCAAACCGATGTATTTTTCTGATATTTGTAAGAAAAATGAAGGAAGCTTGATTACATAGCTGTCGTTGCTTTCTTTCCCTTTCAGGAAATGGTGATGCCCGGTGAGGACACGTCATTGATGCTCACGCTCCGCCAGCCGATGGTGCTGGAGAAAGGCCAGAGGTTCACCCTGAGAGACGGAAACAGAACCATTGGCACCGGCCTGGTCACAGAGATCATGCCCCTGACAGATGACGACATGTGCAACTGGGGCTGATGGGAACTTCCATAGAGGGCTGGGCAGCAGAGAAATAATGGGGGTCACTGAGAAAGACTGGCAGGACAAGACTTTCTGGTCAAATGAATTAAATCTAGAATCATATGTTAATAAATGCACACATCCTAAGCAGAGAAAAAAGATGTGCCGGTCTCTGTTGTGCAGTTCCATCAAACCAAAATACCTTTAAAGCTCAGCATGGACTTTGTGTTTAAAGATGGTCAAAAAATGTCCTTTATGTAATAAAATGTATTTAATAATAAAAAGGGCGTATTGGGTTTTTGTCACATTTCATGATTTAAAAAAGTGTGATCTGCACCTACATTACAAAATAGATTCCAATATCTTTTCTGACAAAGGAGCTCTTGGAAATATCTGATTTTAAAGTATGACAACCTACCACTTGAGGGCAGCAAAGCTGGCTGCAAGGTGTATTTCTGTATTAGTTCAGTTCTTAACCAAGATTCAATAAACACCATCTGGAAGTTAAAATATGTTTTATATGTAATAAGGAATTTTTCATATTAAATACAAAGCTTACTGTAGCATTCCAAACAAAAGGGATCCAAAAATTGTATAGTAAATGTGAGAATATAAAAGTCCATGAGGGTGTGCTCTGGAATACACACCAAAGCTGGATTACAGCTCTCACCCTGTCATACTGTTTTAGTTTTGATTTTACAAGTACAGGAATAGTAATGTATAAATATTTAACTGAATTCTAATGGCTTTATTTGAAAGAAAATGTCAAATGTTATTTCAGAACAAGAATTTGCAGATTTTTTTCACCTGCTGTACATCTGTTTTTTTTTTTAAATGGTTTATTTAAATCAGTCTTCTGTGTGTCAGTTTTTTATCACTTGTTTTTAGATTTTCCATCTGTAATTTTCTTTGTAAGATCACCTATACATGTAAGTTTTATGACAGTAGAGGCCCACAATTTTTATGGGATGAGATCTTACGGATAAACTGTGGTGAATGAAATTAGCACGTTAGATGGAGAATGATAAAGAGAAAATGGATTCACAGTGTTCAGATGCAGAGTTCCTCAGCCTGACTGATCACTGTCTCCGTGTGCAGAGACTCGTTTGTGTCCCCTGTGCTCGCTCATTCTCAGCAGGAAGTTCTCTGCCGTTTGCTGTCAGTATTTGAGTCGGGGCCTCCTGTAATCCGATCAGCCTGTTGCTGTAAACAAATACTGTACGTCTGCTGCAGTCCAACCTGGAGCAGCAAGTACCACTGAGTGATGTGCTCAGCTGGAGGGGGAGTGGGTACAGGAAAATAACTTAGAGGAGACAGTTGATCAGACTGTAAACTCTAGTACGTTTCAGTTACATTGGCCTGTACTGGTGCTAATGCACCAAACATGTTCCAGCCCCTTGCTTAACCATGTGGCCTTCTTACTTGTTTAACGTGTGCGGAAGATTACATGATTACTTTTAAAATGTTTTTGTATGCAAAGCCCACTGACTCAATGCACCATCTAGGGTTATGATGACTAATGTTTGGGTTCAGATAGTGATGGCTTTCTATTTAATGTTTTGACTGCCTTGCTCATCGAAATGTCTAGACTTCAGATTCTAACTCAGTTCCGTTGCTAAACACAATTTGAAATTTGCTAGCGTTTGAGCACCTGTTTAGATAAAGTTATCATTTCTGAGTGTCTCTCAGCTCTTAAGCATTTTTTATGAACCTGTGTCAAGATTAAATCTTAAATCAAAATCGTTACAGATTTTATTATAATCCCACCTCAAGAAAAAAAACAATAGTTGAATATTTTCTTACTGAAATGTCACCATCCTATACCATAAAACACATGACAAGGAAAGTATTTGTCATGCAAACAATGTCTGAATATTTTTCATGTGGAAATTTTATACTTTATTCAAACTATTACTGTCATCAAATAGCACAGCTATAAGATGTGGCCTTCATATGATTTTGTGGATATATCTGTGGAATGAGATCTTATCATTATAGCTTATTAGATGTTTATATACAGCCTCATATATATTTTAGTAAGTCTTTCATTTGTTTCCTTTTCCCACTTCTCCAAACATTTTTTTAAAAAGGGTTATAGGCCATGAAAGTTTACTTGGGCTCCATCATTTGGAACAGTTTGATAAAGGGCTCAATTACAAAACTAATCCACCCTGATTTCATGAACTTGTTTTCATCTCTCAATTTTTCCCAGACAGGGTGGGTTTTTCTTCCATTCACCACTTCACCCCTTTAACCTTTAAGCCAGTCACACCCCTTAGATGAATAACATGGCGCTACCTAAGCCATCAGATTCTGCTGTGAATGGAAAGATCGGCTGCAATGATACATCAAGAAAATACTTTGAGGGGTTTTACTGTCATGGCCTGTGATTACATGTCAGCCCCTCAAACCAGAACGAGCTGCCCTGCCAAAATTATTTCCCGACATGAACACCTTTCTTTACATCATGTTGAGCCTGATGTTTGTTTTTGATGCGAACCATGAAAGAGGCTGGGTCAGGCTTAGATGTGACACTCTCACTCAACAACAGCGCAGCTCTACATTTAAACAGCTCATTTTCCCACAAGGACTGGATCTCTGTTTAAAAAATCCGGAGCTGCGTCTTGAGGAAAGGAAATGCAGCTGTTAGTTTAGCATCATGTTACTTTTTTCCTTCTGCCTCCACCTCCTTCTGGCAGCTGAGGGAAAGTGTAGAGCTGCCGCAATTAAGGCTGAATGCGCCTTTCAGCAACCCACTCTTCATGCTGGAACACTGACCCTACACGACTTCTCATCCTCCAACACCGCAGAGTGGGAGGGAGGCATCCCAGGTTTATTCTCAACGCTCCTTCCATCACAAGGCACGCCTCAGACGCTAATGCACTATGAAAGGAAGAAACTATACCGTGGACAGGTCTGACATTTCAGCAAGGCAGAAGATTTTTTTTACTCTGCAACTGTCACTCTACTGTTGCCAGGATTAAAGTTTAATGTCTTCAACACCCTCCCTGTAGATGTCAGGTCATTTGAAATAGGAATTGAGTAAAGCAAGCTCTGTTTAGCATCACATTGGAAGGAGGTGCCACAACACATAAACACATTGACATCGTGGTTGCAGCATTTGGACGTTCTGCAATATTCTTAATGTTTGAGTGAAATCGGCCTGTTGAGCTGAAAAGGCAGCATACGGCTCTACATCAGGGGTTGTGCCCGTGTCGCCGCATGCTGCGTGCGCTCGTGTGCATGTGATCTCTTTCCAGGGGCTCAAGGTTACAGAGCAGGGAAACCGAGTAGAACTGCCAAGTCTTCATTCGAATAGACGCAAAGATGAGCCCGATCAGTTGTGCAACAGTGAAAGGAGAAACCTCTGACCCCCACCAGATGCCACCCCCCGAATCACAGCCATAAATTACAGTCAGCTCCCGTTTATCAAACAGCTCCTTCATGCTTACTCTCTGGTGTTCTATTTGTTAGAACTTAACAAGCAGGTTGCGTCCATCGTCAGTACCCCTGAAGAGAAAAGGGACAGATGGCTTTGTCAGACATAGTTTATTGCATTCGTCAACAGAGTGTATTATGTTGTTTGTCACATTAAGAATGTTTCACAGAGAAAAATGAAAAGAAAACTAGGTGCAAAAAAAAAGAAATCAGAGTCAAGATTGCTTTATATGCAGGAAGACAGCAAGACAAGGCCAGAGTCCATCGGTTCTTGTTCTTAATGCATTGCATCAGCCTCAACAGCGATGAGTAATTTCTTGCTTGGCTCAAGAAAACTGATGTATTTATGCTGAAATTTATGGCAGCAGTCTTCAGCCAGAAAGTGTATGAACAAACAAAATTATTTCTAACAAAAACAAACTAAACAATATGAGACACAAACAAATGTAAAATAAGAAATCTGTCTCTAACATGTTGGAAGCACTGACCCCACTCCTTGTGCAAAAGGTAGTGTACCACTATTTGTTTCTTAGAGTGAACCTTTTATTGTTTTTATTTCCAGCACAAGTCAGCAACGTACAGATACAAATGTGTTGAATTCTGCTGAAATAGCAGTCAGGTGTACAAAGTTAACCCACATAGATGTTTTACTGGGACAAAGGTGCAGGGAAACCTAATTCATCTTTCCTGGGATGACACAAAAAGTGTTTATAAACTGACCTATTTATATTACAACAGTAACAAGGAGGAAAATAATGCTCTCATAAGAGTAAATAAAGAACAATACAGACTATTACACATTGTCAATAATTCAGTTCTGCAAACAGATCTTTTTTTTAGAAGGGGATTCAGATTTCTCAATCCTGCAGATTCATTCATTCTGAAGTACTTTTTCATCTGAAAAATATAATCAGGGTTCAGAATGTGCCACATAAATCCTCTTCATTAACAAAATAAATATGAAGTTAGATATTCATCTGTTTACAATTCTTTCTACATTCATACAATTTTATGTTAATTGGGTTTATCATTGTGAACTTCAGGGATTTTTGTTAGTCTTTAATCAATTGCGAATCAGCATTTAGATTAGTTTTTTGTATTCTTAATCTGCACTGTAAACTAAGAGGCTATCTAATATGTAGAATACCACACAGTTTTGATTCTGCAAACCCTGCTATCTGTAGCTCCTCAAAATCTAGTAAAAAATTCTGAAAACACTGTCTCCAGCTATTTACTGACTGATGCTCAGGACTGACCAAAATTAAGATAAACATATAACCCTCACTCCCCTGATGTGTGAGAATCGAACTCTAAATATGTATTCATAAGCACTACAACAATTACAACAAAGCAGCACAGCAGCCCACACCAACCATAATGTTGCTTTCCTCATAGGTTTGAGGTTTTGTTTAAACAGCTATCCTTTTGAATCACATTCTCCTTGCACACGTGTGTTAGTTATGTTCTCTTAGCTTGTGTTCCTCAATACCAGTGATTTATCATTTGATTATGCCACACATTATTCTGATAGTTAATAACTCTCCAGGCATATATTCTAATTTCCTGGGTTGTCTTTATCGTTTGTCATGCTTTCTTGATATTTTGTGGTTTTCATATGCCTCATTTTCCCATTTCTGGTGATTTTCCTTGTTTGTTTTCCTGAATTCTCCAATATTATTTTGCTCATGTGGTTTTAGACTGAATTTTGCATCGCTAAGTTCCCACACTTATCTTCTGCCAGCTTGATAAAATTTAGTTTTTGACTTGAATATTCTTTGGGATTTCTTGAGATCAACATAATCAGACTCAACGAGCTGAGTGTCCCTGCTCTAAAATGGGCTGCAGATGTTGGCGTGTCTGGCTGACTGCTCCCTACAGCATTAATCTTGCCCAGCTCCGGGACAGCTGCATCCTCTGTGTAGTTGGTCAGGAAACCAGCACAGGGTGCTGCCATATCAGAGGCCAATATTAGCAGCTCTGTCCTCTGTTTATCAAATTAGTTTATATTTTTCCAACCCCAGCCAACCATCGTTTAGATAATTACTGCTGATTCTAAAACAAACATAATACTTGCAAAGAAATAAAAAATAATACAGACATCTAACTCGTGTCTCCAGTGTCACTAGTAATCTAAGCTAAATATAAAATTCTATGTTTCGACCTAGTCGGCAGGACTCTGATGACTAACTGTCTTGTTAATTAATGCATGTTCTTTATTTACAGATTTTACATACTGATGTCACATTTTGGTAATGAATAGTCACAACCTTTTGTGTTAAAAAACAAGTTGGCTTCATTGTCCACAAGGTCAGGCAGGGACACCTTTAATGACCAACCCACTAAACAGGCATAATAAACAGGTCAATAAATGCTGGGAACAAATGGTAAAAAAATAAAATAAAACCTAAACCACAGAAATGGACGGGCACTTGCGGTCGTCTACCACTGTCTTAATTCAATGACAGGTGTTACACAACCAGGATACAATAGGTAAGCAATTTTGTTGAGGGTATCTGTACTTTTTTTTTTTCAAACTTAAGTATATAAAATATATGTTTTAGATCAAATGTATCTGACTGGCTAATTCAAAAAGTAGAATCACACATAGGCTACAATGTACCATCCAGCGTCATGGTGAAACCATATCTCAGTTTCAATATTCTACATGTTTGTTTTTCTAATCATAATGATATTTCCGATATCAAATTTACTGCACACTTAACTTATGCTTTTGAAAGGGGCTTTTACAGATAGGTCAAACAAAACTATCACATATGTCTCAAAATATTGTAACCAAACTATGATGTCATCATGCACTTTAATGACTAGGATCGCCCATAATTCAGACAAGACAGATTTATTAGCATCTAATAAAGCTCAATAACCATCTGAGGGAAGCAAATAAGTTCATTCAATGAAGTTTTAAGAGTCATCCTTGATATAGAGTAAGGATTAACCTCAACTTGCCGTAGGGATGTTCTCAGGGGTGCCCTCATGCCAACAGAATGACAGTCATGGGGCTTTACACGTCTTCTGCTCTTAAGAACAACTCAACTGAGACACAAGATTAAATATCTGACTCTCTGCGCGAAGGTGGCTGATCCTGTCTCATGGCGGTCAGCTCAGATGAGCACACTTTGTCTTGCCCTTTCTGAGCATCTTCTTCTTCCTCATCCCTGCTGATGAAGGCCAGCTCATTCTCATAGCAGAAGGAGTTGGCGCCAGACGTTGGGAATTTTCTCTCCTCCATGTCTTTAGCGCTGCATCTGGGGGTGGATGGTACCTCGAACGTTTTGTGAAAGTAGGCGTAGTCTATCCTGTACTGGTTCCTCTCCTCAAAGATCAGGGGCTCAAAGCGATGACCCCACAGGATCTCAGAGGGCACGTAGGAGGTGCGCGCTTGTGTCGTCATAGCTGTGGCCTCCACCAAACCCTCAAGTATGATTACAATCTCAAAGTCAGAAGTTTCGAGATCTTGCTTACTGATGCCAAAAAGTGGACTTTCCTCATCTATCTCATGTATGACGGTAAGAGGAGCAACCAAAAACAGACGGTCTGTGCCTTTGTCATAGCCGACATTCATATCAATCTGATCCAGGGGGATATACTCGCCCTCCTCGGTGTAACGGGGCTTCACCAGCTGGGCACGCACATGAGCCTCCACGATGTGGCTCTTCCTCAGATTTGCGACCCGGAACATCAGGCAGAGCTTCCCATCACGCAAGGCAATCACAGCGTTATGGCTGAACAGTAGTGTCTGTGCACGCTTCTTGGGTCTGGCCATCTTGGCCATGATTGCACCAATCATGAATGCGTCAATGATGCAGCCTATGATAGACTGGAAGACCACCATGAAGACAGCGGCCGGACATTCTTCTGTCACACAGCGAGCGCCATACCCAATGGTTGTCTGGGTTTCAATAGAAAATAAGAAAGCTGCCACGAAGGTGTTGACCTGCGAGACACAAGGGACAAAGTTGTCCCCTTCACGGTCTTCCATGTCCCCGTGCAGGAGGCCAATGATCCAGAACGCCAGGCCAAACGTCAGCCAGGACACCACAAATACCAGGCTGAACAGCAGGAACATGTACCGCCAGCGGATGTCCACACAAGTGGTGAAAATGTCAGATATATACCTCTGTGACTTCTCATCCATGTTTGCAAAGTGGATGTTGCATTGGCCAGTCTTGCTGACAAAGCGGCTGTGGTATTTGCGTCTTGTGTGGATTTTGCCATTGCCAAAGCTGCCCACGGCAGGCATGGTACTCAGCCGAAGTCCTTCTTCTTCACAGGACAGGAAGCTGTGGTGGTGGGCCCTTCCCACACTCATGCCTCAGTGGAACACAGCCACAGGGCTTCACACTATCAGCCTGGCTCATAAAAAGCTGCCCAGGCTCACAGAAGTGCAAAGCTCGGTCCAGCACGGAATAAGTACCAATTGTAGACTCCTGCAAGGAAAGGACAGATACAACACATTATTACATAACAAAAAGGAAACCAAAAAAAGAACATTTACCTTTGCTTAAGTAAAAAATGAGATTGCCATTTAGCAATTAAGCATTGTGTGTTCCCATGTTTGTCAGAGTTTAGATGGCAGACATCCAAATGTTATAAAATGTTAGCACTCCACAAGTAACCCAGAATCTAGCTCTCACAGACTGTTATTACCTGTTCATCTAAAAACAGATTTGCAGTCATGATTAAGATATTTATACTCTGTTGAGAGTCAAACACCCTGGGCCTTTGCCCTACTTTTCCTCCGACAATAGCTGCCAGCTTGTCACGTATTTTGTTTATTCTGTTTAGTTGGGATGTTGCTGTCATTAATTGAATGTACTGTAATCTAATGATGCTGATCAGAAGTTATTTAATCAAAGATTATTAGAGCAAACATGGAAACATATCTTTTGCTATCTTCAACCTGTCTCCTGTGTTTAAACCTTTGTCTTTGCTTCTGACATTTAAATTCGCTTTAGAAGATAACAAAGATTTTTTTTTCTGATATAGTCTGCAGTGGCTTTGATTCAATCATCTGTCTTGATCTTTTTCTCCACTGCTCTGTTGGAAATACTGTTGCATATACCATAAACATTTCACTGATCAACAAGGTACAGAAATAGCCAGTTAATCCAATGCCCTGCCATTTTATATGACGTATCTTCTGTTCCTTCCAGCTGGCACCTCTGTTAGAGTCACTGGAGTACTGTGATCAGGCTGTGTGGTTCCCCTGAGAGACTGAAAGTAATACGGGGCGAAAAAAATTAGACGGCTTCATAAAAGTGGGTATCATATTTGAGAGGTTTTGTGCTACAGTTCCACAATTTCCTCAGAGGCATGTCATGTACAACATCTCCAAAATAGTCCTAACAGGATTAGAGTACGGTATACTGTCAGCATTTATTTTCAGCATCATTACTGAGTATGTTTTTTTGTATGCCTTGTTTTCTATATGCCTGAACCGGCTCAATGATCATGTTTCACAAAAGCTGTATTTATTTTACTTTTATTCATCTCAAGTGTAAGTTGAAAATTCTGTGTACAAAATTCACTATAGGTATGACAAATTTAAGGTGGTCCAGCATTACTACGTCTCTTCTGTCAAATCTCTTCTGATCATTCCATTGACACAGATAATGTTTCTCCAATGAGGCCAGGACATTCTTAGAAACTGTGTATCGGCACCTCAATCATTTAACCCCACAGTCAACCATCTCAGGGGTTTGAACCGTGCTGGTGCACTTTTTACGCTGCATGTTGTCATTTATCTGTTCAGTATTTTTAAGGTAACTTTAGCTGAGCTCCTTGTAAATCTAAAAAACAGAAAAATTGTCGGTGGTATGATTAACATGATTAACAGTCTTGGGCACACATAAATATTTCTCCAAGTCTTACTCACACATTTTACTCCAAAGGTTTGAAATGACAATTTGACAAACAGCTGGATGTGAAGACTAACAATATGTGCACAGTTCATGTCAAGTTAAATCTCCAGTGTTACATTTAACTGAACAGCAGTGGACACAAATTTAACTCTAAGGGATCTCTAACTTGAAATTCATAGAAGGCCACAGACAGTAATTTTCTGCTGGCACTTGAGTGTCCTGTTCTTTTCTCAAGTTGATTTGTCACTTGTCAGTTGATAATATTAGATTTTCTTGATGATTATTGAAATGTCATATTTCTCTTAACCTTATTCATTTGATTATTTTTTGCCATCTTGTTTTATATTTCTGCACCAGACCAGAGCAAAGTGAGAAATATTTGTACACAGCCCATTGGCAAATCTTACATACACTGTCTACACCTCAGAAAGGTCATTTATAAAAGCTTAATTACACCCAAAGACTTTTCTAAACAAAAATGATTAATTTATTTTTGTGAACTGATGAGGGCATAAAGATTATTCAATTTAAAATGCAGTGTTAAATTGTTGTGTAGTCTGGTTATTCATCAAATCAAACATTTGTCCAAACATTTCACAAAAGAAAATCTCTTGTAACAAGCTGTCGGCACGCTGGCCATGAAGGCTGACCTGTCTGTGAACCATATCTGTACAAAGTTTCAGTGCTATTGATCCTGTTGCTGCAGAGATATGTATAGACTAAAGGACAAACAGCTGGTGAAGCAGACACTGGCAAAGAGGAAGCAAAACATTTTTTAAACCTCAGCATTGTTATAGTAATTGACAAAGGCAGTTCAAGCAGGTAAGTGTATTTTTTCCTTCCAGAATTATTATGATGATAGTGATTTTTTTTTCTGACACAGTTGCACTTATCTGCGTGAGCTTTTCTCATTTTAAGTCATAAAATAAGTAACTGATTCATCATTGGACTGTTGAGTGGAACATAAGCAGCAGCGGGTCATTACAAGGTGACATGTTGGCAGCGACTGGTCACCAGTGGGCTCGTTTCATTTGGGTGAACTTTCAATGCATTATTTGTCCTTTAGGAGAGCAGAGAATGCTGTATGTTATGAATATGTATATGTATATATACATATAATAATTTTATTATAATAAGTCTATAAGCTGTGAAGCTGTCCCCAACATGTTCCATCTACAGTTATAGAGATATACTTAACTGCTTTGAGAAAAGACAGCAGGAAGATGATAAATCAATTTCCCATTTTCTGCTCAGTTTCAAAAGGAGATATGTTTGAAAGAGTCTACAGTTCAGCCTCTGACAATTAGCAACAGTTTCAACAGCTTTTTTTTTCCAGGCAATGTGCCGTTCTCAGTAGTCTCAGTTGTTGCTAAGAAGCAGAATGGTGAGTATCCAAGAGATATTAATATCGAAAAATTTCGCGAGACTGCTTCTCAGATCTCTCAAGAGTCACACTCTGCCTGCTGAGCTGTGACACAAATGCTGAAGCAATGAGGAGACTTTTTCCATGCTGCCATTTAACACAAAAGAAAATCTTCTCACTGAAAATGTAACCGCATTAGACTCCGTGCAACAATCCATTAATGGATGAAGGTGTCTACAGGGTTATAATTAAAGTCTTTCAGTCTGAAAATGCAATCAGCTTACCTCTTGTATCCGTGTTCTTGATAGATGTCGATTTTAGATTTTCTCTTTCGTCCAAATCAGCTGTGTTTCTACCCAAACTGCTGCATATTTTCCACAGATTTCTCTCAGTTCTTGTTTTCTGTTATGGGTAGAACCACTCTATCCTCCTGAGGCAGAAAAATAAAAGACAATAGAGTATCCTCATGTCTCTGTCAAATTTTTCTTTTTCAATTCTTCCACTCAGTGGGGAGTCCATTACAATAACTCCGTCAGCAAAGTTCCTCTTCAACTGGTATCCAGGGGATCAGGAACCGACCGGAAATGAAGTGAAACTCCGAAGTCCTAATTTTGACCCTCAAAATAGAACAGGATTGGTCCAAGCTATCCCAAAATAAAAGTACATAGGGCCTGTTGCGTCCAGCTTGATTAAAATTTAAATCCTCGCAGTTTTTTTTAGAGTCATGGGCAGTTGACGTTCTCTCCTATCCCACGTGTCTCTCACTTTCTTAGTATATCTGCTATCTGATCTTGTTCTGCTGCAGATCCCACTCTGTATCCCACATCTAGTGAACTATTGCTCACTGCTCCAGTCCTCCCCCTCCCTCGCTCAGTGTCACTGTAGATACTTGGCATTTGGAGACTACATGCTCTTCCCCAGTGAAGTGTTGATGGTCAGCTGATCATCAGTGGTGTTGAAAGGACCAACTGGTTTGTACAAGACTGATGTGTAAACAGCGACCAAAACATAGGGATTTTCTTGGGAATTATTCAACAAACATTACACTTATATTCATCTAGCACAATTTAGGGATACAGATATTGCTGGTCAAATATTTAATTTTCGGTAAGAAAAGCCCGATGAGTTATTGAAAATATTTTGGTCATGTAAAAAATGACCATATTAATGGTTATAATGGTTATAATAACCATATTATAACCATGTCTTCAGTCAGTCTAAGACTGGAGATATACATTTTAACATGTACAGAGAAGTATAAGACATAAAAAGAATTTTAAAAACCAACAAAAAAACACATAATATATTCTTTAAACAGGTGTAATTCTATCACTTTGTCTTTTTCAGTTTTGTTTGTAAATATCTGATTATTCATTTAAAAGCATTCTTTTAAAATAAGGATAGAGATGCTGATAAGTGACTTGATAAGACCAAAGAATACATCACTACTTGTGTTTAGTTTTACACTTATGCATGACATACATGGAAAACGTTGTATACCACTAGAGACCAGGCTTACTTACACCAAAGTCCCTATCCACAGCCCAGCACGAGCCTGCAAATTCTGCAGGGAAGTTATTTCAGGATCAATGTGAGAAACCAGCTGTGCAACTTCTGGTTCTCCATCACTATCTGGACAGCTGTATATTCAGTGTTTGGCTGTGGGGGAAAAAAAGGAGTTTAACCGACAAACAGCTTTTTTCATTCACGCAGTTTTTCGCACCTGATCCTGAAAACCTGCTGCAAATGTGCTGCCAAGGTGATTTTAATCCATATGCAAATTCGACGTGACAAAAACAAGATCAGTGGTTCCAGTAGTGGCCTGACCCAGATTCACTGGAGGCCGTCACAGAGCAGAGATGCACGGAAATGAGAGGCTCAAGGGGGGTCTCAGGGTAGTATCGCTTTTTAAGACATAATGGGAAATATGATTTAACTCACATTGTGAGTCAAAAAATATCCATCATTGTTAAAGCAGAAAAAACGGCATACCCTTGTCTATGTTTTAAGATCAAGCATATCCATTTTTTCTAAAATTACAGATGTAAATTTTATATATCAGTTTTTTTTTTACCGTAAAAGTGACTAAATTAATTTGAGTGGAATTAAAGAATTAAAGCAGATTTGAAGCATAATGTTTGAGATCAGCAAAACTGGTATAATATGATGCCAAAACTTATGCTCCATGTGTCCATAATAATATCTGTACATACACTCTGCATCTATGATGTCACATCTGTAAATGGGTTATGGGATTAGTTAGGGGATGGCAGACCAGAAGGGGATGTGTGTGCGATCAAGGCAGAAAGAACCCAGAGCCCAGCCGCTGTTTCGTACCCAGCAAGTTATTTAAAGGCCTCCTCACTGCGGCAGGACAAAGTGGGCCAGGCTCAACCACACTCAACATGACACAAGCAACAGCTACTGGTCACGCTCAGTCACCTTTCAGATTATCAGCACACTCCTGTCCAGCACACCTCTAATTGATTACAAGTGTTATGTAAGGTTTTGGTTATTCTGCCAATATTTGGCGCTTTTGTTAAATTTACGTTAATTGAGTATTTTGTTATATTATTGAATGTTTTAGTCTGAAATTGCATGGCTCCCTGCAATGTTACAAGTGTTAAATTAATTAAATATTCAGTGACGAATTTTAACACCTTAACTATATCAGAAATCATGACAACTTAATCAGAGAGCTAACATTTTGAGGATCAGAGGAAAGGTAAATGCTACAAATATAACAATTTTAACCATTCTGTGAAAACAAATGAAAAGGTTTTGATAAAGCAGAAAATGTTTAACGTGAGGCACTCTGTTAATTTTTAAAAAGCATAAAACACAAAGGGCAGTTGTGTTTTCTTTTAATTCATTCAGATATAAGACACTAAAGAAAAGATTTGGCTTTGGCAGTCAGCGAGTAAGGAAGAGAGGCATCATGCACCCGACAGTGGGAAATAATACCGTTCACACACCACACTGGGGCTATTTTTAAAGGTGCTCCTCATTAAACTCGCTGCTTCAGCTAGTGAATCTTCTCCAGACGAGCCTAATCAACATCTTTCCTCGTAATAATGAAGTAACTCACCTTGCCTGTATTCACAACAAAACCCTTTTTGTGCCACACAGAAGGAATAGGAGAAAAATCCAGGTCAGTCTTGCTGTGAAGCAGCATCTGCACTCAGTAAAAAAAAAAGACTACCGGTAAGTTAATTAAATACTTGTGATCTTCTGGCCCTCCCAGATGAAAGTGAAAGTGTACAGGATCTTTTTTTTAATAATATTTAGCTAACAGCTTTTTTTTTGTCTCTCTGTGGCCCTGTGATTGACTGGCATCCTATCAATGGTGTACCCCGCCTCTTGCCCGCTGTCAGCTGTGTCAAAGTGTCAAATGATTCTCATAAAGATATATAGCCAGTTTCTTACTGAGTCATTTTTATCAGATTTTGTGTTCAGTCACTGAAGACACCTTGTCCCTTTATTGATCTGAAATTTCCAGCTGTTGGATGTGAACATTGCAGGATTTACACAGTGTCACGGAAAAGCTGACAAATGTGAGTTTGTGCAAACAAACTGCATGTAGGTCACGCACCTCTAGACCTGATTTTATAACGCTGCAGTGCAAGCCAAATTCGATCAAAATCTGATGAAAGTGACAGTTATTTATTGAAAGACTTGAAAACACGGGCACACACTTGTCTCACGTGCGAGTGGAAAATATGAACCAAGAGCAGTGGTCCTGTCAGCGGCAGAGTAAACACAACTGAAGTGTATCATCCGGGAAGCAGGCTGCGCTCGCATATCACAGCAGCCTGGTTGCAGTAATTGATCTTTGCTTGGCTAAATGGGCCACTTATTTTTGCAGCCTGAGCAGGTGCACCTGTGCACTGGTGGTTTTTACATCAGCTGCTGATCAGTCATGAGGACCTGGTTTGCGGGGCAGCTCGACACAGAAGAAACCCTGCAGGTGCACACAAACACACACACACACTTCTGTATTATAACCTCTTCACACTTGAGGGAATGCAAAAACAAACTTTGGTAAATTTATTTTATCCAGTAAAAATAATTTCTTTATTCTTTTCCCCACATAGAAATGAACGAAAGTTATTCCCATTATAAAATTGGAAAACAGAAAGTAGGTAGACCAGAACAGGAATGATAACGTAAATGTAAATAAAGTAGTTATTCTCATAAAATGTCCTTTTTTTTAACAGTATTTCAGGGAAAGGAATACACTTTCATATTATTTTTGTAACTATATTCTTGTGTCTAAAGCAAATCATCAGTCTTTTTCCAAAGCGTCTCTCTCAACCTGCTGAGTCCAAGTTCAAGTCCATGATTCATCATAGGATGGACAATCTTACTTCTGTGCTGTGAAAACCATGCAGATTTTCTTAGTTGAATGTGCAAAAATGGTACGTACATCACTTCAGCTGTCACACACCAGCTCACAAAAGCCCACAGGTGCAGAATTGTATCCATGAAGGATTACATCAAGAATAAGCTTTGCACTCTCAAAGCGTCAGCTGGTATGACTGGAGTTTCACCAGGAGGAGTTACGGGGAAAGAAAGATGAGTGTTGGGTTTTAATGAGGTGTGATGTTCCTCCCAGGCAACGTGACTCCAGGGACCAGAGCAACAAGCGTCCTCTTAGCAGCCACTGAGGCCGGTGATTTATAATAAACACAAGATTCTGAGTGTGGACCTGAAACAGTTTTTGGTCACAAAGAGTTATCTAGTTGTTAGTGTTTGGGATGTGTCTGCTGTGCTATAACAGCTGGAACTTACAGGTGAGCTGCACAGTGAGAGAGGTTTTGTTTTATGTGTGTACTGACCAGATGTTCATCATTACCAGAGCAGCCATTTCCACATGGATGTGCCTTCAGCTTGCTCTACTGTTTCCTCTGTCAGACATATGTATGTTAGACACATAGAACCCTTAAAGGCAGTTGTTGATAAGTCATCATATCTTCGTCATGCCCGTTGACATGCCGCTCAAGTTGAATTCTAAAAACTCAATGACAAAATTTGAATGGGTAACATGGGAGATACCATATATTTGAGCCATGATATGACTGTTTTGACAATCATCCAATCATGTAAGTACATTTTGTACCAATGAAATTGTGCAGTTAAGAAATTCATAGTGTTGTTTGTATTTCTTTCACTGCATGATAATTCTTGACATTTGCTCAAATACATTTTTTAGGTGCTTTTCTTGATTTTTTTCGTACATGTGTTGTGATACTTCCTCTCCATTAGTTTTCTAAGTGATACTAATGCTGCTTTTATTAGTATTATTCACTGTGTATAAAAAAAAGCTGAGAGCAGCTAAAGGGTAGGCTTGAATCAACTCAGTTTCCTATGACAAGAACTTCTGAGATATACCATGGCAGTTTAGAGGGAACCAGTGCTTGCCAGTAAATGGTCTAATTATTCAATATTTCTCAGAAAAATAAAGTAATGCAATATTTTGGACACTCAAAACATTTAAATGAACTATTCTAATGATTCTTATGCGACATGTGAGAGGAATCAAACCAGTACCTTTCGCTTTGTTAAAGGATGTATTATTTTATTTAAACAGTAATTTTCTATGGAAAAACAACATATTCACACGGGAGTTCTTTCCACGGTGGATTCATATTTGTTACTGAGACTTGAACCATTTTGAAAAACTGTTCTCCCTGAATTTACAGTTATAGGTGTACTGTGTAGTTTTACAAACTAATAATTTCTTAATATCATCAAAATATTAAACAGATTTTGCAATAATGAAAACCGACTTTACATTTTACTCTGATGTTGTTTCGGCTGTTTTTATGGCGTTTTCATCAGAAGTGTGCTGCGTGTCAAATTCTACTCTATGTTTGCTTGCAACTAAAAAATAAAAAGATCATGCAAATGAATTTTAAAACCCCACATTCAGATATACATGTATTAAAAAGATATTTCAGTGCCTTCGAATGATTTTTGATATACTGATAAAATTACTCAATTTCATTTGTTCATAGCTTAAATACCTTAAGAAGTAAAACAGCTTCATGACTACTGCTTTTAAGGTTTAGATACTGGTGCTGGTGTAGTGACATCTCTGTTTCAGTGGTTGACTCGAGTGAGAGAGCAAAGGTATCATGCCCCATGTGTGACGGTCAAGAACTCATATGACCAATACAATTCACAATCTTTAATGAAAACACAAGCAGTATGTCTATTAATTACAAATTCCCCTGTCCAATGCTTTGATTTGTGAGTCAAAATATAGGTCCTTTAAGCCTTGTAGAATTCATGTTCATTTGCAAAGAATATTCTTCCAGAAAAGCGTGTATTTGTTGCTCCCCCTGGTGGAACTATGATGCCTCAGAGTCTCCACAACTCCGGTCAAAAGAACCCAGAGACTAATCTTCATTTTACACAGTAAAAGGTGAAACACATTGTGATGAACATCATGCAACATTAAATGTTTCCATAAATGTAAATGTTCCGCAAATGGTCTCAAACCGTTTAGATCCCAGTGTTTCATCTCCATCGAATCAGAACGACTCAAACATCTTCAGTCTTTCTTGGAGAGAAAGACCATCTTTTAGACTCTAGAAGATAAAAACAAAAAGATAAAAAAGGATACAGTTTTGGATGCAAATAGTATGAAAGTTTGAATTTGTAGTCAGTTAAGTTAAATATATTTTTAAAGAGTATGTACAATGACAAAAGTCTGGCCCTTTCCATAGGTCAGACTCATAATAAGTTGTAAATTAATCATACAAAGCCTTTCAGTATGCAGAACATGCTCACAATCACTGTCAAAGGCAGAAAGTTGCAAATGAATTAAAGCAGGGGTGTCGGAATCCAGTCCTCGAGGGCCGCTGTCCTGCAGGTTTTAGACATTTTCTGCTTCTGCACACCTGATTCTTATTAAATTGGATCTCCTCTGGACATTGTTGAGCTGCGCACCTGTCTAATGGCCCTTTGATGTGAATCAGGTGTGTTGAAAAAGGGTTACCCCTAAAACCTGCAGGACAGCGGCCCTCGAGGACTGGAGTTTGACACCCCTGAATTAAAGGATTGAAATACTCAATTTGACGAGACAGCAAATGTTTACCTTTGATCTAATTCCTCTAATTTGACGCATGATGGAAGGTTTCTCCGTCTTTTTGGTGAAAGTAGGATTGTTTGTCATTGTCACTGAGTCACCTGAAAAAAATAAGGGGTTTTTGGGAGGGCATCAGTGACTTTGCATGCGGCATGTAGGGAAAACATGACGGAGGGCTGAACCTCAGGACTGTCAGCATGAGGCGGGCAAGACGTGATGTTCCTCACCAAGGTTGTGTCGAGAAGCATCTCTGCCTGGAGACCAGGTGGCGAACTTGGAATCTTTGTTAACACGCTGATAGGCTACATTGTGGTTATTCACGCTGACAGCATTGAGCTTCTTCTCCATGTACACTTTGTCCTGTAACATAAGTGTGAATGTAAAGCACTTGCTGCTTGTTTTTCTCACTATCATTGAATGAGTTCAGTATAAAACTTATGAATGAAAAATCTTAATCTTAATCTTGTCAAATACATTTTATACAAGTTTCGCACCATTCGAGCTAGCTCCAACTCTTCTCTGAGAGAACGAGCTTCCTGTCTGAGAAAGTGCATTTCTGCCTTATTTGAGCTCATAATCATCTGTAACAAGAAAAGATTTAAGTATCAATGCCTTGTGATTTATTAGCATATTATACACACAAATATTAAACCCCAAAGACATCAATGAGACTTTTTGACAACATAAAATTGAGACAATCTCAATTTAAAATTGTATTTTTAAAAAGCACAGACCTCCGTCTGGTGGCTATTCAGCTGATGGGCAGCAGGTGATTGACCCTCGTGTAGCCGTGACACCTCATCCATCTCTCTCTTCAAATATGACAGGAAGCAGAAGGAGTGAGTAGCTGATCATGCTTGCTGAAAAACGTTTGCAGTGCACCAAGCTGCAGGGAAATAAAATGTTGACACCTGCTTTTTTCTGAGTTCCTGGTTTTCTTTTTGGTACTGCGTCACTGATTTTCTCTCATCCCGTAGCTCCTGGCTCAGCTGAGAGTTTTCCAGGCATTTTGCTGTGTGCTGAGTGGACAACACCTCAAGCTCCTTATGCAATAATTGGATTTCCCTCCTGTGATGAGAAAGCAAGAGCACAGATGACATTGTGCAGTTAAGTGAGGGTTTAGAGAGTTGACATCTCTTACGATGATAAAAACAAATCATGAACAGTAAAAGGCAATGCCAATTACAAGAAATTACAAGTTGTTTACTTCCTCATGGAAACACAGACTAATGCTCATATAAGAAGAAGCGACTGTGCCCATGTGTAAATATCAAATCCGCTTAGAGTGTTTTTCAGAATTTCGCCGTGCAAATGATCCAGCCATTCTCCTTTGCTCATAACAGAGTTGTTTTTACCCAACAATGAGGTCAGTAGCATGGACCAATCAATTGCCATAAATGTAAAATTGCAAGACGGACTGTTAAACCATCAGAAGCACTCAGAGGCAAAATGATTCATAAATAAACTATTAGAAAAGACTATTGGTCCCCTACTCGTATTCCCGGTGTAGTTCAGTGACGTCGGCACTCTCCCTGATGTGCTGAGACTGCTTGCTTCTCTCCAGCTCTTGTTTATGGGCCCTCCGCATTGCTACAATGGCTGTAAAGAGTTAAACTCACATTAACTGAATTTTACACGATAAAAATTGGCCTCCATCTCTAAAGCATAAGCAGTCAAAATGACCTAGAGAAAACTGATCATTTCAGTGTTGCTAATTCTGATAGTCACAAATCACATCAACAGATGTTAAAATATACAGAGAAGTTCATCTTTAAAAAAGACTCACCTGCCATGGTGGCAGCTGTCTCCTCTTGCAGGAGCTGATCTTTCTCTCTGAGAAGTTCAGCAACCTGCTTCTGATGCTGCTGCTGAAGGTCTTTTATCAGCTTCCTGTGCATTTCTTCCATAGCAGTAAACCCCTGATCACGTGATTCCTATGTTGACATTAAGAAACAGATCTGCACTTTGGTCATAAAGCATATATGGCATGCATGTTGGGATTTTAAAACAAGATCTTTTAAAGGTTTTGTTGGCTCTAGTGGCCTTTACTAACAGGGGAATGACAGAAAAAGGGGGCAGAGAGGGGAGTAAAAGGCCATTGTGAAGACTGATGTCACAGAGGGGAAAAAGGCTGATTACCTGAAGTTTTTCAAGGTCTTTCAGGTAAGCTTCTCTCATGGCAGCTGCATCTGCTTCTATCATTTGGATGTCAAGGTCCTTGGATGTAGTCTCTGTTGCGGACTGCTCTGACAGAGGGGAGCCGTTTGATCCCTCTGTGAAATTGGGTGCTTCTGTTTCGGATTTGGGGTGTTTCTCTTTTGATGCACAAGACTTGGTGTAGTAGCCATGTAGGTGTTTCATTTCCTCTTCATGGATGTGCTGCAGTTCCTTTATTTTCTCTTGGAAATTAGCTTCCAGTTTTTGCATCCGTTCCTGGTGATAATCCTCAATTTTCTGTATGTCTTCAAGGAGTTTGTGGTTCCCAGTCTCTACTGATATAATCTTTTGCTCAGCCTGCTCGAGTTCCTCTTTTAGCTCACTGTTGTGCTCCTGAAGCTGATATAATTCCTGATTTAATGCTTCCTGCTCAGCCATTAATTTGATGTCCTGCTCTTCTAAAAGAGCGTGCAGTTTTTTCTGTAACATTTCACTCTGCTGAAACTCATGCTCTACATCTAAGTAAAGGCGATCTGACAAATAAATGATTTTAACTTGCTCCTGAATGCATCTTAAATTAGCTGCAGAAGAATTGTCCACGGTAAAATCCAGACTACCATCACTGACTGGCCCGTCTTCCCTGTTAATCTCGTGATAGATGTGGCGCAAGAAGTTAGCTCTCCTTTGCAAACGAGATACAAGTTTCTCTAACCAACTTTGCGCTTGCCCTAAATTATAAAGCTTGTCATGAGTCTGGTGGCCATCATAAGGAGTCAACTCTGAGGGACTGATATCTGCCAGTCCTTCTCTCTGATTCTCCACCTCTGGATGACTTTCTCGAGTCATGCTTTCGTATTGGTGCTGAAGTTTTAGGGCAGCATAAATCAGCTCTGCCTCAGCACAGACTTGACCGATTAGCCTGTCTAAAGGTTCACCATTTCCACAGTCTGATCTTCCCGAATCCTTTCTTTCTTTTATCTTTAGAGCTATTCTTTGGGAGATTAGACTTTTGTAACCCTCTGTGACATCTTTCTCTCTTGAAACTGTCGATAGGAGGCTCATATCATTTCGACTCTGAAGGAAACACACCATCTTTTCTACCACAAACAGCTCCCTCATCAACCATGTTCCAGCATCAAGCATGTTGTGTACGTATTGTGTGTATGTGTGTTCAGAGGTGATGTCCCTTTCAGCTCCTGCTAGTTTCTCATCACTAAGGATCTTGTCCTCTTCTTTGCTCAAATTGTATGAGTCGTGTAGGACTCTCTCTGCCTCTTTCTCCCCCTGCTGAAGGCATGCAGCCACTGTTGCTAATTGCCTCTCAATGTCTGGTATGTCAACGGCGGTGGCCTGAATCCTTTCTCTGCAGGCTTGTATGATATTCAGAGCTACCTGGAACCTACCAACCAGCATCCTGCTGCCATTCTCTGTCTCCCGAGCAAAGCGCAGACTCTGCTTGGCCTGACTGTGAAGCAGAAGACTCAGGTGCTGGGCAGTTGCTCGGCTCTGAGTCAACTGAGAGCAGAGGTGAGGATCCTGGCAGCCCGTGTCATTCTGATGCTCGCCCAGTCTCTGGGTAATATCCCTCAGTTTCTCCTCTGTTATGAACAGCTTGGTTTCGAGTAACTGGATCACGGACATAAACTTTTCTGGATCATCTTCTGCTGTGGCGATGTACTGCTGTGTTTCTATTGATCCAGAGCCAGCACTTTCATTTCCATGAGAGTCACTGCCACTGTTTTCACTTGCAGTCAAATGCTCCTGTGATTGCTGATGTCCCTCTTCCTGCTCCACGAGCTCCAAAGAATCATCCCTCAGCGGAGAGGTGTTACACCTGCACACTTTCATAACTTCACTCAGTTTCATCTCTGTCTCCTCCAAACTATTACCCAAGACTTCCATTTTTAACAACACTTCACTCAGCTCTTGCTCCTTCCTGTCTAGGAGTCTCTCATAACCTTCTCGTATGTCTTGTAGTTCAGATTCCCTTTGCTGCACTTTGCCTGATGCCACCTGCACTTCCTCACAAACTCTCTCATACGAGTGTTCCAAATTGTAGTAGTGTGTTTCCTCTGTTTTCAATCGTTCCTGTAACCTGCTCACTTCCCTGTCCGCCTCGGTCAGCTGGTTCTGCAGGTCCTGGCAACGATGGCCGAGCTGCTCCCTGTCCTCCTGGAGGCGGTGCACAGTCGATACGGTACACGCTAACTCTTCCTGCAGCTGCTGCTGCGCCTCCTCGATTTCCCTGGTCACTGCCTCACTCCTGCTCAGGTTCTCCACCTGTTGCTCAGTCCTGTCCAGTTTTTCCTGCAGGTCTTTGGAATGTTGCTCGGCCTGCGCCAGGCTGGCGGCCAAACTCCGACGTTCCCTCTCCTGACTTGCCTGAAGGAGCGTGAGGTGTTTCTGCAGCCGGGCCTCTTTGTCAGCCTGGGCCTCCTCATAAGCCCGTAACTGAGCCGACATATCTTGGAGGTGTTTCCTCAGCTGCTCAGCCTCTTGCTGAAGACTCTGTTGACTCTGTAACTCCTGCTGTACTTGTACCAGCTGGGACTCTGCGTGCCTCCTCTTCTCATCGCTGTCGTTGAGCTGGGACTTCAGGGAGGACATACAACGTTCCCACTCCAACTGCTGCTCCTGAAATTGCTGGCGATCTTGCTCTAGATGGAGTTGTGCAAGGGCGGTGGCGTCACCTGTGACCAGCAGCTGCGCCTGTTGAGCTAGGAGATCAACTCTTCGCCGCAGTTCAGCTTCTCGGGCCTCCTCTTGGCTCCTCTTTAGAGCCTCCACCTCCATGCGGAGGTTGTGGTTCATCTTCTGCAGTTGCTGTAGGGCCAAAGATTGCTCCAGAGGTGAACTGGTGTCATTCTGCTGGACAATAAGGCACAGTTAGGAGAGGCAGTGCTTTTTTTCGTTTGCATTTTTTTTGTTATGAGCAAAGCAACAAAAATAAATAAGTATATTTAGAAAATCTAGAACAGCTGAAGTTTTTGGAGGTTCAATTTCTTTTGAGATAATATTAATGATAGAAAACCGATAACAGTAGTTAATTTAAGAAGACGTATGTAAATCTCTCAGTTTAGCTCTAAGGTGTTTTCAATCAATAGGATGTTCATTAATGCGGGATGCTGGACTAATCACAGAACTACACAGTTTTTTTTTTTACTTTATCGTACGATATTGTATCCTACTGCTGGACTGCTACGGCAACCAAATTTCCCTTTCTATCTATCTATCTATCTATCTATCTATCTATCTATCTATCTATCTATCTATCTATCTATCTATCTATCTATCTATCTATCTATCTATCTATCTATCTATCTAAAGATAAGTTAATGTTATTATTCCCCATGAGCCTTCATGCAGTAGAACCCTGAACATTAGTGCCCGTGTGCAGTGTGCTAAAGATGGCACCTGGACAAGGCAGAAGGATGTTGTAAAGAGAGTTTTAAAATAGTTATAGAAACATAATTCCCTGACTAACGTTTTTCTCTGGTTTTATTTAATTGAATTCTCTATAAGTGCTTTTAGGGCCTATGTGATAGTTATGGTCATATTCATAAATCTATGTAGAACATTTCAGAAACAGCTTTCGTGTTTATGTGAGTCTGTTTTCCTTCTTATACCTTTGGGAAAAAGAGTTTCCTTGAATGAGCCTCTCGCTCTTGTTGTAGCTCATCCTGCAGGCTCCTGTTTAACTGCTGGATTCGACACAGCTCCCTCTGTGTTTGTTCCAGCTGTGGCAAAAAATGTGACACAAAAGTTGCACAAATCTTGCATTAATGTTCTTGTTTAATTCATTGTTGCTCGTCTCAAAACATTTCTTACAAGACTTTGTGGTTATTTTTTTCTATTTGTGGCTCTTTGATAGCTTTGAGTGCCGGAGAATATTATGGTGGTATATTTTTTTTATTGTGGAACTGCATGTATAATCTCACCTCTTTGACGAGCTGCCCAGTTTGCTGGTCATATGGCAGTGTTTCTTCATAGTCAACAGTGGTGTTAATTGATACCAGCTGGTCTTCTCTCTGGGGTGCTTGTGCGCCCGGCTGCAGAGGCTGCTCAGCTGGACTTTCTGAATTCGTACAGCTCTTAAATTCATCGTCTGCTAGGACTACTGTGGAAGCAGAACTGTCACTTTGATATCCATCAGCACATGATGATGAATCTGTCAGACCTGATGCACAGGACCACATAAAAATACAAAAGTTAAAAAACTACATGTCGGCAATTGTTTATCACAGCACATTGGTGGCTATTGTTACAAAACAGCAGGCTAAATACTGTGTAGTGTTTACCAGATTCAAGATTAAGCTGGCATGGATGAGCACCTTCGCTGTCCTCAGCCTGGGGTGAGGGATTAATGTGTGGTCCAGCAGGTGAGGCAGGGGGTAAAACAAGGAGATCAGAGGGTAAAGAGTCTACAGCCAAGCTCTTTTCTCCTTCTGGCTGCTGTTGATGTGAGTTTTCTGTCCATTCACCGTTTGTGTGCTCTTCAAACTGCTCCGTGTGAGAGCTGTGAAGGAAAAAGGGATTAAATTACAAAAATTGGTATTTGTTTTAGTTAAATCCCCTAAGAGCTCTAAGCATAGAGAGTAAGATAGTCCTGATATCCTTCAATGAATTGATCACTTCAAATATTATTTCAGAAAACTGCCTCCTTGAGCAACTTTAGTTTTACTCCCCTTTTCCCCAATGAGCTGGAGTTGTAACCGTCTACCTTGTGGCATCATGTGTGACGCTGGGTCGCACATTTTTCAACACTGCTTGGACCCAGTTGCGTCTCATCCCAGAGGTCATTGCACAAAGTGTGTACACCCCATCTTTAGTCTGTTGGAAAGGGAAGAGGGTGTAATTTCCAGTACCATTACAGTGGATGCTGTAATGTAATGCTCATTCATTTGATATACTTGGCAGCCATAGCTCTGTCAACTAAACTTTACAACAGTCAGAAAAAAATAGAAGATAACCCATTGAGTAATAAATAGATAATGTTTTATGAGCAATATATGCAAAAGGTAATATTGCTCTGTAAGAAAACTACTAAAATGATGACAGTTGAACATAGTTTGCATTTATTTCCATTGCATTGCATTGCATTGCAGAATCAGATTAAATGTGTGTGCGATATAATTACATCTGACCTCGACCTGCTACTTTCAGAAACTCAGTTCCAGAGAATTGTTTACCAGTTGACGGCTTCCTGGAAATCCTAAACACATTAATAATCTACTGTGGGGTAAGAAGAGAAAGTGGAAAGTATCTATTTCACCTGATTTTCAGGTTCTTGAATTAAACTGCATCCAAATATGATGTCTTAAAATGTCTTGTCATTTTGAAAGGGATCTTGATTTCCAATAAGTAGATCTATAGTACTAATTTTATATACTAAACAGTATAACTTGTTTCATTCAAAACAAAGGTTCACTTGACAGTACCTGTTTTTTTTCGTTATTACTGTGATGATCATACGCAGTGGTAGAAACAACTGAGGAGGAAGATGTCTGTGATTGTAGGAAGTTGCTGCAGCATAATAACAAAAACAATAATTACTCAATGTCTGTCATTTGAACAGAAATTACATTTTGAAAGACATAAAAATTATTTCAAAATAACTTTAACAAATAACCTGATTTGCCCCACAGAGGATGAAAGACGGTGAGGATCCAGAATTTTCTTTCCGGTGGCTTGCCCTCTCTTCACTTGTGAACTATCTGAATCTTTTGTGTGACATCAGCAAGTAAAAAGCTATGTCAGAATATAGAACATCAAGCTAAATTTGTTTGTTTTTTTACACTGATCATTACACTCTGTTTCATTTGAACATTTCCTTTAATTTACTGTAATTTAACAAAGTTTATGTGGCATTATCTTCATTTTCATTAACATCTAGATCTAAAGTGACAAATTTAAAAATGCAGCCTCATGCATATGAATAAAAAAACGACAAAGTTAAACACAAGTGGCCTTACCAGTGGCTCTTTGGTCAAGTCTGCTGAGCGAGCGACTGCTTCTCATGAATGGGGCAGCCGACAAAGAAGAGGCTTGGAGGGATGAGAAGCTCTGACTGCCACGCAGGCGGACAGTTGGTCTGGCTGGGAGGGATCCATGTCGAGTAGCCTGGTGTCCAACGTTGCTTTGGTGACTCAGCCTACTTCTGCTACCACCAAATTTACTGCCACTTGCTGTTGAGTCTCCCGCTTTACTGCTCAGGGTGCTGATCTTTTCACGGCTCACGCTGCTTTTAGCCACACTGCTGCCAGACTGTTTTACCCTATCACATACAGGTATTAACGATGCAAAGTCCTGAGAGGTAGATGGAAAATCGTTAGAGCCGAAGGACAGCAATTTTTTAGGTGAAATTCTACACTTCCGTAGCTTTAAAGATGTAAGGATTCAGACTCAAATCACTAACTACATAAACCTCATGTGCACCTCCAACCCAAGTTGAGCTCTTTGACACATGCAATCCAATCACCCCTCGACAGAGCCCTTTAATCCCGACAAGAACTCTTAATTTGCTTAAGTGCCATCTGACCGACGCTGTGTCTACAGATAGACACAAACAAAGACTTTAAACTTAATCACACATGAGCATCGGGGAGCCATCAGATACAGGCAGTCTATTCCAGTTTAAGTAAATGCAACCAACTGCAGGGGCAATGAATCTGTTGCTGAACCACATGACAGAGAAATCAATTAGAGCGAGCCTAAAGAGTCCTGACTTAGCTATTCGTGCAGACTGAATCTGCACTGAGTCGATCTTTAGCCATTAAAGTCAACATAAATCAAACTAAATGCTTTCCCATCTCACAAAGTAGCACCTACCACATCTGTGGATATTTAAAATCTTTGATACCGTCTCTAATACGGTTTCAAGTGCACATGTACACACACACACATATACACACATGCATATGTCTTTTTGTTTAAGTCATTGTGAAGAAGTATGTTCTAATGTTGTGTTAACACTGACCTTTCCACTCTTCTTGGGCATAGGTTTGTTGGTCTTTGTGTTTTCCAGAGTCTCATGATACCTGCTATAGAAAAAACAGACCTACACAAGTCAAACTGGAAGCTTCAACTTTTAAAACATACAGCAGAAGCAAATTTTTCTTCTTTTATTTGTTTTTATTTCATTTTTTTCTGTAGCAGGGATATAAAGGCCTTCATGTTTTTAATGAGTCAAAGTAACTGTATGTACCATAGAATACAAGAATAAAAGTACACCTACAGACACAGACTTACAGACATACACTTAGCGTCAGGTGTCGTGTAAAATAATTGCTAATTTTGGATTTATATAAATACGATGCTAACAGTCGAAATTAATCATTACCGATCTTAAATGTTTTTTTTTAAGTGGAAATTTGAAAAAGAAAAAAACTTTAAAAACTGAGTAATTTTCTTTTTTGGACTGACATCAAATTATTTAAGTGACTTCATGTCAGGATATAAATACAGAGCAAAAGAATGTTGACCTACCTTTTCTTTTTGGACATCTTTTTCCGTTTTTTAGTAAGAACGATCCTATTAGGATTAAAAGTCAAATATTGTAGTTGTGGTCAACATCCATCTGCAAGAAAGAGTTGTTCAGCTGGCAAAAGGAGAGTGAACAAATCACAGACTGTAGTACAGGAGTCACAAAAAACACACACAAAGATTCACCCACACATAATCCCATACAGATTTGACAAACTCTATTAGAGTTTTGTGGGATTAGGCCCATGGCCTAACAGGATTAGCACACAGTGATTTTGGTGAAGCTGTCGTACAGACTGAAGGAGTTGACACACTCCTTATGTCTTTTACATTAATATCAAGAATGAATATTCATATTTCACCGCCACAAATTACATAGTGGATGATAACAATGCAATGGAGGCAGACGTACACAGGCTGTGTATGAGTTGGTCTGTATGCTAAGGGCACACTTTTACACAAATAGTTATCTGATTGTTAAATCTGACCTGATTGATCCAAGCTATTTCCTAAAAATAGAATTCATTTGAATAAATTCCAAGTTGAAAACGTAAAAAGACCTTTTTATTTTGTTCAGTGAAGAAATGAATGACAACATTACATAATATATTTGTTAAAGTCAAGTTGATATGCATTTTTATAACGCATAATGTGAAAATATACCTTTTCAAATGAAACAGCCTAAAAAAAAGTGAAAAAACGTATTATTCTGACTGTTGCAGTTCCCGTTACCAGCCAATGCAAACAATGACAAAAGACCAATTTACCCAAAATGTTTTTTTAAATCACACTTTCCGGGTTGTTTCCATAAACAAGAACACAATCAGCACATAATTGGAATTAATTGAGTCAGTACTTACACCTTATCGTTCAACATCTTGAAATACATTGTCAATGAGTATCAAAAAGTGTATTTCATATCTGAAAGAATTCAACTCACAACCAGTGTATGTTTCTCTAGATTTAGTAAAGCACTGAGTCATTTTTGCGTAAGAAAGCATGCTTCTTTATAAACGCTTATATCGCTTATTTACTTTCCCCGCTCTGCGATCTCGTCATCTGATTGGCCGATGGTCACATGATCTCACAGCTGATTCGGTTGGATGGATTGTTTTTGCTCTCACCGTACATCGCAGTCATTAGCCATTTTTCGTTAGCAGCACTGTACAGAAGCGTAACAGCCACATCCACCTTGAAGATCTCTGCCATGGCACAGGCGACACAAGCAACTGTCTTTGATGCAACCAACTCCCAGATCCAGGTGGAACACGATAAAAAGCGTCGTCAGTTTGTTATAAGACTGAATGGTAGGTTTAGTGTGGAAGCATTAGCCTGCTAGCTGGCTTGTGAAGTTAGCTTTCCTCCTTGCTAACATCGTTGTCCTCACCTTATGGAGACTTCCAGCTGCCATTTCAGCACAGCTGTGGTATGCAGTTCACACGCTCGGAAGGACTGACACTATTTCTTGTTATAAACTTAATGAAGGCGGTAATGTCTTTTTCTGACTTCTACAATAAGTCCCTTCGCTAGATTCCTGTAAGCATTAACGCAGCTTTTATTCACATTTATACAGACTATAATCTTCTATGTAAAGTTCCAGTCTTACAGGTTGTTCTTCTTCCAAATGCTTTGGTCTTAAGTCTAATTTTAACTTTCTAGTCATAGAATGCAATGGTGTTCTTTGTCAGGTAGACTTTGGGACGATTTATGTCCTCTAACTTTGTATATGGAAATATATTTTATTATAAACCCTTTTAAGTATTCATGGCTATCTGTTGATGTTTTAGGTTTGTTAGTGTGAGAATATGTCACAAACAGTTATTTTGAATGTTTCCACAGCTTGCTCAAACATGTGAAACATGTTTACAGTAAATGCTCCAAGCCATTGTTTCCATTGTTAGGAATAATGACCGTTATCAGGCTCATTTCATAAATCAACAGGACCCATTTCCCAGAAGCATGCTTTGCCACTTGACTGCTCATGCATTATTGTATTATGCAGCTATACGACATCCTGAAAGTGTAAACTGCATTCTACAATTAGTATTTCCATTTTTCATTTTAAATCTAGTTTTCGAGTTGCTGGTATGAACCTGCAAGTTGAGGCAAAGATGCTGCAAAAAGCTGTGTGTGTGTGTGTGTGGACAAACATAACACTACTAAGAGGCGTTACTACTGTTTGTTTTCAGGATCTCATGACCGTGCAGTTCTTTTGTATGAATATGTTGGGAAGAAGACAGTGGATTTGCAGCACACAGAAGTTCCAGATGCTTACAGAGGGAGAGGAATTGCCAAACACCTGGCCAAGGTAAAAACGTGTTCCATATATATATATATATATATATATATATATGCTTGTGTGTATTTATATAGTATAGGTATTCTAAATTTACTTTTATGTAGATTTTATTTTCTGCATTATGTTCTGGCAGGCAGCCATGGATTTTGTGGTGGAGGAGGACCTCAAGGCTCACTTGACCTGCTGGTACATCCAGAAATATGTCAAAGAGAACCCTCATCCTCAGTACTTTGAACATATCTATCAATGACCCCACATGACAACTACAAGGAATAAAGAAAGAGACTCTCAGGAGAGAGATACCATGTGACAGCATGCTTTGGAGTTACAGGACGAAACACAACAAAGGACCTTTTAAGCACTGTTGAACATGATATCGAGTGAATCCAGAGACAAACGATGTCACATCGAAGGCTGAGCTGAACGTCAGATCGACGGGTCACTGGCCTCCGTACCATGGGGAGGATGCTTACTCAGTGCCGGAAGCAACTCGTATGGTCTTGCCATGGTCAAGAAATGGCAACTGAAAGGTGTTTCCTAAGACTTCCAGAGTATATTCTCAACACTGACATGAAGGTTAGACGAGAAATGAGAGCAGATGTTACACAAACAGTGGAAGGTTTTCCCTTTACTTTGACTCGCTGATTGTGAGAAATAACATGATCAGTCGGTGTCCTTCTCTGCGGCTGTCTAGAGAAGCAGCAGTGTTTGCCCTAGCTCAGATCGGCTTTAATATTACTATTTATTTTCTTTACAGATATAACCCCTCACCTCTTTAAATTTAGTAATTGTTTAGTGTTGACAAACAAGTGTAGAAGGTAATGTATAAAAAAGCATCTACAAAACGGCCATTCAACACTTATTTTCCAGGTCATTGTTGACATGTTTAATCAGAATGTTTGCCTGGTAAAACTACAATTAGTAGGAATATTCTTTTTATGCATTTTCATCATAAAACCCTTTTTTAACAGAAACATATGGCCCATTTATTGAAGAAGGAATTGATAGATTGATTGATCAAAGGTATTATCATTTGCATAGAGAGTCATTGATTGGATGTTTGTTACTGTGTAGTTTAACACTTAGATGGGGTAGTGGGCCCAAACTATAATTTTTACATAGCTATTGGGATATTTGTTCTTTGAGTCAGGACAATTAAGGCAATGTATTGAAGAGGGAAAAATATCTTGGCTTTTTGCAGGTTTAGCTGTTGACAATCTTAAGTGTTCAGGAGGAAAATATCTCAGGCGACTTTATACACTCTGGCACTGTTCTGATCTCCTATTGGTCATTTCGGTAAAATAAATCCTTTTTAAAACTTTTCTCTGCGTGGTGTGTGCCTATTTAGGCCATGAAATTACTTTTTTTTCCTGTATGTTTCCTTTGTAGGAAACTGATACAAGTTGTAAGAAGATGGCTTTTGCAAATAGGTGAGAATGTTTCAGAACTTGTTACACTGTTTTATATCTGATTGCTTTTCTCCGTACCTATTCAAAATAAATAAACTCATTGTGTCCTTTTATATATTTTTTAAAAGCATGCTTAATGATCAATCGCTCTGTGTTAAATGATTTAAAAAGAAAACTCACATTCCTTTGACTAGGGTTTTGTACAAGAAAGTTACTCCAAATTACCAAAGAAAACAAACTTTTCCAAAACTGTAGAATTAGTACTTTATAACCACTTTCAATTTTAATTTAACCCTTTAAAGCCTAACGAAATTTTGAGATTATTCTCCATCTGAAGCCAGGTTCAAATGCCAAACTTGTTTTGTCGCCATCGGGTGGCAATGTCAGTTATAACATTATGGAGTATGATCAAGTAAGGTTTGTTTTTTTAATATCCACAGCACAGATGGACTATTTAAAAAGTACGGTTTGTTTGTGCTGTTTTTTTCTAATGTATTTTTCAAGAACAAAAAAGGGTAGAGTTACTGCCTCGGTGTAAACTGGCCACATAAAGAATTTTAAAATATTTTCGTGAAGAAATTCATGTGCTATACAATGGCGGCTCAAATGTGTTGATACTGTTTTATGAATAACTGATTGGCAATCATCTTTATATCTTATCTTGTAATTTTGTCTTCATACCAGTAAACACTGGTATGAAGACAAAATTACAGATGTTCTAACGTCAAGAGGTCCACAAATAATTTCTTAAATATTCCAAGTGTTGATGGATGGCGTTGGCAAATAAAACCTTTTCAAATGTCACCCTGAAGTCACAGTTTCAACAACACAATTGCTTGATTTTTATTGAGGCGACGCATGCGTAACGCTGCGTGGAAATTTAAGCCTGTTACATTATTGTCCCTGGCACAGCGTGAGGCTGATCTCGCATTCCCGAACGTAGCCATTATCGGCGTTACATCCAAAGCGCGTCAGGTTACAGCGCACAGACATCCAGCTGGAACTAGTGCACGGACAGAGACAGAACACGCGAGGGCACAATATGGGTGAGTACCAACAAGTCTACACAGAACATCTAACTGCAACATAAGAGAGCGGTGCAGCCCTGTTATTTTATATGAGCTAGGTTATACAGCAAAATCGCGTGAAAAGTAGATGCATGTATACATCTACTTTCACGATTAAAAAAATGTTTTCTTAAATCGCCTACGTTTTAATTTAATGTTGAACTATGTTGTAATTACTTTGTTATTCGCACCGAAACAGATATATATTGATTCGTTTTTTGTTATATTTATTATGAATCTGCTCTGACCTCCTAAACTCGTATGTGCAGTTATAAAATACGTGCGGCAGGTACTCTGCTGTCACAGCGTCATGGGAACTGTAGTCCGTTATTAAGTCACATTTATTGGGAGCGCCATACTGAAACACTACAATATCCAGAATGCTAAGTACTGTCATACGTCAACTGAAATCACAGTTGTATCTCAAACATGGCGTCGCTGGGAAGGAGGCGCGGTGTCCCAGTAAGCAGGGAGAGGTCAGTTACTCCACATTTTAGCCTTGCAACGAAGTTTATTATAATAGATTATATAGTTTTGTCGATGTCACTGTTTGCTAATTTATAAACATGCATATTAATGGACTCCCAGTGTATTGTTCACGAGAGAAGTTTGAATTTCACCCCACGGTTAGCTAATGTTAGCTGGCTAACGTGCACGGCTAGCTAATGCTAGCACGGAAACAAAACTAGCTGCTCATGTGATGTTTTGATTATTTCACTCCAGTCAAATAACTTAAGGACAAGTTTATTTTGCCATGTGGCGGAATGGACAAAAGCACGATATAACAAGACTCATATACTGCAAATATGTGACTCGCCTGTAAGAGTTGCCTGCTGTGTTTGTCGACTTGACGTGAAAGTAAAACGGTGCTGGACTTAGCCAGTCTTCTAACTTTAGAGCATGGAAGCGAGTTAGCTAATGTTCCAACCCGACGGTTTGGTACATTATGTTCCCGGTTCAGATAAAATAAATATTTTAGATAGTTGACTAAATGCTTTTTAATTACCTCTGCTGCCGTTTCCGATAGATAAGTTTTCTGTCCAGACGTGGGGTTTATTTGCCATTTGCTCAACTTGTACTGTTGGGCCGTAGTGGATTGACAGGGATCCAATCGTACATCTCTTCACATGTTAGCACACGACGTTTGTTGAAGAACAGGGATTTTCAGAAGCTATGAGACCGAAATTAGTCTGAACATTTCTCACTAACTTATCAATAATTTTAACTTATAATAGTTGTTGGATTTTGTGTTGTAGTTATTGTAGTTGCAAACTTTCGTGTGAAACCCCGACTCTTCATTTCGGCTGTCAACATCATGGGATTTTAAATGATGGTTGTCAGTAGAATAATTTAGACAAATAAGTGGTGTTGTTTGTTTGTTTTTTTAGTTTGTGTGCTATTTTTTGTGTAAACAAAAATTAAGACGTAATTTGTTTTATATGTAAGATATATTAAGTAAAAAGATATAGAATATAGTTCGAATATTAGAGAAGCTGAATGAAATAAATACTTGGTGGATGTCATTCTCCTTTCAGGTCCATTTGAACAGCAATGGAACATGTTTCAAGGTTAAATTAAATGGGTTGTGTCACACCATCAAGTCTGGAACTCGATTTGTTCAAATGTTCTTTTAAAATAGAAAGGTAAACTCTGAATTGTTACACAAATGACAGGTCAGCGCAAATCATAAAAATCATACGATGACAATCCTCTCCATAGAAATGTTGGTAACAATAGTCAAATGATTGTTTGAGGCAGTCCGATTACTGAGGAAACAAGAGACTGAAATTGGATTTAGTTGAACTACCGGTATATAGAACATTTTTAAACAGTCTTAGATTTTTATGCTTTTTTCATTATCTCTCTCATGGTTACCTGCGTTTTCCACTGTTTTTCGCACAGGGGAGTGATGGCGGCGTCAGACTGCTACATTGTGCATGAAATCTACAACGGGGAGAATGCGCAGGACCAGTTTGAGTATGAGCTGGAGCAGGCACTGGAGGCCCAGTATAAATACATTGTTATTGAGCCCACACGGATCGGAGATGAGACAGCCCGTTGGATTACGGTGGGAAACTGCCTGCACAAGACGGCTGTGTTGTCAGGTGCTGCATGCCTCCTGACGCCACTTTCATTGCCCGCCGAATACTCGCGTTATGTCGCGTTGCCTGCTGGCGCCCTCAGTGTGGCCTGTGCTGCCCTCTATGGGATTTCGTGGCAGTTCGATCCCTGCTGCAAGTACCAAGTGGAATACGACAGCCAAAAACTCTCGCGGCTGCCCCTGCATACACTAACCTCCTCAACGCCGGTGGTATTGGTACGCAGGGATGACGTCCACAGAAAGAGACTCCATAACACGATAGCACTGGCCGCCCTGGCGTACTGCGCCAAGAAGATCTATGAACTCTATGCCGTTTGAGCGCAGTCTGAAGAGGATTTAAGAACCAAGAGGAAAAAAAGAAAAAAAACAGGAACCTACCCCGACTCCCCAGATGTAAGATGAGTGGAAGTCACAATCAGACCTGGCGGTTAGCTCCACTTGTGATGGGCGCTTCCATTTTGAACTTTGATCAGAGGGATATAGTTAAACTAGAAGGAATTATTTTTCCCCTTACATTTTCTTTACTTCTAAGTGACGACCACAACGCACCTATCTCCAGTTTACTCATGCGCCCCATCCCCTGTTCTCTCCTCCTGCATCCCTGACACACAACAAGCTAATGCAAAGGGGTTTGCAGCAGTTCTTCTGGACTGAATCGCACCAGAGTTGAAATGGGACAGACGTTTTTTGTGTAACATGCTCTTTTCCCCTTTCCCTCGTAGTTTTACTGTACCCCTTTCATGCTGATCAGCACATCACAGTTTCATTAAACATTAGGATATTTCAAACTCACTTTTCTGTACTTTATTTTACTTTTTCATTAAATGTATTCCATATTTTGTCTGGAAAAGAGCAAATTGCTCAAAGTTATTTTAGAGTGTGTTTTTTTGTTTTTTTTGTTTGTTTTTGTTTTTCAGTGAAAGGAAGAACATTTAATACCCTGCTGTGGCTCAGTGTCCTGTAAAGATGTTCTATTAGATCAACTTCGTGACAGTCCAATGTAGAGACTGCTGCTTCAGATAATACACCAGTCAAAGAAGTTGCCACATTTCTTGATATAATTTCTTTTTCCACTGCTCAGCAGTGCTAATGCTGGTTTTTACATGGTGGGAGGGGGATAGTGAAGGATGTGTTGTCACATAAGACGTTTACAACCACTGGATAATAAACTGGATGTGAATCCAGATGTGAATGAGTGAAGTAGTCGGTAACATCAAATTCATTATTTAAGCGTTCAAAAATAACTTTCAATATTTTCAATTTTTGCAGCAAAAAAAATGAGCAAAGATTTATTTGCTGATCCCTCAATTAAAGCATGGAATACATTTAAATCAAGAATTTTCCAACAAATCTCCTAGACATCACATGGATCAATGGTGTGTGTGAGCCTTCAGTGTTATATTAATTAATTAATTTTTTTGTTCATCATGCTTCAATTATAATAACCCTTAACAAGCTTGGTACTCCGAGTAGTGACTGAAGTGGATTCATAAATAAGAAAAAAAATGCGATGAGAACATTTATACTGGGGTATAAGCAGCTTTACCCAAAACATCCAGAAACTCAAAAACTGATGGAACTTCAGCTCCCATAATCCTTCGCGTTAGCTGCGCAGAAGCGGTATTCTGTCGCGAGATGTGAGTTTGGTTCCTTCAAAGCCCCGGAAGTGTTCATTTTCACCAGCACACTGCTGTTCTCTGTCTATCAGCAATACAACAAATAAGGTGAGTTCTGAAATACGTGTAAGAACAGAATATGCGCCTGAGTTTACATTCATTGAACTTTTAGCATAACCTATTAATATCCACTGCTTATTTCATATCGTACCTTTAGCCTGTGGACGACAAACAGACCTAAATCCCATTGTATTCCATTAAGTTTAAGGTCTTACATTTCGTTGCATAAAACGTTTTTTACCAGAGTTAACAGCTTTGTGCATGTTGATATAATTGAATGGCAAATGTTTTTACAGTCAAAGTTACTTGAAATAACCCACAACTCTAGATCAATTTAGATTTATGTCGGAAAGAGCTGCCAAATACTTTAGAATGTAAACTTACCAAGTAGAGGCTTAATCTAACAATGCATACGATTGAGTGGGTGTCTTGGAATAATGCATTGCTAAAGCAAAGCGTTTGTGTCAGACAGTGCTCCATCACAACAAGGCAGGTTTGATGGATGGACCACTGATGGTCCATCCATCAAAGGTGTCAACTGTGTTTGACTTGAATTCTAGATATAACTGGCCCTTCTCATACATCAGATTTTACAGTAAAACTGGGCAGTTTTGCTCCATACATTGTAACTCAGTCAAATAATAAGATTGTCCTTAAATTAATTAAGTCTTCCTAATGGATTTCCTTTTAAAATTCAGATCTTCAGCCATTGAGCGTGTCATGGGAGGAGGAATGCTTCCACTGGTTTTAACAAGCTTGGGAGTCTTGCTGCTGTATCGACTACTCGTGCGTCTCAGGAACGGTGCTTCTGTGCAGGGCGCTGTCGTGGTCATCACAGGAGCCAGCTCTGGACTCGGAAAAGGTTGACCTTTTTTTCTGATAAAAAGATCTCTTTTTATATGTCAGTCGGGCAAATGCTGCGACAATGTATGTGTGATATTTCGCTCTTGCAGGAGCCCCCCTCCCATACTTTGATACCCCCCTGCTACAATAACACTAGCTTTTGTGTTTTGCGTTGTAGAGTGTGCGCGGGTCTTTCACGCAGCAGGGGCTCGGCTGGTGCTCTGTGGGAGAGATGCTGCCCGCCTGCAACAGGTGGTCAAGGAGTTGACAGCAGCATCTGCGGATACACAGCAGCAGGCATGTACACAGAGCCGTTTTTATTAACTTATTTCTTCTCACCTCTAAATGAAAGCTGGTATAAAACACTCATGATGCTGCGCTGTCTCAGTCGGAGGTAGTGTTTTTCTTTTGTTTGTTTAGCTTTATTCTGATCTGAAGTTGTACTTTACGTCTTAAACTGTGGTGTTACAGATTTGTGCATGAGTAATGACCATAGGTGACCGCTCTGCTTTTGTTGGTCCAGCAGACGTTCCCCCCCAGCTCTGTTGTCTTCGACCTGGCAGACGCAGGCAAGGTGAGCAGAGCCGCGGAGGAGATCCTGAAACTTTATGGACACGTAGACGTCCTCATCAATAACGCCGGAATTAGTTACCGTGGCAACATCTTAGATACCCATATATCGGTTCAGCGGGACGTTATGGAGACAAATTACTTTGGACCAGTGGCTCTTACTCAAGGTTAGAGAGAGGAACAGTACGGTTTGTGGAATTCCTGTTTGCTAACCACCAATCAAGTCTTCTAGATGGAATCAAATGGGAATCGGCATGAAATGTCCAGGTTTTTTTTTTTTTTTCTTCCTCTGCAGCTCTCCTGCCCGCCATGGTTGAGCGGCGCAGCGGCCACATTGTGGTCATCAGCAGCGTCCAGGGAAAGATAGCCATTCCTTACAGATCAGCTTGTAAGGATTCCGTTTTTCTTTACCTCTGTTGTGGGGATGACGTAGAGGTAGTGACTAATGATATTATGTGTGTTTACAATGGGACCAGACGCCGCCTCCAAACACGCCACCCAGGCCTACTTTGACTGCTTACGGGCAGAGGTCGAGCACTTTGGGATCCCAGTGACGGTGATCAGCCCTGGCTACATACGGACCAACCTGTCGGTCAACGCCGTCACCGGGGACGGCTCCACGTATGGAGGTGAGGCAGTGAGAGGGACGCTTCAGGACTGGAGAACGTCCAGCCGTTTGTTCGAACAGCTTTTTGAAGGAGCATTTGCTCACACCCAGTCTGTTCACCAGTAGGTATGGAGCAGTTTTTCTGATTAGTTTTAGACTCATGTTTTTGGCGCTCTACTTTCAGTCCTGGATAAAACCACAGCCACGGGCTGGGACCCCATCCATGTGGCCCACGCTGTCCTGAAGGCCGTCCGTCAGAGAAGCAAAGACGTAGTTTTGGCCGGGCCTCTGCCCACGGTGGCCGTCTACCTCCGCACACTGTGGCCTGCACTTTTCTTCAAACTCATGTCCTCCCGCGCTCGCAAAGAACGGAAGCCTAAAACGGAGTGACCTGGCAGCCGGTCCGGCTCCGTCTGGCCACAGCAGGAATCTGGCTGCTGCACGTGCACACCAGACAGACTGAGGAGAAGCTCTTTATTGTAAGTTTATTGTAAGTATTGTAAAATATGTACTTAAAATATGTACCTAATCAGATAAGAAAGCTGCTTTGTTCAGCCATATCTGGAAATAAAGTTTGTAAAGCTGCTAGCAGTGAAATATCTGATCACGTGGTCTTATTTGTAATTTTGTCGGAATCTGAATTACTTTCCTAAAGTGAACAGATCTAAAAATGTCTGAATGCTTTGGATGAGTTAGTTTTACTGAGGAGCAAAGATACCAATTTTTAACATATTTTTGCAAGGGAGTCAAGTATGATTCAGATGCACTTTAAGAAACAAGATTGTCTTGTTTGAATACAAGAGGAAATCAACGTATCGATCAGCAAAATCCCTAGAATATTAGTAAGTTTAGCTCAGTTTAGCTGCATCATGCCCTAAAGCACAGCTTCCCCTTCGGCAGATGAGTTCCTCCATGTTTTTGGTGAGCAGAGGCCCAACTTTTCCAAAGTGAATAGCTTGTAATTTACCGAAACAGAACTTGTACTGCAAGACTTAAATGATTTTGGGTAGATTTGTGCTTTTCAGGTCAGTGACTTGTTTCTATGTAGAAACCCCCATCCTTCATACACACACACACACACACACACACACACACACACACACACACACACAAAGCACTGACCGTAAATTCATGAAGCAACAGATTTTTTTTAGAACTATCTTTATACACAGAATTAAAAACACCTTTTACAAACTGAAAACCTAAAACAGGTTTTTTTTTCTTTTGACTTGTCACCTTAATTAAGTTAAACAGAAAACACTTTTTTGTCCAGAAATGTTAACAATAAATAGTCCAAATAACAATTTACATTATGTTACACAAGTGCATTGGACGTCAGAATTGCCATTTGTACACACAAATCCTTCTACAGAAAAAGACAAACCTGCTGGAGTCAAAGACAAAACCTGCCATTTATTCTCTGTTAAGAATCTAATGTGAGAGAGTGAAGCGTTTTTATTTTATTTTTAAGGGTGATGGTCAGGAAGGCTAATTCTTCTGACCCCATTTGTGGGCGATGGCAGGAGCCATCAGTTTCCACTGATTACTGCGTCTGCTCGTTCCTTGTAACTGTGAATACATGCGTTCCCATTCAAGCGTGTTTAAATAAGTTTCCTTTATTGAAACTTTTGTCTGCAATCTCACTACCTGAACTGTTTAGAAGCCAATCACACTGACATTAGCTATAGTGTTTCTTTGTTTTGTTGTAAATAATCCAACGTTAGTCAAAGTGAATTATTGTTGTTGGATTATTTTTTTTTTTCAAAGAATGAAAGCAGAAGTTAAAGGAAAAGTGAAAACAAGCCGAGTCAAGCATGGCTTTAGTGTTTGCTTTGTTACATTCTTCAGAACACTTTTATGTGTAAAATTACTTTTAGCATGTTTAAAATATTTTTGTTCTTTAAAAAGAGCACATGTTGGAAAGAAGATCCAAATAGCTGCTATAGAAGTTAAATATGAGAAAAATTCATATTTAAAGATAATTGTAAAAAAAAAGAAAGAAACTTTTCATAAAAATAAAAAAAAATCAATGTCTTTATATAAACAAAATGAACACAGAAGCTTTTTCTGTTTCTACTGCTGTTTCAGAGAGGTTTAAGGTGAGTGGTGGGGACAGAGAAAACTCCGGGCTACTTTGAGCTGCCGTTCTGTGTGCGGCTGTAAAATCCAAATTCAAATCACGCTCGGTTCAAATTTAGCCAATAAAACCCAAACTGAACTTTTTCTTTTGCAGATTTATACAGTTTTGGGGATGGGGTGGTGGGGGGGGCCCTTTTGAGAGAAATCAGATCAACACACTCCCACACGCATACACACGGAAAAAGCAGGACAAGACATAAGACTGTTAAAAATATTTTGTTCAGATATGGCATAGTATTTTCCTGTACATGAGGTTGTGTTTTGTAAACCCATTTATTCGTCTGAAGTGTTAGTTTTTAAAGGACTTTTTACCTTGAACAGTTCAGTGAAACCAACTTCCTTTAATAATGGCCACGGTTCACCGTCATTATTGCACTTTTACAAACGGGGCAGGGGTGGTTCTGGGGAGGCTGGACCTTCTCCGCCTCTTGAGTCCTCCTCTCCCTTTTAGCGTTGGCGTGTCCTTCTGGTGGCGGAGGTCCTCAGGGCGGGGGGATGGAGGGCTCGGTCACAGCCAGCTCCTGAGCCAGGTCATTGAAGCGAGCGATGTAGTCCACGCTGCTCTCGCTCATCATGCAGGCCAGCTGAGAGTCCATCTGCAATCACAGGAGAGAAAATTCCACAAACGCCTCTTTTAAAAGGATTTGCACTCATTTACCTCCGCCACATCAGGAAGGCCACGGGATTGGAAGGAATCATGGGAATTGCAGTCCAATAGGCTTGGACCAAGCAGAGCTGTTCCACTGGAGGGGCCGGAGGGGGTTAGGGCGGTTCGCCTTCCCTTATCAGGAGACACCATACTGGCTGGAAGGGGGTTAAAAAGAGAACAAGACACAAAAACAAGACATGAATTTTAAAAAATGAAGCACCGGTGACTGGAACAGACAGCTCACACAAAGAATGAAACTCAGCTGCTTTTTTTAGTGCCGTCACATCACAGTGAATCATTGTGCATGATCCGTCCAAATATTTTAAGGCAGAAAGATCTTTTTTTTAAAGATTCGAATATAAATGGGGCCTATGTCTGAGTTCATCAAAGCTTTTGTGCATGTCCTTTGTCTCCTCCATCAGCTGTGTCACAAAAACACATTTCAGTGGGATGAAGTGTGTATCTTTTAATCAGAGCCTGTGGTTTTATGGCCAAAATTTGAACTGCTGATATCATTCTCTCTAAAGGAGGCCCAGATTTCGCACGTTATACATACAATAAGCAAATAACACTAAAATACATGCAATATACAAAATATATAAGAAAAACCTACAGAGGAGGCATCCCAGGGTGGAGTCAGACGAGTCGCTGGGGTACCACTGGGGGTCATGGCTGGGCGACGGGATCCAGCCCCTGGATGGGCTCACGGAGGGAGAGGAGGCCAGCAGTTTGGAGTGGTCACCGTTGCCCAGCTTAGCGGGTGACAGAGCCGCCTCCTCACCTGCAGCGGGACAGGTAAACACAAATGAGGGCCAGCGCAATGTCCACGGTGCCTTCTGCTCTCAGCAGACACGCATGCTGCTGGTCTCCGGCCAGACCGATCACCTGTGAACGTCCAGCCTTAGGATAAAAATACCACATAGTCAGCACTTCTGTCTTTGATCTAAAATGGATTTGCTGATATTGTCATTAGTTTAGTAGGTTAGTTGTGTCATCTGTCGGACACAATCAAAGATGATTGTGTCTGCTGACGCTGAGTGCCTGTGTAAAAACCAGTATGGGGAAAAATAAAGAACCTGAATGATGAGCGGCACATATATTTACGTTTGTATGAATGAAATCTCATTCATTCAAATCCCCACATACTCTATGAGAAAAAACACCCACCGTAGTGTGTTGAGTTGATGGCAAGCTCGATGATGGAGTCACTGATGTGAGTCTGAGGTTCTCCGGGGGTGAGAGCCTCTTCAGGGGGACCTGGCAGAGAGATGTCAAGGAGTGAGGCGACGCTGGGTGGAGAGAGGAGCGAGTCTCCGCCACCAGTAACTCCAGGAGACGGCGGGGGCAGACCAGTCTGTGGAGACAACAGCCCTATTCAGAACCAGAAACAAATGCAAGGGCCCATCTGGAATCGCTACGAAATAAAGGAGTATAAAAGTCAGTTTGTCGGGAGGTCAAAGATACATTTATTGTAGTGTGATGGTTATTTAGCCGACAGGAAAAGCCAATTAAAAGTTGCACGTGATCAGGGTGTTCCATCAGTTCTTTAATAGAAAACATTATGGACATGTAGCTTTGCCTCACTGTTAACGTGTGTGTGTGTATGTGCATGGTCACAGACACAACACTGCATGCATGTGTGTGTGCGTGCATGGTGTGTGTTCCTGACCTCTGGGATATTTTGTTGCAGAAGTTGGGGGTCGGGAGCAGCGTCCACAATGGGTGTGGCGAGAACGGCGCGGTTATCTACAGAAGGAGAGTCTTGTTCCCGAGAAGGACTGCTAGGGATGATGCCTGCAGACTTAGCTGCCAGGTCAATGGCACCTAAAAGAGTATTAGGAGTTTAAGGAACACGAGGGATCGGTCACATGTCAATTAGCACGTGATAGCGGACAGAGGCGCGTTCGGAAACTCCAGCTGTGTGTTGCTGAAACAGAGGCATTTATCAGTCGGTAAAAGCAGTCCTTACTGGAGAGCTGGCTGACAGCTGCAGAGCTGGACGCCGAGAGGGAGGTTTTGGTCAGGGGGGGGGCGGGAGGAAGGAGTCAGGCGAGTGTGGATTGGCCGGAAAGATCCGGTTCCTGCGGGAGGAAACAGGAAGTGAGCGAGCAAGCAATTAGCGGAGTTGTTGTTGAAATAGAGGAAATCACATTAAAACATTAGCTGTTACCAACAGTCCTCCACCAATGCATTCAGAAAAATAAAACGCTGTATGTTACAAAAACAAAACAAAAAGAACAACACTTTTTTTGTTTTATAAGATCTTTTTAAGATCTCCAAAGCACCTGTGGCCGAGGAGTTGGAGAGGATGGAGAAGGAGCAGACGTGCTGGGGAGTGTCCCCTGTAGTCCTGGGCAGCAGTGTCCGCTGTGAAGAAGACAGGAGCTACTTAACCAAACGTTCAGCGTGGGGCTTTTCTCTCAGCATGAAACTCTGCACGTCATTTCTCTTTTACCTGAACTACGAGAGGTTTTCGAAGCTGTCTGTTCCGAGGTTTTCTTTGCCTGGAGAGGAAAAGATCGGACTGCATCTGGAAGGAAAAGGTTTCTCTTTGTAAGCAGCGCGTTAACTTGCACACACACACACACACACTTTCGGCTCAGCCTTTCCACACTTTGTATCAGCGCCGCCCTCCGACTTACACTGATGGAGTCGAGCTGCTGTCTGAAGGCCAGCTGGGCCTCCTTGTTGGGGGAGAACATTCTGTTGTGTCGAGAGCTGTTGGGGGGTAGTGTGGTGGGTACGGCAAACACGCTGCCCTCTGATTCGCTGCCTGCAGTCGACACCAGGAGAGAGCGAGGAAGGTTACGCCCACCTGAGAGAGGGAGGCAGTCATTTCAACTATGTGTGACATTTCTGCTGGAGAATATCGAGAAGCAGCAAATACTTTTCACCGGAAAACAAAACCACTGCGACGGGGGAGAAAAAAAATCATCCTCCCCATTTCAGAAATTCCCATTCTATCCTGTGTAGTAGCAGCTTGTGAACGGTACCCATGAATACCTGAGGCACTGGAGTTTGGTGGGTGCGCCCTGGCCACTCGGACAGAGGCTTGCTGCCGGCCACAGCTGGGGCTGCGCACACCGGCCACGGGAGCCTTCCCGGGAGGCGTGAGGGCCTGGCTCTGCTCCTCCTGGTGACTCTTTAGGGGCGACGTGGCTGTGGAGCACATCTCTGGAGCCTGTAGACATAGAAATAAAACACATCCACTTGTTGGCAAAGGTTACAGCTCTGAACGCCTTTTAGGCTTCCTCAACAAACAAAAATTAGTCTTCTCCCGGTAGAAGAATAAGGTGGTAATGACACATCTATCACATCCTTTTTCCAATGCTTACACCTGGTGGTTTCACAGCAGCCTCAGGATCCCGGAACCTTTGTCCTGCTACTTTGCGCTCTATAAACGTACATCTACCTGTTCCAGGGCAATGCTCTTGTAAAGGGCAGACATATCGAATAACCTGAGATGTGGGCTACTCTTAAGCTCTTGTCTTAATATTACAGAAGACATGGTGGACATAAAGACTTCTGAGAAGAAGTGAAAGTGTTAAATAATTACATCCTTCAGTGCAACTATGACCAAGCCTGCCTGTCTTATACTATTTAACGAAAAGGAAAGTAAAAGTAAGTTCTCACCAAAGGTTTGGGGTTGACCTCGGTAGACACCAGCTTGAGCAGGCAGTGCAGCACTCGGTTTGTCCTGCTGGGCCGGGGCTGGGTTGTGGCTTGGCCGTTTTCTCGACTGCTGGGGGGAGCGTCGCTTGGCTGCCACTCGTACTCGAGCTGCAGCTTTCCCGGCTTCCCGGACATCAAGTACAGCTCAGCCAGGGTGACGGTCTCCGCATCCCGGGCGCTCCAGCCCTCCTCCCTGATCTGCTCCACGGTGCGTTCTTTGGCTGGCGGGGCAGAGCCCTGCAGCACGCCCTCCTCCGGGCCGAACCCCGGAGGTTTGGCCGGAGGGTTGGGGGTGACGTCAGGGGAGGAGGTGCTGGTGGTGGGCTCCTCTTTGCACGGCTCTGGCGGGCTGCTGCAGACCTTCTCGGAGCTTTTGACCAGCGGCGTGCCGCTGCTGTTAGCCTCCGCACCGGCGCAGGACCTGCCAGCCTCGGAGGAGCCCGTCCCAATTCCCTCTTCTCTGAAGGCTGCACTCTGCTGAGAGGAGACCGAAACAGACGGAGGCCTCTTGTCCTCAACTTTTGCGGAGCTGTCCGGTAATGGCTCTTGGTTGGAAGGTTCGGGCCGACGGGTTTCGCCCGTCACAGTCACTGAGGCGCCGGCCACAGCGCCGCTTGCTCGCCCGGCCTTACTGCCGCCCCGAGGGGCCGGCGCTGTCTGGATGCCCAGAATCTGGGCAGCAGGCAGCTCCTTGGCATTGGGTCTGTTCTTGCCACTCTCTAGCCAGTGTACAGTGCAGGAGGCTTTGGAGTGAACCACCCGCGCCACACCAGGCAGCGTCGTCAGGGTGCTGTTCTCGGCGGGGAAAAGAAAGAGCTCCTCCGGCTGAGCTTTGCTGGGAGATGCTGCGCTGGACTGGCTGCCCTCCAGAGCCTCCCTCTCCATGAGACTCTTCAGCTGGAGCGGCAGCGTTAAGGATCATATTCAGTACATGCTTCAACAACAAACCTCAGGGGCAACATAGTTGCTTCAGATAAAAGAAATGCATAGTGAAGCACACTGTATTCTTTTATCGCCTTAATCGAACATTTACTAGAACATTTCAGGATACAATCCGCTGGTCTTGGTGGGCCCACTTCTGTTTAAGATACTCAATGAGGCTGGAGACTTTCCTGTGAAGCTCCACCACCATCCTGCACCAGAAAAGACACACACACACAACGAACAAATGAATGAATCATCTCAAAAGCATTGTGTGAATCAAGGTATCTACAGACATATTGGAAACAGGCTTTGAAGCTGTTTCAAGCAACGTTACAACCAGTAAAAGAAACGTGGGCATCGGGTGGATGGATTGAGGGGGTGTGGGGTCTCTCAGGATCTCTAAATGTGAGGATATCAGGTAATTGGCATTTCGTACCTTAGGCGAGGGTTGTGGGCTAAGCTCTGAACACGGGCCCAGGAGTGATTACTGCGGGGCTGGAGCTCCACCGCCACCTTCAGGGGTAGACGGACGGGTTTCTGGTCCTCTTCATCACTAACGCCTTCAAAAACAAAAACCATAGAATGAGTCAATAGGAACCACCAATAAAGCACATTCACTGGTACTGTGGGAGTAGCAGCTGGTCGCCATTCGGAGGGAAACGATCCCTTGTAGAGGGACTGCACTGTACAGATCGGGCAAGCTGCACCACAGGCCTTTAAGGGCTCAGAGAATCTCTACGGGAACCTGACAGTGTATTTAAAGTATTCATCACCGAACGGAGCTGACTGCCAGCTAAAACAGGCCCCTCCATCTTCATCCCGATCCTCTTCTTTTAGCTCCTGGAGTTACTGTGGAAACACCACTAGCCCACGCGCTGCCATTGTTTTTACCACATCGCTGCCCCCACAGACCCTTCCTCTCACCAGTCATGTGGTTTATGGAATTTTAGCAGTGACATTAGTTGACTTTGCGTTGTTTGTTTGCATGTAGAAGACGTGTTTGCATGTCCTCACCTTCCGGATCGCAAAGTTTCTTCAAAGCTCGACACATGGGTGCTTTGATTCGCAGGTTCCTCCCCTTGGAACGCACAGTGGTGGCTCTGGTGAAACCAACAGACAACAGTGTGAATAAAAATCCTTTCAACTACCTGTCCATGACATCAGCGCTGCGTGTGCCAGCTGTTTGTGCACTTTTCCTGCATCTGGCACGCGCCAGCGTGGCCTGAATTTGGTGTGATCCTTGAAGCCGAGTACAGACTTTGGCTATGTTTTTACCAGATGTGCTTTGGAGATCAGCTTACCCTTGCTGGATGAGTTCATTCAGCTTTGCCACGTTCTTGTCGTCCATTACTGTTGAACACAGCACACAAAAGCAGAGGTTATGAGAGTGCCCCTCGGAGGAAGCAGAGTCCCTCATGGCAGGTTTAATCACATCCCAAGTGTGTCTACATGACAACGGCAGAGAGAAACGCACTCAAACAAGTTTCAGCCCCCACTTACAGCCTCCAACTTTTTTACGGAGCTCCGCGTAGCAGATAAGCCCATACAGCTCTTGAGAGGATTTCTTCAACACGCGGGAGTAGACTGAAAAGAAAGGGAAGATCACATCAGAAGTCCAGTGTAATTTGGAGGAGTATGTGACCTAAAGATAACATGACTGTAACACAGAGGGCTTTAAGCAGGGAAAGGGGTTTAGGCTTATCTAGTTAACTTCAGTAACACATGTTCAGGGAGAGTCTGGCTGCCTCATAAAGCAGGACATAAATGTCAGTATCAGAGCTACTGAACAGTAAAAAAAAACAAGGCCCTGAGACAGAGGGGGATGATACATTATAGAGATCAAACCGATAGGGTGGAGACTTTCTCTGCGTGAGAAGACGTGGTTGACATGTCACTGGCACCGTATAATTCCATCTGGTTTACAGGACAGTTCTAAAAAGGAAAGCTCACCATTGGCAAAGTCGATGTGTTTGGAGATCTTGTGCCAGGTGCGGTAGTAGAAGTGGCGGACCTGCTCTTTGTTCTTCACCATGTTGGCTGGCTTGCCTCTCTTTTTATACTTCATTGCAATGTTGTTCTGGATTGCTTCAAAGTCTTTTCCATGCTAAAGGCAGGAGTCATGGAGGTGAGTTTAAAATGCCAAAATATGCACGCATAGGGGGGATGTTTTGTCCGGTTGAAGTCACTTTTTACCTCATAGAGCCCCTCAAAGAAGCTGTTTTTGTCCTCCGCGCTCCACGACTCCCACTGCCGACGAGCTCTCTTCTGGTTTCCTGCCTGCTCCTCCTTTTCAGCAGACCCTTGGCCTTTGGATGCTTTGGACACTCCTGCTGTGGAGCTGGCCACGGGCCCCGACTGTCCCACAGCCGCTTGGGATGATGAAGATCCATTTTCTGCCCCTGTGTCACACGGAAACGGAGGATACACACATTTGTAGACTACAAAACATTCAGGCAAGAAGTGTCTCTTACCATTAAAAATGTCGAGGTTGAGGTTTTGGTTGACATCTTTGTCCTACGAAGGAACAACTATTGTTCTGAGGTATGTGGTTTGGGAAAAGTTAAAATACAAGCACACAAAACCACAGACTGCCATTACACAGCACAACCTGCAGAGCTACCCGTCTGTGGTTCAGCTCTGGCAGAAACACAGGAAAAGCAATCAGTCCCTATAGCCAGGTCTACAGAGCAGGCATCCAAAACCAACCTGTGGTGGGCTCCACCGGCCAAGTTTACCCCAGCGCAGAGCACAATGCCAGAAGGCATTAAAGCAAACACAGGCCCAGTGGCTGTTGCAGCACAGTGTGCCAGTTATGTAAACTGTATTTCAGGCCCAAATAGGTGTTCATTTAAAGAGGCAAACAGATTTGTGGTTCAGAAGCAACAGCCCTGACGCGCTTCTCCCAAAAATAATTGCACACTCATAAGGAATCATAAGTAAGGCCTCTTTGATTTGAGCAGTCAAACCTTCTCTCACTTTGACCAACAACAATAAAACTCATACACCAGTCACAATTAACAAAGCACACTAAATCAGAGACCAGCTTTAAACCTTCACTTCTGTTCGATCAAAGGCCAATTCATTTAAAGAGCTGTTCTCAATAGAAAGGAAAATCACAACTGAGCCACAATTACAAACGCAAACACTTTGTGATATTTTTTTTTCACAGAGCTTCTCCACAAACAAAAATATCGAGCAAAAAAGACGCGGGTTCCTGGCTGGCAACACTTCAGTAATAGAATCTCAAACGAACGGACAGGGTAGCGCTATAAGTTTCCCCACATACTGGATATCTATTCCCGCCTCACTGCAAGCCTGACAGTTCTGTGTCTTTACTGAGTGAAATTTGCATGGATACTAACTGTCAGCTATCAGTTAGTATAGGTGAGGGCTGAGTATTGGCGTTTACTAAGCTATAAAGCAACCTTTGAGTTTGCCTCAGTAAAAACTCACTAAATCCTGGGAGCCTCAAGTTGTCTCCAGTTATCGCTCAGTAACAGCTGAAAATCTTATCATGTCAGTTCTTTGATGGGCTCCTGATGTCACACACATAAGAGGCTGTTTCCGCACACTAAGCTGCATCCTGGAAGATGCATAATACTTTTACCTGATAAAATATATCATTTTGTTTTGTAGATGCAGTTAAAAACAAAACATGACTGCAACTGGGATATGGAAAACAACAACAACAACAACTGTTCCATCAATTAATCGTCTCAGGGGATGCGTTGAAATTTCCTCCTCCTTTCATTATTATTATTCTTTGTACAACTATACATGACTTAAAACGGAGCTTTCTGCAGATTTCCTTTGTGCATGGATGTCAGCGTTGATCATGTGATTTTGTTTTCGTTCTACAATGAATTAAGGGATGCCACAACTGGCTTGTACAGTTTCAAACAAGCAATGACTGAAAATACCCCACTGACACCCTAAATGAACTTTTGGTGGGGACCTAAACACTGAGGTGGTCTCAGGGGTCCCAGAATGATGCTGCAGTTTGGGTTAGAAATGTCACAAGTCATCTCACAGTGCAGCCCAAAGTGGCCCAGAGGGACTCTGCAGGCTAAACGCTCTGAGCTCACACATCTGCCACAAACTAATTGCAAAGGATGCGACGGGTTCCAAGTGAGATCGGGACCTCTCGCTTACCCCCCCCTGTGCCCACTCTTGTCCGGACCGGTCACCCACTGTACCTTTCGATTTTGCCCCGCCATGTCCATTGATGGCCGAGCCGACGGAATCCTTCCGTATCCGTTTGCTCGGAGGTCGAACGCTGGATCGTAGAAAATGATGCTGGTCGTGACACGGAGGGGCGGGTTCTGCCGAGTTCTGGGACTGCTGGTTCGTGCCTAGCCCGGTTCGGTTCGGCAGAGCGGCGGGCAGGACCGGGGCAGAACCGGAGCTGAGACCCGGGGCTGATGGATTAAGAATTTCCACTCGGTCGTCTCCCTTTGTACTGCGCTCCTCGCTCGCCTGCTCTCCGTTCTCCTCCTCGTCGCAACCTTCGGGCTTTCTGGACGGATTCCTCCTCCCATCGACACCGATCCCCTCCCTGGAGCCCGGTGTCATGCTGCCAGAACACATTGACAGAAATTTTGCCACATTAGGCAAAAAGCGGCGTGCAAAATTAACTTCTAAAGACGACGTTCACTGTCTCTCAACATGGCCGCCGCTGTTTGTTTCAAATCCCCTCTTCAGTCCCGTCAAAACAACACCAAATATATGCATTCAACGTGCTGAGAGGAATTACATTTAACAACTGAAACTGTTTAGTAACAGGCCACGGTGTCTTAGCAAGTGTCTTTCGGCTCCGTGGTCGTACGACATTGGGATATTTTAAACTAAATTCAAATGCGAGCGCTTTTCAGTTTAGCGCCCTGCAGAAACGACAACGGAAAGCCCTCGCTGCATTCGACCTCTAAATAAAGTGTTTATTTTAAACGTGATGTACCCATTTTCAAGCTCTTCAGAAGTAGGCGACGTCTTCTTTCTCCTAACCATGAGTCCTACCGGTGAAATTGGCGATTGGCGATCGGTTGAAACATACTAAAGCCCACACCGCTCCCTCGGCTTTCTGTCCTCTCCTTGCTCCTGCTTCGACTGAGCTGAACTCTGCGCAGTTCAACTGTTTTCTATCAGCAACAATATTACTCAATGCCTCTTTGTAACAAACGATACAATAACAAAACCCATCACAATCACGACCAATTCATTTCCTGAAGTGCAGAAGAATGGAATCAAGCGCGTGTCAGTCTGGCTCGCCTGGTTTGGACAGGTACGGATAGTTTTATTAACCCGAGTCAAACGGGGACCTGCCACTACGTCACTGTCGTCCTCAAAAATTATCTTAGCAAAAAATGTACATTTTCACAACACACATCTTGCACATTTAAGATTGTGGGTGTCTAGCGGGTGATTCCTCCAATGCATATGGAATATGTCCAAATTAAAACCAGGCTTTATGTGTTATGGGGACATTTATTACTGTGGCGTTACGAATATAAAACGGAGATATGACGTGTAAAAAGAGTCGTTTACTCTTTGAATGAGTTATCCTGTTATCCTGTAATTGATCAATTCATTGATGAAGTAGGGTGGCCGCATGTGGAAATTAGATGTTTTAAAAAAAGAGATAAAACAATCATTATGAAGTTCTAAACTGAATCTGAAAATAGTTAATAGTAAATTAATTTCCTAACTACAAAAAAGGAAGAACATTTTTCATTCGTTATTTAGGTCTTCCTAAAACCAAATCTGAGGTAAATCACAAAGGAAATACAATTGCACAGTCAACACACAGCGTGAGAAGTCCGAAACTACTATCTTAAATCTTTTAATGTTAACTTGAGTTCTTGGGTGTTTTACATCCTCATCCTGCTCATAATTGTAATAGACATATATGGCTTAATGTTAACTTTTTCTCTGTTTCAACACTTATTGTGAGACGAAAAGGTTTTAATTCATGTTCTTGCAAAAAGTGATCAAATATTATTTCACAAACTCCAATCACGTTGCTCTACATGAAACCCTCAAAGCAGCGTTACGACTGTTGCTGTCTTTCAAGATCAGACGTTATATTAGAATGATAATGATGCTTAAGAAGTACAGTTCCGTAAAGCGACTTATTTATATCTCTTGTTAGATGTTTTCAACTATATGAAATGAGCAGAGCATCTCTTTGCTTAACGTAGCATCTCTTTGCTTAACGTAGCATAGCTGATGCTGTTGGCTAGCTAACGTTAACACTTATACAGCCATCTCTTAAGACACAAAAACTCCTTGCAACATATTGTCTGTTTGATACAGATTCCAAAACTGATTGCAGGATGGGCACTTTCAATAAAGCTGAAGAATTACCTGTATTTGAAGCTTCTTTGAGGTTTTCCCACTCGAGAGGTAGGCTAGCATTGCTAACTGACAGCAGCTCTGCAGCCTGGTACCAATGACAGTTCCTGCGGATTGATCGTCCACGCGCAAAGGCACGCCCACTGAGCCTCAAAAACAAAGTCTGTGATTGGTCCGAAACATAGGAGGGCGGTATTAAAGTTTAGTTTGACAGAATATTAACCCTATTGTTACTAAGAAAGGTCCTACAATGGACCAATTGTCATTCTTTTCCTGTCTCAAATTATGAAAGTTCCGATGGGAACTTTAAAAAAATAAAAAACAATTTTGTTTTTATAATCTCAATACATATGATTACTTTATATATGTTTGTTTCTTTTTTAAAAAGATGAATCGGCACAGTGCAACTTTGACAATCAATTCCGCCCATTCCACGATTGACATTTCAGGAGCAAATCAGTGGTTTGAATTTCGAGGATGCGTTTGAAATGAAACATGGCACATCCTTATATTCCTTGTGCTAGTAAATTAGATTTTTGTGATTTTGAAGAGCAACAGCAAACAATTGCCCAGGTTATACACTACTCATTCAGAACAAAGGGGTCTGATCACATAAAATTCCATAACAAGTATGGTCTCGGCTGCTATACCAAACCATATTTCTTAGGCTAATCCTATGGTGCTTCGTGAAAAAATGCGCCACACATGGAAGTACGACCACTGTTGCATGCTTATTCGAATGGGGCGGGGTTGTTCCCCAAACGTTATATAAATGTAACACATTCACGTGAGATGGTGTAAAGTATAAGTTTGATTTTTATGTGAAAGAGGGAAAATATGGTTGGTATAATCTCTAATGTTAGAGAACCGAAAGATTTTTCAAAACGTTCTAACTAAGGCCAGTGGAGGTGTCTTAGGTGTTATTAAACGAGCGCACCTCAACACAGCAGATTGGCCACGGACCAATAATATTCCTCTTTGTCACCGTTGGGTGGTCTGAAATTCTTACGGAGTTCTGTTGGGCAGGCTCAAGCTAGCAGGGGAACTTGCTGGTCGCTTAGGTGGCAAACCGACGAAGTTGTCTTCAGAAACTTGACGGTTCTTAACAAAACCACTATGACTTCGACGAACATGTTTCAAGGCTTGGATAGTGGTTCAAAACCAAGTTCCAGGTGAATATTACGGTCTTGTGTGTTTTATTTCAGCCGAAAGAAATAGTCTAGAATGTGTTATCTCTACTCTATGCAAACGGCCGGTCAGTAATTTTATTAGAACGTAGGTTAACATAGTCAGTGGCGTTTTACGTCTTTCGTCGATTTTTTTCATGAAATTCCTTCAAATCTGGCTTTAATATTTGCTGTGCTTTATGTATAAACTATTTTCTTAAATTCGTTTTTGGTCGTTAAACACCACCGACAGTAGCTTAAGTGGCCCTTTTAGTTAACTTCAGAGTCAAGATAGCTTTCAAGCTAGCATACCAGGCGTTGTCTGCTTTGCCTGCGGAAGTTGGGAATGCTCTTCAGACTGCTTGTCTTTGTAATCGCCAGCAACGACGTTGTGGTCACATTGTTCTTATTACACGAGGTTAAATGTATTTATAATAGGCATCAGTTCTGGGGTCACTTTTACCCTAAATACGACACGCATGTCTTATTGATTGTTTTCGCTCTTAGCAAGGAAAGAAATAAAATGGTCAACTTAACCCACACGAGTTTGCAGACGCAGGGCGCTGTTCCCGGCTGTATAATCAGATAACCTGTTATTTGGCTGCGTTAGCTGTTTATGACTGGCACATATTTATAGGCAGGTTAACCAATGTTTTCTACTCGAGAAATGTGTTTGCCTAAGAGGAAAAAAACATGACGACATACTGTTATAATGGTACAGCCCTTGCAAATCCTTTCAAATCAACACTGCCTGCTTCACATTTCCAGAGGTCAATTGTGAACCCACAGATGCCAAAAACAAACTTAGGTTGTTGGGGTTTTTTTTTTCAAAGGCTTTACTGATTGAAATCTTACATCAGGCCGTTGCGATAGCTGCACCTGTGTTCAGTCTCCTGTGATGCTGAGACTTATTCCAGTGAAAACACTGGAAATTCCTGCCTGCATTGGCCTTTGCAAAGTAATCCTTTTTTGTTCTGTGTCCTCCTGCAGAGTTTTACAGCCTCCTGGAGGTGGCACCAGTAATCTGTTTGGTGGCTACGAAGAGGACGCTGCACCATCAAGAAGAGCTAATAAGATGGCCTCCAAAGTTTTTGCTCCACCAGAGGAGCCCCAGACTGTTTTCAGACGTACCAATCCTCCAGGTTAGAGCTATTTGTCAAGACTTATGGATGTCCTGAGCCAGACTATTTGAAACATTTGCCAAGCGTCCAGCCTTTGGAAATTTGTTACTTTAATGTGATGATTCCACTATGAATAGTCTGACTCTTTCTGCTGGCATGCAAACCGCCTACGGACTTTTGTAGGTATCTGATAGAGTCAGAGAGTTCTAAGTTTAGTCTACAGCTGGAAAGGGTCTCTGTGGTTTTAGATGGGAACATTTGGATCATAGTGCTTTACCTGCCAACATTTCCCCATAACCTAACTTAAACTGTGCGTGAATTGCTGCACCTCCTGATTACTGGACACTGATTTGCCTATGAACAAAGAGTGGAGTTGAAGGGGAACATATCCTGCAGAAGGTTCATTTGGTTGCCAGATAATGATAGTAGGCAGTGTCGTGTAGCTGTCATTGCTGCTTCAAACGTAAACGTACCATTGTAAAAACTTTGTGCAGGTGGAAAAAGCAGTGGGATATTTGGTGAACCGGAGCCTGTGGCTCAACCCCAGAAACCCATACCTTCTCGTGGACAAACCAGCAATATATTTGGGGCTGCAGAGGGTGCACACGGCCAATGCCCAGCCCGAGGCCACCCAAATAAGCCAAAGGTATGCCATGCATTTCACGTTTCCGAGCTCATGTTCCACTTTGATGAAAACATAACATCAATTTTACACAAGTGAAATTTCATCTTTAGACTAATTTCTGGTAATGGCTAATCAATTGGACAATTAGTCATTATAACATGAGTTCAATATGCTTCTTTTTTGTACAGACCAGTCAATGTTTTCATCACCTCCTGAACTCAGAAATAAAAACTTGTATATTTGTGGGTCCCAAGACTCTTACTTTCTGTTAAAGTGACCAAAGAGAAGCTGCCGTTCCATCGCATTTCATCACCTGTGTGTTCTTCCACTAATCATGTGAATCCTCTTACGCTTGTCTTTTTTTTCCTTGTTTTGAAACAGGACAATCTTAGTGTGGGACCCGAGCCTAAACCACCAGGTAAGTGAATGATTGCAAAATGAGTTTGTAAATTGTATGGGGAATCAGATGGGAACTCCCTATCAAGGCCAGGGATGTCAAACTTTGGTCTTGGAGGGCTGATGTCGTGCTGGATTTAGAAATTTTCCTCTTTGTTAAGCTTTGCACAGGCCTGCTAGTGGAACATCGGTGGGAATCAGTTGTGTTGAAAGGAGGAAATCTCTAAAACCTGCAGAACAAACGTGTCGCCTGTTACAACCCTTTCTAATTATCAGAGTATAAATGCTCCACTAATACTGTGTTTTACCGATGTTATTTTTTTTACCAGTGTTCTCAGTTTAATACAAATCATGTAGTTTACGTCCAAATACCATATTTTCCAAATAGTCCAAATATGGGTGTATTTTTAAGGATATGTGGTGTCTATCCATAGCTGTGTGTTTGTATACAATTTGGTGTACACAATGAGACATGCTGTTACTCATGAGTAAATAAAAGGGCTTTAATGATAACTACATGAGATCAAATAATGGTGCTATAGACCAGGTCATTTAAAGATAGTCTCAATAACTACAGAGCGATGGCATAGGGATTGGACTCACTGCATGTGTCCTTTGCAGCCACATGGTTTTTCCACATTGTTTTGACTTGTCATCTTAAATGGGTCCTTGGAGTATTTTACATGAAATGGAGCTGCGTCTTTCCTGTTTTTGTAACCCTTTCTTCCTTCCTGAAGCACCTGAGGTCAAAGTCAGTGAGCCAGTGGTGAAGGAAGAACCCGCCCCCCCCCCAGCTCCTGTGCCTGTCAAAGAAGAGCCCGCAGCTGTCCCAGAGCCCCCAAAGCCTAATCCACCGTCACCCCCCGATGAGACGGATCTGAAGAATCACGAGCCTCACCTGGGACCCAAGCCTCGCTCTCACAACAGGGTCCTCAATCCCCCTGGAGGAAAGTCCAGTGTGGTATTCTACTGACCGGCTGAGCACACCACTTCCTCCAGCCTGAGTCTGTACACCCCTATCCTGCTCCCATCCTGATCTTCTCTCATTCCTTCACCCTCCTTCTGATGCTTATGTCACCTGTACAATACATTGAAAGCCAGCCCAAAAAGTTTGTTGTACACATCAGTTTTCTGGTTTAATGGGTTTTTCCCCCTTAATTTCTTGCACTTTTTGATCCCTCTCTGACTCTCCCCCCGCTCCTGGTCTGATCCTTTGTTTCCCTCCTCACTGAAATCTGCAATGGCACAATCAGAAACGCGTTGATCAACTGGCTAGCTGCTTGCTAACTTTGACGGTAACACTGTTCTGTCACCGGTTTGCGGTTATCGTTGTCACTGCGTTTTAAGCATGTGTAAATGTTCGGTTGAAGGCACGGTTTTTCAGCATTTTAAAAGTGTTTGAATTAAAGGAGTGCTCGATATGTTAGACTTAGCTACGATGTACTTTCAGCTTTAAAATGACCTAGAATAAAATGATGTGGAACAGCAGGTTTCGCTCAGAATTCTGGCTGCTTGTTTTAACAGTGTGTGGCATTGATTCAGGAGGGCTGAACTGATCATCTCACCAACATAGTGTGAAATATTTCAGGGAGTTCAACACCTTTTTTGCTGCCCAGATTGTTATTTAAGAAGAGCACATTGAGTCTGTTTGAAAAACTGCTTGATACATATGACTGTACAATCAAATGCCTTCTCAGTTAGCAGTGTTCATCTGGTTTGCCTTCTGACTCAATATTTCATAATTGAAACTAATCACTTGCTGTCAGAGCAAAATCTCTGAAGTTGAGGTGCAAAAAGAAATCTCAAGAAATTAGACAAAGATGAATGCAATTGTGTACTCAAATGTTCCTGCTTCCTCAAATTCCATTTTGATTTTATGTGAATGTATTGTGCAGGTACTTTTCTGCTCTGTCCTCACTGCTTGCTTTATCTGAGAACATGCCTTTGTTGCTAGGGGTTGGCCTCTGATTATGTTTTAAATTAAAACGGCTGAAGACAAGTGAACTCTGGACAAGCTTGCCGCTTACCTGAGTCCAGGTGGGCTCCTCAGTAATCACCTTTTCACCCGCATTGTGAAGCACATTCATGGTATTCTGGTGCCAGCCTGTCCCCTCTGTTGATGTGCCTGGCGGGCAATGAGTGCAGCAGAAAACAGAAGTCCTGTTTATTGCAATAAAACTGTTGTTTTGCATTGGGTGTTTTAAGCGTTTCATTTATATTCTCCACACATTCAATCTTCTATTGGTATGAATTTGACAATCTGGTTTTCGTCTGCTCCAGATTTGAAGCTAATTCTTGAGTCTCCGACAGTGGTGCTTTTGTGTGGCTTTGCCCCATGGCAGCACTCTGCACAAGCTGCTTTTTTCTTTTTTTCTTTTTTTTTTCCCAGACAAAATGGCCTCCCTCTGCCATTGGCATACTGCCTATGATCACAGGTTTGATTGAGTATTGGTTGGATCGACCATTTTAAAATGGAGGCCACCAAGACGGCGTGGGAGCTTCGTGTCCTTTATGTGGACAGTTTTCTGCTTCGTTAGTCGCTTTTTCTCTCCATTCTCCTTTGCAAACAATAGTCCCAACTATGCTGGAAGAATGTCCAAGTGAGAAATCCTCACTCTCAGCTGCTTTCCTTTCAAAACATTTCTGTCTGGAAAGATTATTTCTTTTTTGGTATGTTGACGTGTGTGTGGAGTCTTCTTTGTTAATCGATGAATAGTTCTTATAAGGAAAACTTGACAGACCAAAGGACCACTTTAGAATTGTCATGTTGATCAGGTTTTATTAGTCAGTTGGGCAGGGATTAAGTATTAGTTTTTTATCTGTGTCTGACCAAAGAGAGCTGGATTCTTGATTTTGAGGCTGGCAGTATAACAGGGAACGTCAGTGTTTTTATTCTCACCCCTGATTTAATGTTATTTCCAGCTGAGAAAAGCTTGTTTACTTCAGCAGTTGTACGCATGATGTCACTCATGACTGTAGCAAATAACCATGATGAAGTCATGAACACAGACAAACTGACTCAGGAGGTCAAAGCAATGATTAGCAAAGATAAATTTAGCCTGCTGAAAATGTTGGGATATTATCTCACATGCAGGGAAATATTGATAAAGTCTTCTGAGGTGTGGTCGGATACAGTTGTAACTTTCCGTATGTGCTGGGGTATTTTGTGTCGTATTTTTTTAAGTTTATGGTCGTTCTGATCGAATTGTGGCATAAAGTGTTGTTCCAAATTGAGCTCAAGTCAGTTGCTACCTGGAAAATGGTTCAACTTCCGGTTTGAACTTCCAAAATTGAAACTGTGATTTCAACCTGAGTGGATCAGACTTTCCATTAACGAACTTGGTGTTTCAATGGTCACTGTAAATAATGAGCAAGCACATTCATTTATTTGTTTATCTTTTACATTTAGAGACAAAGGTATACATTTTCAGATTTGCCAAACGTTTTAATTATTCAGGTATCCCTGAATTAACGATTAATCTGGGTTTTCTTTTGTTAAAAGAAAAAAAATGAACCACAAAATGAAAGACAAGGACTACCTCCTGATGATGATGTTCACAAACCGTTAGCGGGGCGTGTGTCTCACCTTTTATTCTGAAACGCTAGAAACGACATCCGGTCTGAGTTGTCTGCCTCGGCTTGCTCAATGCAGACGCCGTGACGTCAGGCAGAAAGTCAGTCAGCTGGCTCCCGGATCCGAACGGCAGGGAGAGCCTCTCCCAGAGGGAGACATCACCATCCAACGCCCGAGTCCTGCCCAGCAGCATCGGCGGCCCGCCGGAAGAGAGAGCGGTGGGGGGGGCAGAGAGAGATATGGAAACAAAGGCTCTATAGAGGCGGCCGGGGCGTCGCTGGCGATCGGGATATATAGATTATTTATTCAACTATTTATTTATTTATTTCCCCCCTCGCCAGTAATGGCTGGGGTCCATGACTGCGGCTGCTGAGAGGCAGGTGCACCATCATCGAACGGCTCCCCGGCATGGACTCGGCGTGGGCCGGAGCACGGGCCGGCCCTCAGCGCATCCAGCGGGATCGGAGCGGCTCCGCGGGAGGGGGGCAGTAGCCGGGCCGCGAGGGTCCGCGACCGGGGCCACTATTCCCAAATCACACCTATTCAAACCAATATTTATATATTTTTTTCTCCATCGGGCTCAAGGTTACTCGCACACAGAACAGCACGCCGCCCTCCTACAGAATGGAATAAAGGGGATTTTTTTTTTCTTCCTTCTTTTTTTCCCCCGGAGCCCGTGCCTGAACGTCCCCTTTCCCCACCGTGCGCTGGGCAGATCCCGGCACCGTGACTCACGGTTTTTAAGGCCTGGGAATTTTGTGGAGCGCAGCCTCTTCTGGGCCACACAAAAAAATAACTAAAGCAAGAAAATAACTAAAGAAGCCAAGATGATGGAACTGCAGATAGACGAGGTGGTGTACCAGGACGACTACGGCTCTGGCACCGTGATGTCGGAGCGGGTGTCGGGCCTGGCCAACAGCATCTACCGGGAGTTCGAGCGGCTGATACGCAGCTACGACGAGGAGGTGGTGAAGGAGCTGATGCCGCTGGTGGTCAACGTGCTGGAGAACCTGGACGCGGTGCTGTCCGAGAACCAGGAGCACGAGGTGGAGCTGGAGCTGCTGAAGGAGGACAACGAGCAGCTCATCACCCAGTACGAGCGGGAGAAAGCGCTGCGTAAGCAGGCGGAGGAGGTGAGTGACCCCCCCCCCCCCCCCACCACCACCAACCCCCCACCCAGAGGCCCGCATCCCCGCATCCAGCTGCCCGCTGCTGCTTCCCCTCAGGCCGGCCGCCCAGCCCGGGCAGCACGGGGGGGGGGGGTCCAGCAGACATGTGACTCATGTTTAGGCCCCTGAGCGGTTTTTAAAGCTTGTTTTTTAAGTCTAGAGGAAGACACCTTTACACATGAAGGCATGCACATGCAAATTCTGATTTTGGAAACACGTTTAACCCATGAGAACATAAAGACCTGGCAGTAAATAAGTCAATGTGTAAGTAGATGTGTTGCAAACAGCAAAAATATATTCAGTGAATACATTTTTAATCTTTCTAAGCATTTGGCCACATCCTATTCCAGCTCAGACCAGTGTTGTCTCTTTTATATCTGCCCATTAATATCATAAGCACTCACACCCGACATAAAAGTTGTTGCCTCTGCCAGTCGTCAATAAAACAACACATTTCAGCAATTGATCTCAGTGACAGAGGGATTTTTCTTAAACGTGAGCTTACACAAGGCGGAGACCGCATGTAAATGCAAATACCCAGTAAAAACATCCAATATGCAAATGCAAAAGTAAAGAAACGATGGCAGGTCCCACAGTGTGTGAAGGAGGAGTGCTGGTAAATGGAAAGAGCAAGAGCTCACCCCAGCTCTCAGTGGGCGTTTACACTTTTCTTAAAAACCCTGAAAGAAAAAGTGTAGAACAATATGGAGCTATTGGATTACAGGTCAAACTCTTACTAGGACAGCCGCCCCCCCTCGCCCCCTCCCACCACAGTGTCACAGCACCCAGGAGATCCAGCACGCATCAGAAAGCAACTTTAATCCTCCTCCCATCCAAGAGGCCTCAGCATATCGCTATCAGCTTAGCTCAGCTTTTAGTCGGTTTTTTCATCTCCCCTTTCTCCCCACTGTTTCCTCCCTCTGACGGTTGGTCACAATCCAAGCCTTTCACTCGCTGTTTCACTGGAACATTTCAATGATTGCACTTTATTTTCATTTCAAAGATTTTAAAGGACCTTCATTTAAAAGACAATACCCAAATTTAACCCTAAAACACCAGCAAAGGATCTTCACTGCTATTTTGAGAAACTAGTTTTAAATGATGGATGATGACAAACTTTTTAATTGAATAGAAGCTATACCAGTAATGAAACTGAAAGAGAGAATGGACAATTGATAATGTTTATAAAGCTTAACACATTTAATGTTGGCTTTAGCCTCCACTCTGGTGCATCAGGAATAGGACGTTTCTGCTGGTCTCACCAGCTTTGAGTGGACTTAAACCTGCCATTAAATTGGCTTTCGGAGCGGGTGTATTTAACCTGCTCTGGTTAGGATGCTGACACATCTCCGCTGGTGTCCGCTACAGCTGGTCTCGGTCAAGCCACTGGTCAGTCCTGCAGCTTAGTGGATGGTTTCGATAACGCTCTTGGTGTATATACACAGATCTCTGCTTCTTTTTTGATTTTTTGTACTGCGGATGACAAATTTGATTGCAACCAATAAAGAGTGTTTTGTCGGGCCATCAGTGGTACACGGTGGGGGATGGGTTCAGGTTCTATGGGTTGCAGTGGAGGAAATCAATAGCGCACAGAGCACACTGTAACGCGATTTGTGCTTATGAGGGGAAAGACAAAGCAATAAAAGCTCAGAAAAATAAACTGTCTGATGATTCACTGAGCAGGAGCGGAAAGAGTCAGGGGCTAATAGGAGGAAGAGACAGGACGATGCGGGGCCAATCTCACAGCCCGATGAAGGCAACAAACCCCCCTCTGACAAAACGCACAGAGCAGCATGCAAAAAACAGCTCAGATTACAAGCTTACGGGGCTCCAGCTGATGGTAAACAAAACCCAGGGCTCTGCTTCTGCCCATGAAGAAAGACGACCGATTGATTGTTGTTAAAAAAACAAAAATCAACCGAAAGCCTGATCCTCCATTCTTTGTGTGGCCGTGCCCTATTATTACAGCACACGCCTTCATTTCCATGCAGTTCCCACATCCCTCTCTCCTCAGGTATTATAAATAGTTGAGTGTGACCACGCTGCAGTCAAATGCACTCAAGACAAATTAGTTCCGCTCCCTCATCACAAGGATACGTGTTGAAAAATTCACACTGTACACAATGTTCCCCCCCCTTTGTAAGTGGAATCATTTCCACAGCTAGATGGAATTCCCTGAAATGTATTTAGTTCTTTAATCATTAGTCGGATAACTCCTGCAAATCAGCAGCTGTGCTCCTTAGACGCAGCCTGTCACTGGTTCTCACGCCTGAAGAGAACAAGAGCACCGGGGGGATAAAAGCAGAACGGGGGGGGGGGGG